ACCGCCCCTGTACTCTTCGATAGCGGCAGACGGGGGCGCACACTTGTCAGCTCTCATCTCGCCTCCCAGAACACTAGGCCTCCCCCTCGGAAAGGCTACATCTTTCGACGACTCCCCTGCTCAGGTGCTCCAGTCTTCAGGTTGCCTATAATAGACGCAACGGGTGTGCAAGTTGAGATGACGAGGTTGAGCTCTATAGCCAGTCTTTGGAGCAGTCTCCAGCTGCCCGCCCCTCCCCTGCGAGGAATGACTCCGTAGCGTGTAGTTGTCCGAGTGCGATGGCTTGTGTCATACCCTAAGAGGAAGGAACAGTCCAGGCCATGTCAGAGGGGAGGAGCGGGCAGGCGCGGAAGGGCGGCGGGGAAGCTCATTCTTTTGCCAAGTTTCGCCCTTTGCTTCACCACTCCAGAGCGGAACTCCTTCCGTAATAATGAGTACGGCATTTTGACGTTATCTCATCTCGTCCGCCTCTGACTTGACACCTCGGGGGCCAAGCAAGTGCTCACAATATGTTTCGCTTTCTTTGCCCCAGGCAAGGCATATCCTTCCTCACATGCCAACTGCCAACTTCTTTGAGTGTCTTGTAGTGGTCTCCTCCTCAGTCTATCGCAGGACTCGTCGGGAGATTTCCACAGTGCATTGCCCCGAGACATTGTCCAGGGGGGTTGAGGTTGACGACCTCCACCTTCAGCTCCAAGATCCAGAGAGACATGATTGAGCCCAACGGAAGAGGAAATGCACCTGTTAACAAAAGGCCCTAGGCATCGCACCCCACTTTGCTCTCCATTCATCCGCCTTCAAGTCTGATCAATGCATTCCAGAGCACTTCTTGTGACCCACCTGGTCAGCGAAGAAGGCGGGCAGGCTCGTTGTTCTCGGCAGCACGAGCTTGCTAAAGGCATGGTGATGGTGGGGACAAGCAAGGTAAAGGGGGTTGGGGTTGGGGGGGAGGATAGACAGAGTCACGGAAGGTGGGTTTCGGACAAGCGCTCCTCATTCGCTCGTCGTCGCTCAGTCGCTCCAGCTTGAAGGCCGGCTCTGCGGTTGTTGACACGAAGACTATATGATTGGAGAGGAAGGGATGCCATGTCTCTCAGTCCCAGACGATGTGCGGACACGGAGTCCTCTTTGCTCCCAACAAAGCCTGCAGTTCCCTTGTCCAACCAGACGGCCAGGAAAATGCTGTCGGACGGACACACCCAGCGCGTTTTCATCTCCAGGCGGATGTCTTCCTCCCCCACCTCCCCAGAGTATCCATGGCTTGATCAAACAGCGGTCTTCAACCTCTCGTACTTGCAAGAAGGCTGACTTTTCTAGACTGCACCCTTGCTACGCGCTCTTACAAGCGCCGGCTTCCAAGCCTTGCCATGTCCATCACGCTTGTTGTTGTACAGAGTGATGTGGGAGGGGAGGAAAGAGCAGCTCTTTCGTGGATGCAACCTTGTTCTTGCAGATGAGGACAAGGTGATACGCTAGAAACGGACGCGGCTGGAAACCTGGGAAGGTGGAGGGTGGGCGCTGCTCGTGTCCTCCCTCCCGGTGCGAACCTGCGCCGGCGCTCATGGTGCCTTGGTCAACGGAACTCCCGCAACTAGGTGGGGGAGAGGACCTCCCTCTTGGACAGGTCGAGGATCATAAGGGAGGGGAAGGGGAAGAGTATCGAGAACCAACATTGCGCTGGTGCCTCCGTCTCACCTCCTCACCTTATTGACACAACCTCCCGACGAGGGCACCAGCTGCGGTGCACCCTCGACCTCAGCACCTAGAAATAGTCCTCCGTGCCGACAGAGTAGGCTCGAGCAGGTGGTCTTCCTTCCCGCGCTTCCTACTACCACCCTTCTCAACGAAGGTGCAGTCATGGGTATGACGAGCAGGGTACCCTTCCATTCGTGGAGGCCAAAGCCTTCTTGCCCATGCAGCAAGGCTAGATTTGAGAACCGATAATACTGTATCTCCCGAACCTGCTTGTACACTAGCCTTTCAGAAGAGAGCCCGCCCTCCCCTTGTAGTATTCGATTTCTTCTTTTCCGTGCAAACAGAAACAAACCAAGGGCGGCGCCTACTCGTCCTATTCTCTGGAGTGTACCGAGGTAGGATCTGATTGTCCTAGGAAGGGGAATGTGGCGTGAGGGAGGTATGCTGTCTTGTCAGAATTATTGACGAAGAGGTCGGGTCAGCTCTCCAAGTTCACTAAGTACACACCGTTCAGCTTTGAACGAAAAGGGAAGGGAGCAGCGCCTCCAAACCAATATTCCATCCCGATTCTGCCGGCGTCTGTATTCGAAAAAACGTCTGCAAATGATTGCAAGGCGTGAGAGACGGCCAACACGAAACTGCCGCTCCCACGTCATAACCTCTTTCGTGGAAGCCGGAGGAGAAATCCGCTGGGAAGAGTCGTGGCGAAATTGACGTGACTGTCTGTCAAGACTGATCCGAGTCTCACGGAAGGCATGCATTTGACGTCGAGATAAGACTTGTCGGAATTACTGAATCGCCGAGGCTGGCTACCCGCAGGGCCAAATTTCGAGTGGTGTGGCCATAATATCGAGCCCAGGTCACATCCGGGGCCGCGTCTTGGTTGATTATTTAGCAATCCCAATGGGTCGGTTTTTTCAAATCTCGGCAGTTTGGGAAATGATGAGGCTCATCTTCACTTGCCTGGCCTCCGCTCGAGACAGGCTTATTTCGACTGACTAGCTTACCGCCGAAAGAAGGCGCATACGAGTGAGGAAAGCCACGAGGGACGTGGTGGGTTTTTTCTTTTTCTTTTCTTTGTTTCGTTTCTTTTTCTTCTTCGTTTTGTCCTTTTTTGCGGGTGGAAAGCCCACTCCCGCTCACCCACTGAACAACGAGGGAGGGGGAACACAAGAGGGACTCTCACACGTCGCGGAGCGGAGATTCCTACGCCGTCTCCAACGTCTTTTTTAGCGAACGGCATCGGACATATTGGGGAACATCATGGGGTATTTGGCACGGGACGGGTTTGGATCGGAGCGGGCTTCATCATCACCAATTATCAAAGAAGAGGCAGAAGAAGAAGAAACGAGACAGCATTGCTTCAAGGAGAAGTCGGGGATGCTGGATCACAGCTGGGAGGCCAAACGTCATCACACATTGACCCAATAGCGTACTACCCGTCGGCTCCTTGATCACTCGCGAGGGCAACGGAAGGGGTCTCCGGAAGGATGAAGCAATCAGCCGCCCCTCTTCACATGGGAGAGGCAAAGGCATATTCCATGGGTCTTGTTTGAGGGATGCTGCTTCTTCGAAAGATGTGTTCCACGGCAACATGATAGGCCACCGCCTAGAGGCTTAAACATTCCAATTCTTCTCCAACCCCTTTTCCATACAAGCTTTTTGTGTACGGCTCTTGACCGGCCGAGCGTCGCGCGACTAACAGGTATGGGCTCAGCAATGTCAAGTCGATGCTGTTCTCGCCGCGGTCCACGTCATACAGTCTGCCAAGGTAGCACTGAAACTAAGTAGGGTTGAGAAAGAGTGGGAAAGCAATGGGTCGCTTCAGGAAGAGGGTCTCCTTCACACCTTTTTTTCTCCAACGAGTTAGCCAATGTCTCGAGAGCGATGGTATTCATACTCGACAAATTGAGGTGTTGTTTGCGAATGTCGAGGGAAACAGCGTAACCTCGGTGGCAGGGTGGAGGGTAGTTGGAAGAAGAAACGTAGCGATCATGCAGACAGGACTAGCCAGTCCGTTCCTATTTAAAGATCTTGAAGCCTCGAATACTGCCTGCGTGGAACCCGATCTCAAGCCAGACTCCCGGACGCTTCGAGATCCGAAAGCAGCAACTCTGTGGAAGACGTTTCGCTTAATCCAGGGTCGCGAGGTTAAAAAAGAGCGTCGACGGAGGTAGGGCTGGAGGTACCAGTACCCGAAAATGTGCTCACTCGATCTGAGGAGGTTTTGGTCGGACGAATCAGCGTTGCCAGCATTGGCTTTCGGGAGGGGCGGGAGACCCACGGCACTGGCAGTCGCTAACACCAACGGCACTCTACCTAACCACAACCAGTTAGCGAGGTCGACGCAGGAAGGTATCCTCGGCCGTGTGCACGCATGGCTCTGGCTGGCACCCCGCGACTTGCGAACTGGCACGGGGGCAAGGAGCGAGGGCTATTCTCGACAGCTCGACTGGGGATTGAAACGTTTTAAAGGCGAATCACCCGCGCTCCGTGAAGAGTCGTCCACGCTCAATGCCCGCCCCCGTCCTTTCCCGCGCCGCCCCTACGTTCGTCAACTATAGATCCTGGGACTCGATTGTTTCGATAAAACTCTAAAAGTCGGCGATCTGCGACGAGAAGTGCTGCCACGGTGTGCTGCGCCCGAGACGGAAACAAGCGCAGCCCTTGAGCTGATTGTCGCAAAACCCGCCGAGAAATCCTGCTCACCCCGGCGAAAACCTGCTCACGAAGGGGGATATTTAACATCTCGAACCGCTCCCCCGGACCTATAGCGTGCGAAGCGAGAGGACCGAAGCCTGTGTGAATCCTTTTGTTCTTCTTCTTTGTTCCGCAGGTACGGATCAGTTTTTCTTGTCTTCTTCCTCTCTTGCTCAAGTTCCTTCTTCTTCTTCTTGTTTTCGAGTATCCCGCTGCTCTTGAACGAGATTCGTTGTTTCGCAATTGTTCCTCTGCAATTTCGGCCAGTTTTGCCCATCGCCCGGCGCGTTGATTATTTTCCTCCCCTGCTTGACACTTGCTTGGACCTTTGACCTTCTTCTCCCTTTTGTTATTCCCCAGGCCAGAGCCTTACGCCAAAAAACAAAGAGAAAAATGCAGCGACGACACGGAGAAGCTGACCACTCAAGCAGTGCCGGCGTGCTCGCATCCGCCGCGATGGACACGGGCCACTCATCCCACGACTCCTCTTCATCGGAGCACAGCATGATGTCAATCTTCTTCAGTAGCCAGGACACGCCCTTGTACAGCTCAGCCTGGACTCCAAACTCGGCGGGTGCCTATGCAGGAACATGCATCTTCCTCATATGCTTAGCCGCCGGCTTCCGGGTCTCCTCGCCGCCAAGGCGATCATGGAGCAAAGGTGGCTCGACGCCGAGATGGCGCGGCGCTTCGTCGTCGTCGCCGGCAAGCAGTCCTTTAGCGAGCAACTTGTCACCGACCCTCAGGCGAAAGACATGGTTCTGTCTGCAAACGGCGTGGAGGAGAACGTGAGGGTGGTTCAGAGGCATAAGATTGGCAACGCGAGGCCGTGGAGGTTCACCGTCGACCCTGTACGAGCTGTTATGGATGTCATCATCGCCGGTGTCGGATATCTTCTGTAAGTCTGGCCCCCATCATCATCTCCTGTCCAGTCATGCCTTCAAGCAGCTAGACAAGAGCTGTGGTGATCTTACGAGAGTTGATTGCGCCTAACAAACGAATCCATACAGGATGCTTGCTGTCATGTCCATGAATGTCGGCTACTTCATTTCCATCCTTGGAGGTGTCTTCATCGGCAGTCTCGCGGTGGGCAGGTTCAGTCCCTCCTCGGAGCATTAGGCGCACTCATCCGCCTCAGATATGCTTCCGATATGACATGATATGTCCACAATTCTCTCCTTTTTTCTTTTCTCTCTTCGCGCGGCATAGACATGGATTTTGTCCAGCCTGTTTTAGTCTCACGTCCTCTATTTACGCTTTCTCATCCTCCGCGCCCGACGAGGGCCTAGACGGGGTTTCAGCAAGTGATTGGCATTCTCTTTGGGTAGGATGGCGTTGCTTTGGTTGGGAATACCAAACGGGAGCTTGGGATTATCGTCGTGTTAAGACTGTCGAGTCTCCCGGTTCTCGAATTTACTTCGGCTACCTCTTTTTTTTTTCCCTTTTTCTATCGCCTTATATTGTTCATGAATACAAAAACATGCGTAATGGTTTTGACGATTCCCTCGACGTTGGTTTCTCCCTCCTGATGCATCTAGAACGCTTGGGCTCTGAAGTCCTGCTGTCACCAACTCTCACTCAGCGCCGCAAGCTAATGTACCAGTACATCGAAGTTGGCCACCCACAAAACCTGCTCAAACCAGCGCAGCTAGCGTCTTCCTTTTGCATGGTTGATCGAGCTTACCTTTTCCAGTGCAAGGACGACAAAATCGATGTGTTCTCTCCTACGATTAAATAAGCAGAAAAGAGGCTCCGTCCGTCAACTCCGTCGTTTTTGCTCAATCGCAGCCCAGAGGGCCAAGGCCCCTATTAGGGGATCAATGATGTAACGAGAACAAAGTGGTTTTCGGACGGAATAAACGAGCGTTGAAGGTAGCGGGGTATGCATGACAAGCTTGCAATAGATCGATTCTCGACTTTATTCCTTGGGAAGAAGGCAGAAGAGAATAGCCCAGTGCTTCAAACCTGCCCGCGACTCTTTACTCTATCTTGCATCATGGATAAGTCTATAGCCTGGAATGGCACGTGAGGATGATCTTCATGCTGCACTATAATGCAGTCTTATTTTGCCGGTGCTGGGAAGGTGCGTCTTCCATCACCAAAATCCCCAAAATTGGCCATGGTCGCACTTATTAGCTCCACCTCTTCCGAGGAAGGGAAGGTGCTCTCCAGCGCCACCATCGCAATACTCTCACATCCATGCTCCTCTTCATTCCTCCAAAGGGCGCGGCTATTTCTTTTTCTTCGTTTTTTTCCTCTTCTTTCTTTTTGTTGGTTCGATTTATGTGCTGCAGCCCGCCCCCATCGTGCCTAGCCCTCAAACTGCATGTATCGTCCCGCCGCCGCCGCCGCCGCGCCTCCGCCGCGGGCGACGCCTCTCCCGACCCGAAATGTTGGAACTGGGGATATTGTGTATATGTATGATGTATGAGGGGAAAACAGCCCACTGCGGCGTTGCCCGCCTTGGGATGAATTTTGAGGCTCTGTCGATCCGCCATTTAGGCTACCGGTGCGAAAGTGGGATGGGTCGTCCTTTACCCCAGAGGCTTCACCCTCGCCACGAAACGTGACGTCTGTAACCAGAGAAAATAAGAGGGCAAGGTTAGGTCTCTTTCGACTCTTCATAGCGAATGTTGAAAAAGGGCTTCTGGAAGCTCACGCATATTCGTCCATTCTAAGCCCATGCATGATAAACGAGTGTGTAGACTATTTTCTAGGCCGTCCTCCCTCCCTTCCCACAACAGAATATCAAGACTGGCGATGAGAGCGGACCGCGATAGAACTCGTCTTCATCCGATTGGATTCTCCCGAGCTATATTGGGTTTTGTTGGCGATATCATATCACAACCACCGTGCTCACGACCCCTGCATCCTGATCAGCCCCTGGTCCCTGTTTCTACTTCCATGATACACCGGCTCTTCCTGTCAGAACCAAACCTCAGAAATCTCCAAATGCAACTAGGAAGAACGCGGTCAGCCAAGTATGCCCCGCATCGCCCCACGCCCTGACTTGAGAGTAGCCATGAGGCAGCCCTAGGGGGGTATCGCAACGGCCGGGCACTGAATCTCGATGCATTATCGTCTAAACAGATTCCCGATCGATTATCCGCCCTTCCCGAAACAGCTTTTCCGCGAGTAAAGGGCATCGCGGCACGAAGGCGTCGATGACACGAAAGTCCCACCCCGCTGTGCCTTTCCCCTCATATCTCTCCGCCTGTCCGCCTTTTCTTTCTCGCCACTATGTAATATAAGCTTAGAACGCGCTTTAGGTAGAGGTGCGCCCGTTGGGGGAAGGCGGAAAGGCTGTATACTTGAGATGCCACCTGACGTTCAGGATCCGTGACGCCCCCTTCCCCCAGGCCCGCGATGGGCTGTGGCTAAAGGCGCCTTGAAGAATAATGATATGCACCCTGATCGAGGAACGGGTGCCGCGCCTAGGATTATCTGGAGCACCCGCATCTACTTGACGTGCACGCCGATATTCATGTGCCAAAGAAACGGTCTTTATTTCCTTCAAGAAAAAGGAAGGGAAAACGCCCAGCGGATAACGGTGCCCGGGCATAGGGTCTACCCCTATCAAGAACCATGCAGAGGCTGGAAGAGGAGGATGATCTTCCCCGGTGTTCCCGGTGTCTCGTCTTTGGGCTACATTGTTCGAGGTATATCCTCCGCGGACACTCGGTAGATATTACTCAAACTTGGAGCAGAGAGGCCACTCGGGCTGTTAACCGTGTATACTGCCCTAGCCACCTACCTTCCTAGTGCCATGGTGAATGTCTATGGCCACCAGATCTCTAGTGAGGTGTGATCGTATCACGAGATGGTCCTCCACTGCTCCATACCCCGTCTTCAATTCTATGGCAGGCTGACGCTTTGCCGCCAAGTGTAGGCGCTAGAACTAGTTGTGTTAAAGGGGCTTCTTTTTGGGCCACAGGAGCGCGTAAATGCAAGAACACCCTGGTAGATGGTGATATGCTTGGTTGAGTGGAATCATGCAGAATGGCATATCATCTCGCTAGTAGACAGGCTAACAGAGAAACATAACCTGGGAGGCTACGACATACATGGGGAAGAAAGGGAGTATCCTCGTCTGGGGGCTTTGGGCATGCTGAATCAAGGCAACATATCAAATAATTTGGGTGTCTACCGAGATACATTGATGGGAGTATGTGATTTTTTTAATGCGCTATATGGCGGGATTGCATTCTGGAAACAGGAAGTGAAAGCTATTGTACAGGACAGCCACATGGGGCCTGGAGGCCCCCTTTACATATCGTCTTCAGGATTGATCATGGAGACAGTGGCTCCTCAACATCGCCTTCAGGCGATATTAGGGACGGCTGAATGAATGCATCGGTTGGGTAGGGTTTGGATGAACAACAAGGCAAGGATTGGTTGGGATTTTGGGAGACCTCTAAGCATGGAAAATAGGGGAGACGACCAAAGACCTACTAGAAGGCCATTGCAAGAAGTTGACGAGGTAGAAAACAGTATAGAGTAGATTAAAGATTCGGAGTTGGAATTGGCAGCGGACCGCTGGGGTATTGTGCACCAGGCGCTTTGATACTTCTCCGAAATAGGCGATAGGTCCATGAACAGCAGTGACGATCGCCTTTAACTCGAGTCCGAAGGGTCTGGTTAAGGAAGTCGTTTGACTGGCAGGCCTTCGGGGGAGGGGAAAACATGCGCGATGCAAGGAGATAGATGACCACCGGACATTGAGCGAAGCGAGAAACAAGCAGAGAGACGAAAACTAGGAATCTTTGACATCAAAACAAGGTGTGGCGTGATAACGGGGGACCAAAGTGAATGAACTGCTTTTGAGCCACGAGATCATAACTCGAACCATATAGAGGATGCCGAGGCCCAAAGACGGCCGTAGGTAGGGTCCTCTGCCGGATGCCACGTCGACAAATCCATGGGCGCAAGGTCGCTCGCAGGGGCTCAATCGGCCTTCGGCTCTGCTGTAGAGTCCAAGTCCCCCCGTCCATCCACTGTAAAGCCGCTATTATGGGAATATACTCCTCCTCTTCCTCCGCCTCCGCCTCCTCCTCTCCCTCCTCTTCTTCCCCCACTTTCCCTCATCCTCCTAACCCCCGCTCCATGCCAACGGGTTGATGTCCGCTTTGAGGACCGGGTTTCTCTAGGTTCGATCGATTTGGCAGTTGCGTATCGCAAGGAACCCTCGTGAGAACCGGCATCAGAGAGAGCTAGGCACCGAAGATATGAACACTGGAGGCTCTCTTGGGGTTTGAGGGCAGGAGCGGTTTCCGAGGCAGTGTGGAACCCAATGCAAAGACGTAGGAAAAGAAACATTAACGGAACATGACAATAAGGGGAAAACGCGTGAATGTTGAGCCTTTGAAAGATCGCCGTAGGCCGCAACATCCGTACCTCACAACGCCAAGCCACCAGAAAACCGTAAGGAATTATGCCCGGTATCACCTCCCGACAACCTCTACCATGTCTCAAGAATGCGTTTAGTGCAGGGTATCAGCGAATAACGTAAGAGGTCGCGGGAAAGGGGAGTTGATCACGATTGATGGCCTGTGTGTTGGGGCATGCCCGGCTGTGGTGGCATGCCATAAGGGGTGCGCCGCCACCGCCGCCTCGGACGTAGTTTTGGTAAGCCATATGAGGGTCGAGGCCGACATTTCCGACGTTTCCAACATTTGGCATGTAGCCGGGGGCATGTGAGTCTGAGGGGCCATGTTGGGTCGCTGTTGTGGAGGCAGGTGCTGCCCAGCGGGCTCTTCGGGCGAGTCGACCTGATTTGTGTCGTCGACGCCATTCTCGTTGCCGGGCGTGGGCTCGGGGGCATTTAAGCAAGCCTAATGGAATTGAAGAGATGGTTAGCATTTGTCTGGGATGGAAGGAGTTGAAGCAACAAGGACCGCAGACTCTCCTGCCGCCCTGGACTGCCACCCTGGATTTTACGTACCTGGATGAGATTCTTGCCCTCGGCTTTCGTGACGAGGGGTTGGAGCTTTGGTGTCGTAAACGTGTAGACTAGGCCTGTCTCTGATACGACGAGAAGGAGAACTTGGGTTCCCGTGAGAACCGAAAGTTCGTAAGCCTGGCGCATTCCGCAACATTAGCTAAACGCGCTTGGAGAGAGGAAAAGCACAAGTTTGCGGGTGGTCGTTGGCGCGCGGCGTCAACGAGGATTAGGAAATAGGGCAAGAGGCGTCGATGCATCCTCGATCTTCGACCTCTGCTCATTCGTTTCGCTTACCTTCTTCATGATGCCGGCCTTTCGCTTCGAGAAGGTGATGTGCCTGCGCGACTTATCGCTGATGAACTTAATCTCAATCTTACGTCGCTCGCGACCGCCCTTCTCGTCGTCGTCGTCGTCGTCGTCGGCGCTGGGTCGTTGACGCTTGACACCGCGAGACTCGTTGCCGGCCGAATTGCCATTTCCAACCGAGTGCGAATCGCCTACGTCGGTGGGAGACGTGTGCTCATGCTGATCTGTGATGTCGCCCATCTTCGATTTTCCTGTGTCGGGGTGCAAAACGAATTAGATGGTGATACAGGTCCAAAAGGCAAATGATATGGTGGAGATGCTGTTTTGAGCGTGGTGCCGATGGACCTATACTAGATCTGGAGAGGAGCGGAGAGGCTGTCATTACCTTTTGTCGCGGAAACCTGGTTGGGTCTATACTGGCTGACTGGATCGAGTCTGGTGCCGACTGGCGGAAGGAAGCGAGGAATTTCAGGGTAAATTTTACTTGCTTTGTTAGATTCTTTTACCCTTCCAAGTGCTGGACTTGTGGAATGCGCTTGTGCTTGGCTCTGGGGGCGTGAAAGAAGAGTGGGCACCACGCCAAAACGTTGCGAAGTGAGCGGACAGGCTGATTTGATGAATGATGACGGGGCTGTTCTGGGAGAAACTACTTGCAGTCAAAAGAGTTTGACCTTCTTTCCCCGGCGCCCCTTTGACTCTTGGTAGGGGGAAGAGAGGAGGGGGGTGGTGGATGACCAACCGATGTACCGTCTGCGAACACGGTGCGTGGGCAAGTCGGGGTAATGGTGCAAAAGTCCGACACCGTTGAAATTAACGGAGGCTGGGAGGGAAAATGCTTGTGGTGCACAGGCGGCAGGACTGCAAGGGTGGGGGAACGAATGGGAGAGGGGAGAAGACGGATGCCCAGTTGGCCGAGGTACCTTTGACGAGGCCAACGGGCAATGATCAAGAAGACGTGAGTGTGCCTAGTACGAGGTACATCAAAAGTCTGATGAAAGGTGGGTACACAGGAGCAGTAGTGCGGGTGCAAAGATGAGGTCTAGGCGTCAAAAGACCTAAGACCCTGCTCTCGTTCAGGGTGGGAGATGTGGGGATCTTGATCAAGGCTAATACTGAAGGAGGCCGAAATGGGCAAATTCGAAGGGGAGGAAGAGAATAATTGAGCTGGTGTCCGATTGCCTGTAAACGGGCAGAGAATATAAGGGAGGCAAAATGAGGGAATGTTGGAATCAGGCGAAGAGGGAGGAAGAAGGGGAGGGAGAAGGGGGGCCATGAGGCAATTGGATAATTGGATGGGACCTACGTGGACGCGTCGAGTTGAGCGTTCTTTCCTGGCTCGAGTTAGGTAGCTCTTCCCCTTCGTTCTTGAGCCCAGAAAACGCAGGTTGTTGCACGCACGTTGAATGATTATTCCAATATCTTTATTCAAGGGACCACCACTCCTTTCTCGAACTTTTGGAAACAATGAAGGCTCCAACCGCTTTCAGCAACTTATCTGCTTGATACTCGCTTCTTTTCTTTTTCGTCCACGTTTTGCTCCAAGGAGTCGAGAGATGAGGAACACAGGAACACTACCTGATTGAAAGAGGACAGGAAAATGTGGGGACGTGGAAGGTGTGGGTCGGGGCCGACTGACGGACAATCGAAGAGGGAATATCAACTTGGTGCAGGGCGGGGAAGAGGGGATGTGGATCATGCCGCGGGTGTGGGCTATTCAACCAAGGGGGTTGTGGTTGCAGAGAGGAAATGAACACAACAGAGCGGACGGATTTCATGACGGTCCTGATTCTCACCCACTGGCTGGGGATTGTGCCCAGCGTGCATCCTGAGGCTTCCTCATCAGAGTCACTGTACATCCGCTCTATCCTGCGTGCATGGAGGCTGGGGTACGTGAGGTCAAGGCCAGCGCTCTTATTCCCCATTTGTGTACTTGTGGCAAGACCCAACTCCCCTCCACCATTCTTCACGAAAGCAACGTCTTCGTTTAGGGCAAAGCGGCTCAACTCGCTGTGTACTATTGTCAACGACATCGCGAGTCCTGCAGATTATGGAGTAGCTATGGAAAGGTAGAAGCGCGGACAGTGCCACCTCTCAGTCAATTCTGAAAGAAGAACGGTGACTTTCGCGAAGAAGAAGGGGATACACGGATACGTTCACGGATCACTTAAGTACAGGAGGCCCTAAAAGAAGAAGAAAAAAACAAGGGGGGCGTACTGTCTAATTGCCTTGCTCGAGATGCCATGCTTCGCGCTTCACCCATTTGCGTTCCAGCTTCAGGCTCAGGCTAGGAGCGTGCCTGCGCTTCTGCCCAGGCCACGGTCAGTTCCTTTCAGCACCCCCATGTGGTCCGTGACTGGTCGCTATGCACAAGTAGAGGGAGGGAAAGAGTTGATGAGTACCCAGATTTTGCTGGTCAGCTTGCACTATTATTTTGAATGCCTGGTCTTGGGCGATTACTTGTAAAGCCTCTCCACGTGTGGGTGCATGCTTCCAAGTTCTCATGCCACCCGCCGCACCTTGTGGGGCCCGTGGTTTCTGCCACCTTTGTCGATGTACACCCACGACACTCCACATGAGAACTAAGATTACGGACTGGTTTGCTTGCATCAGTATTATCAAGGCTTGAGTGATCTTAACTTCGCACCGTCCTTGCATCGTCGATTGCTAGCGCCATGTTCGGTCTTTTGGCCCAGTCCCGATCAGTGACATGACCTATTAGAGATGGTTCAGCATTTGAGATTGCTAGATCGCGGGTTTTGAGCAAGTGCACGGGTGGTGAGATCCTCAACTTCTCATCAGCCAACGCTGAAGTGTTCCCACCCAGGCTTGCCAGGCAAGTCGGGCAAGTAAAAGGGTTACCGCAAAACCAGTCTACCTTGCCACACTGGAGTATGATGTCACCAGCCACTAAATTTGATAGGGGTTATACTTCCAGATCCATACCAAATGAGTTCTTCATATCTCAAACGGCTCCAGAGCTGTATTATTAGTGGTTACCATAGCTGTTTGCCAGACTTGATAGGGTAGGTTGGTTTTGCGGTAACCGTTTTTCTTGCCCGACTTGCCAGGTTCCGCCAGGCTCCATCCCCCAGACAAGGAGGAGGTAGACCTGAGGTCACAGTGTTTCGAGAACGGCAGCCTCCTTCCCAGTCGGGACAACGGCATCCGGAAAGTCTATTGATTCGCCTCTTCCCATGACCGTTCTTTCCCAGCAGCTTCTCAGCTCGGGCTGGGGCGAGGAAGCTGGAAGAGTAGAGGATTCTTCAAAGTAACGAAGTGGGAGGTCCGGAAACGGATCCATGGATCCATTCCATTGTACTATATCAATGTACAAGTATTCCTCTTCTTTGAGAGTCCCTGAGAAATTACTTCATGTGACTGGTCAATTGATGAGGGGCGCTATCCCGATCCCGAGCACCGCGCACTTTTCTTCGTCTTTCTATTGCTTGTATGTACAAGTATAATATCAAAGCCATTAAACGATGGGCAATCCAAGAGAAGCATGGGTCATGGAGGGGATACAGGGACGCGCAGAGGCCCAAGCTCGGTCCCTGTCTTGAGCCTGGTTAAATATAGCCCGAATTTAGCTGAATTTGGGCAAGGGAGAGGAATATGTGTTGCTACCAGTTTTCCGCACCCTGCTCCCGCTTCGTGTTTTACTGCAAAGGGAATAATTGCCAGCGTTCCATGCGCGTGGTATATTATGCCATTCACCAGTGCCTCGGCCTCGAGCCCGGCCACGACTTTGGACGGGATCATTGGATTTTGATGTACGAGGTACACGACTTTTGCCTACCTGTCTCATCAAGTCACTCGCATTGAACGGTCCCCCAATTGATCAACTGATGCTGGAGCAGATCTCAAGTATAATTGTATACAGTGTCAATAGAACATTGACTGGCTTCTCCCTTCCCCCTTTCCTCATTGTCCTCCGTTATCAATGCTGATAAGTATTCCGTGAAGATCACTACACAATATGACCGAGATCCGCACAATCATTCCTCGTTCGCCGCCCGGGGTCCAGCTTTGGGGGCTTGATGGCAACCATGTACAAGTACTATTATTGAATACTATCCGCTTGCTCGACATGGGACCTTCTCGGTGATGGCACCAAGATGCTTGGCGTCGTGCAGAAACCCTTGCACCTCTGGTGTAGTGATCCCCTCCTGAGCTGTGCGCTGAGAGGTTGATCAAAAAAGGGAGGGGTTTTCTTTCCTCCTGGGCCGTGGGCTTCGGGCTGTGTGTTTATCGTCTCGCAGCGCGATCTGGGATGCTGCTCCTCGTCTCCTCTCCTCGCTCGTTCATGGGGCTTTCCTGCAGGATTTTTGCATCGAGCGGGGATGCATCTGGGCCTTCCCCAGGTTGCACAGGCAGCACCAAGAATGGCACGACTGGTCTTTTCCTGGCAGGAGCTCTTGAAAGGCACCCCGTTGTTCTGTCCGGGCCAAGCAGTGGTCGACATTACGCGAATGTGTCGAAAGCCCCCTTTGAGCTCTTATCATTCGCCAGATTGGCCTGTTCCTTCCACCACTTCTTCGTCCTCGACAGCTTGGGTTTCGCTGTATCGGCCGGGGTAAACGGAACTCGGGCTGAGCTGCTTCCCGTTTCTGAGCAGCTTGCTCCCCTGCTTGCTGGGTGGCAGGAGCCAACCTCGATGCTGCTCTCCGTGTCAATGAGATCCACAAAGGTCTCAACGTAACGGTTTTCCATCCACCCCAAGCAGGGGCTAGTCTGTCCGCACCACCCCAGTCGCTCCCAGCTTTGTGTGTGACCGGCCAATCACTCTCAACGCCTACCTCCACCCTCCCCGCCAAGGAGCCGCTGGGTTGTTGACGATGTTGTCGCCGGCGAAAGGAACCCGTCAGCCATCCCATCCCCCTCCCCGACCAGCCAAGGCGGCCGGGTTCTCTTGAGTCCTTCACGACCACAGCCATTTGCAGGGTCTTTCGACCCGGTCATTTTCCCGTCTTGCGAGATGAGAAACAGGTAGGACCGTCGATCGGGGAGCCACGGAGGGAAGCGTGAAGAGATCGGTCGAGGCTGTTGGCGAGGTTGACACTAAAAGTAATGATGTACAGGGATTATTGCTTTCTTGCAGTGCAACAGGCCCAATTCCAACAAGACAGTAGTGATACATTTGTAAAGGTACGGTGTACCGCGCTGTCTTGCGCTATTGAATATGCTTCTCTCGTCCGTTGCGATTCCTTCTCCTGATTCGCGCCAATCCCCCAGCCTTGTACTTGTAACCGCACCCCAATCGATATTTCTCCCTCTCTCGCCCATATTTTGATCCCTCTCGTTCATGTTGACGCGCGATCTGTTGAGGCTTCTCGTGAAAGGAACGGAAGAAGAGATGCTATGGGCAATTTTTTCTCTTCTATCTCCAAGTTCTCATCACTCTTCGTCGCGTATGAGAGGCATCGGAGATTTTTGATCCCCTGTTGGGCTAAGGAGCGTAATAACCCCTATCGTTTGTGGCGATGGGCTCGAGCAATTGAGGGATCTCTCCTCCCCCGCTCAAGTCTCCGGCCGCCTCCACTCTTTGGAATTCGCTTGTATTACAAGTACGAAGTATCAATCCTTGCCTCGGCGTCGTGGCTTCAAGCTGCCACCAGCCTCCTCACAGATCACAGATGCAATCATACACCCACACTTGCTGTCATGGTGGGCTCACGCCAACCGTGGTCATCTGGTATTATTAGCAATTCTCGGCCGGAAAATGGGAGCACTTCATCCTTCCCTCCTTGTGACCAGCTTTTATTGTGGCACCTCATCATGGGCTTCCTTGGAGCCCGTCCGGGCCTCTAGGTACACTTTGGTACCCCCTTTCAGCTCAGTAATGACAATCTCTCCGGACCGTACTTGTATCAATTTACGGTTTCCAGGAATACATATTTCAAGTTAACGGAGTGGGGAGGCTTGTACAGGTACCTCGTGGGCTCTGTACAAGGGCCTGCACATGGACAGGCTCCACCTGCGAAACCATCCCGAGGCGTGTCTCCTTTGGTGGTTACTGGCAACTGGACTGGAGTCTTGGGCCTTCTTTTGAAAATCGACCGACTCAATGGCTATCAAAGTCGAGATCGAACAGCGCTTTCACCAGCTGTGAACACTAGCGAGCCTTTCATTTCAGACCTCAAGCCAATAGCAGGGCCTGTTGCCAATACTCTGGTCCACATCTAGACTGGGTGATGATGACATGATGCCCGTCAAGCCGTGCCAACTCCCCGGATTTTGACACTACGAGGTAGCATACGACACTATTGTCAAGCCGCCTTTAGCGGAAAGCTTTTAGCATCGTTGCCGAATATCAAATGCAATGCGGTGGACGGTGGTGGATGGCTGGCTCTGCATCCAGGGCCTGGGTGTGGCGGTACTCCGGAGGTTACGATACCCCGTCGCCGCCATGAAAATGTACCGTGGTGTCCCAAACAAGCCATCAAATGATACATCCACAGATACGTTCACGTACCCTCGATAAATTGCGAACCCTGTCAGGGATCAGCAAACTTCATTGCACCGACGCACACCAACCACGGTGAGAGGGGTTGGGTTGGAGTCCATGCGCACCCGCCCTCATCATCACATCAAGATATCCTAGTTTCTTAGTGCTCTCTGCACAATCTCCTTCTCACCACCATGCTCTGCTTTCCTGTCTGTCATCTATGTCTCGACCCAAACTGTCTTACATTCTCCACGTCCACTCCGGAAGGAATGAGTGGTGCGGGGGTGACCGATTGCTGTCGAAGAAGTCCAGAAACGCCAGGGAACAAGACAACAGTGACATGGACTTGAATTAATTTTCAGGCTAGGAAAAGAGAGATTAGCATCAACATCGCGCAATCTCTCCTCACCAATCCTACGGCCTCCGTCCGCCTCCGTCCACTCGCCAGGACCAGCACCTCTGGGTCTCATAGTGAGAAGCAGAGTGACAAGTCCAAAAGCTGACCCGTTACGGCGGCGGGGCCACTCTATATGTCTGTCTCTCCAGGATGCGGTGGCTCACTAGTTGTGGAGAAGTAGGCTATATCGTTCGGTCAGAGATGATCCTTTCCTGAGGTTGTGCGATGAGCAAACACACAATGCCGTATGCAAGTAATCGAGGGGAAGGAGGAACGGCGGCGCTCGCCTTAGCTCAACCGCCATCATTGATACGCTAGCATCACGCGGCTTCTATGGAAGGGAGGGGAGGCTCAGTAACGGAGCAAAGTGAAGCGACACCCGAAATTCTGGGCTCTTGGCTCTTGTTTATCAGAGCACTCGGCACTGTATGGAGACGGCTCCCCACAAGGAAGAGTCACGATGTGTCCGTCCTGATCAAGGTGGAGATTTCAGGTTGGATGGACCACCTTGTGGCCTGAGGACGCCCCTTCTCTTTGCTCAACGCAAAACGGCGTAATAATAGTCGTTCGCTTTCGTGCCGTAGGGCGATTCGAGAGTCTTGGCTCTTTCCAACTGTGAGCCGAAATCCCGGGACAACCGATCCGACGGGGTCGCACCGGCCCTTTGGATATGCCCTCACCTCCAAGCCCCTCGGCCCAAAACAATTTTGTCCAAGGGACTGAAGCGTGCATTTCCTTTCCGCGTGAGAACCGGGAGTTCACAGAGCGCAAGAGCCTGCTGTATGAGTTGTTCTGGGAATTGGGCTGAGATTGGGTGACGGAAGCATTGCCGAAGTTTTCGGCCGGGTGAACGTCCTTCGAGCCTCGAAAGCCGAAGGAAAGGATGTAGAATTTCCTATTCTGGTGGATGATGCCCTCTTCCTTCAATCAGCTTCTCGGCGCCTCTGTGCATCCAAACACTGGCTCTGCTCTGGGTGTAAGCCTACTGGATATGGCTCCTCTCGTTTTCAATCAAGTTGTCAGCCCATGCACCAAGTGCAGAAGAGCTCGACTTTGAAGTAATACAATACAGAAAAGTGCGTGCCCAACATCCCTCAACCCAGCATCAGCCCATCCCTAGATCAGAGGCCGAGGCTGTCCATCCCGGCTCCTTTGCCCTGTCCATCGTTGTGTTGGAAAGAGAGGGTGACGTCTTCCTGATAAAAGCGTCTCCATTGTTACTTGGGCCTTGGGAAATGTCCCCGAAGCTGAGGTAATAATCGTATGGGGTAAGGGCTCGACAGCACCAGTCTGGTGATGGTGAACAAGCGCATTAAACTCCTGGTGAAGGGAGGATCCAGCTGTCTTGATTCACGATGCTCCTTATCACGCCGTGGACCTTGGGCTCCCAACTCACGTAAGCGGCTACGCGTTCAATTCAAGCCCCAACAATTCAACCTCGAAGCTGAAGCATAGATCCCGTGACCTGCAACGAAGATCGGGCGTTCGGGGCAAGAGTCTAGACCATGGAAGAAAGGGTCTTGATGTGCAGATATTCTCTGAAGAATTTAGCAAGGTGTCGCATCGTGTCGCCAATTTGTCCGAGCCTTCAAGGTATCGTTGATGCTTCAACGCACTTGGCACTATGGCATCCTTTACGAATTAACAAATCCCCTGGGAAGAATGGAGACTCCCATACCTCAGACGCCGCAAATCGAGCCTTTGATTGGCCACATCCTCCCGCCTCTCTGCACTTGAGCGCCGATTGGCACGTGCGCTGTGGGCAATTGCCAGGCTTTGCATCAAATTCACCCCAGGCTGAAACATCTCCTGTCAGGGACAGTGGATCAATTCGTTCTGGTCCTCCCTCGACGAAATGGATCTCGTTCGATGATACTGGCGCTTGGGGGCCACTTTGGGGGCCTCTCCCCTTCTCTGTGACCCTTTCACGTCTCATCCTGGGGTAGGGAAGGCCCTGGCCTTCGAGGGTGCACCTCTATGCCACGCACCCTGTCCCCTTGGGCTTCCCCTTCTTTCGCATGCCCTGCCCCCTCTCCGACTTACAACATCAATCCTTTGGGTGCCATCCATCTGCTCGCTGGTTCGGGAGTTTGTCGTCGATCTGGAAGCGGGCTTCATTCCTAACCTTACCTTCTTTTTTTCCTCATCCTCTTCTCATGTCTACATCGTAGGCTTTCTCTTCTTACCTAACCTTCTTTTTCTTTTCTTCTTTCTTCCCTTCTTTTGGTTGCGAACAGGCGTGTCGCATTGTCGCTGGCCGGATCCCCTCCCTTTCTTGTCAAGTCCAACGCTCGAGTCGAGGACCGATCCATCGTTCGCTTCCACTAGACGCCGGTCGTCCCTATCCTTTCGATTCCGATTTCTCTTCCGTTTGCGTCAAGTTTCAATTCTTCGAGTCTCGATTTACCCTCTCTTTCTGTCTCGAGTCTGGAACCGCCGAGTCGATTTAAACCTACCTAGCGATTCGAAAGAACGAAACAGGCGCTAGGGTAACGAAGCTTCCGCAGGCGTTTAACCCGGCTTTGGGGCCTACCCCCTCGACGACAAAATGGTCAACAAGATTCTCCTCGCCACGGCTGTCGCCGATATCCTCTTTCTAATCACGGGTGCCGCTCAGCTTGCGTTCGCGCTGATCGTGAAGAATGTTATGAACGAGGAGTCTGTTGAAGGCATGCAGGCTGCCCGAAACCTGCTCTATCAGAGGTTCCCCTCCAGGCTGGAATCATCAACGCCATTATCATCTTCGTGACTTTCGTCATCACGCTACCGGGTCTTATCACCCCCGCCCGGAGCTGGTTGAAGCTGTCCGGAATCCTCATCACCGTTTGCGGCCTCTTCACGCTCTGCATCGGTATTTTCTTGTGGATCCTCACTCTCCGTACCAAGGAGGACTTTTGGCAATCTGGATAGCTCAGCCACCTGCGGTCCAGGATTTGATGCAAACTGCTGTATGTCATTGCGCTCCCATTTTCCTTTTTTCCTTCCTATCCTTCTGCTTGATACCGGTCCGTATGGTATTCTGTGGGGAGGAATGTTGTCGTATGTGAGACTAACATGGGGTCTAGTTCGAGTGCTGTGGCTACTTCAACAGCACCTCCCCGGCCTTTGTTACGAATCCCAGCTGTCCCAGCCCCGCAGCTGCCGCTCTCATGCGTGGGTGCTCTGCGCCTGTTGGCTCTTTTGCCAACATCTTCATCGATGATGTCTTTACTGCCGTCTTTGGCATGGTTGGTACGTCGGGCCATATCACTTACACACATTTTACTACTTCTCCATTGCCATTCTAACAATAGATTGATAGGTGTTGACGCCCTCCTAATCTTGTGCATTGCCTGCCTCCTAAAGGACCGCAAGGAGCGAGAACGATACCGACACATCGATGAGAAGACCGGCTATACTGGTATCTAAGGTGCGGGCCAGGCCATTCTCTCGGCCTTTTACCCACCTTTTTGACCACACTCGGCCTTTCCAATCACCGGCGCACTTTACTTTCCGTGCATAGGACTAACTCGTCTGCGCAAAGAGCCGTTTCATCGACTTGTCTCGAACCTGATCTGTAGATGGTTGCGAATTCCTTTCCCTGTCTTGTCATGGCGGGAAACCAGCACGTGCCTTGAACCTTTTTTTTTTTTTGTTATATATACTTATACATATTACCTGTTCCGTTTTGACTTTATCTTTCCGGAAAGATTTCGTTTCATTTTCAGGGGCTTTAGGCGGCGGTAGTTTAGGTGGTGGGAGTAGTAGGAGCAGAGAGCCGAAGGCTTTTGAGGAGCCAAAAGGCCTGCAAGAAGCTAGCGAGGAGAATCAGTAATGTCTGGACGGTTCTACCAGTGGAAGAAGCGTGTTGACAAAGAGGAAGCACGAGCGTTCTTGTTTGATACCGCACGGATATGGAAACGTATGTATCCTATCTCGATATATAAAAAAGCTGCACTAGACTTGATCATGTGTTCCGCATGTTTTGATTCCATTTAACAGAAACCACCATCGCTGCCTTATTCGTGAGCGAGGTCAAGAGAAGGATAATGCATACGTCGCCAGCTGGGGCGTTGAACATCACCGCTAGCGTCAGACGGTTCCTACATGTTGATTGATTATAGAAGGTATTGACTAAGTCGGCCCGAAGTAGGTAGAGACTGAGGTGATTCTTGTAAAAAGACTGAATCAAATATTGATTTGTATATACCTTGGTAAACTAGGGTATATCATGTATATAGATGTATGAATTGTGTGTCTCTGCGCGTTGGAAATACGCATGCCACCAGACGCCCTTCGCCAGCTAAGATGTGGATATATTTCAAGTGCCAAGCAAAGCCAAGAAGACAAAGAGAAAGGTTAGGGAAAAGGAAAAAGAGGAAAAAAAGACGGTCACTGGGAACGGGAATTATGGATACACGTAGGCCAAAAGTGATCCGGGATCCGATGAGTGTCCAAGTGCAGTGCAAAGGAAGAAGAGCTTATAGCAAACTAATTACGTCCACGCTCACGCTCGTTAATCATACATGACCAGGAGGTTCAGACAGCGTCACTCGAGGAAGAGGGACCGTCGACGGGTCCAGGTGGCGGCCCGGTTGTGCGATGAGCCGAGTCGGTGCGGCTGTCATCCTCATTGCGAGGTGAACGCTGCTCGTCTCTGGAGCGCCGGGGCCATGCTACGCCGTCGGTGGATGTCCGGGAGGGGAGGCCTTGGACTTGTTCCACCACGCTAGCTTCCAGATACCGCCCATGGCATCTTGGAGCGCGCCACCTCCCTTTGGCTTGCGGGCCGTGAAACCCGGAAATCCCGTTGATTTCCGCCTCTTCCTGAACTGGCGGCGGGGAATCTGGGCCGGAACCGGGACCGGGCGCGAAGATGCCGCCGCTGCTGGCAACCCGTCGGGTCGGAGCAAGGAGATGCGTCGCTTCCGTCGCCGGAAGGGTGGTGGAGCGCCTCCGCGAGTGTTTGGGGGTGCTAGGCTCGTCGCGGTCTTCGAGCTCGTCCCAGATCTCCGCGCGCTCCTGCCACCTGAAAGAATGTCGCCGGGAGGGGCTCGAGGGCGATTCGGGGTCACGGGACGCAGTAGGGAATGTTTGGTACTGGGACGAGAAGCCTGATTCTTCGTCCAGTACGTCTGAATCTATGAGGAGTTCCTCCTCTTCCTCTCCTTCGGTATCTTCTACGAGGCCGAGCCCGGGTGCGAGGGAGGATTGTCCCACGCCCGGTGGGTGTTGCTCGTCGCTAAGCCTCCAGGATAGTGCGAGAACGCCCGTGAGGAGGATCACCGTGCCGAGCGTGATTAGGCATGCACGCAACGTGCTGATAAGGTTGGTCTGGTTGAAGTAGATCAGGCCGTCGAGGATAGCCATGATGTTGTAAATGCAAAATACTAACGGGTATAGGACAGAGGTTGAGACGAGCTTGAGCCCCCGGTGCAAGTAGTAGAGCTGGCTCAGAGCAAGGATAACGAGGGTAACGACGAGCATCCACGATTGCCAATGGACGAACTGGTTATCGCCGTCTACAAGGGTCTTGATGACGAGCTCCACTGCGGACTTGGCCACTAGGAGCGAATGCGCAGATAGAATGCCGCTGATGCAGCCAAACGCAAGGCCTCGGCCAAACCGGAATCGCGCGTTTTGCGAGACATTCGGAAAGATATTGTTGATAAACTCCGTGACTAGAGTTATGGTGATGATGAGGAAGATTTGGAATATCATCCAGCCCACGAAAGGGCCCCTCACTAAGAGCTCTAGAAGCTCACGGAGGTTGTGGGCAGGTGAAGGGATTGCCCCAAAAATGGCAATCAATAAGGCGCCACCGCACACCAGCAAGGTTCCCCAAAGAGACCATCGTGTGAACGGTTCGCCTAATATAAGGGTCGCACATATCGAGTTGAAGACGAGCCCCGAGGCTTGCAAAGTCGACAGGACGGGGAGAGGTAATGTCGATATCTGGATCGAACTTCCAAAGATATTGGCGATAATAAACATGGCCATGCCGAGTTGCCATCGACGTCGACGATGAGGTGGGCGGCGAATATCGTGGGGATCCTTCTCATCTTCGAGGATATGCGACTTTCGCTGCAGGGTTAGGCCTAAACTTTGTACGCTAGTAGAAACAAGGCCGGCTACAATTCCAAGCTAAGAGGGTGCAATAGAGAGGCACAGGTTAGAGAAGATCTTCGAGTTTGAACTTGGATAAGAAGGGGAGAGCTTACGGCGATACTCCCTCCCGGAGAGATGCCGCCGATGGGCCCCATTGCGCTGGATGATTCTCAGGTGTCATTTGGCAACTGGTCAACCCCCGTCTCGCCACGCTCTCGGTGAGTCGTGCGCTCGTTCGTATGCCAACGTGCAAAGGAAGCAGAATGAAGGTGAGGTGGGGAGGGGGAAGCAGAGAAGCGGAACAAGTGATCTCCTAGAGAGGCCAGGAAAAGCGACTGCTCCGAGGTTGGAGGTGGCTATGGAGGTCGATTTCGAAGATGTTGGAAGCGGTCAAGGTCGTCGGATGGCCGGTTCGCTTCTCGAAGTGGGCCAAAGGCACAATAAGGTTGCAGGGTGGCCTGACACACGGGTTCGCAAGGACGTAAAGAAACTGTAGATGCAATTCATATGCAGCGCGGCGGCAGAGGGCTCGTTTATTTGGGGATCGCCATGCTTTTTCTTTACTCTGCATCGTTGGAAGAAGGGGATGTGTCCGAGGAGTCTGGTGTTGTTGCTGTTTTGAAACACCCGCCAGGTACCGACATTTCGTCCGTCACTCTTTCGCGCGGGCTTCTCAGCATTTTACAAGCAACTAATTAAAGCCAGCGAGCGCATTGTTGCGTAGTGCCAACCCGCCCCCAACCAAGCCCAGCGCTCGCGGTACGTACCTCATATTCATCAATCAAGGAGGCTCCCCAAAATGAGCTGCGGGTCAAGTTCTGGTGAGCGCCTCAGCTCGGTCGTGGCGCCCCACGTGACCTTCTGTGGCGTTGATTTTGGGGGTGATGTCACTGGGTTTGCGGCGTTCTACTTGTAGCAAGCGCTGTTAGCGGCTCACAGTGTTCAATTTATTTGGGAGCCTGCGAGGGGCACTTGAGAAGTGGGCTGGGCTTCCACTGTGGCTGCCACCGAAAGAGGTTGCAAAGGACTGGCAATGGCAGATGACGAGCTTTCGAGGTCCCCTGCTCACCCACTCACTCCCACCTGTCGCATGCTAGTGTAGTTATCCGGAGGAGCACTCGGTGATACACCAATATATACTCTTTCAACTCTTAACCAGCTGTCGAGTTATTGCATGCGCTCAAGGTAGCTCAAATAATCTTGGTCTCGAAACCTTCTTCCCCTCTCGAGTAGCATCAGTGCACCGCTTCGTCAAGCTCGAGCTCCTCCCCTTTCCAACAAATCCCGCCGCATCCAACTCCGCCAAACTCCTCTTATCTCGCTTGAAATATCGAAAGCTACTCACGATGTCTGTAGCAACAGCCGGACCGTTGTCCGACTCCCAGGTAAATTTTGAGGCCCCATGCACCTTCTTTATGCTACCGGATTTCCCGAGGCGGGAAAAGGCCCTTATTTTTCTTATTGTCTGACGCTGGTGATGGTCTCCCAATCTGTGTAGGTCGGAGTCGAGCTCCGCAAGATGACCGAGTTCATCAAGCTCGAGGCCCAGGAGAAAGCCCGCGAGATCCAGATCAAGGCCGACCAGGACTTCGAAAAGGACAAGTCTGCCCTCATCCTGCAGGAGAAGGCCATTATCGACGCCGCGTACGAGAAGAAGTTTAAGCAGGCATCCATGTCGCAGCAAATCACCCGATCCAAGGCCAACTCCAAGGCCCGCATCACCATACTGGCTGCCGCTCAGCGAGTCGTTGATAACATCTTTGAGGATGCCGAGAAGAAGTTGGGCGAGGGAACCAAGGACAAGGGAAAATACAAGGAGACCCTTAAGAATCTTGTGCTTGAGGGACTCTATGCCTTTAACGAGAACTCGATCCAGGTCAGGGCAAGGAAGGAAGATTTCAGCCTCGTCAAGGAGGCTATCGAGCTTGCCGCGAAGGAGTTCAAGAAGACGCTCGATCGGGACGTCGAAATCGAGGTGGACGAGTCGAAGCCCTTACCGTCAGACAGGTAAGTCTCTGCCCGGTGCATTGTCGTCCTTTACCTTTGTTCCATCGCTGACCCGTGCGTCCTCTTCTTCCCCTTACATTAGCACTGGCGGTGTCGTTGTTGTTGGCGAAGGAGGGAAAGTTGTGATGGACAATACGCTAGATACCCGGCTTGAGCTTCTCAAGGAATCCGCCCTTCCAGCCGTGAGGAGGCCCTCTTTGGCGAGAACGCCAACCGCAAGTTCTTCGACTAAGTCTACCTAAGCAACAATGACTCTCTGCTGCTGCATCTTTCCACGCTCGGGGTGCTTCTGTCTCCTTTCTTTTCTTTCTCAATGTCTTTTTACTGTCCTTCCAAGAAATAGGCTGGTTTAGGCGGGAAATATAGCATGGGTGCCTTTGTTATTTCCTTTATTCAGATACTTTCTTGCAGTAGAGGGATTGTGCGCGTCTATGGATTCAACCCGGACTGAAACCCACATGAGGAAACTGATCTATACATTTTCCACATAAGCGCCACATAAACTAGCAAAGCGATTGCGGCTCCGCCCTTAAAATCAACCTGGTGGTCCTTCAAAGGTGTTCCCCAGTTCTCCAGACTCCGCCTTAAAAACCCAAGGTGTGTCGCCAAGCATCATGGTGCATCATGGTACATCATCATCATCTTCATCCTCCCAGTGCGTTGTGGAGGCTGACCTGACCCCATCAATGCGTGTATTGTTTTCTTCTTTTGAGGGAAAATTTCTCACGAGGGAACCCTTATTGATAAGAGAGTACGAGCTCAGGAGTTCTTGGCCCCCATAGACCGGCCTTGGAGGAAATGCTTCATGTAGTTCTGCTGTTTCGGAAGGCTAGGGTCCGGCATAGGTTGGCCTGGTATGTCGTAGATGCTGATCTTTGGCACCGGCTTGGAACGGACAGTGTACGTGAGCCGTTCTCTGACCCATTCCATGGCCAACTTCGCTTCCATGGGGAAAATGGACTTCATTCCCGCATCATTGATACTCCTAGCCAGCTCTTTCAACAAGTCAACTATCTTATCAATTTCCACGTCAAAGGAGTTCCTAGTAATATCATGCTGTAAAGGGTCAGAGACGTCCGACTCGAAACCGGAGTCGATCGTCATATCGAGCAACAAGATAAGCGCTCTAAGTTCTACATAATCTGTGTTTGACCGGACCTTGAATTGGCTACTTTGCAAGCGTTTTTGAACCTCTGCCAGCGTGAAGGGAGACAGGGCTGAGCACTTAGCAAGAGCCACATCGTCGAAAAAGTATACTGCAGCCATTCGCCTCCTCAGACCATGCATTACCATGGTGGCGGTGGGCAGATATTGGAGAGACCTAAGACGCATAGACGGCGAAGTAAAGGAGTGATACATGGTGGAAATGAGCTCGAGGAACTTTCTTTGTTGTTAGTGCGAGAAGAGGATTAGGTGTGTACGGGGGAAGGTTTCAACAAAGAACTGCCGGGGGTGGGGGTCTAATACTCACGACGCGATCCGTATCCTCCGAGGCGAGGGTAGATAGGAGCTTGGATAAAACATCCCGATGCGTCACCAGCACCTCGGGACTGCTTAGGAGCTCAGAGTCCACCGCCATAGCAAGGAGGAGTTTTGCAAGGTAGATAATCGATTCGGTCGAAAGTTGTTCGGACACGGCCATGATCACGTTCAATATCGAACATAGACAACTCCAGTCTCTATCATAGAAACCATCTGCGGGAACTGGCACTGCCGGGAGCTGATCCGTGCCTTCTAGAAGCTTGATGCTTTGAGTGGCGCCGAGACGTAAGAAGAGGCCTTCGAGATACTTTGGGGTCAACCTGAGGGAGATTGCATCGCTCTTGAAATATCTCATCAGCTCCCACATTTCGTCTCTCCGGATCCCGGATTTCTCGGTGCAGAGCTCGTCCAAAAGCCAGAGGAAGAGATCGTCTGGGAGGGCAGACCTGGAGATGTGCAGGGCCTTGTTTAGTTTGGTTAGGTCTAGATCTTTAGCATTTTTGCAGATCGATCTTTTCCCGAGAAGAGTACTGACGGTCCTCGAGGGGAACGGCTCACGATTCGTGAGGCGGGTACTAGCGGTCTTGTTGAAGAAGAACCAGCCATTTCGTGTCGAAACGGACTCGGTACGCTCGACGGCTCTGACTACCTTGTCGAGTCGATAATCGTGTTCATCACCTACAGTGGCCTCGAGGGTCCGACGCAGCGAGTCTCCCGCTAGTCTTGGCTCTGTCTTTTGGTACTCGCGTCCCTTCCCCGTTGGTGGAGTCGAGATAGACTTGCCTCGATGTTACTATCCTTCTTTGCGGCGTCTAGCAGGTCTGCCATCTTGAACTGCGGCTCTCGAGGCTGGTTGGTAAGGGGGAAGAAAAGATGGAATCACCCCTAGGCCGTTGCGGGGTAGAAACGACTCCCGAAGCAAGCCTATTTTTGGTTGGTGTAATGGGGTTCACACGTCTGGCCAAGAGATCCTCTAGGGCCTCGAACGAGGCGTCACTCTCATCGTCGTCGTCAGATGCAGCAATGGTGATGTCTCGGCTGACGGGCTTCCTAGCGGTAAGGGGGTGGTGGGGATCGGGACGATTCCGGCCCTGACCGGTGAGCTCACGGCCGCGAAGACTTCATCTTCGTCATGAGGCGCTGTTCTACGAGAGGATTGGCTTGGGAGCGAGGGCTCCGGAGGAGTGGGTGTGACGGAAAAGCTGCTCAGGGCACTTGAAGAGGCCTGGGATGAGTTGGGGCCTTGCGTGGACCTTTGCACAGGTGCAAAGTAGCTCCTGATAGTGCCTGAGGTCGCCGCCTTTTTCTCGGCGCCGGAGACATGGCTTCTTGCGGCCCAATGGTGGTATCGTTAAAGAGAGAAGGCGGCTGGGGTTAAAGATCGAGTCCAAGCCACGCTTGAAGCCACAGAAGGACCCTCCAGGGATGGTGGTCCGAAACAAAGGGGATGGGCCCAACCCGATGTTTAGTGTCTATGGTTGCGTCATTCGTGTATGGCTTTGTGTAGTAAGGGAGGCTGGAAAAGAACATCGAAATCCTTTCTTCTTCTTCCTAAAGTGCGAGTTGGACGAGGCTACATGGAGTCGCGAATGACGGCGGCCGCGGCGAGGCGCGTTGGGCGGTCATGTACACCAATGATCATAGATGGCTGTGGTTAAGCGTGGGGCTATTTTTTTGGCGGCGGTACGACCAAAATTTCTAAATTTACCAGCTCCGCCAGCTGATCCAACTCGCAACTCGTGCTCCCGTCATCCTACTGCGGTCAGAACTACACAGCACAGCAATTCACACCTTAATCGAAGCTGATAGTGATGGAATCGGTGTACCATACGCTTCGTAGTCCGGGGATGTCTTTCTTTCTTCGTGCTTCTCCCCATTTTATCTTCGCATTATATTTTATTCTGTTTTAATCTTACGGCGAGCTATCTCGAGATGTCTACGATGTTTTCAGTCGAGGGCGAGCCGCTAGATGCATCGTGCACTCATCAAATGACACACGTAATTGTGGGTTTAGCCTCTCCTTGCGACAAGGTCTGTTGCGAAGTGATTGATGCATCGCATCTAGGTTGAAGAGGACTGATCCTTCAACTTCAATGTTGCGAGTGTTCGCATTCTCTCCCCACTTGATGCCGAAGTACCCCCGACCGACTCATTGAGCGTCATCAGTGGCAACTACCACCGATGCTCGCCAGTCGATCCGAGTGTCAATTGATATCTCCGTTTCATCTCGCTCTTCTAGGCCTTTGTTCTTTGTTGATTGCAGTGAGCGCTCAAGGGACACACTGCTGGAAGCTGTGGAGAAGGCGAACGTTGATTGATTGATTCCTTCGCATCCTGGCCCATTGAATTCTCTTCAAAGTGCAGTTTCCTCCGACCATTGGCTACGTCAAATGGGCTAATATCTAATAAGCTTATCGTCATCTCGAGAGCTGAGGGGCCGAGTCGGTTATTCCTTCTGACCCGGTGATCCGGCCGTGCTGAAACTCAATGCCCTCCTTGGACAAGGAGCCGATCTTGGTCCCCCACACTATCTGAAGCTGAGAGGAAGTTTTGTGGCGGCCCGGGAGGAAGGGTTCCTGGGATGTGAGGTGAAGGCACAATTCTGGGTAACAGGCTGATATGATCACCTCCTAAACCTCCAGCTCTAGGATAATCAAGCAGGATCCTTCCATGGGAGAGGAAACGCTTATCAGGACCTCTGCACTTGCCCGGCCGAATGTGTGTGGTCCTCTCTCTGTTCATAGGAATGGGGGAGGGGGTTGGTGAAGAGCCAGCCTGCACCAAGGGACTCGCACCAACAAGAGACACTTGACCGCAGAACTCACTGAAGTACAAGTAGCTTCTGACAGCCTCTGCAAGGCGGCTTCGACCAAAGGCGGCAAGCTTGTGCCGTTGTGAATCAACAGCTCGCGGGCCCCAACCACATTGGGCTTGGCGTTATCGTCGTGAATCAAATCTGTCAGGCTTTCACAATTATTGACACCACGAGGTACGTGCACGGCCAAAGGTCAAAAGGAAGGAAGAGGAGGAAGGGCCAAAGAGAAAAAGGAAAAAGAAGAGAAAACCAAGGAGAAGGAGGCCAGACCAGCCCGAATACTCGTTCCTGCCTGTTTCATGTTTCACCCCAGGTCAAAGGAGGAGGTTGCACACCTCAGGGCGGAATTTGGGAAACTTCGCAGCACAAAGAACAGCCTCGACCACATAAACGTAACCCTCCGAAACTTCAGATGGACGCCTTTTGTGCTCGGCCATCCACATCCGCACTATTTTACCCAAGCGCGTCAAAGTGTTTGCAGAAAACACCATCCCAGATTTATAAGCGAACGGGCGGCCCAGTTCATCGCATGCTGGGAGACATAGGCGGTCGCTGCGAGACTCGGCCAGGCTCATAACTTCGGTAGAAAGGGCCTAGATACCCCAAGTTGAGGAGACGAATTGAATATTACTCCTGTTGGTGGAGGCTGGTTTGTTGTGTTTGCCTTGGCGTCGGCGAGTGGTGAGCACTTGTCTCCGATGGACCCCATACTGACTCGAATGCACCTCTGGGTATTACATGCAATTCCTGGGTTCGTTTGAGTAGAGTGGAGGTGATTCTTCTTGAGCGCAAGCTGATGGGTTAACGTGACTATCAATAGCGCCCCTAAAAGACGGGAAGACGGGCGATGGCCGTTTCCTAACCATTTCTTCTCTCTCGGATGATACTTGGTAAATTATATTACTCCAACACCTTTGGGGGTCCGGTGAGAGAGGGTGAAGGATGCAAAACAACGAAAGCATTGGAAACATATGTGCATGCAGGGATGCCTCAAGAGCCCGGCTATGGAATGGACTTGTGCAGGTGCATGGATCCACCCATTGAATGAATTATCAATCATCAACCACGCATGTGCTTTGATGATGTGAAGAAGACAGAAACGGAAGCTATCGCTGCTACGCAGGCCATGCCCCATTATTACTTGTTTGTCTGAAGCACTTTCACATTCTCCATCGACACGCAAGAGACACCATCACATCTGCTCAAGCAGAGGGAGGAGGTCATGCGCAAGGCCACAAGAAAAGGCCTTGGCGCATCCTGATCGGAGGGGTGGTTCTCTGTCGATAGGTGGCATCTTCTGGAAACCGTGGAAGCGAAAGTGGCCATTGACTCTCGGCCTCGTACAAGATGCTCATATTAATTTCTACTAGCCCGAAGCGGTATGGGCGACGGCAACGCGGCGGGCATGGGCTCTGCGACGGGGTTTTGCCAACTCTCCGCAACGTTCGTCGGCGCGGTGCGCCTGTAAAGCCCGCCCTCAACCGCCCATCTCATTTCGAAGCTTCTCGTTGACCGCCGGTCCTGTTCCATCGCTGATCACAGGCAGCATAGTTTTTAAGATTGAGGATGGAGGCTGGGTCAAGACCGCGCGCCGTCACCATATCCCTTGATTAATGGACCCCTACTCCCTTGACGCTGGCATGCTGGCATGCTCGCTGTTCATCGTGGGAGCGATGGAGACCGGTCCGCTTACCTTGTTGAGAACATTCCACGATTTGTAATGCCACCTTGCCTGTTGTAGAGGAGAAAAGTTCCCCACGCCATCGGGCCGGGCTGTTGAATAGCGCTGCCCTAGGAATGTAAGCGTGGGAAAACGACGATGGTCACCAAACGAAGGCGGAAGAGCTAGCAACTTAAAAAAAAAAAAAAGAAGAAAAGAAAGACGGGGTTTAAAAGGCCAGCTGCGTTGCACGGCGATAGCTCGTACGGCCTATACCACGGCGTGATCGCGACAGGGGTGGCGGAGTAGAAGTGTACAACGACTGGAGAAGAGTCTCTCCTCCTCCTCATCCGATATCTACCAGGGATTTGGATGAGGCACTTTGGATGCAGAACTCTCTCTCTCTCTCAATCGAGCAATTCGGACCATACAAGGACGCACCCCGAATTCGAGCCCTTCATCGAGGTGTGGTTGGATGTCTTGAAGAAGCGGTGCGTGTCAGGGATAGGGTCCGAGCCACCTGATTGATGGGCTGGTCAGGGACGCTATTTATTCTCATGCTCCGTTATTAACGGGTAAACCCAAATTTCGAGCACCTCGTCTTGGCACTTGGCAGTGCTTGATCCAAACCCATCCCCCACCCGCCCGCCCCCGACCAGTGCTTGAGCACACTATCTCTCTCCAGCTTGTTGGCTCGGTCTTTTCCCGAGCTCGTCGTTGATCGATCACTGAAACATGAAGTGGCCAGGCTCGACAAGATGTACATTTAGCGATCGATCTAGTGGCTGCGAGTTTAGTCCAATCTTTTCAATATCTACCTCGGTACATGTAGCTTCCACTGCACTTTTTAATGTACCTGGTACTTGCTGCTGGTTAACCCCGAAAAAAGGAAGAGAAATAAAAAACAGACGAGGGAAAGCAGTGCCTTGGGGAAGGGGAAAATGATGACGACGTCGACAGCAAGCATCATGGAAAGCCTACTTGGGTTCTGCTGCACCAGGGAGCTCAAAAAGGGGGCGTGGCTATCTTGCTGCATCAGCCCAATAGCGCAGGAGCACATGCTCCACGATGGCGCTTGATTCTTGTGGTCCACTGCTCGACCGCGTCAAAGGCTTGGGAGCAGAGCATCGGTGCGTTGAGCTATCTGATGATGCTTGTCGAATATTATCCCCTGAGCAGGTGAGTCAATGACTGAGTGGGAAAAAGGGGTGGGTGGGTTGGGGGTTCAGTGTTTCTTTCTGTGGCCATCCACGACGTCAATGAACCCTGGAATCTGGAACACCTAGGCCTGAAGGTTATCTGAACCGATGCCCAGTACAATTCGTATTGAACGCGAACCACTTACGCCCATCCGAGCAGGGCGGAGTGTACAGAAATAGCATGGTGTCCAGGCATAGATATCTCTCGAAACAGTGAGATCGCGTGGCACAAACCCCGAACATTCCTGCCTTCACATTGAGAGCAAGCCCCTGCAAGCTGTCGCGTCACCTACAAGTGCGAAGTGCTCATTAGAGCACAGGGTTTCGTTTTCCTGGTTCCTTTCCTCGTTCAATTTCCCTTCCTTTGGCTTACCCCCTCTCACGTTTATTTCCATCTTATGTTTGGGAGTGGGAATGGCGGCTCGACCTGTCCAGTCAGCCTACTTCGTACTTACTACTCCGTCCGGTTGATAACTGCAAGTGAAAGGTGAAAGAAGGGATCATTAAACGCGTTTTGACACGAAAGCTACGGAATGGAGCTCTAACCAAAAGCTGCTTGGATGGCGGCTGCGAGGGAACGGGGTCCGGGGAGGGACAAGACGGCTAGGATCTCTGATAATACCGAAAAACAGAGAAAAGAAAAAGAACTAAAAGAAAAAGAAGAAAAAGAAGAAAAAGGGAAGGAAAACAGACCAACGCTAGAGAAAGGAAAATGGAGAACTGGTACGAAGTACTGCGTACCTGATGGGTATGCGGAGAGGGATAAAAGGGCATTGAAAGACTTGGAGATAACACGCTCTGCGGCCACTCGACAAAGTAACTTTTGATTATTACGCGGACTCATTGAAGATCAACTCCATCCTCGGTCGAGTTCGTTTACTGGTCCCAGTTCCCCTATTCTAGTCTCGCTCAATTGGGTAAGCATGAAAAGATGTACCAGTGATCCGGCTCCGCAAAGTACCCCAGTTGTGGAAAGTACATAATAATACCAAGACCAACGTTGAAACCCCTTGACAGCCCCATTTGACGGCCCCCTTGGATTGCAGAAGGGAAGGAAATTGCCATGATCAATGGACCTCCACCTTATCCATCAATTCACCCATCAATTGATTGATGCACGAATTGCATGCGCAATGTCGTGTATGTATAGGTGTAGGCGTCGGCGTAGACATAGGTGTACGAAGGAAGGGAGGAAAGTCTCGGCAAGGACTTGCGTGCGCGACGGCTGTACCCAGCTTGAAGCGGATTGCCCATGAGCCCCTTTCACGTTCGCAGCAGCCGCTGACTGAACTGGGGCCTTTTGGGGACTGGTTGAGCAAAGCAAAAGTCAAGCTTTATTGGATCTAGATCTGGAGATACTTCCAAGTAGTATGTAGACGTCGTGTGTCCGCCTGTCTCTCTGGGTCTGGGTTGGTCGTGTACTTCGTACATCCCGGCACCGCTGGCGCCTTCTCACTCGTCTGCTCCCGCACCCCAAGTCCCAGACTGGCGCAGCGCAACAGTGTCCACTGCGCCAAAATTGCCTTGCTCCCCGGCCCTTCCGGACTTTGGGACACCCACTGCCCCCAATTCGACCATCCTTCGTCAACCCCTTCCAATTCCTCACCCCAAGTTTTGCGTGGCATCAAAGGGGGCTTGTTGTTTTCCCCATTAACCAACACCGCCCCGCGAGCAACGCATCTCAGCGACGTCGTCTTACTCCTTTCCCCCACCCCTTCCCTTTCATCTTCGTGCAGTCGTTTCCTGTATCTTGTCGTCGCTCCGGCCACACGGCGTTTTGGCTCTTTTTCCGATCCCTCCGATTTCCAGCGAGGCGGCGACAAAAAAGTTTAGTCCCCCCTCCTCCTCCCACCCCGAGATTTCCCCGAGGGCCACCAACTTTCTTGCACCAGCGGCGAACAAGGTTTGAAGCCTACTTAAGTCTTCGACAACCCCCGACAGGCTCTACGCCACGCCGAATTGACTTGGAATCCCCACCGGGATTTCTTATTTCTCATCTTTTTCGATCCCCATCGTCGAATACGCGAAGCCTTGTTTGCGGTTCGAACTCTCTTTTTCTTTCCACGACGTCGACAAGCGATTGAGCTCTGCACAGCATATCGAGGCAAACCTGGCGCGAAACCTCGGATCTTTCGGGCCATTGCCCGTGCTATCTCATCTGGAGTACAGGTGTCCTTGAACGGACCCGGTGCTAAAATAAACGCATCTCGCAGCGTCTGCCTCTCGCCTGGTGGTGTCACCAATTGACGGCTCCGCGAGTGAGCAACACTCAAGATGGCTGCGATACGCAGCGGTTTGAAGAAGTTCCCCTTTTCAATGGGGCCCAAAAGACTCCGACGGGGAGAAGGGAAACCGAATGTCTGCGGGAGGCGATTCCTTGCAAAATGGTGATGTAGACGGAGACGAAGCCGAGGAAACCAGTGGCAGGAAACTGTTTTTCAACCTTCCATTACCGAGTAATCTCGTCGACGAGACTGGCGCCCCATCCCAGTCCTTCACCCGAAACAAGATCCGAACAGCAAAATACACGCCGCTATCATTTATACCAAAAATCTTTGGTTTCAGTTTCACAATGTGGCCAATATATTTTTCCTTTTCGTTGTTATCCTTGTGGTAAGTTTGGAGTCTCCCCCATCCTTTGTGCTTCTCCTCCTGTCCTCCACCGCAGCCGTTTGGCTAGCGTGGTGTGAGGGTCGCTTTCTTCACCACGGCACCTCGTCTTAGGTCAAAACTAACGCACCTTTTCTTCCTCTCTTCCACTAGTTCTTTCCCATTTTTGGCGGCGTCAATCCCGGTTTGAACTCGGTCCCCCTCATCTTCATCATCACGGTAACTGCAATTAAGGACGCGATCGAGGACTCCCGCCGAACGGTTCTAGATAACGTCTTGAACAACGCCCCTGTTCACCGGCTCCAGAATTGGGAGAACGTCAACGTCACGGATGACAATATCTCTTTGTGGAGGCAGCTCAAGAAAGCCACGACCCGGGGTGTCGTGTGGCTATGGACCGCCATCAAGAGCATTTGGTCCCAAAAGGCCAAGGAGGCGCGCGCAAAGGCGAAGGAGCAGACCATGGCGGAGCCCCGCATGTCTGTCGAGACGCGCATCACTTTGCGTGGCTCCATGTTGTCTCCCTATCTAACCGCGACTCTTTTGTCTCTGCAAGGGAGTCCATTCAACTTACTCCGGTCCCCTCCCCCTCCCTCCCCCGAGGATGCCGACGCTCGCGAACGCCAGCGTGCCATGATTGTTCGGTCGATGAAGAAGGACATGGTGAATCGCAACAAGCCAGCTGAACGGAAGGCTCGCTTCCACCCTAGTACCTGGAAGGAGTTGAGGGTTGGCGATTTTGTTCGCGTCCACAACAACGATGAGCTGCCCGCGGACATCATTGTCCTCTCCACTTCGGGTGCTGAAGGCACCTGCTTTATCGAGACCAAGAACTTGGACGGCGAGACCAATCTCAAGTCCCGGTCTGCCCTTCAATGCGGCCAGACTATCAAGCACGCTCGTGACTGTGAACGAGCAGAGTTTTGGATTGATAGCGAAGATGCGCACCCCAATCTCTACAAATATAATGGCGCCATCCGATGGCGGCAGCACCTCCCCAACGACCCTGACGGCGAACCGGAAGAGCTGACGGAACCCATCGGCATTGACAACCTGCTGCTCCGAGGCTGCACTCTCCGCAATACCGAGTGGGCCCTGGGCGTCGTCATTTTCACTGGTCACGACACCAAGATCATGATGAATGCTGGTGCGACGCCTAGCAAGCGCGCCCGAATTGCTCGAGAGCTCAACTTCAACGTCGTCTGCAACTTCGTCGTTCTGTTCGTCATGTGCCTCGTCTCCGGGCTCGTCAACGGCGCCACCTTCGCAAAGACGGATGCTTCGCATACCTTTTTCGAGTTTGGGTCAATTGGAGGAAGTCCAGCCATGAGCGGTTTCATCACCTTTTGGGCCGCCCTCATCTTGTTCCAGAATTTGGTTCCCATCTCGCTCTATATCACCCTGGAAGTTGTTCGTGTTTTGCAAGCCATCTTCATCTACAGCGACGTTGAAATGTACTACGATAAAATCGACGAGCCTTGTCTGCCAAAATCCTGGAACATCTCGGATGATGTTGGCCAGATCGAGTACATCTTCTCCGACAAGACCGGCACCCTCACAGAAAACATCATGGAGTTTAAGAAAGCAACGATTAACGGCCAACCGTATGGCGAGGCGTACACCGAGGCCCAGGCCGGAATGCAGAAACGATTGGGTGTGGACGTGGAGAAGGAGGCTGAAAGGGTTAAGAAGGAGATTGCAGAGGCTAAGCAGCAGACTCTGAAGAGGTTGCGAGAGATTAGCCCGAACCCTTACCTTCACGACGAGGACCTCACCTTCATCGCGCCAGACTTCGTCTCGGATCTTGCCGGCGATACGACCAAGGAGCAGCAGCAAGCGAACGAGCGGTTCATGTTGGTCCTAGCGCTGTGCCATACCGTTATCCCCGAGAGGATATCAGGCGACAAGCCCAAGGTCATCTTTAGAGCACAATCTCCAGACGAAGCCGCTCTTGTTGCGACAGCGCGAGACATGGGCTTCACCGTCCTCTCCACGGCGAATGATGTCATGGACGTCGATGTCATGGGCGAGCAACGACAGTACCCGATCCTTAACGTCATCGAGTTCAACTCTACCCGAAAGCGCATGAGCTCCATTGTCAGGATGCCCGACGGCAAGTTGATGCTCTTCTGCAAGGGTGCCGACAGCATTATTTACTCGAGGTTGAAGCGTGGCGAGCAAAAGGAGCTTAGGCAGGAGACGGCAAAGCACCTCGAGATGTTTGCACGAGAAGGTTTGAGGACGCTCTGTATCGCCGAGCGCGAGCTCTCGGAGGATGAGTACTATGCATGGAAAAAGAAGCACGATCAGGCCGCCGCCGCCATCGAGAACCGAGAAGAGAAACTCGACGCGGTCGCTGAATTAATTGAACAGGACTTGATGCTCTTGGGTGGCACGGCCATCGAGGATCGTCTCCAAGACGGTGTTCCCGACACGATTGAACTGCTCGGCACGGCGGGTATCAAGCTCTGGGTACTGACAGGCGACAAGGTAGAGACCGCCATCAACATTGGCTTCTCATGCAACCTGCTCAACAACGACATGGAATTGATCCACCTCAAGGTGGACGAGGACGAAACTGGAGAAACGCCTGATGAGACATTCCTTGCTACCCTCGAGAAGGAGCTCGACGACCAGCTAAAGGTCTTTGGCCTTACGGGCAGCGACGAGGATCTGGCCGCGGCTAAGAAGAATCACGAACCCCCGGCCCCGACCCACGGTCTCGTCGTCGACGGCTTCACTCTTAGATGGGTTCTCCATGATGACCTTAGGCAAAGTTCCTTTTGCTCTGCAAGCAGTGCAAATCGGTTCTCTGCTGCCGTGTCAGCCCCGCCCAAAAGGCGGCCGTCGTCTCCATGGTTAAGAACGGCCTTGACGTCATGACGCTCTCGATTGGCGACGGCGCCAACGATGTTGCCATGATCCAGGAGGCCGATGTCGGTGTTGGCATCGCCGGTCTCGAGGGAAGGCAGGCGGCCATGTCGTCTGATTATTCTGTTGCGCAGTTCCGATACCTCCAGAGGCTCGTCCTTGTGCACGGGCGTTGGTCTTACCGGAGGTTGGCGGAAACCATTCCCAACTTCTTCTACAAGAACATGGTGTGGACGTTTGCCATTTTCTGGTACCAGATTTACTGCGACTTTGACCAGACGTACATTTTCGAGTACACGTATATTCTGATGTTTAACCTGTTCTTCACTTCCCTCCCGGTCGGCATCATGGGTGTCCTCGACCAGGACGTGTCGGACAAGGTTTCGCTCGCTGTACCCCAGCTTTACCGACGCGGTATCGAGCGCCTGGAGTGGACGCAGCGCAAGTTCTGGTTCTACATGATTGATGGTGCCTACCAATCGGTCATGGTGTTCTTCATCCCCTACCTCGTGTTTATCAGCAACTCGTTTGTCACGTTCAACGGATTGGATGTCGCGGATCGAGTACGGCTCGGCGCGTATATTGTCCACCCGGCCGTCCTCACTATCAACGCGTACATCCTCATCAACACGTACCGATGGGACTGGATCATGCTTCTCATCGTTTGTCTGAGCGATCTCTTCGTCTTCTTCTGGACGGCCATCTACTCGCAGTTTCCCAACGCGAGCAAGGGTGTCTTCTTTGGACTCGCCGGTCAAATTTACGGGCAGCTTAGCTTCTGGGCCGTCTTCCTCATTGTGCCGGTCATCTGCCTGTTCCCTCGATTTGCCATCAAGGCCATCCAAAAGGTGTACTTCCCGTACGACGTTGATATCATTCGAGAGCAGGATCTGCAGGGCAAGTTCAAGCATCTGGAGCCCACCAGCGACAGCAAGAGCTCCGACGCGAGCTCGGCCGTGGTCAGCAAGGCCGAGAGCATTTCGCCGGCATCATCGGATAGCTACAAGAAGAAGCACCAGGTCTATGGCAGCGTGGATGAAGAGCGGCGACCCATCTATCCGCCATCGGTGGTGACACAAAACACACACCATCGGCTCAGGAGCCAAAACGGCAGCGACGGCACCAACTACACAGGCCACCGATCTTCGTTTGACGATGCCTTTGCAGCGCCAGCGCCCCAGCGCATGTCAATCGACCGAGCCAGGCCGTCGTATGACCGCATCCGAGCATCGATGGACCGCGTCCGTCCTAGCTTCGAGGCGAGCAGCGACTTTACTTCGGCAGCGCGGTTGTCTCGCATCGAATCAACGCAGAGCGGAAGGTTCAGGCCGAGGCTACGGGGTTTGTCCCTTCACAAGAACAACCACCATCAGCATCACGACTTGTAAAGAATGAACCAGACGCGGCCCGCCACACCCGGAACACGACTCGAGCTTTCTCAAGCCCACACACGCACACTCCCGCACACTCATGGTGCATCTCTGCACCTTGTTCACACCCTATCCTTTCTCTCTCTCTCTCTCTCTCCCTCCCTTCTCAGTTTTTCATTTTGATTTCCGACTTCTGCGCTTTCATCATACATCTCTCATCTTGATTATCAACGACGACGACGACGCCGAGCGCGCCCTTTCTTTTTTCTCTGCTTCCTGTATCATACGGCATTTTCTCTTTGTTAATATGGCTGGTATATCATATGCTTTTTGGGGGTAGCACCTCACTAGAGGGGCTATAATTCTGCTTGTACAGCTTTATTATCTGTTGCCGAATTGTTGATATCCCGCACCGACATCGATACAAACACACATACCCATACATACACACACATGCACGCATTCTCATGCGCTGGCGTAGCTGCGCCGAGCCTGACACGGCGCATAGGCAAGCGGACCTGCGCGTCCTAGTCTTGTTCTTGGCCGTGCCGTCCTCCGCCCCGTTTTACAGTCTTATATCCTTGATTATATTTGGCGTTTTGGTGGGGAAACCGGCGCATTAGGGAGGCAAGAATGGCGTCTCATCCTGAGCATTTTCTTTTCTTGCGTCCTGTTTTCTTTTTGTGCCATCTTTGTTTTTTTCTTGTTCTGTCTGCTTTGCCTCCTTTGCTTGTTTTCGTTGCCTTGTATTACAAAACGTCGTTGGAGAACGGAAGGAGGGAAGCCGCCTCTCGGAGCCCTGTCCTATCTTGTCTTCTCGTAGTGGCTTTTGTCTAAAACAGAGATCTTCCACTTGCTATATTATTCCTTCTCCTACTATTCCAGCCAATTCTCGAGTTGGAATTGTGTAGCGATCGTGTGAGCTGGACAAATACAAATAGATATATACATATGCACCTATCTCTTGAAAACCTGTGATCGTTAAACGCTGCCCTTGGGACGCCGTGCACCCATCGTGTAGAAGACCTTGTGTATGCGAGGTTTCCCAGGCTTCAGTTCGGTATTTTCCCACCATTCTTTATCGGATCGTCAAAGCCACCGGGATCATGTTCTCTCAGGATGACCATCATCCCCCGAAGTTAAATGTCTTCTTTTATTGATAATAGCAAATATCATCCTGTCGTCCGATATATTCTGACTAACCTTTCCCCTGTGCTGCTGGCTTCGACAATCGGTCCGAGATTCAGCCGACGCAGGACCCTGACCGAGCGCTGCATTGTGTGGTGCCTGGGACGAGGATTTCTGGTACCTGAGATTGCTCGTTCATTGATCAATTGGTGAACAGCGGAGCGCAACGGCTAATTTGAGCCACTGCCAAAGAGCTCAACCACGCCAAGAGATAGGGGTCAGGACGAACCACCCGGACCAGCGAGAAAAAGAATTACTGGAATACTCGAGCTCACCAGCCTTGATCCTCGCCCCGATTCTAGCCCCAACTCCCTCCGTCGTCTCTTTCTCTCTCGCGCGCGCGACCATCAAGAAGAAGAAAAAGAAGCCCGCGAGGAACACGAAGAAGAAGAAGGGTGGCATTGAATTGTTCGCCGCCATGTCCGAGTGTCTCACGAGCTTCCTGCGCGAGCAGCTCGCCGAACTGCCAGAGGACTTTGTGTAAGCTTTCTTTCTTTTTTCCTTTTAGTCTAGCAAGCTCGATCGAGGCGAATTCGTCCTCCCCGCCCCTCTCAGGACCACATTCGACCCCTCCCGTCTTCTTCTTTGCTTGGAGATGTCCTATATCCTAACGTGCCGGCCGCCGCCGCCTCTCTTTGTCCAGTGTCAAGGTCCTCTCCGCCGTAGTCGCCTGCAGCATCGCCGGGCTGTTTGTCAAGATCCTCCTCTTTGGAGAACCCGGACCTAAACGATACACCGTGCCCCCGCCGAAGCTGCCGGATCAAGAGCGCATCGTTGACGAGGCCAACATTCGGGTAAGAGTCGCTCGCTTTTGTTCCCCCTTGCTGCCCTTCTCTGCACTCTTATCTTTTGTCAAACAAACCTCCCCGCCGTACGATCGGCCCCCATTTCCGCGGGGAAGAGACGAGAGACGTGGCTAATATTAGGGTTGGCCGTCTGGCCGCACTTCCCCGATGTCATAGATACCCGGATCGACAGCGCTCCAGTGCTACGCGCCCGCCACGGGCCAGTTTCTCGGCCTCATCAACCCGTCCACCGCCGACGGCATCGACCGTGCCATCGAAGCCGCCGCCGCGGCGCAGAAGAAATGGGCCACGACGACCTTTCGGGAGCGCCGCGCCGTCATGCGGTCCATGCTGCAGTACGTGCTGGATAACCAGGAGGAGCTGTGCCGCATCGCGTGCCTCGACTCGGGCAAGACCATGGTGGACGCGCAGCTGGGCGAGATCCTGGTGACGGCTGAGAAGCTCACCTGGACCATCAACCACGGAGAAAGGCCCTGCGGCCCTCGAGACGGCCCACCAACCTGCTCATGACATACAAGAGGAACGAGGTCGTGTACGAGCCCCTCGGCGTCGTGGCCGCCCTCGTGAGCTGGAACTACCCCTTCCACAACCTCATCGGCCCCGTCATCTCCGCCCTCTTTGCCGGCAACGCCATCGTCGTCAAGGTCTCGGAGCAGACCGCCTGGAGCGCCAGCTTCTTCGCGAGCGTCGCCCGCGGCGCGCTCGTCGCTCACGGCCACGACCCGGCCCTCGTCCAACCCATTGTGTGCTGGCCCCACGTCGCCCCCATCTCACCTCCCACCCTTCCATCTCCCACATCACCTTTATCGGGTCCCGTCCCGTCTGCCACAAGGTCGCCGCCTCCGCCGCCGAGGCCCTGATCCCCGTCGTCGCCGAGCTCGGCGGCAAGGATCCTTCCATCATCCTCGCGTCCGCCGCCAAGGACCTGGACCGCATCCACAAGATCCTCCTCCGCGGCACCTTCCAGTCCGCCGGCCAGAACTGCATCGGCATCGAGCGCATCATCGTCGCCGACTCCCTGTACGACAAGGTCGTCGCCCTCGTCGAGCCCAAGGTCAAGGCCATCCGCCTCGGCCCCACCGCCGACATGGGCGCCATGATCTCCGACGGCTCCTTCTCCCGCCTCGAGAACCTCGTCGCCTCTGCCGTCAAGGACGGCGCCCGCCTCCTCGCCGGTGGCAAGCGCTACGCCCACCCCGAACACCCCAAGGGCCACTACTTCCAGCCTACCCTCCTCGTCGACGTCACCCCCGACATGGAGATCGCCAACGAGGAGTGCTTCGGCCCCATCATGGTCATCATGCGCGCCCCCGCCCCCGCTCGCTCTGCCTCGCCCGCCGACATTGCCGACTCTATCCTCGCCATCGCCAACGCACCCGATTTCGGCCTCGGCGCCTCCGTCTTCGGCAAGGAATCCGACCCCGTCCTGCCCCTCGTCGTCCGCGGCCTGCGCACCGGCGGCGTTGCCGTCAACGACTTTGCCGCCTTCTACGCCGTTCAGCTCCCCTTTGGTGGCGTTGCTGGATCTGGCTACGGCCGCTTTGCCGGCGAGGAGGGCCTCCGCGGCCTCTGCAACGCCAAGAGCATCTGCCACGACCGCGCCCAGTGGTTGGGCATCCGCACTGGTATCCCCCTCCCGTCCAGTACCCCGTCAACGACCAGGAGCGCAGCTGGAGGTTTACAAAGGGTGTCGTGGATATGGGTTACGCGCTGGGCGTGGGCGGCATGGTTGCCGGCGTGTTTACTATTCTCCAAAACATGTAGACGCATGAGTCTTTTTTGGCTGCAAGGCGGTTGGCGAGGTGGAAGAAAAGAAAAGCAGTCTAGTAGTTCACTAAACGTGAATGAGTGATGCAAGGGGACGAAGAAAGCAGAACGGAGCAATTCAAGATAGCCCCGTCTTTGAAATATCCTCCTCCTGCCATGGAGTGACAGTATCATCAGTCGATGTATTTTAGCTTACGACAACATGAATTAATAAATCTAATGCGGAGTTCACTTTTTATTTTTATTTTTTTATCCCGTGTCTGTCTTTATGTCCATGTCTTTCCTTATGGGGTTGCTAGCTGCCTAGTATCTCACGGTGTGTTGTTACGCCTAATGAACGCCGCATGTCTTGGAGTCCTTTACATTGCCCCTCGCAAGTTAAAGTGTCTGGTAACTTTAGTTTCCCCAGCCGCCGTCATTGGCGTCCTGAGCGTCATTGGTGCCCTGAGTATCGCCGCCGGTGCCCCAGCCATCGTCTGCATTGTCCCCAGGCTCAGAATCCGAGTCAGCCTCGAACTTCAACTCTTGTCCCTCGGAGACGTGATGCTGAAGGAACTCTGGGATCTCTTGCCCCGTCTCGAGAAGAGTGCGGGCTAGGAAGCTAGCAATGGGCTCGTCCTCGTCGGTGAAGAGCGAGGAGGCGAGGCCGCGGTGACCAATTCGACCGGTGCGACCTGTTAAAAGAGGAAGAGGATACGTCAATACATGGCTCCTTGAGGCTCGCAACATTTTTCTTCTTCTTCTCAACTAGCTCGTGTCGTGGGAGAGTTAGAGAAGAGGACTACACTTACCAATACGATGGATATACTCTTCAATCCCTCCATGATCCATGGCGGGGAGATCATAGTTGATGACGTGGAGAACGTTGCGCACGTCGATGCCGCGAGCCGAAACACCAGTAGCGATAAGAATGGGAGCAGTACCGGAGCGGAAGGCTCGCATGGCAGCTTCACGCTCCTTTTGGGTCCGGTCCGAGTGCATCGACGAGCAAGGGAGGTTCATGTTGAACAAGAAGTCGTCGAGGGCGTCGGCGGTGCGCTTTCTGTTCACAAAGATGATGGTGCGGCAGGGGGCACGGTGGAGAGCAGGCTGAGCAGGCTCTGGCGCTTGTCGTGCTCGACGCGGACAATGGTCTGCTTGATGTTGCTGTGGGTGCTCCCGGCGCGGCCGATGCGGAAGCGGACGTGGTCGGCGCGCAAGTGGTTCTGGGCGAGATTGCGGATATGCTTGGGGAATGTGACGGAGAACAAGAGGTAAGTGACCTGGCCCTCGTCCTGGTCTAGTTTTTGTTTAAAAAGAAAAACAATATTCTGGGTTAGGTTTCTGGAAGGACCTCCCGGAGCAGGGATCAGACGGAAAGTGATGGGGGTGACTTACCGGAGCCAACCATGATGCGATCCAGGTCTGTCTGCCAGTCCTCTTGAAGCATCTCATCGGCCTCATCGATGACGAGGTAGCGAAGTCTTTTCAAGGAGAGCACGTCTGGGCGACCGAGAAAGTCGACCAGGCGGCCGGGAGTTGCAACGAGGATATCGCAGCCCTTGCCAAGGAGACGGATCTGGTCCCGGATGGGTCCGCCGCCGTAGCAAACGCAAGGTCGAAGCATGGTGCGGTAACAAAACTTGCGCGCCTCGTTGAAGATCTGGACCGCCAGCTCGCGGGCGGGAGCTACAATGACGACGAGGGGCTCGGCTCGCACGTAAGGGTCGACGCCTTCCTGGAACTTACCTTGGTTGGGGCGGGGGCCAGCTAGCTTCTTTGCTTTGCCCATCAATTTATCGAGGATCGGAATCAGATACGCGGCCGTTTTGCCGGAACCTGTACGAGCGAATGCGGTGGTTAGGCACGGCAACGAATCCTTTTCCCTCTTCCTCGAGAGCCATGTTCTCATTAAGGGGGTAGGTAGGGGCAATGAACGAACCGGTCTGAGCAATAGCAATAGTGTCATATCCGCGGTGGATCGCTGGGATGGTGCATTTCTGAATGGGGGTGGGTGCGTCGTATCCCGCAAGCTCGATGTTGCGAAGCATGACGGGGTGGAGGCCCGCATCTTTGAAGCTTTTGATCAGCTCTACTTCAACGGGGCCCTCTTGGGTGACCTCGATTTCGGCGATCCTAAACGTCGTCAGCCCGGATTTCGATGAAGTACAACCCCGTGGAATTGTGCTTGCTATGGTCAAGCCCCATAACGGATCGGGGAGGAAGTAGGATGACAGAGAAAGGTGACTTACTTTGTAAAGTCAATGCCACGGACCTCGCCGCGCGATTCGGGAGTGCCAAACAACTCCAATTCAAGTTCCGGGTGTTCGGGGGCAACTTCACCAATTTCGCCGTCCCATTCGTAAATGCGGGCAGCGCCGTCCCAGTTCTCTTCCTGGCCGGGTCCCAGGGTAGAATAATCATAAGCTTTGGCAGGGGTCCAGTCCATCTTCTTCAAAGCCTCCGAGGCGGCAATCATCTTTGGGTCCATCCCTCGGGGAGGAGGATTTGCTCTCCTGAGGGCCGGGAGACGATGCGTTGGGGTCATTTTCTTGACCATGAGGGAGGGGAGGGCCTCCGTCATCTCAGAGGTGCCCCAAGCGTCAGACATGACGGCTATTTGAGCTTTTCGAAATTGGTATCTGATAGTAGATAAACAAACGGTCAGTAATCCTGATCCGATAAAGTCTCGGCGGGTGTATAGAAGATATATCTTCTGCTTGATGGAGGGATGATGGGGGGGAGGAAGGGAGGAAGAGAGGAAGGGAATATTGAGATGAATACTCGATATGCCGCGGGATGGAAACTATAGTCACGAGCCCAATACACACCTGGTCTTGTTTGTTTGAAAGGTTGAAACAGGCTCTCGCGGCAGAAGATGTCCTTGGCTCGGACAGTATCTACTTGAGAGAGCAAAGGATGGAGGGTTGTGTGGATGAAGAGCCAAACAGGCTTGAGAAAATGTCTAGGAATCAAACCTAGAGGGGATGAAGAGGGGATGGAGGGAGGGATAGTTTTGGGGTGGGAGGATGACAGCTAATATGGCTGGCTTCCTCTCTTAATTTCCCACTTTGTACTTCCCTGGGTCTTGAATATCATTGGACTGGAATATCATGGAAGAGGCAGGATGAAATATCAAAAGAGTAGTCACTACCTGGCAAGATTTCAAAAGGAGGTTCTGCGCAGGGAGGGAGGGGAATATGGACTGGAGGCCATGAGCCTGGTTTAGCCCCTCATAGTGGCTAGAGGACTGAAAATTCACAGCAAATCACTTCTTGAGAGTGAAAGAGAATTTGGGTATCTTGAAAATCTAAATCAGCTACCTATGGTGATGTAGAAGACTGATTGCTTGAGAGTTATATGTGGATAGCCAGTCTGTAACTATGCACATAAATAAGGCTAGTAGTGCCTATAAAGGCAGGTCAGGCATGAACATCCAGTATGGATCATTATTGACTAGTTCTTTGAGAAAGCACCAGCATATGGCCAAAAGCTAGGTCTGCCAGAAAAAGTCCTTTGAGGGTGTTCATCACTATTAATTGATAGAGATGGGCCACGGGGACTAGGAGGTGATTTCCCTGTTTAGAGAGGTGATTCTGGTTGGTGGGAGGCGAGCCTTTGGGAAAAAGGGTTTGGCAACGCTTTAGGGTTAAGGTTGAGAGAAAGAGAGATGAGTAAAGCAAGGGCTGGTAAAGGTGTCTTAAGGATTCGGGTTGTGTAGTGGCTGACCAGCATCAAGGGATGAGAGTGGTTCGGGCCCAGTTCAGCCTAGATCACCAGAGATGGAGCAGGTCATCAGCGTCCAGGACCCCCTCGCCCTCGGAATCTCCTGTGCTATCCCGCAACACCTGCATCAGAGTCGCAGAAGCTCTCCCCGGCGCACCAGCCTCCCGCTTCGCCTGCTCCGCCCCAGCAAGAACAAGGGCAGCGTAACGCTTCTGAAAGGCCCTGTTCCTAGACTCGCGATCTTGGTACATCTCGCCGTCCCCATCACGTCGTGCCCCGTATATGTTGAGGTGCGCAAAGGGTTCTCGCGAGCGGTTGATGCGGTACAGCCCGTCCCAGTACTGGCCCGGGTGCACCTTGACGACTGCCTCCGGCCTGAGGCCAGCCTTGAGGAACTTGGCCAATATCGTGAGTTGCTGGGCGTGGCAGGCGGCGTCCTTGGTCCGCACACCGATCTTGGGGGCCGACGTCCACCCTCGGTTCCCGGACGCGGACCATCCCATCATGGCGCAGAAGCTATTGAGCGTCATGACCCATCCGCCGGGGCAGGCCACGGCCTCGTCCGAGGCTACCTCGAGCAGCCACTCCAGCACGGAAAGAGCATCGAGGCTGACGTCGGTCGAGAGATGGGTCATGCCGACGCGGATCCACCGGAGGGCTTCCTCGGCGTGGACCCTGACTTCTCCCGGGGAAGACACCGCAATAACTTGAGGAGCTGCGCTCTTACGGGGGTTGACGTGTTGGGTACGAGGGGAGCAGCTTGACGAGCAGCTCGCGGGTACCCACGGGGTTGCTGTCGGGCCCGGCAGAGAGCTGGGACGTCAGGAACGCCAGGGCATCTTTCCGCTGCCTGTCCGAATTGGAGCTGGCCGCGAGGGAGAGGTGGTGTTTGAATTTCTGCACGACATCGGGCGCAGTCTCGGAGAGGGACTGATGCGCGACCGCAATGGCTGTCAGGGGAAAAGCGTGAGCACGAGGAAAGACTGGGGGCGAGATCTCTTGGGGACGCAAGAGAGGCGTGCCAGCGTACCTTTGGACTTGAAACTGGTGTCTGTGAAATTGGCGGGCTTCACCTTTGCTTTTCCAACCTTTAACTTTGTTTTCTGGATGGTACCACTCCGTTAGCTTTCGAGCCCGGCTTCAAGGGAGGGGGAGGAAGAATCGGTACCTTGAAGTCTTGCTGCTTCTCTTTCTTCTTCTTATTGCTGGAACCCATCTTGTCCTAACCCTCTTTTTTTTTTTTGGTCTTCAAAGCTGGGCACTGGAACTTCAAACGTGCGTCACTACCCTATATATGGGTTCAAGCACACTCTTCCACTTTAAGCCCGCGGATGCTCGTCGGCGCCTCTATATAATACGGATTCTTCAGTTCTTTTTTTCTTTACACCAGCGTCGCACACCAATTGGCCGTCTCGTCCTAGAGTTGCTTTGTCAGGTGCCATGTGGTTCCCATCAAGGCTGTCCCGCCTGGGCCCCGCCTGGTGAGCTAGCGGCGGATGTGCAGTGCCTAGCCCGGCACTGAGCGTTTGAGTGTCCAGCTCGAATCCCCGCGGTCTACGTCACGTGAATTGGTGCTGGAGGAGAACCTGGACATGCGATATGATGTGGTGGGCCAGTCAAACTAGCGGACGACGCCTCACCAAACTCAGAAACCAAGAGGGACCCAGGGATATTCCTCGACACCGTAAAATAGCCGATTCCCCGTTAAAATCCAGCCTTGGACCCCGGGAAAATGACGGATTCTATAGGGGTTCGTGTTCCAGCTTCCATCGCAACGATCCCCCCGCCCCCGCCATCGAACTCGAGGCGCTCCCCACCCCGCTAACGCCTAGAACTTGTAGGTTCAGACCCACGACGCGCTCGACGAGACCCTCGGCCGACTTTCCAAGAAGCCCGGCGTCAAGGCTACAATCGTGCTCGACAGGGCGACGGGATCCGTCCTCAAGACCAGTGGCCAAGTGTCTAGCCTGCGGAGATCACGGCCGACGCAGCCTGCGCAAGCCCTCGCATCGCCGTCGCGGAGTGTATTTCCCTTGGACCCGGACAGCGCCACCTCGGCTTCGAAGACAGAGCAGGAGAGCGATGCCGAAGAGGTGAACGCCTTTGCCGCCCTCGTATGGGCATATGTCAGCGCCTCGGGGCGCTCGTCCAGGAGCTCGATACAGATGTAGGGCCTCTCAGACCCCTCCCCCGGCTTTGCCCGGAATTTAATTCGCGGAGGAAGTTGTCGAGATGAGGGAATAACGGTGACTTGCCATTGGAGAGACCAGAGCCTTAGCGCTGACGTGAGCTTTAAACAGGATGAGCTGAAGCTACTTCGGCTTCGCACCAAGAAGCAGGAGCTTGTTATAGTTCCCGATCCTAAATATCTCCTCATTGTTGTCCACGATACACCTCCAGCGTAGCCGGACAGTGCTCACGCTAATTATAAAGGAACATGGAAAATATCGAGAGGGACGGACCCTTGCCTCGCGTGGACTGTCGATGCCTAACCGTCTTTGGCTTGAAGAGATCATGCTGGGCGCCGAAGAAATTAGAGATTACAATGTCGCGATTGAAGCATTGGAGGGCATGGCTCCGATTGGCCTACGCAAGAGAAGCATCAATCTTGGGTGGGCTTTTATAGTAATACTCCAAAACTAGATGGGTGGTGCCTGGGGTGTTGGAACATTCTCTGGTTCTAAATATGGCCTCCTTTTTCTCGGGCCCCTTCCGTCTCCGCGTTGGCTACCTCTAGTTATTCGAGATGACAGAAGAAGAAAAAGGCATGAGCAGCACACGTAGCCTGATGGCTAACGAAAGGTCGGCTGGTTGGTAACTGCTTCGAGGCACACGATTACCAGGGGGAGCACCTTGGCCAGGGAGAGGGGAGGGGAGAAAGAAAAAGGCTGCAGCACGCAGCGAATTGTCCATAATGATACCCTATTCAATACCAAGGAAAAGAAAGCAAACTAAACCGTTGTATCTGCATTGCTGGACTATGCCAGACCGCTTTGAACTTTTCCTTGCGTGCTCTAAGAAGTATCTATTGCACGCTAAGTACGGGGAGAGTCGTCTTGGAGCTTTATTGCCACCCAGTATAATGCATTTCGAGGATTCATTCCACTGTATCGCTGTTTGAAGGACACATTTCCGTGTTTGTTGTGAAGGGAAAAGAGCTGCTCGTGCGATAGCTCCTTCATATCAAATTGCATATTAGTCTCACGGGCCCTACGCCCCCCTTCAATGACACCAGCAAAGCTCCTCGGGTAGAAGGGGAGAGGACTGGTTCTAGTGGGCGCTGACGACTGAGGGGAAGGGGAAACGAGAACGAGATCCAAAAATACCCGAGCCGCTCTTCGTGGGTCTCGGTCTTGGGGCGGCTGGCCGGGGGAGAGAGAACATTAAACCTATTGATGACGGGCTTTGAGGACTTGGTTGCCCCTGGCCGGCCCGATCAAAGAAGGCTGGATGGAAGGGGAATGGAAGCTCGAAGCCGGTTTGGGGTAGAGTACCTCGGTAATATTGACTGGAATACCGATTCTTGACCCCCATTTGAAGCCCGAAGAACTTGTCCAGCCGTTGGAGCTGTGTACGAGGTATTATTGCTCCCCCATCCACTAATTTCAAGGCTAGCCAGGGTGTCGTCTCCTTGTTGGCATTATTTCTCCGTGCTTTCTCAAGCTTGTGCGAGCTCCTCCCGTACGATGTGGAGAGCTTGGCCCGTTGTGCCACATCCTCCCTTCGCTTTGCCCTTTTTCTTCCTTTTCACTATTACATGTAGTTTCATGATGCATCCATGGATCCATGGATGTATGGAATGGCGGAGGCTATGGAGCCTGGTATCTCACATCGTATTACCGAGGTACAAGAACAGGGAACATGAGGAAACAGCGCAGGCCATTCCCGAAGCTGGGATAACCCTCCGATCCTGTTGTAGAGAATATTTTGCCTCGCCAGTATTATTCCACGTAACCTCGTCGTTTATTAAAGTTGGCCTTGGTGCCGTCCCCAGACAATACCACGCTAGTGTGGACGGGGACGCCGCTGACGCTTGGTCAGCCCTCAAGCAAGGGGTATTATATTAGTCCACCTCGTTGGACTAGCCCAGCCCTGAAACGAAACGGAAAGGGCTTGATAAGAAGGGTATTGTTCCCGGCATTTGAAGCCTGCGTTGTAAGGGGAGAGGCACAGGCAAGTTTCCAAGAATTCCAACTCACCACGGAACAACTGGATTGGAGGGACGGAATGACAGTTCCGCCAAGTCAAAAGATTTTAATTACATTGATGTGCGCATTGATAATGAGTCTGTCGAGCGCGGACCGGCGAGGAAGAAAAGTCGACGGGATGTCAAAGGATCTGCCATCATCGTTCGAGGAAGGCCTTGTTGGCTACATGCCAGTTTCCCTAGCCTCCCCCACGCCACCCTTACCTATTCCCTTGCTCGGTTTTCTTCTTTGTTTTCGGTTGCTCCCCAGTTTCTGGCAGGATCTCTCTCTCTTCTCTCTCTCTAATCCCCCAAGCCCACGCGGCATGTGAAGGGATCGACCGGTGGAGCCAACGGGTCCATTTGAGCCAAATGCTCCAACGCTCGCAAGGAGCCGCGGGGAAAGTGAATACCCGATTCCATGCCATGTACTTTGGGAGAATGCTGCTGCTCAAAGGCCGCGGCGCGCGGTTTCTCGGTAATGCAGCGCAAAGGCACGTTATAATGCCTCAGAATGCGAATGCGGCTGGCGAAACTAGGGCAAAGCGCAACAATGACTTGACAGAAGGTAAGATTCTCAGGAACGGGAAATCGCCAGGAGAATAAGAAAACAAGAGAAGAGAAGCAAAAAAAAAAAAAAAAAAGGGAGGCGCCAACAGGTGCTTGGAAAAGGCTCACCAAGCCGTGCCACCATCACCCGCCCACATCCGCGGCCAGGTCGCACACATGAGGCGCCCGCATACATGCAGCATCGCGCATCTCGAGCAGCCTAAAATACCACGGCGCGTCGAGAACAAGAATCCGGCATCGAAAAGAAAGGGTCTAGTCAACCTTTGCGCACCCAGTCTGTATTAGCTATACGTTCACTCGGCCGCTTCACCAAGGTACCTTGCTTGTTACGCAGCAGAAAGCCAAGCCTGGTGCCCTGCCCCTCCCCATTCACTGGAATGGAATGCGAGATTGATAGGAGTGAGCGCGCTCCCTCGATATCAATGGTTTGGCTGTCTTGCATAGGATTTGAATATAATAATGCTGGTGTGCCCGACACAACATTGAGGCAAAGCAACAAGTTGCCCATCATGTCCTTGGAAAATGTACTTTGAAAATACTCAGTCTGACAACGGAGGAGCGGAGTATTACATCAGTGGGTCAAGCAGCGATTTGATTGATCCTGACCTCTGGGTCTTCGGAGTCCAGTCTCAACGGTCCGGCCCTCGAGTGTTTAGGTTGCCTGTGTGCACTATTCTATCGACTTATGTTGGGTGATATTACATACAGCCTGGCTGATCAGCGAGCTCGTTGCGAGATTTCACGAGGATGAACAGTGGAGCCAATGTACCGAACAGAGCCCTTTTTCTCAACCCTCAGAATGATGCGTCAAATTCTATCAATTCCTCTCCCAGCAGCCAGCGTCCGTCAGCAAATCCTCCCCGCCCACCCCTTGCTCTCGGTTCCGCCACTCCTCCTAGGATCGAAAAGGTTCACCTGAATAGAGGGGGAGGAGGAGGGCGGGGCCGGCGAACAAAAGGGAGGCAGAAAAATTCCAGGGATTCGCCTTGTTGCGTGTGTAGCCTACATAATAATAGTCAGTATTACAAAGAGCGGGCGTCGACAGCAAACAGTCCCCCGGCGCGTTTGAAAGGTCGCCGCGTCAGGTTTTGGGTCCTGAGTCGCAGTGAGGCTCCGCTTCTAGAATCCAAAAGGAGCTAAGATTGAAGGAAGGACATGGGTCTTTGCCGGCTCCGCTTGGGTTGTGATGGTGCGGAGAGACGAAACACGTACGCGGAGAACCGTCAATTTCCGGTAGGAATGCCGGGGGCTCCAGGCCGATCAGTGCATATGGTAGCGGATGATAACGAGCAGCAATGGCACTGCCAGGAACTGGATTCGAATCAGACCTCACCTCAAACTGTGGACTCCTGTCCGATCCCCCTTCCCCTTTGTGCCTTGCTCTCTCTTCAGGATATGCACAGCGACGGGGTCAACTGGGCCAACTAGGCCAAGTTCTACCGATGCATGTGCTTATTGGTGCTGACCTCGCCCGACATCCACAACGACGCTGATAAAAGACAACGGCGACGGCGACGGCGATGACAATGGCCTTGGCAAGCAGCGTGCGCCATACAAACCATACAAGGAGCTCAGGACGAGGCCATCTGGCTTGTGCTTCTGCACAACTCGCAGATGCGTTCTCTGCACTCTACATAACATATGTTTGACCTTGATGCTGTGTGGGCTGGGGCCGGCCGGCCATGACTGTGCATATTAACCGTGGTGGAAATCTAAACCCGCATATTAAAAGTGTCCGAGTCGGCATCAACGACTTTATTGGCCTTCCGCTTCAGTGTGGCGCGCCTGGTTGTTTCGGCCAGCAATGAATCAATCGGACAAAGATCACTCTTTGCCCCTCGCGCGCCGCCGCCGCCGCCGCCGCCAAAAAAAAGTGAGAGAAGCGTGTTTTGGGTTATGCTGTTTGAGCAATGGAGGGTGCATGGATGCTAGGTCAGGGTTGACAGGATGGGTTGGGTGGGTGGATGGCGGATGGTGGATGCAATGCAGTGGTGGATGGTGGACGGTGGATGGATCAATCCATTCCATCCACTGTCGTGTAATATCACCCACGGCGGATCTACTTCAAAGTATCAATACTATTATGGACGGAGCACTTGAGGCGCGTGTGTGCCCTCCTTCCCTCCACCATGTTCTTGGTTGCGGAAAGGGCTCCCACACCAATCCACCCTGTAAATTTGCCTGCCCCCTTCCCCCTTCCCCCTTCCGCCTTCGCCCTTCCTTGATCACGCATGACTCCATGATCTATGAGACCTTGGAGTCGGGCCTGGGAGTTGCATTTTGAGCAACATGGGGTCGATAGATGATGATTATTACATGGATAGGGAGGACATGGGCCCGGACTCAGAGATCGGCACAAGATCGCAGGCGTTCTCGCGAATCCTCGCTTCACGGAATGGCAGTGGCTGCTCCCCTCCCCCTCTCCCCTCTCCCCCTCCACTTCCCAACTTGTATTGATAGTTGCAGTTGACCTGACCGGGCTTTCACTTCCGCCCTTGTGTCATTTCGTGGCTGGCCCATCATGTTCCTTTGCTGGGCCGCCATCATCATCTCCGTCCGGGCTCAGCCTTTTTTGGAAGGGGCATGGAAGGGAAGGGCCAGAAACGGGAGGCGCACCCCATCGACAAGATTTGATGATTGGCGAATCCTCTTGCTTCGGCTTACCAGTCTTTTGTTGGTGGAGGGAACATTGAAGTCTGCCTGGAAGACTGTCCCTTTGAAGAGTAGCCTCCATCCAGAGGGTTCATGGGTGATTTGCCTTATATCCTTATATCTATCTATACCTTGTTGTGTTTCTTTTGTCTCTTTCTTTTCTAAATCTTATTTCCTTCGCTGGCCCTTCTCCCGGCCCTCTCGCTCTCGCTCTATTATCACTCTCCTTCATGCAACGATGGGTGAATATTGATGTATACATTGATCAATTTCGAGTCCTTCCCTCCACCCCATCAATCGTTTGTGTTTCGCTTGCTTCAGATTTCAAACCCCCGAACTTCGGCCTCTCTCTTGATCCAATGTATTAAAATTGACCTTGCTCCCCTCCCGCCGCGTCACTCCCGGTTCTGTCGCAAGACTTTCTCGCCAACATCTCTTTTGTCCCGTCCGCACTTTAGACGCTCCTGGCGGCGGCTTTCACCTAGACACACACACGCACGACACGCATGCACACACACCACACAAATACAACCATACGCGCATATACCCGCGAACCTTTTCTTCGCCCTTTCACCCTCACTCCTCTTATTCCTTCTGGACTCATTCCCTCTCTTCTTCCATGAAGTGAGCGGTTCGGGGTCCGCACCCACCAGAGACGTGCTTGTTCCGAGGAAGAGCACAAGCACTCGAACTGGAGAAAGGGAAAACAAGAGGTGGGAGAAAGAAGAAGAGGGAGCCAGAAAGACCGTGGGTTGCGGGTCTTGTAATGCGCTGATCCATATCACCAGAGCGGGTCACCTCTTCTCTTGCCCAAGAAAGCAATTTGTATCTCCCTCGTCCGACGACACCAAGATTTCTTGACGTATGCACGGTGCTTAGAGTGAAGAGAAAGGACTAAAGGGGCAGCGTGTCGAGGACTCGGGAGAATAGAGGCTCGAAAGGCCCAGGTGAGAGAAAGATTTGAATAATCTAGAAGCGCCGTCCTGCTTGCCTTGCCCCTGGCTTTTCTTCCCGCCCATCCTTTGCAAAACTTCTCCGAGCCCGCTTCACTGCTCTTTCCTTTTACCCCTTCACGAGGGTGGAGCGTGTGGGGACCGGGGACTCGCTTTCAACTTGGTTCAACTCGAGAGAGAGCGGTGGGTTCGTTCTTCTCTGCACTTCCCCCATCCGGGTTACCCCCATCCTCCTCTACTCGCCGCAACCCGGCCCTTTGGAATTAGACGGCTTCTGGTACCCTACGCCGACTTGCTACACGGATCGATCGTTCTTGTAAGCTCTGTCGTAGGGTAGATAGACCCTTATGCTTGTGTGCAACACAGAAAGGCACCAAGACCAGCCAGGGCTTTGATACCACTCCCTCGCCGTATTTACCGCGTCTAGAAAGAAAGGAACGATTGGGGCTCGGTGACAGGTAAAGAACCAGAGCTTGCCATCCGGAGCCTCGAGAACTCCTCCGGAGGACAATAACCTAGTCCTTCAAGGCTCCACGCCAAAGCCCCGAGAAGCACGCGCGCACCCGTACGCCGCCGAGCGCGATCGGTCGATCCCCGCCGTACCGTTCGGAATCCGATCACGCATCTAGGTTGAACGGTTGGACGACTTGTCACTTTTCGTCTTGGGCGCAACCGGAGGGGTTGCTACTCGCAGATGCCAACGTTTAACCTATTAAAGAGGGCGCCGTTTGGGCGCCAGTCGAACCCCTCGACCGATGAGCTTAGCGCCAGCGGTAAGGCGCCAGCTTTGGTGACAGCGCCACCAACGTCGACGGAGACCGGAGCGCGACAACAACCCTCTCTACAACACCAGGACCCGGCGTTCTCGCCCCGACGCTTTCATCCCCTAGGCTTGCTGCGTCAGGCGGGGTAACCGTCGCTGCGACTGTCACTGGCACTAGCTCTGGCGCTGGTGCTGGCGGCAAGAACAGCAACAGCAGCAGCAGCAGGAGCGGGCAGGCCCCGCTTGGACCAAAGACAGCCCACCGCGATCCACAAGCTATTCTTCCTCGACCCGATCGCCACCGCCCGTACAACAAGCAGCAGCAGTAGCAGCACTAGAAACAGGAGCAGCGTCCAGCACCCACCAAATTAACGACCGACCCCAGAAGCACCAGTCGGTACGGAAGCAGACGCCTCAAGTTCAGTCACACGGCCATTCCCATTCCCCAGGGTCGCCGCAGCCAGGAGTGCCGTCGCAGTCGCAGTCGCAGTCTCAATTGCAATCGCAATCGCAGTCACAGCTAGACCCGGAGTCGCAACCCCAACCAGAAGCACCTCAATCCCCCTGCCCGCAATGGTCGCAGGGGCTCAACGAGGGGTTTCCTCCAAAGCTTGTTGAGTCGGACGGCGTCCCTCAAGCCAAAGTCACCAGCATCATCGTCATCCACACTTGCAAGGGCGGCGACAGTTCGGAAAGGCTCGGTCACATCGCGAACCACATCGCTTTCGGCGTCGCCCCCGACAAGCTGTCGAATAAGCCAAGCAATAATCACATCCCCGTTCGCGCCGGCAGCCGCAACAAAATTTCGAAGACCGGGGCCTTTGTTTCCTCGGAGCCATTAACTTCCCCTCCGTTTGGGGGCGTCCTCGGGCCAAGGCCTCGAGGCACAGGAGCTGTAAGTTCTCTGCTGATCCCCTTTCGTCATCAGGCCATCAACATCCCGCGCATTGCCCCCGCCATGAGACTTTTTCTTTTTTTCTTTTCCTTCTTTCCTTTTTCTATTTGTCCTTTTTCCCTGCCTTTTGGGACGGACCCGGCCGTCGTCTGATCGAATGCTTCCTCGCCCCCCTCAACTCATCAACCTCCCCAACCAAGCTGGTCATGCTCCCCGCAACATTGGTGCATTCCCATCAAATCACTTCCCTCAGCTCCCACACCCCCTTCCCCCTTCCCCGCCAATTCTCCCTAGCCTCCACCGATGATTGATCAATTAGTACATTGCATGCACGCTACACTATCGCTCAACCTTCCCGGCTACGCATGCCTCCTTGCCGGATCTGAGTAGATTCCAGGGACAATAATACCCCCCTTCCTTTCCCTCACCAAAAAACTGCATCATGCTTCGTCCTTGCGCAAAATTGTCTTGAATCACACGCCCACCTTCCTTGTTCCCATGTCGAGCCACCGAGACCGACCTGGTCCTATTATTCCTTGACGAGCGCGTGCACTTCCTCCAGTGCCCGAGCCTTTGTCTTTTTGCCTTTGCCCCCTTTGGCCCCTCCCTTTCTCTTTCTCCTGGCAGCAGTAGTCAGTGGAATACTCGTTGACGTCTCGATCAATCCCGAGAATCGCTGGTCCGTCATTCCTCCTTGGCCTGTGCTCACCCATCCCTGTCCTGTTGCCGGCCCTTCTTGTTGTACCCCTCCCCTCACCTCACTCACCTCACCCTCCCCTCCCCTTGACCTTTGCTTGACCCTTCTCAATTCTTGGCGGGTCCTCGTCACATTGACCTCTTCCGACTCTCCTTCGTGATGCCACCAGGCCTACCTGTACTCGTATATTAGACCTGGTTGGCATTCATCCTCAACATTCTGCAACCTCTGGTTGCTGCCGCCGCCCCGACGTCCCAGTGTAGAACACCTCCCGCTTCCCCTTCCCGTCTTACCCCAGCACCTTGGATCCCATTCCCCTCTGATAGCTTCCCGTTGTCCAATCGCCTTGAACCACACATCGTCCGTTCTTTCTCTGACCGCTTGCACGCGAGACCTCCCCTTCTATCGTGCTGTGTGCTGTATGCTGTGTGCTGTGTGCTGCAAGTGCTCTTCACCCACCCATCACGCGAACACATTGTCGTCTTCCCACGCCTTCTTTCCTTTGAACTATTTTTTTGATAACCCTCATCCCCTCCCACCTTGACAAATATCCTTCCTCATTGATATTTCGGACACCGAATTTCCCGGCTAACTCATTGGTCCGTTGTATTCTTCCGCCGAATACCAGGCCTCTCCCGAGACTCCTCTATCCCCCAAGTCTCCCCTCAATGCCAACAAGCCTCTCCCTTCACCACCTCCCCGGGTAGCGAACAGGCGAATGGGCCTCCTCCTAAACCAGTCCTGAAGCTGGACCGAATCATGACCACCCTTACCGACTTCGAGATCGAGAGGCTCTTCTCCGGGGCCCCTCAGTACTTTGCCCGCTCCGAGGGCCACAACACTGGCGCCCCCATCCCTCCGTCGCTTTCCCCTGGGACGAGGAGCTTCCCATCCGTGACTTGACCGACCACACCCAAATCGAGAACCACGCCTGGAGATGCGCCACCGCCTGGCCCCATATAACCCGGGGGCTCGTCGCAACTCCAATGCCTCCTCGATAAAGCAAGGGCCCACTTTTACCCCAGGTGCCGCGAACGGCCCAGCATGCTCAGCATGCTCGGCTTGAAAAGGGCACGATTGGTTATCAAGCAGCCCTCGAGCTGTCCGTGTCCGACTCTTTGCAAGAGGAGCAATTCGGTTTCGGCAGCCTCGGTTGCAAATCGCACATCGTTCTTGAGCATCGCCAGAAGCTTGTATCGTCCAAAGATGGCCTACGCTTCCTGCGTGAGGACTTTGTTTTGGACCAACTCATCAAGAATGGCAAGCGGTACAAAGACGGTCTCTTGAGCCGCGACATGTCGAGCGAGCTGTACAACGACCTCTTCCTCCACATTTTGCACCCGCCGAACCGCATCATCGACCACGGCGATCCGTACAGCCTCGTCGTGCAGATACAGGCTCTAATCAAGGTTCTCGCGGCGCCCAATGTCTGGTGCGACTTTTCCCGCCTCGAATGGCGCATCAGGCTAGGTCAGGTCCTTTGGGGCACCGTCGACGGCGGCGACGAAATCGCAGACGGCTCTTCCATCACCGACGCCGATAGCATCAGCGAGTGCATCCAGGAAAGATTTTGGCTCCTTCTTCAGGTTCTGCTCGCGTGCGAGCTGCTGATCCGCCTAGACGCCATCACCGCGGGCGAAGAGCTTGGCGTCGAGAGCATCCACCCAGAGGACGTTCGCCGCTTCGAGAGAGACGCCAACGTCACTGTGAAATGGTCGCTCATCCTCGCTCGCGTCTGGCTCGAGAACATTGAAGTCCTAAAGAAGGATACTGATTTGGCGGTGCCCAAGGACCACCACCACAACCCAATCGGATGGCTTGCCGCGCTGACGGAGAGGATGACTCTCCGAAGCCACCGTCGCACAAAGAGTCACCAAGACGGCAAGATGGCCGCTTACACGGTGAAAGGCATGCACGGCGAAAGACAGATTGACGGCCTTACCCAATTCGCCCGAAAGCTGCGCTGGCCGGATATCGACGCCTACGAAGCGCGAATCATGGACCTCGCCCGGACCGTCAACAATTCCACCCCTGTTTCGGGTACCCCGAGGACGTCGTTGGGCGATCTGCCACGGCCCCAGACGAGCGCGTCGGCCCGGAAACACAATGCGAAATCTTTGCGTCTACGCCGGCGCAAGGTGCAAGCCACGCTTAATCGCCAAGGATGGCTGTCGAAATCGTACATTTCAGGCCTGGTGCTCCCCGGAGACTGCGTCAGCCACTTCCTCATGGCTACCCTCCTCGAGAACGACAAGGGCGCGATGCAGGCGCTCGGCCCTGTTGCCAATCTGGCGGGCGGATTCGTGTATCACGGCAAGAGCTTTTGGAGCACCTCTTGCATCGTGGGAAGGGTCCTCGCTGCCGGAAGGGGGTCGGCCGAGTGCATGGGCTGGATTTCCAGTGATGTGATCCCCAGTGGCTTCTCCGACGGTTGGTTCAACGTTGCGGTGGATGAGATACCTGGTAAGTTTTATCTTCTCCTTCCCTTTCTTTCACCTCTACCCTTGTGGTGAAGAGGGAAAGACAAACGAAATCGGGCACCCCACAACATCTAGCCCATCACCATCACGAGAGGAATGAGGGATGCTAATACTATACTTGTGCAGGAGAAGCCGAAAAGACGGGTAAAAGGCCCGCTTGTGGGACAAGCATAATGTCGAGAGAGACTCTGATGTGCTTGGCAATGCCGATCCCGCCTTCGTTTTCCCTGCGGATTTCATCATTCCCGTCGAGGACAATTACATCACTCCTCCGCCTTTTGCTAGCTTCCACCTCCAGTCTTTGGACTTGAACATTCCTACAGATCCGCTCGAGACCACGCCCTCACCTACCGAGGAGAACGGCGATGGATTCCCCTTTGATGGCGCGAACGGCGCGTCCAAGATCGAGACATACCCCTCGTCTATGACGTTCTCGGCCAGCATGGATGGCGACAGTGCCGCTGTCGAACACACCATTGCTCTTTCCAAAGAGGTGTACTTTGTTACTGCCCATCCCTGCGTCCCTTCGCCCTATGTCAAGTTTGTCAAGTCTCCGTCCAGCCCCACGATCCAGCACATTGATGTCTCGGGGAGCGGCCCCACGCCCGGTCGGATTTCAACCACCGCCAACGTCACAGGTACGAGGACTCCCGCCCTTCTCCCGCCCTTCCCCTTGATGTTCTTTGTCTCTACGAATGCTAACAGGCGCTTGTTGCGTCATATAGGTCATCCACTTCACAAGTTTTCACATACACCGTCATCCATCTCTCCGACCTCTTCCAGCGGAGGTCGGAAACGCTAGACGCTCTTCTCAACAACACGCCGGCCGCAAGATTGCCGAGCCTTACGCCGGCGCAGAACAAACCACCCAGCGTCCTCATCATTGACTGCATCACTAACTTTCCCCGAAATGCTCCCACGGATCCCACTCCGACATCCCCGCTTACCGCAGATGCTCATGGTGGTGGCGTCATTAACTCCCTAGATCCCATTCTCACGCCAGCTTCTAGCTCATCGGGTTCGTCGACAACCAGCTTCGGCGCGGACCTGGCAAGGAGCCACCCAGGCCGTGCGGCGCGTACAATGTACATGGAGACTCGGAGACGGCAATTCGGCTCTGACCTTGAAATTCTCGCCCGAGCTATCTGTGCCGAGAAGGGATGGAACGCACTCGTGAGTAGGAGGCGCAGGGGCTGTCTGGCTTGCGCTATCCGGGAGGCCGGTGCCTTGGACTGGAAGGTCATCATCCGAGTCGATTAAGGATGGCGCCTGCTGGACTCTCCCCGCTTTAATCTATATTCTCCTTTGCCATAGATTTTATGCTTGGCCCTTGGATGCAAGATGCATTTTCACAGGAGGCGGGGATGCCAACGAGCCTCTACGTCTTGAGTGTGGACTTTTTGCATAGCTCGCTGTACGAGATCTCCTCTGTTTAGTTTATAAAAGGAACGAAGGCGAGCGTTGGAAAGAGGCTGCGGCGACTGCGTCCGGCTTCTCGTTTCCCCTCTCTATTCTTCCTCTTTGTTTTTTGGTGTGTGTGTGTGTGTGTGTTTGTGACGAAGGGAAGCAAAGATATCATTGGGCTTTATGACGATATGAGATCCCGTTTGAAGAAGAAACGGGTGATTTTTTTCTTTCTTTTGTAATTTTTCCTCTGGCCCCCTCGATAATATATTTTATTCTTCAACCGTTGATTTCTCAAAATATGTGTATGAAAATATAGTAACAATGTAAAACGTTGAGGTTGGCGGGAGTATACTCCTTTGCATCCTAGGCTGTCTTCTCATGAGATAACGTAGGCTGTGCGTGCATATTGATGGTAATTGATGTCGGGAGCCTTGTGAAAAGTGGCAATGTGAGCAAGGGGGTTTGGGCGAGTATTTGTATATTATCAACATCTAAACGGGAACACTAGCAACTGGAGTTCGGCTCATGGCGAGAGATCCATAGCTATTTCTAAAAACATGGTCTCGTCTCACCAAATGGCTGTTGTGGTACATAGCACTGTACTTTGTACAACCCCACGCGATTGCTTATTCCTCTCTCTTCTCGCTGTAAGTGGCAACAAACGCACTCTCTTGACGCTCTCTATCACTCTCTAACCCATGTCTTATAGATCCCATTCCTTGGGCTCCTCGAGAGCCCACTCCTTCCAGTCCCTTTCCTCGCCGGGGAGCTTGATGGACTCCCACTCCTCCCTGGTGACGCCCCTCCAGTCCTCGATGGGGAGCCAGCCGATGTAGGCCCTGTCGCCGAAGCCGCCGACCCAGTAGACCTGCTCGACGACGAGCCTGGCCCAGCTAGATTGGTGGATGACGTTGCCGGGGAGCCAGTACTTGGCGTCGGAGTGGGTGTTGACGAAGCAGGAGGCGAGGTCCGCGTACGAGGTCTCGTCGGGGGTGATGGGCTCAAAGTGGCCGATGAGGCTCATGCGGGGCAGGTTGGCAGCGCTGTAGGGGACGGTGTCCGGGAGGGTGGTGGGAGCAGCAGGAGAGGCGGAGCCCAAGAGGGAGGCGACGGCGCCGGACAGGCGATCCCAAAGGTGACGCGGATGCGGCGGGCCGGGGGTAAGGGGCGTCCAGCGGAGGGAGAAGGAGACGTTGGAGCCGGCGGCGGCGTTGCGAAAGGTGGTGGCGATCTTGATGTTGAGGACGGTGGGGTTGCCGGCGTCTTCGCAGTCGGCGTAGTAGTCCATCATGTCGATAGGGAGGCCGGCGAGGCCGTCGGGCCGGGCGAGGGAGGCGTCGAGGCGCTCGTCCTCTTCGGCAGACGAGACGGCGGAGACGGCGGCGCTGCTGCTGCTGCGGCGGCGGTCGGAGGAAGACGGTGGCGAAGTCGGCGAGCTTGGAGAGGGCGAGCATGCGGCGGCCCATGACGGCGGACTCGTGGGCGGTGGGGATGCGGTGGCCCGGGGAGGGGCGTTGGCGGGGGTGGGCGAGGCGAGCGCCAGGGGAGGGTGGCGGCGAGGGCGAGGAGGGACTTCATGGTTGCGTAGGGAAGGGGGTGCCGGCTAGTCTCGGGGCGCGGTGTTGGCGATGCTTTTCTTTAGAGGGCTTGGTGGTTTCGAACCCGCGGCTGGACAAATAACCAGGCACGATCAATGGTTTTGTGAAGGATTGGAAAAATAAAAGGAAACACCTCAAACGTACAACGACGAGAGAAAAAAAAAGGAAAGAGGAGAAAAGAAGAGGAAGTAGAAAGAGGACCTAGAGGTTTCAGGAGCGGGCTCCCAAGGGTATAGTCAGTACAGGTACGTAATGTTTTCTTTTGGGAGTTGAACCCCCGGGCTTCGCGAAGTTCCTACAAGTGGCCGCCATCGGTTGCGAGCGTGCTTTTCCCCTGTGATCAGTGCTTGGTGTGGCAATCATATGAGCACGGCCAGTGCTGGGCGCCGGATTCGGTGCGCGGGGTTGGCTCGTTGGTGCGGGGTGGGCCTGTCAGAGTGGGCCCATGTGAGCTCTTTAGGGCCCTTTTTCTCGGTTCGTCTCCAGGGGGCTGCAAATCTACTTTGAACATAGTAGTTATTGGGCCCTCGCCAGGCCCTCAGGCAGGGGAAGGAATTGAACAAGGACAGCATTCCGTCTATTCCATTCTTTTCATTCTTTTGTTTGATTCTAGCTTCTTATTTGGGTGGGAAATAGTCTAAACGGAGCCATTTCAAAGCCATGGATGATCCATCATTACACTGTTGTCTTGTTGGACTGACGTGATTAAGTTCTTGGGGCGTTTCCAGACATCATTTGTCCGGTGTACCCAATCGGCTCTCGGGTTCGATACAAGGCCTGGCCTCATCGCGCCCCCTTCTTGTGAAAAGGGAAAGATTGAGAGACCAAGAAGCCCCAGGTCTCTTAGCTTCCAATCCAAGATCAAGAACAATGGAGAGGGGAAGAAAAGAGAGAAAAAAAAACGAGAAACACAGCCGGCAATCTGGGCAAATACTCCTACCTCGCTCTTGGCGGACGAGGGTTGTGTCCATCGTCGTGCCACTATTCTTCACTGATGGGGTCTAGCTCTGCAACCCGTCCTGATTGATAAGATCAAGCCCACCCTCTCTGACCAATCCCGTCGCAGAGAGCCATCAATAGTTGTTTTCTTCTCTCGTGAGGGGACTTTTTTCCTTCCCATGTTTTTCATTCCTTCTCCCGTATTAACTGTACCTGTGCATTGTTCCTTCCCTTGAACCCGGGCACTGTTACCTTGAACTCCTACGCCTCCTTCCTTGCGGCCATCTCGTCTCTGAACAGCAAAGCCCAGCAAAGCCCGGCATGTCTGCCAAGCCAACCACAATCCAATGTATTGGATGTATTGGGACATTGGCGCCGCAGCCAGACAAAAACTCTTACCGAACCCGGTGCTTGGCCCCTTGGCGATTTTAAACGTATTTGCCAGCATTTCCGCGGCGATTCCATCAATCCCCGGGTATCTTGACGACTGCAATACCTTCTTATTCTGGCCACAGGGGTCGACCAAGCCGATTCTTCGAGCGTCCGGGCGAGCGTCCGGGCGAATGCACACGCGCCGTTAAACACGGCAGCGGGATGATACATATGGAATTTGCAGCTCAGTGCTTCAGGGGCGGGGCCGCGTAACTGGGCCCCCTCGAAAAGGTTCCAGCTGCTCGGGCGACAGCGGCCGGTTCCGTACCGTTGGGCTTTCCTCGGAAGGGCAAAGGCCATGTCAATGAGAGGACTGGGGATTTCCAACGACACGTAGAATATCAGATGGACCCCGCATCTCTCTAGACACTCTTCTTTCGGCCCTGTCAGAGCCTTGAACCCGATTTAGGGATATTATGAGTTCGGACACGCGTCCCTGGGACTGGATGCCTCTTCTGCCAATATGCCCCTTCTTAACTGAACCTCACCAACGCTTTTGGACCGCCCGTACAACTAAAGTGTCGATAGTAACCCGATCACGGTATCTACCCGTAGCCTCACTATTGTCTCAGCTCTTTTCTAGTATCTGGGGCAAGACGAGAATAATCCGCCCCTGCCGGCAAGTCGGACCGCCGCTCATCATCTCTTGTCGGGGCTGCCCTTCGTCTTTCCGCAGCTTTGCAGTGTCTACTAGTCGAGGTATCAAGCCTGCAGATGGCAACAGAAGAAAATGTAGCCACCGCTTCGAGCCGGGGACATATAGAGTATATCGCTAGGAACCGCGATTCGGGGGCATGCGATCGATATGTTCGGGGCGACTCGTTTGTAATTTGGAAACTCGGGTCTCTTGCTTTCGATCGTGTACGGAAAAGACTGCTGGGTTCTGGCTCGGCCCGGGAAACTGCTGGCTATCAACTTCGGTCGTTTCCTCCCAAGTCCCGCGCTGAGACCTTGCAGAGTCCATGCCTAGATGGATCGGGGTGTCCTCCCTCTACATTTCGGGAATATCTGCGGCGTGCCGATGCATTCGATGTGCATCACCAGGGAGTACAAGCCCGCGTGATCCCTTGGGCGCCGGCCCCTTGGTCTTGGCTTCGGATATAGCAGCCTTCTCTTCTTCCTGGCGTAGGATCCTCGTTTATGGCAACCTCGTGGTCGATTCCTAGCGTTAAGAGAAGTCGTGGAGCAGGGCGGAGACCATGGAGACCATGTCAGGCCCGATGCCCCCCGTATGGTATAAGACCCAACGTCATCCTTGAGTGGGAGGCACTCGCGGTTCTTATATGTCAAGATTCTTCGCGCTCTGTTGGAGCTTACCACAGCTTATCGGCGTGGGTAGTCAGGGGAGGAGGAAAAGGAAAGAAAGAAAGAAACATGAATGAAAAAGAGGACAAGAGGACAAGAGGAAGAAGAAAAAAAAGCAAACGAGCCAAGACTAGGTGGATAAGGGACCTCAACATCATATCATTGCAGACCACTTGTTGGGTAGGCCGTCTATCAAGACAAAAAGCAGAGGGCCAAACAAATCAAGATAGCTCACGCCATGTTTCGTCTTGACGGTATCATAATGCTCGTCTGCAGGAAAAGGGCTGACGGGAGTCGGCGGCCGGGGAACCCGAAAACCCGCTGCCGGTGCAGGATATACATCCACAGATAAGATGCTCGCCTGCCTGTGGCCAACCCCAGCCCTCCATACCCCAGCTTGTCTAGAATCGCACCCGGATTCTTGGCTCTTTCTAGACCCCGTTAGGGAGATGCAGGGCTAGCCTGCCCGTTGCCTGCGTACTCAACGTCCTGCTGGTTCGGAGTTTGGGCATCACGTACTTTGTGCGTCCACTCTCAAGAAGGGGACAGCAATCAGAAGGGGCGGGTAACACAGGGCGAAGCGCATGATGATGGTGATACTTTCCCAAGCGGGCATATCCTACTGCCAATCCCTCCACGCCTTGGATAACGAAGAAGGAAAGTAGGACCTCCTCCCCGATCCAGCCCTGCACAAAGGCCAGAGGCTCAGGCCCAGATTGGTGTCGGTCTGAAACGGATGGGCATGGTTTCTCCTCGGACAAGGCACCCAGCGACGCCCGGGATAGGAGCGAGATAAGGCCCCGACCTACGACGCCTTGCCCCCTTCCTGGCTTGGCTTGTGCCACAGGCGGCTTGCAGGCCATGTCTAGATTGCGAGATAGGAGGGAGGGGAATAATAGATCAGAAGCGTATCATACACACACGTACACACACTCTCTCTGTCTCTCTCGCGCACACACGCACACACACACACACACACACACACACACACACACACACACACACATGTGCGTTTGTCGCCCCGGACGCGTACATGCGTCCTCCTGTCGCAGAAGAAAACAGCGATTCCGGGAGCCGAGAAAACCTTGGTGCTTGAACCAACTATCGGGTATATATAGAAGTCTTGCCTTCCTCCCTTCCTTCTTTGATCAAACCTGCCATGCAGTGAGTAATCAGGCGAGCTGTGCACCCTCACCCTTTTTGCGATGACGATGATTATAGGGACAGACCAAGAGGGGACTGCCGAGACACTTCTCTGTCGCCCCAATGAAGAAAGGTAATATCCATTCTCGCCTTTCCTTCTTCACTCTAACCAGACCTATGCATGGGTCGTTAGCTGGAGATGATTGAGCCCTTTCGTTCCTCCTAGGAAGATATATCCTCCGACCCAAATGGATTTAGGCAACAGACTCGGCAGGCCTGCTTCTTTGGATGCATCTTGACACACCCTTCTCTGCCGAATCCTCCCTCTCCCCCTTTGTCCGAACAAAAGAAGATTGCCGAGGAGACAAGGGGTAGTCAAATCAGCTGTTGTCTTTCGGCGAGGGAGGAGGAGAGATAAAGAAAATCGACCAGCAACCGACCATTCGGGATGTCGGTTGGCACTGACTGGAGCATCCCGAAGAGACGGGAAAAACAGGTGTGATGGGTGTCTTGCCACCGGCAGGAGTTCGGGTGAACCGAGACAAAGTGTTGAAAGTCGAAAGCCTCGTTCCCGTTGGAGGCAATATGTTCCTGACCCCACACCAGGCTGACCCTCTCACTGACCCTCTTCTCTTCTCACTCCTTCCCCTGTTCAAAGGGAGGGTTCGGCCACTCTGGAAATCGAGCCAATCGATCAACGCTCATTGACCCCAGTCCGACCAGACCCATCCGGGAGTGGGTCCCACTGCCCTGATTGCTTATCTCGTCCGCTATCTGCCATTACCTATCAATTTTCGATTGAACATCAATTGCACTGATATCGCTCTGCCGCTGCATGCACTGGCCGCTCCGTTATCTCTGGGGTTTCCGCCCGCTCCCCCAAAATGGCTGGCTTCCCCCTCCCCCGAGCTGTGGGACCGCGCTAATGCCGCAAGTGTTCTACCCTTCTTTTGCTAATCAACCCTTCCACGCCATGAATTCATTTCCTTTTTTTTTTTTTTTTTTTTTTGGGTGGTGGTGGTCTGGTTTGGCGGGGTTTGAATCTGGGTGGCTAACCAACCCAACCTCCACCCAAACCGCATTTGTCCAGAGAGGGTATGTGGTATCGTGCCGTCGAAATATCGCCCAGCCTGCATCCCGGTTTCTCCCGACACCCGACCTACCTTGCTCTTCATTTTCAAAACCATGGATGTAGTGTGTGCGTTTGCAGACGCCAACAGAACGGTCCGATATTTCCGACTAAGGACATCGTGCCGGTTTTGCTCCTCTTGACCCCCTGCTCGGTTACGATCCACCCGGCAGCCTTTGTGTGTTTGGTGTGGAAGCGGTGTGCGTTCGCAACGAAGCAAGAAGATCAATTGCAATCTAAATTTGGATCTAGTTGCGATGGTTTCGGGGAGGGGAAAGGTTGTTGCTTCCTGCGACGATGATCACCTCCTTCACTTCCTTCGGGTGATTTTGGGCAGGGTGGTCCTTGTCATCGGTACATACCTTCTTGTTCTATAGTGTCCGTTGGGTTGATGGTGCACAAGGGATCTGGGAACAAGAATTTAGGCCCGAGGCCCATCAACCTTCGTTTCTAACCTTGGCACTCGAGAGAGAAGGATTTCCCGTTTGATAGTTTGATGGACCTGTTGTGAATGACTCGTGCATGTCCAACCCATCAGCCACACCCTGCGAACCCAGCCCCAGCCATGGTGGACCTTATGAAGCTTGTCTATGCTAGACACAGTTGAGCCCTCGGCGTGAAATTTCCCGCCCTTGTTGGCAGACCTCATCCCTAGTCTCGAGCTATAGTCATGAAGTGTACAGCAGTGCAAAACGACAAGGGAAACGCCCCAAAAGAAAGAAGAGACAAGGAAGGAAAAAAAAAAAAAAAAAAAAGAAGGCTTGATTACATATGCTTCATGGGGCCACCCGGAGGATTGCTCCCTCCCACAATATGCAAGCTCCTGGGCAGTACAAAGGGGGTAAGCGCCAAAGCATCAGACTGCCAGTGATGTCAGTGGTGTGGGGGAAAGACGACGAGGGGGTGGGAGAAGGGGTGTCGAACATCGTCGCGGGAGCGGTTGTTTGTGAAAAGCCAAGCCTGCGTCTGGCCGTGGTTCGAGCTTGCAAGACTACGGACTTGAAAGGATATTCCTTCAATATTTTCCATCTTCCTGATAGCTGCTCCGCAACGCTTCTAGACGAGCTCTGGAACCCCCAAGCACAGGGCTGCCCCCAGTGGCCAACCTTGTGGATAAATGTAAGTTACCGGTCGGTTCACTCAAAGGTCGAAAACAGCCTCGAGCGGATGCGGCGAAAATCTTCTCTCTCGTGTAAGCTCATCATCGAGTATGAGGGGATCGGGTTGCTCTCGGCGTAGTATTGTGGAACAAAGCACCGATCCTCATAATACGCTTGTTCACCCATGCTAAAGGAGCCGTGACCGGCTCTTGAAGACGGCTGCCGTCCCTCAGCCTCGAGATCTCCCGACAGCCTTGGATACATGCCATTCCTGAGAATCCCGACCCTCGTCTTTTAATTTTTTTCTGTACCTCAGTTTATTTGTTGATGCTACGGGAGGGAAGCGATGGCGGTCTGCATCGCCGGAGACTAGAATTTTAGTTTTGGCCCTAAGAGGCCGGCAACGGAGCAGCGTAGTCGACTTTCATCTTGGACTGTTCAGACAAACAGCAATTAGTCGAGGATATTCCGTGCCTCATATTGGGCATGTGCCTGCTCGCTCTCTCCGAAGATGCGCTTGACTTTCGGGCACTAGGGCGGAGAGGCCCTCCCCGGGAAAAAAAAAAAGAAGAAGGGTGCTGCGAACGCGGCTAGAGGGGGCCCGCTTTCTAGCTGCGTGGTTTTCTGGCTGAAATCGTACAGACCGCCGGAAACCGACGTGAGGTCTAGCGGATTCCGAATTTACGAACGAGAGGGACGAGGAGGACAGGGAGAGGGAGGAGGGTGGGGGAGGCCGCTTCGTTCCGACGACGGCTTGCTTGCTTGGACAGGCGCGCAAGGCGATGTCTCTCAAATGCTTAGGGAAAAAGGTGTAGTAGCCGATGTATGTGTGCAGTGTACTTGTATGTGTGCGCGGGAGAGAGTGTGTTGGGTGGATACGTCCATCAATTGGCATTCTGATATTGCAAAAATGGGAGGGTGGGGGAAAAGAAGATGGAACCCAGATGGCACAAGGGGTGGAACTGGGGCGGGTCCCCTTGGGTTCAGGCAGTCGGGTTGTATTGCACGCCACGCGGTACTGGTGCACATGTCAGTGGAGAAGCACACGAAACCTTCGTTGGGACTGTCCTGGCGCACTAGTGTAGGCTCGCCGGCCTCGCCTCGGGTGGGGAGGTCTCTTTGGGGATTGCCACTCAAACCAGCCCCAAAACCCCTCGATCGCAGGTCGTGCCTGGCCAGAGCCCCAACTTTGAACGGCGAGGTGAGTGGTCAAGATGCGAAAACATTAGAATGGGGGAAGGGGAAGTTTTCCCGCCTGTGGTGGAGAATCGATCAATATGCCTGTGCTACGGGTAGCTCCGGACCTGTCTACACTGGAGGTTGACCAAACGGATGCGGATTAGGGGGGCAAGGCGCCCTTGCCCAGAGTATTGCTTTCTTTTCCTGGCGCAGTGGCTAGCGTGTGTTGTGTGGCCTTCACTTATAGAATCAGTTGCTTTTGCGAGGACCAGGCCATTTTCCCTTGGCCATGATGAGATCTCGAGCTTCATACCACCCTTGTGTGAATGGTCGCATGTTGAGCTACCTCTGGCCCGCTTCCTCCTTGCGCATGGCTTTATTAGAGTCGAAGCTCTGATCCCCCTTGTCCAGGACCTGCGCCAAGTTGTGCAGCGCCTGTTTCGCCGCCTGTTTTCTGTAGCGCCGTCGTGTGGGGGTCCCTCCTACCTCCACGAAACGGGCTCCCTTGTGAACTGGGCCGGGGAGGCCCTGGTAGACGAAATATCAAAGCAGTACGACTTCATGCAGGAGGTGAGTATGAGCATGCCCCCCTCACCTCAATAGTAGACGGGACGGATATATGCTGTATGGAGGAAAGGTTGGGGAGACGATAATGGAGGCGGGGAGTTTGTGCGGGGGCGGGCGGGTTGCGCTCCCCTCTCGAAGAAGGAATGATCCCATCCCACCAAGCATCAATGGTGCGGTGGGCGTTTTGATCCATCCATGGATGAATGTTTAGTTTGTCAAAGTCCATGTTGGCTTGAGCAACGGGGAGGGGACACGGCTTGCTCTCCCTTGCCATGGTTTTTGTAGAGCTTGGTTCGTGCGCGCAGGGGACCAGCAACGGTCGGCAAGCACGCTTAAGATGCCTAGTGTAGTTCATCTTCGTGCGACCGCTCTCAGGGACTATATCGTACAAAGAACCCAGTCTTGAAAGGGGAAAAAGGGTAGCGTCGACACTTCTCCACTTTGATACCTGTGAAGATGGATTAATATTCGACTGCTTCAACAACCGCCAGCTCCAAATAACGCCGCCGTGCTGCAGCTGGTGGATTGCCATCACCAATTCTAAACACGTAATTTTGTCTAACCCAACAGTCGACCATCAAAACCACCTCTTCGCCGTGTAATTCTCTATCAAGCAATGGGCTATCCACAGCCAGCATTTACAGGGGCTTGGGCCTTTAGCTCCCACCCGTTGAACCGAACGTGCTTCCCTCATCCGAACGAGGCCGCGGATTCCCCGAGGCCTTGGATTGTCTCTGCTTCGTCCTCTGTCCTTTTTTTTTTTTTTGGGGGTTTCCCACCAGACTTTCGTTCTTGGCGGAGGTTGTCGCGGAACTAACCGAAACTCCCTTCCCCTCTTCTCAGACAAATCGGCTTCGACATGGCACAAGGGGGTTGCTTCCAAACCGGGCAGGTAGACGCGCCGTCATCATCAAGATCCAAGGGCCATACAAGCGATAGGCGAGATAGAGCATTGTTCAAGCAATGTGAGAACGCGGGCTATGTGCGATCGGGGCGACTTGTACTTTCCAACAAAAGGGTGGGTGCCGTCCTGTCTCCCGTTCAATACCGTGTCTGGAGGGGGCTTAAAGCGTGACACGCATACATCAATTAATCCGGGTGTGAAGTCGTCTTCTTGGTGTGGTGTTCATCAACAACCTTTCATGTTGGTGACGGGCGAAGAGATTCTAGCCTGTGGGCGGTGGGTGTGGGCGTGGGCTTGCAAGCAGTCGAAGACTGCTGCTCGGCAAGAGTGGGATTCGAGTGGGGTGGAATCCCCATGGGCGCAAGGTCATTGCTACTTTGTACTTGTAAGTAAGTCATAACCCTTCGACAGGAAGCATTTTGCTTGCAAGAGGGTCCTTCTTCCTTTCCCGATCCATACTAGGTGGGGTGCGCCAAGCCAGGACCCCCGGTTACCGGCCAATAGACAGCCGCCTGTAAGTAAGATGCGGAAAGGGCATTTTAGAGGGGGTGAAATGGGGTGGAAGGTGACAGGACCGTGGGATGCTGTAGCACAGGGATGGGGTCCCCGTCTCCCGATGTCGTATAATCTCGTGTGACACTGAGGTTGAGGTGTGCGCAGAGGACAAGCCGTTGGGTTATTCACGCCAATACCCAAGGAATAAGAACCAACTTTCGCTGGTGCTATCGAGATATTACATCGGCCACAGCCAAAGAGTAGATCGGGGGTTACTAGGTCAAGGTGAGCTGGTAAATCGTGTCATCAATCGTAGCAGATGCCTCGAACAGTGCAATATACTTCGCAAATCTAATAGATCCAGTTCCATTGCACTCGGGGCGCGGCCCTTGCCGACCTTTCCAAGTGTTAGATCATCACAGCCCATATTGATGTTCGAAGTACAAAGTAGAAGTTCAAGTTGATTATTGCCGCGCGCTCGAAGGGGAAACATTGAAGCTTGACAGTGACAGGGATAGGGTGGTTTTTGGCCTGTTCTTCTTTTCTTTTTCCTTTGAGCCTTCACACGGGCAGCTGTTGTTGGGTATGAGAGCGCACCCCTCCCCCACGCATACACCCCAAAGCCTGTAGACTTGTCGGCCTATAGACCTATTACAATAGATTCTAGGCTCGTTGCAGCTACTCTAGCTTCCTCTTAGTCTTTCGCCCTTGCTGAATATGTTTCGGTCAAGCTGACAGTCCTTTGCTAAATCGAGCTTGGAAGTTGCTCTCGGCGAAAGGCGCCGGGCTTCAGGTTAGGCCTCCGCTAGCCATCCTTTCTCGTTGTTAGAGAAGAGGAGGGAGTGGAGGGGAGAATAAGGATGGAAATCTGAAAACGAATTTGCAAATGGAGCGTCTTCAAGATTATTGATGTCAAAGGCAGCACGCGCTCATATATGACATGGCATGCGCTCCCGTGGAGGTGGATGCGGGTATGGAGGAAAGGCTGCGTTCCATGACTGTGCAGTGTGACAAAGGTAAACCGACCCAGCTTCGACACACACACACACACACACACACACACACACACACACGCTGCGGTGGACATCATGGCCAGCGTTTGGCCCACTCGCCGTGGATGCAAGACTCGGCGCATCGCAGGTGCCCACTTTTATTATTGTTTCTACACAAATGCCTTGCTTCCCACTGGCTGTCTGATCAGTGGACTGTTTGCTACTCTAACAATGAGGGCCATTGCGGAGCCAAGGTCCTGTTGACGAGACCATGGTGATGGTCGACGCTTCGCAAGAAACGGAGAGTTTCTGTGAGCCTTTGCGCGCTGACCGAGATATATCTAGAGACCAATCTAGCTCGGCGACTTCGTTCAAGGAAGAAGACTGAGGCGGTGGAGAAGGAACGAGGGCTACAAGATGGAAGGCGATGGCATAGAGGACCCAGGCAGTTGGTTCGCTCCCTTCACTTGATGCAGCATTTGTTCGCTCTCTCTCTTTGGAACAGTCCACGCGAGGGAAGCATTCGAGACATGTAGGCGGCAGAGCCTTATTCCGGGACTCGAAGCGGGGCTATCCAGGATAATACTAAACTGAAGAAAGAAGAAGGAGAAAAGAAAGGGACGGCGCAGTGCCAAGCAAGACGTCCGTCTTCGTCCAGCTAAAAGGTCAAATCCACGAAGCGAGCTGGACAAGCGATGCCGGACAAATCGGATAGATTAGTCGTGAAGGGAGAGTGACTTTGCCATGTTTGATCTCGGAAGGGCGCTGCACATGTTGCCAGGTACCGTCAAAGCTATTGATCCAATGGATGAATCCAAATACTTATTGGGTTCCTAAGGTTCCGTTCATCAAATCAACCCATGCTTGCCATGCCCATTTGCCCATGTAGCGAGAATACACTACCAGTGCTCTTTCAAACCCACCCGGTGTCCGCCGCTCCTAGATCTTCCGGGCGACGACGCAACCCTGGACGCGCTGCCCGTTCTTCCGCTGGATACCCCCACTGCTCCGCTTTTCGGTTGCGTCCCTGTTCAAACTGTCAAGCCAAAATGGAGAGGGTGGCATTTAATTGTTCTCGGTTCAATCCACTCTCTCGACCAGCCCCGGTATTACTCGTACTTGTACTAGACTCCTCCTGGACGGTTTGTCCGGCCGCACCAATTATGTGGTAGGCTTAGTCGAAACCTTCGATTCTTAGGGAGAACTGAGCATCCACCTGGACAGGGAAGCGATTCATTTGGGGGCGTGGGGATTTAATTCCCAAGGTACAGTCGCCACGCGAGGCTCAAAGAGACTCTTCCCAGATCTCGATCCCAGGCCTCTTTCGAGGGTGGAGGGGACTCGACAGCAGCATGTAAGAGGCTACAGAACTGCCACCACGCTCCGATTTACTGGGAACAAAGAGGGCCTCAATAAGTCGATGAGAGAGGCAGCAAGGTTCTATTCCTGGACAAGGTTCTAGGTATCGACTCTAGGTTCTTTTTACACTATAATAGGGCTGGAGAATGTCTGAGAGCGTGTGGACAAGTCCCCCTTCATGTGCTACAAGTACAATCCATCTTATTGTCTTCATGCTCGATCTGGACGTAGCCATAAACCCGTTGCGTACACCTCACAGCTGTGCCTTCTTCAATTCCCACTCTCGTGTGCCTGTGGAGCGGTTTCTTCGAGCTTGGGAACCGGCGCCGCGCTAGAAGAATAGTCCACACCTCGACCCGGAGACAGATCGGCCCTAAATGGGCTCCTAGTGCAGTCGCTGGAGGGCTCCTCTGGCCACTCATCCTCTGCTTAGGCCTTTATTGAGTGCTTTCAAACAGGATTCTGGATCCGCTGCTCCTCACGGTTCCCCACCCGCACACAACATCCATTTAGCACCTGATGGTGATGGGCTCGTGCGAAAGAGTGGCGCTGATCGGGATGGGATTGTCTGCCAGTTCCTCCCAAGCTCTACTTTTCCACCCCACCAACGAGCCTCAATTTCGCACCGAGATCGAATCTGTCTCGAGAAAGCATGTTTGGTTGATGCGGACGCAGTGGTTTGGATATTAGACCCAGTCTGACCTGGCCATAGACATGACGGGGACCCGTCAACGGCCTGCTGAGACAACGTTAGCCCCCAAGAATCTCAACTTTGAGCCTTGTCGTGTTCTGCATGCGGAGGGCTGGCCACTGCGCGAGATGGCTACATCCTGGTCCGGTCTTGGATGGAGCCACCGCGCATTGGCATCAACTTGTCGGCTTTGTACTGCACCCCTTGTCTTGTGGTACTTGCAGAAGCAATGCAGCAACACAGTTGACCCAAGGCTTGGACCAGCCAACCCTGCAATTCATTGTCCAGAGCATCGATTCACTGATTCGTTGGTGAATTAAGAAGTTCCAAACGGATCTTAAAGATCCATTCGCTGATTCGTGTCCTTGAAATCGAAGCCATCTAGAGATGAATCGACTGGCGTTGGGCTGGGGGAAGAGACGAGGGCGCTGATCTTCTCCTCCCGGTTCCGAGCAGGCGAAATCAAGTGTCAGTCTTGAAAGTCCCCTGCAACGGGTACTTGCTCACTGTTTGACCAGTGCTGCTCCTTAGCCTCTTCCAGAGTGGAGGTAGCTTGTAGTCAGCCAGCGAAGTGGCCCATGAGTTCCATTTTACGCCCCCTCTTGGGGGTTCCCCCGCCGCCGCCGACTGTGACTCTCCCGCTGCGCAACCACGGGCGTGCGTCCTCTTTCCTCCCAACTCCCGGAGCGGCTGATGGGCCGACAAAATTCCCATTAGCTCCAAACATCTATTCCAACCTCCCGCCTTCAATGCTTCTTTCTTTCCTTTCCTTTCAAAAACTCACCCATCCTGTGAACGAGCACGAACCCATTCGCAGCCTCACACAAAGAGTCGGCGTAAACCCTCCAGCTCCTTTTCTTCGCACCCGTCTTATCTAAAATTCGGCGACTCTCGTCGAGAATCCCTGCTCGGATTTCCACCACGTCCGAATCCTATCGGTCGCTTCGGGTCACTTTCTCCTTGTTGGCCATCGACAGAATTGCCAGGGCCGAAAAAAGGACGCCCACTCGTTTCTCTTGCGCAGGCTCGTCTTGACGTTGTCCGGACCTCCCGTCTCGCCCTCGCCCTCTCGCTATCGGGGTGAAAAACGCCAGAAGCCAGCACGGAGAAATAGGACGGACCTTGTCCGTCCCATTTCGACCGCGCGCCGCAGTTGTTCGTCGTGTCTAGCTCTCCGCCTTGCTCGAATATTTTGCAGGCTCTTGGTAGTGGATAAGTAATCTCGTGAGATCACTTCGTCATCCCACCCCTCCGCACCTGTTTTGCCAAAAGCCACACTGTACGTTCCCCTCTCCCCTCCAAACCCCCAAACTATCCCAAATGGGGGTCGCTTTTTCCTGCAACCTGTAGTCGGTTCAATTGATGGAGGTCGAGTTGGATTTATCCCACTCGCAATTGGCACCTGATCTGTCGGCCACTACCGCTGCTTTGTGAACAATTTCCCTTCATTATACACTCCTTGCGACCAACGTGTGGCATCCTCTTTTTCTTTTTATTCTCGTTTATTCTCTTTTCCTTCTGTATCCTTTCCCTGCATAAGATTGTCAACCCAGCTGACAGCCAGCTGTGCGGCTACAGAGGACCTCTCCCCTCTCTGCTTCTGCTGCTCGGTTCACAAGCCAAGCGGAGTTGATTCAGAGGAACACCGCCAAACCCTTAAGGAGTGCCATTATCCCCCACCCTTCCCACCCTTCAACGGTAGCAGCCATGGCGGCCAACACATCTCCCGGTGCCGCTTCCTGGACATCTTTCACATCCATGAATCCTACAACGACGCAGCATGACTTCCGGTTTCCCAGGAGGCCCGAATACCTGGGTGTCGATCGTTATACCCCCACCTGCACAACAACGTAGCCTCACCCGCTCATAGCAAGGCTAGCTCAGAGCTTCGGTCTAGTTTGCAAGACCTCAAGCTAGATATCTCATCGACTTATGAAACTGCCCAGGAAAGGCTCCTCCGAGATGATACCCTTTCTCCAGACCGACAAGGCCGCGATTCGAGAGGGGCCGGCCTCCACCAAATGAGGGAAGATCCTCTCGCAATCCAAGTGTGGAAATTTTATGCGCGCACGAAGCAGCTTCTCCCGATCAGCAACGCATGGAAAACTTGACCTGGCGGATGATGCACGGTGCGCTTATGCGGCGTCGTCATGAGCAGTTGCGCAGGTTTGTGACTTCCCTTGTTCGTTTCCGTGGTCTGTCGCGGACCTGTTGAGCTAACCTTGGTTTTTGTTTTCCTTTCTTTAGGCGTGAACGTCCAGCGCTCATGAGGAACCCCTCAAACAACGCCCCCAGCGGCATTGCTCAGCAACTGCAAAAGTCTTCGGAGCAGGAGTACTCGTCTCAGTCCGAACTTATGAATCTGGATGACTTCATTTTCTCCGACAGCGCTGCAACTCCGCTGGCCTCCCAAGGCGACATCTCCTAGTTTCCGGGCGGGACTGTGACATGCAAGGTGTTGCCCCCTCGCACGCCAATGCGTCGGCTATTCCTATCAAGTCGCGCAAGGATGCCCAGCAACGCTTTGCTCCTCAGTCCGTCCCATTCCCGCCTCGACACCCAGGAGAGTTCAATTATGTGACCCGTCACCACCGGAAGACCAGCATTGATGACAGACGTGTAAGTGAGCTTACCTTTCAGACTGCATTCTATCTGTGGCCCGTACCCCTGCACAACCCCCTTTCAGCTGTCCGAACCCAACCCCACGTCCCACCCAACCCACCCCTGTCCGTTGAGCTCAATGGCTGATACCCCTCGCCTCAATGTCTACACGTATATATAGACTCGCAAGCGACCTGCCGACTTCTCTCCCCAAGTCCCTGCAGTTAATAGCACCATTGGCCGTCCAAGTGAACTTGATGCCGACTCAGACCTTCATGAATACTCCTTGGATACGGCCAATCAGAACGGTGTCCCTCAACCTGGCCAGGCCCGTGTTCCCTTCGGCCTAGACACCTTCAACCTGGAAACCGAGTCCATCCTTGCCTCGGCCGGTCCTTTCCAGCAGCAGTTTTTCTCCCCATCTACGTCTCCCATGATGACCACAAACTCCTTCGCCGGCGTGTACCCAAACAACTCGATCCCAGGCTCGGCAATGAACATGGGGGATTTCTATTCCCCACCGCTTCCGGCTATCACTCCACCGCCTCGACGCCACATGCTGTCAATGAGGGTGAAGGCTTCTACTTTGGGTCGCTTGATATCCGCGGCCAGAGACAACAGCAGCAGCCAGGATTCTCCGGCGGCCAGGCCAGCTTCAGTGGCAACCCTGGTGGCCAGTCTTTCATGTACGGCCCTAGTAACGGGAACTCTACGTTCTCCGCCTCTGCTCCGAGCTCCGAACCCCCTCCGCCTATAGCACCGCCCCTAGCTCCTTCGGTCACATTGATCCTTCCCAGGTCTTCCAGCAGCATGACCAAATGGTCAGGTCTCCCCGGTCTTCCCATACAAATGACAACATGTTCTCCTTTGGTGCCGACTCCGATGATGAGGAGGCAGGTGGCGTATTCTCTGAGCGAAATACCGCTATGCCGGGCAATTTCTCGCCCGCGATGGAGGATAGCAGCTCGTTGCAGTGGGACGCGTCCCTCCCAGGCCAGTTTAGCACTCAGGCAGCTAGGTACCCTGGAGGGCCTCCCCGCAAGACTGTAACCATCGGCGGAACCACTACCGATTATGTCGAAACCAGCGGAGACTGGGAAAGCGGTATGAATAGGTCCCAGTCCCAAAATTTCAAGTCCTCAGCAGACAAGCGGCAAAGACTGCCTCGCACTTCCTCCACTTCTTCCACAACTCGCCTCATGAACCAAAGGGGTTCTGGCTCCGATCGCACCGCCCGTTCCACCCCAAGCTCGCCACCTGGAGACGGCGGTATGTCGGCCCTTTCGTCTGCTGCCCCAAGCCGGCAGTCTACTCCTCCACCCTCGAAACATGGCTCGACGACCAACCTTCAAAATGCTGGAAACGGCCAAGGCGAGAGCAGTGCGCCTACTACTTGTACCAACTGCTTTACGCAAACGACACCTCTATGGCGTCGTAACCCAGAAGGTCAACCTCTTTGCAACGCATGCGGACTGTTCTTGAAGCTCCATGGCGTTGTTCGGCCACTGAGTCTGAAGACCGACGTCATCAAGAAACGCAATCGTGGCTCAGGTCCGAACGTTCCTGGAGGCGGCTCCGGTACGAGATCCAAGAAGACCACCTCCGGCACCAACTCTGCCTCGGCGTCTCGCCGAAACTCGTCTCTTGCTGTGTCTTCTTTGGCCACTGTTGCCGCCGGCAAAGGCAATCCTGCCCCCGCTTCGGTAAAGCGCACTTCGGCTGGCGAGTCTCCGTCGGCCGATGCCGGCCCCAGCGCCAAATCTGCGGGGGCAGCCTCCTCTGCTAATTTTGCGGGCGCGGGCGGCGCTGTCGGCGGTAAGGGAGTTGTGCCTATCGCTGCTGCTCCACCCAAATCCACGCCAGGACCTGGGGCATCCTCTCTCTCGATCGATGTCTGTAAGCTCCAAACGCCAGAGACGGCACAACAAGAGCACAGATATCGACCTCTCGGGCGATATGGATGTCGATAGCCCCGAGAGCTCTACGGGATCCAACGACGGGACTATGAAGTCTACCCCGGGTTTGACGCACGCCCACAGCTCCGCTAGCTTGGGATTAGCAAGCGCTTTTGGCATGACCCAACGGCCAATCGGATCCCAAAGCATGATCTCCATGTCCGGTGTTCGGCCGTCGGCTGCGATGGGTAACCCCGCCGCTGGCACCTCGGGAGCTCAAGAATGGGAATGGCTTACGATGAGTCTCTAGCGAGAGATGCCACTGGGCATATCTTTCTTCTTCTCGTTGCGTCTTTTTGTTTCTTGCCTATTTTTCTTCTTTTTCTCTTTTCCCGTATCTTCCTCACTTGGATTATCACGATAGACACGAATGCGCTGGATCCTTCACTTTTTTACGTCACATCCGGGGAGGGGGACGGCGTTTATCTGATCTTTTACGTTTTGTCTCTTGCGCACATTTTTGCCTTGGCGGGCCACCGTCAAATCGAAGTGTTGCGATAAAGTAGCCAAGATCTCCCCGGCCCTTCTATTTTGTCTCCCCTGTTCATGCTTTGATGATACCTGGCCTGTGGTGTGCCCTACTCTGGGCTCTTTGATGGCCCCATTTCCTGTTAATGCAATGCACGATTAGCCTCGCATGACCCCTCCGCCCCCTCTATTTTCTAATTGCGTTTTGTCTTCCTTGGTTTTCAACTAGATTTCTGTCTCTTGCGAATTCAGGCGTGGGATAAAGATGGAGGGTCTGCTTTGATGGTACTTCTCCGAGATACTAGGGATCTCAGAATGGCCATTCGGCATTGAAAATGCCATACATACATAGTGGGTGCGATAATAATGGGCCATGCTGTCCATATTTATACATACGCGCAGACACTTGCTCTGTTTCTACTTCACCATTGGTTTCAGGTTGCCAACATCTTTGTTTTTCCGGACAGAGTGGCGAGTGAGATGAGAGAAGTCGCTGGTTGAGGGTTTGTCTCTCATGGTTCCTCGGCGCGCCACCACGGAATTCAGGCTGGGAGCTGGTAAGCTCACATTGAAGCGTTGATATCCCATCTCCATCCGGCCTACGAGACGTACGACTAAGAGCCACGACCACACACAATTCCGAGGGTGGGCTTGGGAGCTAATAGCGGCAATATTATGTCCGCACGAAGGCGTTCAGGAAGGGTCGTGAGGCGATGGCAAGGCTGTGTGCATACTGGGCGAGTTCATTTCCTACAACGTATTTTATTTTCTTCTTTCACGTCGTGTATATTCATCCCAGTGTTTGTTGTGCGGGTATTAGTTTGCCTTTGTTTGGGGTTCTTTTAAGTATAGTCTTTGAGCCGTTATATACCAGTCCAAGATTGATCTATTACTACTATTTGCAAGACGAAAGATTTGTCGTTGATGGCCTTTATAAAAGGGATTAGTTCCCGCTAAAGGAGAGGGCGGCGCAGTTCCCCTTGAATGATTTGCCTGGCCTCGATTTTGGAGACGGCGGGCCAGAGTCGGGTCGTTGAAGAGCATGCAAACTGTTCGGTACGCTGGCTTCGTAGATGGACTCCAAGATGTACAAGTGGGGAAGCACAAGGCCTACAGATGCCAAAGCCCTTGGGAGGTCAGGGACCCCGAAGAACCTTGCCACAGGATAGAATAGTCTCTCGGTTTACGGCACAGGAGACACGGCACATGCATGAAAAGGTTCGAGGCTGGCCTGGACCTTTTCCTTCAGAAATTTCAAGAATAGAGCGCGAGAAAGTCATGTTGCAGAGAAAATGTTCCTTTGTCCGAATGCCAACGCAAAATAATAAATCATGCCATTATCCGGGTTGCCTGGATTCCCCCATCCCTAAAAGGTTCTTTCCTTTTTGAACTCCTCCCCTTCGCTTTCCGCAAGACACACGAGTGCCTTGGTTCCGGGGTTTCCATTTTTGTGGAGGGCTGTGTCCCACGCTTCTGTTCCCATCTTCGAAGGCCCCATCATCCGCACAAAGCAGGGTTAAGAGCCGGTCCGATCAAAGTTGGTGACATGGTGTAGAGGTAGAAGGTGGTTGTAGATTGACAAGAAGTTGGGGGAAATTTACGCGGTGGGAGCGGGGTTCATCTAAAGGGTTCAAGGTTAGCAAGGCCGTGGGCGCGATATGCTTGGTCTGACACTGCTAGTGCAGCAAAAACCTACCTTCCTCTTTCCGCCAGTGAGGGTGACGTTGACGAAGCGGCGGGTGTAGAGAAGTCGCTTGCGGGCACGGCCCTTGGGGGTCTTCTTCTTCTCCTGGGGCTCAACCTGATGACAAAAAAAAGAAGGCGTTAGCTTGGCCCATATCTTTTCCACCTTGAACGCATCGAAGACTGTCGTTCATCGCTTTTTATTTGCTCAAGAGATCGCGCTTCACTCGGCCTCTTCTTTTTCCTCCAGAACTTCCGCGGCAACAATGTCGTTCTCTCACTTGGGGGCCGGGATCCGACTAACCTTGGGGGTCTGAGACTTGACCTTTCCGGCACGAGCGAGAGCTATCGAGAAAACTAGTCAGTATGCGAGTATTTCGATCGGAAGGGGAGTATTCGGAAGGGCGATGGAGAGACGAACAGCCGTGAACCTTGCTATTAACACAAATAACGTTAGCATTTCATCCCCGACGTTGACGAGATTTTGCAAGAGCGTTTCTCCAGACGGGGCCCCTCCAACTGGCGTTCCACCAGTCGAGATATGCGACTCGAAACAATGGAAGAAAATAAATTCAAGCGAAAAGAAATAACGCTGGAATTGAATTATCCAGGCGACAGCACTTACCCCATATTTGCTGATTTTGGTGATCGAAATTGGCGATTGACAGATGCTTTCGAAGTGTCGTTACGAGAAAGGGAGACTGTCGATGTGTGACTTTGGCAAAATGGGAAGATTTTCACCCAGTGGGACTGGTGCTGCTGAGGGCTTGGAGTGTGCGGTCACGTGTTGTGCGTGGGGAAAGGCAGGACAGCCTGAGGTTGCAGAGGAAGGGGAAGGGTTGAAGAGGCGTTGATTGGTCATCGGCGAGAGAGTCATCACGGAGAGAGATTTCGATGTTGTGCCCGTGTGGCAAAAGGCTTGGAACAGGTGCTCAGTCATGTCCAACAGTGGGGTCATGTCCAACAGTGGGGCCATTTCCAACAGTGCGTTTAGTATATTTATACGGTAATGTATGACTACTCCACTCCGAGATGACTTGTACAAGTAGCTCAAGGAATATACACTTGACTGACGGCTTACAACCTTTGGACAATGGGCTTCAACAATGGCTTACAAGGTGGGGGCACACGAACGAGCACTGGAATGTAGGTTGTGGTAAGTAGCTGGTTGTATTTGAACGACATCCATTTTCATTATTTGGGGGATGCCAACTCCTTGTAGCAATCTTCTCTCTACACTAATTTCCAAGAGCACACACATGAGCCAAAGGCCTATAAGCAGTTAAGCTGCTAGCCACTAGCCTTGGGTCTTGGAGAGCCGTCGTTGACCCTCCAATTCGATTCATACATCATCATCCGTCGGTTGGTATCATCGAAGTTACAGCCCTTTACAGGAGGATAGCGGTACCCACGACCGCACCGAGCACGAGCCCCATAATCTTGACGCCTCTCGTGGAGCCGGCAGACGAGCCATCCGACGTGCCCGTCGCAGCCGCGAGGCCGAGAGTCCTCGAGGTGGTCGTATCGTCCTTGACGGCCTTTTCAACGGCGAAGACGGCCTCGGTGTTGCCGGGCTGCGCGACGGTGACGGTGACGGTCTCGCGCCTCCAGCCGTCGCCGTCGGCGTGGTCCCAGAAGCCGCCGCCGCCGAGACCACCCCAAAGGGGAACCCCCAGCCGTCGCCGTCCCAGGGGCAGCCGGTGACGACGACCTCACCGGTGGGCCAGGTGCGGGTGCCGTGGTAGCCGCCGCCAAAGGGCCAGTCGCCGTCGGGGGTCTGGCGGGTGTAGGTGAAGGTGCCGGTGCTGTCACAGGACTGGAATTTGCTGCACAGGGAGCTGGAGCGCTCCGAGTAGCTGCTGTACTCGTCGGCCTGGGCGGAGCAGGCGGCGGATACGCAGTTTTTGAGGTCGGAGTCGGAGTCGCAAAAGGCGGCGGGGGTGGGAGTGGCGGTTTCCCAGTAGGAAGACACGCATTCCTTCTGTGGAAGGGGGCGAGGTTGAAAGCCAATTAGTTTAAGATAGCTTTACATAAAAAAAACAAAAGATGTGATTGCGGTGGCATGTCTTTGTGTGTGTCGAGTTGCTTTTTTATAAAAAAAAAAAAAGAAAAAAAGAAAAGAAATTCACTTACAGCGCAGCCGGAGCCTCCCAGCCAAAGGGGCCGTTTCCGCGGCCGCCACCGCCTCGGCCACCGAAGAAAGGGTCGCGAGGCTCGACATTCTGGTCGGCCATGACCAGGAATGCCTGTGCTAGAGCGGCGAGAGCAAAGTAGGTCTTCATGTCGGCGGTGCGAGGGACGAAATGGAGGGATAGTGGAGTAGAGGAGAAGAAGAAAAAAGATGATGGCGATGAAAAGGCCGGATATTCGAGTACGTGCAGTTGCTGTATATGAAGCCAGAGAAGCCGAGTGCCGAAGGGGGCGTGAGCAAAGTTCCAAACCCTGGAAAATGTAAAGGCTATAGAAGAAGGAGACGTGATCTAGAATGTAGTAGAACACCAGCTTCGTGCGTGATGCGTTAAGAAGGAAAGGGACACAACAACAGACTCGGGGCGGAAATGGAAAAGTCTTATATACTTTATACACCGGTGGCTGTTTCTCTCGGGATCTTCATTATTTTTGAGATCTTGGCCTTGGCCGAGCGACGTCAGCTCTCCTGCTCGGCGGAGGAGGGTGAACGACTTCCCCAACCGAGGGGCGATGCAAAGAGAGACATACGCGGCACCTGGCCTGGGTGCTCCTCATGGCAACCGCCATCTTTCTCTTTCTCTCTCTCGGACCCGAGCAAGCGAGGTTGGTATACGACGCCCTGCAGAGGGAGTGTCTCTCTGGTGTCACATAGACACACACTCACACGCACACGCACTCACACACACACACTCATACACACACGCAGACACACAGACATCAATAAACTAGCACACGACGGCGGGCACACATGCGCGCTCTTCGCAGACCGTTTTCTGCCTCTCCTTCTTCTTGGTTTTTTTTTTTTTTTTTTTTGGTTTCCTTTTCTTTTTCTTAAAAAGGACCAAAGCCCCATATTATCATGGCAAAAATAGACCAAGAGGCGGGAAGAAGTAAAGTGGAAAGAAACGGGCGGGGCGATCTCCTTAACACGGAGGAGACACTCGGGGGTCAGCAAAGCGTAGCTTCACTTCTTTTCGCGTATCAAGCCAGCTAGCTAGAACATGGCGGCGGCCAACGCCAGCACCAGCGCCATACCGACTGGCCATCAACACCATCGGCGCAAACCTACGCTGTGCAGCCGCGCGGCCTCTTGGGTGGCTGTTTGATTTTTGACTCTGTCGAGGTCGTCATACGTAATTTGCAGTGTACCCATTCTTCTGAATTTCCGATTATTCTATCATCTTCAAGGTGGAGGGAGGAGGGCAAGGGGGAAAGGGCCAGGCTCTTTGGTGCGTGGTCTACTCAAGTGCTGCACGGCAAGTGTCAAAAAGTGGCTGCGATAGTGAGCAGGAACGGGCGCCGAATGGTCCGGCCGGAGAGGATTGGGGAACACCGGCCGGGCTGATCAATCCCCCACATTTTCGTAGAGGTTGCACTGGGACAGAGGCAAAGTGGATGGGTTCGTTCTTTCTTTCCTTTTCTCCTTTTTGTATCCTATTTCTGTTTAACCTCTTTTGGCAACAGGAAGGCTTTGCCTAGAGGAGGGGAGGGGGCGGCCAGGTGTCCTTGTTTGAGGGCCGATTGAGTGCAGACGAGAAACATTTAACTCAGTATTTCAGGATAGATGAGATGGATTCGTGGAGGAAACTAGCCTCGTTCAATCCAGACACCCCAGCCATTCCAGAGAATAAGCAGCGGGGTTTCGCGCCCCGTGTATCAGGTTTAAACCGGGGGAGAAAGGAAAAAGGAAGAGGTTGCCCAGGAAGCTTAAATGCACGTCTTGGGACGATGCAAATATCCAGGAATCTGTGGATGGACCTATGGATCTCTGGATGGATCCACATGACTGTGGTATCTGGGAGTCGGATCGGGTTCAAGGTGATCAATCAATGTCTCGCAAGGCCGAGAAGGGCGAAAGGCGAAACGAGAAACGAAAAACGCCAAAGGGTCGGAGCCTTGAGCCTTGGTCGCACTCGTAGCACTCGTCACCAGGGAAACCTCACCGAACGGCCCTCGGCCGATCTCACCAACTGCAACAAATGCGGGCAGGTATTGATGCTGGCTGGGACAGACAACCCCTTGCTTTGACTACATGTAATCAAGGAAAAACAAGAAAGAAAAACAATGGAAAGACGATCCCCCAGCCCAGCGCTCCATGAAAGCCCTTCATAATTCCGCCAACGGTGGCGGGGATGGGGGAGCACGATGGCTGCGCTGCATTATGCATGCGGAATTTGCAAAAGGCCATCCGTGGGCGAAACCTGCGATATATGGAATCCAAGTTGATGCACGGCGATATATTCCGAGTCAGTGTCGACACTCGGCTGGTGGTGGAGCATGCGAAAAATGGTCGATATACTGGGGCGCGCGGAGGGATGAACCCTCCCCGTCTGAATCCTGAATCTAGGGGCCCTTCCGTGGAAGTCGGGAGCCGTGGGCTTGCTGATATTCCGACGGTGTTGTACAAGGAAACGGTTCCCGGACAATACCGAACCGACGCACGAGGCGAGGCTGTTGTGCTTCCGTGCTCCGGAGCCTGGCCCGGCCGAGTAGAGCAAGGAGAGAGACGCTTGGTGCTATAGCGAAGATGTGGAGATGAACTGGTTTATATGGTGCATGTGGCTTCAAATTTAGGTTCTTACATGGTAATAAATGATGGAACTGTTTCCTCCGGGACAACAGGGACAGGGTATCGCACAACTAACCTTCTTTCGACCCCTCATAGCCAGCGCGGCCCGGCATCAGCCCTGTAGAGCACTGGACATGTGTTGATCCATTGGATTAGTGTAATACCACCAATACGATCTGGGCGATATTTCTACAACTTGAAGAACAACCGTTTACACGCAGGCCGAGTATCCAAGGCTGTGGCGTTTTTTTATTTATTCTCTTGTCTTTTTTGGCCCCCAATCCAGCACAGCACGTCACCTGCTTGAACCCTCACTCCTCACTCCTCACAAGCCCGCCAGGGTCGCATGAGGATCGCGACGGGATGAGCCGGATGGGAATGGGCTGTGCCGCTGGCTACCAGCTGCTGTTGCCTCGGGAGGGGGCTGGGTCTGCGATCAAAATAGATTTCGAGGTTGTAAAGTCAGCAAACGAGCAATGCTTTCGCCCATTTCCCGTAGAAAGCTTGAGTGAACCCCCGACCTAGTTTGTATAGTCTCTTCTCTTCGCGACGCCGTTGCTCTCTGACCCGTTTCCCCTCCTCTTCTGCTCACTTGACACCTCTGCGTCGCGCGATTCCAGCTTTGAATCATTCACCCCTCGCGTGCCCCGCGTCCCCTTCACATACACCACACTTTGCTGCTTCGCTCCCCACAATCCCTCGTGCCACACTATATCCCACACCCTCCCGTTCCACCTCGACCCGACATGGCTGCCCCCGGCGCAGGCCCCGACCCCGACCCGTGGGATCGCACGGCGATACACTCGGGGAACCAATATCTCCGCCACTTCCCCATGAAGCAGCAATGCGGAATGTGTAACGGAGCCGTGTCCGCGAATGACGTATGCGTAGGTCGTGAGTCTCTCTTCTTCTTCTTCTTCCTCCCCCCCACACACACCACACTCTCTCTCTGTTTCTCGCGCTCTCTCCAAGTCAGTCTCCGTTTCTCTGAATACCAACTTTTTCTCCTCTTCGCCCCCTTTTCCCATCCCCACAGTCGTCGGAAACGATACCACAGCCACCCTCCAAACCCACACCGCGCAATTCCTCGCCCCCGACGCCCACGACCGCACCCGCTCCGTCAACAACTGGGTCCTCTGCGCCCGCCGCACCTGCAAAATCTGCGACTTCAACCCCGACACCACCGTCCTCCACCACGAGTGCTTCGCCGTCTTTCGCCGCGCCTCCGCCTCCGCCTCCGCCTCCGCCCCCGCCCCGATGCGCCCCATCAGCTCTGGAGGCACGTCGCCTGGCGCCGCCCCTGGGTCCGCATGCACTGCCTGCCCCTGCCCGAGACGAGCCACATCCCCTTGTCCGCCCTCGCCGTCGTCGCCGCCAAGTGCGGCCTTGCCGGCCTCGCTACCTTGCCCCAGGAGATCCTGCAAGTCATCCGCGCCCACTCGGCGTCCGCCCACCTCTGGAGGTACGTCGCCGGCCTCGGCCTCGCCGCCCAGCTAGAGGAAGCCGCCGCCGCCTCCTCCCGCCCAGACGCCGGCCTCTACGAGATTTCCATCCGCGACGTCGCCTCCTGGGAGCGCGGCATGGACAGGCCTGTCGAGACCAGGAGCGGCAGCACCCCTCTTCCCGTCCTCCGCATCGTCGTCGACGCGCAGGGCATCCAGACCGTCGAGACCCTCACCAACGAGGACGCGCGGTACCGCCACATCCGGTCCGACGACCGCTTCTTCATCGTCACCGAAACCGCCGACCAGTACCTCGACGGCGTGACCGCCCTCTTCCAGGACGGCCTCATGCGCCTGCGCATCCCCCGAGCAGCCCAACCCCCACCTCTGGGACCTGCCCACGCCCCCATCTTCCGCCCCTCCGTGCCCCTCCGGGACAAGACGGCGCCCCGCGTCGTCCACCTCCAGGAACGCGGCGTCAAGGATTCCACCTCCCACAGCATCGACCTCACCTCCGTCACGGGGCTCACTTTCCTCTTTGCCAACTACATTGGCCTCGCTGCCATCCACGGCCACACGGCCGAGAAACCCCACGCCACCATCCCCCACGACATCACTCCCAACGGCCTATGCTGGGTCTATGTCCCCATCTCTAAAAACGACACCGTCCTATCTCTCGATCTCAGGGCGCGAGAACCCAACTTTTATACCCAATGGCCTTCTCTCCTGGTACGTGTATCTAGCGAATCCCCTACAAAAAACCACCATCATTCCAACTCATCGCTCACCATCGTATAATCCAGCTCCACACAGAACTCACCGGCCTCAACATCTTCGGCACCTTTCTCAAATCCGAATTCCCTCCACCCCCTCGGCCGCCGCCCCTCCATGCTCTTCTACACCCGCTCCCCCACGGCCACGTCATCGGCATGGGCACCGCCGCCCGCACCCGCGACCCCGTCAAGCGTCCCACCCCTCTCTCCCGCCCCGAGACCATCGTCCCCAACTTCCTCGCCATGGACCTCCTCATCAAGTTTTCCTCCGCGCCCCTCGACGCCGTCCGCGTCGCCACCGTCTTCCACCACCCCGACCAGCCCCACCTGTGCCTCGGCATCATCTTCGACTACGAAAACGGCGGCAGCCGCGCCGTCGGCCAGTGCCGCCTCGGCCACGACGCCACCACCGTCCACCACCGGCCCACCCGCGTCTGCGTGCGCAACGTGCCCCAGCTTCACGAGGGTGAGCCCGAGCTCCAGTGGACCACCAAAGTCGCCTTCTCGAGCGGCTCCGATCACTCCCACGAGAGCGGTGGGGGCGGAGGCGGAGGCGGAGGCGACGGCGAAGGCGACGGCGATGGCATGCGCTGCTTCTCCATGAAGGACAGCGTCCTCGACTTTTGGTTCACCGCGCGCGAGTTCTGCATCGAGATCCGGAGGGACAACGAGGCCCCCGGCAGCAGCGACTGGGACTCTCATTCCTATGCCATTGTAGAAACCTAGCCTGCTTGCTGCTCGCTCCATCAGCCACAACAACAGTTTTCGCAGATTCAATGCAAAACAGAGCTTGCCTTCTGCCTCCTCTACTAGCCTAATTCATGCTCATGTCACAATGTCCGTTCATGAAATAACAGAAAAAGAATTCTCGTCTTATTTTATAATGTCTTGCCTTTCTCTTGCCTTCTAGCTTGTTACTCGCAGCAACTCAAGACCGCATGTTAGCCACATGAGGGCGAGTTTCTCTCAATCAACCGACACGCCCACCGCCATTCTCGTTGCGGGAATCAACCAAGGCCAAAAGAAGAAGCGGGCGCACAGAAGTATTCTCCATTTCCTAACTCCATGCCACGGAACAAAGATTTGTAAATGCTGGTTTAAAACAAAACGAAAAAGAAAGAAAAAAGATGTAGGGACGCGAAAAAGAGCAAGAACAGGAAGCAACAAACTAAAAAGAGCGGGAAAAGGGGAGGAGGGGAAATAGAGGAACACGCCAAAGGCAATGCTCCCCTTAGAATAGGTCGTATGGCGTCGCTGCTCCGCGACGTCCCGCTCCAAGGCCAAACGCCCGCCTAGGCCGATAGCACGCCGAGGGCGACGACGGCTTGCTCTAGAGCATCGTGCCAAAAGTGCCGTCCAAGGGGATCGGCTTACGAGGGCTGCTGCTGCCATCCTCGCCCTGCGGTTTGCGATGCCGGAAGGTAAATCCAACAAAAAGGCTTTTGCTCATCTCCTCTTCACGTTCCGCCAAGTTTTCGAGCGCCTGTTGCTTGTCATGCACCTCCTTATACTTGGCCATGTCCGCTTCGTTGCTAAAGTCGTCGAAATAGCCCGCATCGGTCTCGGAATCTAACTCAGGCACGAAGGGCGCGCGCGTCTCGCGAAGGGTCTCCCAGTCCACCTCGGCAAAGTATTGGTGGGCGTATATATCCTTGATGTTGGAGAATCGTCGGGATCGGGATTGAATACAGCTATGGTAGAGCCTTTGTCAGTACTAATGTTTTTTTTCCCAAGTTTCTTTTTTGGGGTCATCTCTGACTCTCGAATTGAAAAGGCTCTGACTTACGTAGTGATAAAGTTCCATGTTCTGTTGCTCAGGAAGTAGTTGGGGTCTTCCCAAACAGGTCTCCGGAGAACCTCCTTCCAATGCTTCAAATTTCTCCAGGTCTCGTCAGGCGTAGACCCAGCAAAAGGCGGGAAACCGGTAAGCGCCTCGAATAGCATGCATCCAAGACTCCAGTAATCCACGGTGAAATCGTATTCCTCGCCACGCAAGACCTCTGGTGCCATGTAGTCGGGGAGCCGACAATGGACCGGGCGTAGTTGACGTCCTTTTCACGCATCGTTCGGTAACCCTCTCGGCGCTCAGCCACGGTTCGCTGATCCATGGGTTTTCCGAAGGGTACCGACGTCTCCGAAGCCTTCTCCAGGCGAACCCTCATCGACTCGATTTTTGCGGGAGACAACATGCCGGCGGCGAGACCAAAGTCGGTCAACTTGATATGGCCAGTCGAGTCGACCAAGAAATTCTCCGGCTTGAGGTCACGGTGAATATATCCGAGTTGATGAAGAGCGTCCACGGCGCAGAACATCTCGGCAATGTAGAATCGCGCATGTCGGTTGGAAAGGACGCCCGTGTTGTTCAAAAGGGTTCGGAAATCACCGCCCGGTACGTATTCCATGGCAAGATAAATACTCTTGTCGTCCTGGAATGAATACAAAAGTCGGACGAGCCATTCGCTCTTCGCCGTGGTCAAGATGTCTCGCTCAGTGAGGACGTGCCTGATTTCATCGAGCTTGAAGAGTAGCTTCTTGCTCATGACCTTTAAGGCACAGACTTCTCGAGTGTCCTTCTTCTGGGCGAGGAAGACTTGGCCATAGCCGCCCTGGCCGACTTGTGTAAGGATCTGGAAGTCGCCATGTCGGAGACGGACGCGGCGCTTGCGCAAGTTCGCTCGCTCTCTACCTGTGTACTTGTGCCACATGTGGTCATATGTTGCCTGTTCCGTGTCTGGAGGGGCAGGGTACTCGGCCTTGAAGGCATTTAGGCGGCTTTGGCGCGAGCCGACATAGGTGAGCAGGTCGAAGTAATAATCTAAAAGTCTGATTGACGATATCAAGTTAGTGCAAGGTGTCGTAAGCTCTTGGGCATGTAGACGTACATAGCTGGGTCACATTGACTAGCCTCTTCACATGGGGCTTCTGAAGGATTTCCAGCTCCTCTGGGGTGAGGCCGCGGGAGGTGTTGAATTTCTTCGCGGGAGTGACAGGCCGGCTCGTCTGGTAGACTTCGTGTCTCGACAGCGCGGCATGGTTGTGATGAAGAGGGGGTCAAAGATTCCCAAGCGAGGCGGAGGGGTGTGTTTTCTTGTCCTTGTTTCTTGAGTGGCGCGAGGTGCGGCACGGCCTCCCCTTTGGTGTGCACGATGCTATCGTCGACGCTCGTAATCGACGTCTCCTCGTTTGGCTGAGCATTGCTCTTGCCGGGCGACAGAGGTGTGATGACGCTTTGTGGGCGGTTGAGCTTAACAGGACTCTCCAAGACGGGAGCGTTGAGCTTGAGGGCCCCGTCAAAGGCAGTAGGCAGATCGAAAGCGCCCGGGACCGTGGTCTTCTTGCTTGGGCTACCTTGAGGTGTTAAGACGGGGTCGAGGAAGCCCTGATTTTCGTTGGAAGGAGTTGTCGGGCGAGGAGAGATGTCGAGGGGGCTCGGCTTGTCGCCTTTGCCACCCCGGACAGGAGATTCGACATGAAATTCGTCATGGCGAGCTCCGTTGTTTTGCTACCGGTTCAATGATGCCGATTAGCATGCGAGACGACGAATGGAGGATGGGAGTAGGGCTAGAAATTCGGGCTGGGACTATTTCGGTGAGGTGGGAGGTGAAATAACATACCAAGAAGCTGAAAGAGTCTAATAAAGCCGCGATATTTCGATTGTTGCCAGCTGCTGCAGGGATGGGGTCTAAAAAGGAGGGGTTCGATGTGGGATGTTTCCACGAGGTTAGGCTGGGAGAAAGTATCGATAGAGAAATGCTACTTTGCCAGCATGGGTGGGCTGCACTGCATATAAAAAAAAACCTGCAGGACTAATTGCCAGATGCAAAAGTCTCTAATGATACAGACAAAGTGGGTGTCACCTAGAGTAGAAATGGGATACTTTCCCGTCGGAGGGTTTGAAACGCGAGCAACGAAGGCTTGTTTTGTCCGTGAGCACTCGCGGGTATCTATGGATGTATTCCTTGGTCGTGAGGGCAACACTCGACCCGATGTTTAAGGACCACTCGGGGCAGCGCCGGTTGTGCCTGTGCTTATTCGCTGCCTTGTCTCTGGTACGAAGTAATGTAGTGGAAGGGGCCAATCTTGCCTGGCAACAGAAGCATATTAAGTTGAAGCACTAATATCAACACACATGTCAAACATCAGCCAGGAGAGCCTGGCTCCAAGGTGCGCACTATTCGACCAAAGCCCCAGCAAGCTACTTGTAAGAGGTATGGGATAGTCGAACCAACGGAGCAATCACCGAACCGCTTCGTTAAGCTGATGGGAGGGCATCAAATTGATGGTCCCGGGTTAGTGCTGTCAATTTGCAGGGGCCTTGATTGATCGGGCCCTGTTGTCTTGGACTTGTGCTGCGTGAGTGCGGGGCAAGTTTTCAGTCAACAACTGGAACCCCAAACACCGTTGCAGCAGCAACAGAAGAGCACATGCGGGGCACCATTGAAGATTCCTTGCCAGGAAGGAAGTGCACTGGGCACCTGCACCGTGGCACCCATAAACAGTGCGGCGTGTTTCTCTTATCTCCACGTGACGATAAACAAACCTCAACTTGAAGCTTCAAGATTCTGGTTGTGCTTCCAGGCCAGATTCATAAGGCATGATCTTGACGTTCAGGGCGAGGGCGAGCTCTACATTTCTTCCCTAGTAAAAGTAATCAACGATTGGCTCATCCTTTTCGCATATCTCACTCGAAATACCTACAAAACATCCTCCCAATTGACCAACCATGAACAAAGAGCGCGGGTACAACCCGGTACAGGCTCAGCGCAAGGCCGACAAGGCCAAGGCGATCAAGAAAGGTTCGACTTGACCTCTACATCATCAAGGCCTAGTGCAGTACAGGCATCCATATAATTAGGCTTGAGCTTTTACTAACATTCCGCGAATCACCGAAATTTAGGCAGAGCGGACGTCCAGGCTAAAAGAAACGAAAAGCTCGCGAAACGAAACCCACACCGCATTCAACAGCAGATTGACGATCTCAAAGCGATTACCGATAATGGCGGCAAGCTCACCCGACATGAAGAGCAGGTTCTTGAGGGCTTAGAGAAAGAGCTACGCGCCGTCAACAAGGCAAGGGAGGCCCTCGGCGATGCCGCGCCCGTCTTCCGAGCGCCGCGGGAAGGCGGAGGCCAAGCGGTTCTAGGGAAAAGAAGACGCGATGGGAACCACTCCTCTAGCGACGAAGATGTGCCTGAAGATGTCAAGCGGATACCGATGCCTCGAGATACGCCGCCACCCATACCAAAGGACATTCTAGACAAGTGGTGGGCCAAGAGGAGAGCGAGAAGGGAAGCTGAGCGGGCGACAAACGCAAACGAGACCCCGTAGATCCAGGGCGGAGAGAAAAGAGGAACCAGGAAGCCGCGCCGGTGGAGCAGAAGACGGTTTACGAAGCGAGACCCGTCGTGCGTGATCTGCGCAAGGAGGCCGTCAAGGCCTTTGTTCCAACGTCTGTCATGATGAAAATGAACAAGGGCAAGGGCCAGGGCGGGCTGATGGAGCCTGAGGAGGCCGATCGACTTGAACGGGAGGGCTATCTAAAGACAACGACGCACAAAGGCACGATAGATGCAGCATCTTCGACCGGCCCCCAAAAGGCGAGCGTGGAAGAAGTCGAAGATGAGGATGAATAACGTCTACATCAGGCACCGTGCCTATCAGCCATTGCCCAAACGCGAGTTTGGAGGTGTCCACGGGGTTCCTGAAAAGTATGGTGTGCGCTTCCGCTCCTCCTCGCCCCATCTCTGCCAAGACCCATAACCAAGCGATTTTTCGTATTACGTCTGCAATTTCTGCGCGGCGAGACAGACGCCCCTATTTTCTTCTCGTTTATAGCCTCAATCTGACGCGCTGTTGGGCTTCTCCGGCATCCATCGAAAAGATTGTTCGCAGAGTTGATGAGGAGCTCAAGAATGACTTTCCCCCTTGCCAAAAGGGGCAAAATGTTGAGGAAAGGAAGAGCCATCTCCTTAGGAGGCCAATGCGTTTTTGAATCTATTATATGAAGGTTCGGAGCTGTGTCCGCCGACCCTGGGCCGGGGTGAGTCGAAATTCAACGGTCCCGCCAAATGCAGGGATGCTATCATCCCAGGGCTAGGCAACGTGACCCAGCCCTCGACTCTACCCCCAGGGGAGGCGGAGGCACGTGAAAGAAGCTCGAATATTTACCTCGACTGAGAGGGTCGAGCTTGGCTAACACGAATGGGCGCGGCCATTCAAGGGTAGATGACCGACCTGGAAATCGGCAGCTCCCGTCTCAATCCCTCTATTGCGATTGCGATACATAGTCATAATCCCGACGCTAAAACGACCGCAGTAGCGGAGACGAAAAGGAAAATGCGACCGCAACGCCCTTCCATTCCCGGTACGTAATAGTGTGTATGACTGGGTGTGGGTAGGAAGACAATGGCCTTGGAACCCGAGGTCTGCTCCACTTCGGGGCCAACTCCATGGGTCGCCACCCAATAGGACCCATGCCCACACGGCGGGCTCGCGGCCTCGGCCAGTCGCGGCGTGCAAGCCACCATCCATTCACTGGACCCTAGCACAACTTTGAGTGTAGTCGCATTGTGAGGATTGGGGACCGCCGTAATAGTCATCCGAGTCCACTGCCGGGCCTGGTTCTTTTGGTTTTTTTCTGTATTTATAATAAAAAACCGACACCATCCCGTACCCCCTCAAGATGTAATAGTATTTTTCTTTGAGTGTAGACCCTCACTTGCAGTCCCCAATCCCGCTCCGTTTTCCCACCGCCATCTTGAGAATGACGGCTTCTGTGAATGCGACTGGGACCGATATTCGGCCAGTCAGTTCCAAGGGCGCCGATGGGCACCTAGGGCCGGACAAGACGGGGCTCGCCGAGAAACCTGCGGCAGTGACTAGCCCCGAGAAGTCTCCGCCGCCGGCATCGTCAAGAGACACCGCACTCCCCATCTCAAGCGGGAGCGAGGAAACTACTGACGCCGACGACGACGATGACGATGGCTATCCCGAAGGAGGCTTGAGGGCCTGGCTCGTAGTACTAGGATCGTGGCTCGCCTTGTTCTCGTCGCTGGGCCTCATGAATTCCCTCGCAACCTTTCAAGCCTACGTGTCGACGCACCAGCTCGCCGGACACAGTAGCGGCCAGATTGGCTGGATCTTTTCCCTTTACACGTTCCTCGCCTTCTTCTGCGGCATCTACATTGGACCAATCTTTGACAAGTACGGCCCGCGATGGCTCGTCCTCGCGGGCACTATTCTCCAGCTTGCGAGCCTCATCTTTTTCAGTTTTAGTACCAGTGCGTAGAGAGTTCCTGCCCCCTTCTCCCGTCCTTCTGCCAGACCCCTCAAAACCTGTGCGCCCTCGCACGTCTGAAATATGAAATCTCGCCTGCTAACGCCATGTTTGCCCATAGAATATTGGCACTTCATCCTATCCTTTGGTGTGCTATCCGGGTTCTCCTCTTCGCTGCTGTTCACCCCTCCATCGCCGCCGTGGGGCATTTCTTCAAAGAGGCGCGCGTTCGCGACGGGGATCGCGTCAACGGGCGGCTCCATTGCGGGAATCATCTTCCCCTGATGCTGACGAACCTGTTTGAGCGCGTGGGCTGGGGTGGGCCATTCGCATCCTCGCGCTCATCTCGCTGACGCTGTGCGGCCTGTCCAACTTCCTCATCCGCTCGCGCCTCCCGCCGGCGCAAAACGCCAACGTGCACCCCGACTTCCGCATCTTCCAAAACGTCACCTTTTCCTGGACGACGCTGGGCATCTTCCTCATCGAGTTCGCGCTCTTCATCCCGCTCACCTACATCACCAGCTACATGCTGTACAAGGGGTTCGACCCGACGTTTTCCTTCAACATGCTAGCGGTGCTCAACGCGGGCTCGGCGCTCGGCCGCGCGCTCCCCGGCTACTGGGGCGACAAGGTTGGCCCGTTCAACTCCAACATCGCGGCCATCGTCTTGGCCATCATCGCCTGCTTCGCCGTGTGGCTCCCCGCGGGCCACACGACGGCGGGCATCGTCGTGTTCATGTTCCTCATCGGCTTCTCGAGCGGGAACAACATCAGCATCAGCCCCGTGTGCATCGGGCGCCTGTGCAAGACGCAGCATTACGGCCGCTACTACGCGACGTGCTACACCTTGGTAGCGGTGGCGTGCCTCGTCAGCATCCCGATCGGAGGCGAGATCCTGAGCTCCAACGGCGGGGACTACTGGGGCCTGATTATCTGCACGGGCACCGTGTATTTCGGGGTCTCTGCGCCTTCCAGGCCGCCAAGGTCTCGTGCGTGGGTTGGAAGCCACTGGCCATCTTTTAGACACCCGAGCGGCGCGATGTCGTGCTGCCATCGTTTCCCTGTCGCCGTCGTCGTCGTCGCATGTCTTCGATGCCTCGGATGTGCGTCTGCATCATGCAAGTCTGGCGGCGTCGGCGCATACCTTTGGGCCCGGTTGTAATTGGGCGAAATGATTCAATGACTGAAATGATCTTTTTTTCTCTTCTTTTTTTTTTTTGGTTTAAGAAAAAGCACACTGTCCGCCCTTCCGATAATACGGAGGCTCGCGGAATGGGCGGTGAATGGGTGCGCCTGAAGAGCGGAGAAGGGGGTGCTCTCCGGTGAAAAGTTGATTGGCTTCATTTTCCTGCGGTAAAACAGCGAGTATTCGTTTAGAGATAGATAGAACTACGGAATCTCAATGCGATCATATGATTTTCAAAATATCCCTTCCCTTTCCGTTTTCTGGGATTAATCTGATTGTGACACGGGAACATGAAGAACTGGGGCGGACGGGTGAAGATCAAATGGCGTCCTCCTGAAGAGGCAAGTAGTAATTGAAGTCCATTGACTTACATGGCTCCATCCATACTATCCATATGGCTCAATGAGCGCCCGTTGATCGCTCCCTTTTCGCCCCCACCGAGCCGACAATTCTTCAATTGGAGGGCAGATCAGGCACCGGCCGGGATTCTGACCCCTCAGCGGGGGTTTCGAGAAGATCGATTGACCTATAGAGGAAGTAGTCCGACCCATTGTGAGGGTTCTCTTCCTACGAGTGAGCGCCAGCTGGAAGAAGAATAGGTGGCTCTTCTAGCATCAGTTTATAGAGATTACAATTCATGGGACAAAGAAATAGCTGCCTTTGTAAGTGAATGCAGTCGCACGCTCCATATATGTGGCGATTCATTGGACAGGCCGGAGGAGCGATTAATACTACATATGTAGTGACAGAATGGAACTACTGGGTACTGTCCCTCTTGGCGGTTGAACGTCAGTTGTGAGATTGTGACAAAGTAGACAGCTGGAGGGATCCATCCATGGATCCATCCATTGATGGAGCGTTTGAAGCGTTGCCTTAAGGTGCTGCAGGCGGATTTCGTTATAGATGAGCCTAGGCCATCAGCGTGTGCCCGCTGACAGGCAGAGTCTCAAGCCCTGAGGGACACGACAACATCCCCCAATCACGTGTAGGGTGGCTCCGGTTCGAGGCGCGGGAACTTGAATGGTTGCTCCATTTTCACCATCGAATCAATGACTGTTTACTCATCCACCAGTGGTTCTGAAGGAACGTATCCATAGATCAAGATCAAGAAAGTTGGAGAAGTATAAAAAAATCTTCCTAAGAAATTACTCATATCGCCCCAAGACCTCCGGGACAACCACGTGGGGTAATCGGAGAATTCACCGGCGGACGCACATATCCCGAAGAAGCTCGAGTTTGCTGTCTTGAAGAGGGGCTCTTTTCTTAGCCTTTTTCTCCCTCCTTCTCTAGCCATGTTCATCTCACGAGTCGAGTACTCCGACGACGCACATGACATGGCTGCGATGGATGCGGATTACCAGCCAGCTCCTCGGAGCAATGCCGAGACAGTCCTAGATGATGTTTTCGGGGCCAGCGGCTCCGAGCCCTCCGACGGCTTCGAGCCCAGAGGGCAGCCTGCAATGCCGTCCGACATGCCACGGCTCGAGAGGGAACACGCGACCGCAGGCTACCGCGACGGCATCACGGCAGCCAAGGCACTCAGCGTGCAGGCTGGCTTCGACGAGGGTTTCAGCCTAGGAGCCTCGATAGGGTCCAAGGTGGGCCAAGTGCTCGGGCTCCTTGACGGCATTGCCGAATCCGTGAGCGGTGGCACTTTACCGGGCGGGTCTTGCGGGGTTAACGAGACCGCGGCAGACCCCGAGGGCAAGGGCCAGGTAGAGCCTCTTCTGGGGGAAGGGTCAGATGACAAAAACGCCAGCGACGACGACGACAAGCTTAGGATCACCCGCCTGTCGCGGACCGCGAGGGAGGCGCTGAAAGTAGAGGCGGTATTTGGGGCCGACTACTGGTTCCCCGACGGCACGTGGAAGTTTGACGTGGTGCGAGGGGCAAGCGACGCGACAGAGCCGGAAGACATCGTCTTTGAGGATGTGGCCAACGCTCACCCCTTGATCCGCGAGTGGACCGCCGTGGCAGAGGAGGAGGCGCGGCGATGGGGGTCAACATGGACGTGCTGGCCGTGAGCACCGAGACGGCCGACGCGGTCGAGGAAACGCGTGAAAAAGAACAAGTGCCGCTGGCGGCGAAGCCTGTTGCCGAATCCAAGAATAGCCGGCTGGATTGGTGAGCCAAGGCCACATAGTTTCTGCCGCGGGTATGGAGTCTCGGATTTCCTCTTTCTGCCATCCAGATCGGACGCCCTTCTTCCTATTTTTACCACCAGTGCAGATGATTTCCCTGAGGGCGTGGATCCAAGCCAAAATCCATCCGACGTGGCTCTGGCCAAGCCCACGGCCGTGTCAGCTGGGGAGAATGACACTTGCGGCGCGCGGTGGCAATGAGATCGAATTCCTCCTTGCTTCCGACAAGTAACGATCCTCTCTCGGCAGAGCCCCATGATCTATCTAGAGGCCGGAACAGAATGGTCATTTCATCAGTGCCGAGCTACCTACTGGCGAAGGTTGATTATATCGAGTCCCATATGGCGGCCTTTTTCTTCTTCTTCTTTGACCACATCAACACCCCCTTCACCCTTCGGCTCTTTGCCAGTTCTGCATCATTGCCTTGTATTTTCGCTTTGGAAGGTGAAAATCTGGGAAACCAAGGCGATTCCCTCACCTGAAAGCGTCATCGAACTCGGTAGATAGATCAATGTCGTACAAAGACTCGGAAAAAACAAGAAGGGGGGGACCTCGGGTGTTTCTGTGATGCTCGTCAACACCTACTAGCATGGCCTTCCCTTTTCTTTGGAGGGATGCTCATCCTTTTTCCCGGGATAGAGTCATAGATGGTCTCAAACAAGGCCCTGAGCCTTCGACATAAGTGGAAGTGGGAGGGTGGGAGGTGGGAAAGCGCGTCATAGAGCAGAAAAAGCTCGGCGAAAGGGCTTCTCGAGGGTCAAGTGACCCCTCCAACATTACCTCGTACGTACTATAACGATTTCTCTTGGATACAGAGTTTTGCTTCGGCTGATGGGGGCCGGATGGCTCAATTCCAAACCTGGCATTTTTCCAGAAAGTGGCTTGGAACTTTTAGCCCAGCATGCCCAATCCGCCAAGGTCGGCAAAGAGATTCGCTTTTGTATGTCTAAGAAGGGGCCTCATGGTGTCACGAAAAGAAAGAAAAAAATAAGTCACCGTTTGCTCGAAACTTTCCCCTATGTCTCCTTTAGTGTGAATAATCCCATGTATTTTATCCGCATCGGACGGAGAGGAGGAGGTTGGCGCTACTTGTCGATGTCGTGGCGGGTGAGGCCGACATCACCACCTCGCCACTCGACCGAGTAGGCGCCCGTATATGCGGTCGTCCAGAAGGGCCATGGCCTTTTTCGGAAGCAGGTCGATATTACCATGTATTCCATGTATTAGAGAAAACCAAAGATTGTCTGACGACTAATCAATCAAAATCCCTGCCGGCCCATCTGGAGGCGAAGGACAGGCAGGGTCATCGTTCACCCCTCCCCCGGTTGTTGTCCAACTCACTCCAGAGCGCGAGTGACGAGTAAGCTGGGTTTGCCTAGGGAAGAAGAAAAGGGCCAAGCGAAAAAGAGAAATGGCTTTACACCGCCAGCTGACACTCAGGTGGCTCGACTCGCTTTCCTAGATTAAGTGGTGATATCAATATCGCTCGATATTGAGGCGGCCTAAGCGAGTGGCCCTCTGGAAACCATTCGTCAGACCAACTTGGAGTTGGCTTGGCCGCGGCGACCTATATCCGGGTGCTGGAAGACTCTGGGGGATTAGTTGGGGAGTTGGGGTCTGCTCTGGTCCGTGCCGTGTAGGGATTGACAGTGCAGTGCGTGCGCCCCGAAACCCAACATTGAAGGCTTTCCAGCAACGGTAATCTCTGCTCTCCCAGCTCATTGAGCGGGTCGTTGATGCCCTGGGTGCATACTCCGTCCATGCCGCCCCCGCCGCCGGGGCCAGAGGGAGGCTTCTTAGCGAGCTCTGCACTGGCGAGCTTGGCACTGGGTAGCTTGGACTTCAAATTGAGAAAGGCGTACGTTCCGTGCCCTCGACTAGACACTCGACTCGGATGGACTGTTTCCTTGGGGCTATCCTTAGGAGTCTGGTAGCTTTGACACGACCCCATATCGGTTAATCTGAACGATGGTTAGATTGATCGATAGATGGGTCGAACCAGTGTACTGCAAAATCATTGGCGATGAACACGACAAATCAAAAGCCCCAAGCTAGCGGGCTTGCCGAACTCAAGTGTAGGGGAGGAGATGAAGGCGTGCAGTAATAACTGCCACTCGCTAGAGCGAGTGTCGGCCAACCCTCCAACGTTGAGAGCGTCAAATGGTATTGATCGGTCCCCTCCATCCTCCCCCATCGTAGGGGGCTGACATCACAATGATATCCAAGCGAAGAAAGCGTTAGCATCCCCAGCCTACAGTTAGGGTGGAATTCAGGGCATGGCGGCGGCGAGCAGTTACACGGGGATGCGGAATGACATTCCACGCGGAACCTGGGAAGAGAGGTGAGGGTCAGATCGATTTATGCACAGGGCGCGTACGTACTATATCCCATACTACACCCATCTCTCACACCCATCCCACATACCACGCATCCCAGAGAGCCAACTCAAGTCTTCTTCATCGTGAATCCCATCGTCCCAGGTCGTGGAAGTGAATCTTGATATGTCGAATGACGTTTTTATTTAGACAGAGATTTGAGATTCGAACGAGTGCTCGCTTTCCTTCGGTTCAATGTTACATTCCATCGAGATCACTCTTTCCTCTTTGCAAAAATTGCCCGTCGCACCTGCAGACAGAAATCTATCGAGAATTAACAGTTGATTAGTACAAGTCATGCTTCTTACCGGTACCCACGAGCTTTCCAATTCGGGCTCCTACATCATGAGGGAACGCTAGTATTGCGGCAATAGTAACACAGCGCGCGGTGTCAGCGGCGGATGCAGGTACGAGAAGCTGTGCAGCCTCTCTAATTTTTTTTCTTTCTTTCCCCCTCTTCATTGCTTCTCTTTCCCCTGCGTTTGCGAGGGTCGGATTGGAGGTCGGGAAGAGAGGGGAGGAGGGTGATATCCAAGCACAGGCACAGCGGAGGGAGGGCACAAAGAAGCATGGGATCCAAGGTAACGTTGAGTTTGGAACTACTTGACGGGTTCCTGACCCAACCTCAACTAACCTCCTACTTCCTCTTACCCCAGGTCCTGCATGTATAGGTTGATCGAATGAGACCCATCGATATAGCCAAGAGGGTGGCAACAAAAGTTTGTAGGGGGATATAGAAGCTGTTTACTGGAGTGCAACTCTGGGAAAACGAAGACAACTGTAGCCCCCGCGCGTACCGTGGTGCATGGTGCGTGGTGGGCAAAGACCTTCCGTTGGAGATGTACCATTGATCCGTCCATGGAACCTGAATATATCGAAGACTATCGATTTATTGCCTTGACCAGTCCATATTTGATAGCGATTTGCCAGCCGACACACAATCCAGCGTGCCAACTCCGGGGTTTTTTATTTTATATGGATGTGACAAAAAGAAACTGAAGGCTATACAGCCTGTCGATACAGAGAAATGGAGAAGAGGATGAGGAGCCTGGCCGATTGTACGGAGAGAGTCAGCGTGAGGGAGACAAAGAGCCACCCCATGTGCGTGTGCCACGTTCTTCGAACCAACGGAATTCTAGGCCGGGCACTTTATCCTGCGCGCACCGCATGCACACCTTGTCCAAGATCGGGTGAGGCGATGGAAGTAAAAATACCCATTTCGAGCCAGAAGGACCTGGGTACCTAACTGCTGTGTATATTAAAAGATCCGTTGGCCTGTTATTAACAACATTTCTCATCTTGGACAGGAGGGCCACCACTTTAGCCGCAACGACGGACGGTTCACCACGAACCAATCAAGCCCATGGCCAGGGAGACCGACTAACACCTCTGCGATGGATGAGCCTGCTTTCCGTCTGTCGAGGCAAGGAGAGAGGGCCAAGGTCCGTGACACTCACAAAGCTACCCACCCCTCCCCACACTTTTCTATTTCTCTCTCCCTAGAGGCCTGGTGTTGGGAGTAAGATGGCTGGCGGCGGGCCCACTGGAGATCTCGCGGAGGCGAGGGAAATCGGGTGGCTCGGCGTGTGCTGGAAGGTTAATCTATCGAGCTTGCCAAGCATTTCAGGCTGTGGTTCGTCCCTCTTCCCTGTCCTTCTACGTCTGGTTCGACGGAGGGTCGTGGAAAGGAGGGAGGCTCGCCGAGAACCGACCCGGTGTGAGCCTAGCGGGCTCTCCCTCCCCTCTCATGTTGTCTCTCGCACACCTGCACACATACACTCACTTACACGCACTCACACACACTCACACACACACACACACACACCTTCATTCAGGCTCTCCGGGGTCGCTGGATCAATGGATCGTGGCTACGCCGGCATCTCTGGGTCTGGGCAACATTCGGCGTAATACCAGCGTACCCGAAAACGCATGACGGCCGTATGCCATGGCCCCATTCGACGTCGCCCATCCTTGGCTCGCCTCTTGGGTCTGCGCGTGGGTCTGGATATTGCTAGCGGATTAGTGAAGGGGGCCGTTGATCTTGGGCGGGCCACACTGGCTGCGGCTCCCAAAACGTAAACGTTACTCTCCACAGCTGGGTGAGAGGCAAAGCCTGGCCCGGTCTGCTCTGTCTATGATGCATCCTAGAGTTGGTAGTGGAGGTAGGCGTACTCCCGGATCGACACAAAAGGCGAGGAATCCCCGACTTGATTCCCGTCCTGGATTCCTGTCTTGCTCTTCTTATCTTCATCAAGTATCTCCGATACCAGTCCATTCGCTTTCGTCGTTCGCTGAGGTTCCCATAAAGACATCTCTTAGATCCATTTCATCACCCTTCCACACACACACACACACATACACACATACCCACCTCTCCAAACAAGATGCAGCTCCCCATTCTCGCCCTCGGCCTCGTCGCCGCTGTCTACGCCACTGAGGAGGCCGTAGCCGCCGACTTCCCCGTCATCGTCCCCTTCGGCCTTGACCACCCCCTCACTCCATCTTCAAGGGCAAGGGTGGCCCGCCTGACTGCAAGGACGGCGAGTACGGCTTCGCCCACCCCAAGCACTCGGTCCCCATTGACGACTGCGACGAGGTCGACCACGACGACTGGCACTTCCGCCCCTGCAAGAAGGACCACGGCCACAAGCCCAAGCCCTTCCCTCCCCAGAAGTGGACCACCAGCACCGACACCATCACCAAGACCAAGACCGTCATCGAGTGCGAGGACGACGTCAAGGAGTGCCCCGAGCACCCCAAGACCAAGTACACCACCACCACCGTCGAGGTCACCACCACTGTCTGCCCCGTCCCCGACACCGACGCTCCCGAGCCTACCCCCACCGCCCCCGCTGAGGAGGAGGATGACGATGCCGAGGAGGGCGAGAAGCCCCCGCGCCTCCCGCTGTCACCGACGACGCCAGCCCCGAGGAGCCCGCTCCCGAGCCCACCGAGGCCACCAAGCCTCCCGCTCCCCCGCTGACGAGGAGGAGGAGGAGGAGGAGGGCAGCCCCGTTGTCATCTCTGGCGCCAACAAGGCTGCCGGCGGTTTCTTCGGTGCCGTCGTCGCTCTCGTCGCCGCCCTCATCTAAGGAGACTTGGGAAAGAGAAAGGCCGACATGCACTGAAACGTACATGGCTTGGTTATTTACCCTCCTCCACCCTTCCCCTGAACTTCTTCTTCTCTTCTCTTCTCCTTCCAAAATAATCACTGAAAGACCGTGGACATGACGGACGCGAAAGGAGCTGCTGGAGCATTCACCACGCTGTTTCATTTCTCTCTTATCTTTCTTTTGTTCCCGGAACACGACATTGGGGCGCCGTCTTACACCAGACCCGTTTTTCGTTTTCTCTCTCCATTTTAAAGAGTTCATCTCCAGTCGGGCGGGGAAAGCAAAAGGGAAAAGGAAGGAATCTATAGGGACCCATGTACTATTCTCTCTTCCTTTTACTCTCCTTCCTCGGTTCGGCTAAGCGGTGCCATGATGTCTCCGTCGTGGCACCGAGCTTGGTGTCTTAGTAGGTAGGAGTTGAAGGCTGTTAATATAATGTATTCTTGTCTCAAATTCCACATGGCATCCGTACAAGTTTCTCTTGAAGAAAGTCTTTAATGTTAAGCATATTACCTATCTGTACGTCCCCATATTCTCGGCTTTGGACCGGGCCTTGACCAATCGATCAAGATCCGACTATTTGACCTCTGATCCTTGACCCCTACCAAAGAGCCTCCATGATGGATGCGGTAGCCGTCTCTCGTGTACATGTACTGTTAAACGCCGGTCCGAGATCTCTCGTCGTAGTATCAGTGATGAGAAAAAAACCCACAACCCATCGTCTCTCTCTCTCTCTCTCTCCTTAAACCCTGTCATAAAGATGGTGTGTTAAGGAATGGTAGGAGCCAGCCTTGTGACACCCGGGGTTTTGAGAGGGTTGAGTGACTCTCGGGGATTTAGAGCCGGAGTACGACTCTACATGTATGGCATGGTGTGATGCACCCAGGTATGAAATGGATGGTCCCATTGATCACCGGCAGGTTCCTAGTAATTTCCTAAGACTGGTGCCGATCTATCAGATCTGGTATGGTGTCTTGGAATTCATCTCATCCACCATCTTGGACGAATCGAGCCTTTGGCATCGTGTGAGGCCCTGAGTTTGCCGTTTTCTTTGAAACCTCCCCCCCACCCACCACCGGCGTCTGATATACTTTGACGAATTACTCACCAGAGGCCCAACCTAAAGACCTGCCGATACAGGGTGGTATTAATTTACAATCCTGTGCCTTGTCTTTGCGGATTTCTCATCACCTTCCGCCGCCCCCAGGGTTGGTGGCCCGATGGCATTTTTTTCTTATTATTTCAACCGATGCAATAAGAAGACGAGAAGAGGAAGCAGGAAGTGCGTGGGTGGGTGCGGGTGTGCGTGCGGGTGCGCATATGTGTGTGTGTGTCTCCATCTTTATACAGTCAGACAAAGACTTTTGGCTGCGCGACAGGGCGACGTTTGGTCCATGCACGCATCCAAATGGCCGCTCGAGGTCCCTTGCAGGGTGCGACTCGGCGTGTGTGTGTGTGTGTGTGTGTGTGTGTGTGTGTGAGTGCCAACAGCGAGCGGCAATAGCGGGATAATTGTCGATCACGCCGGTCTCGCTCCGCTCTCCGCTCTCATTCGAGGGCGACGTGCAGAAGCGACATTACAAGGTGGAATTCGAGACACTGGATATACGCGCACGCATCACATCAGAGCGTGAGGGCACCACCGGTGCCATGTAAACACTTGACCACTCGCAGACACATGGCGGAGGAAGCAGCACACACGTGAAGTCCTGCTATTCGATTTCTCTGCATTCTTTTGTTCCCTTGAACTCGACGGCGTGGCCGGAGGAAATTGATATTCTATGCAGCCTCTATCCTCAAAGATGATGTCCTATGTTTTCACAAGTTCTGCTATTTGGCCTGCGAATTGGTGGTCATCGCTTGCGACTGTTACCTTTCTTGCGGTTTTCGAGCTCGGAACGCCCTCTAGCATGTCGATGCCATCTCATGCTTCTCAATCCACCCTAGTCGTTCGCCTTCCCTGATCTCTAACCACCTTCCCATCCACGGAATTTTCGAATACATGTACCGATAGTGCTAGCCGTTTTCATCAAGGGAAGAAATCCTCCGGGATCTTGTGTTTGTTCGCCTTGCTTGTAAAGCCGTTGGGGACGACCCAGTCAAGGCAGTGCAGGGGCCTTCTCAGGTCGTACAAGCTTATTTTCCTTTTCCCAGGCACACCAAATAGGATGCCGCATGACTTGTTCGCCCTTCTTCTTTGTTGCTTACCCCCGGCAGGAGGCTAAATGTTTGGCAACACTAGAGAAGGGACCCAACTCTCCCCCTCCGCGTCATGGTAATACGGCGCAGACCTTTGTTGTTCTTTTGCTTGCTGCTTTTAGAGGGGTTCCCTCGAGTCCCTCGAGTTTGGGCATCGTTTGGCCGTCGTAACTGCCGCACATCAACGTTCGCTTGACCGGAAGGAATGGTCCCCTATTTCGCCGTAGATGTGCTACGATGCACAGCCACCCTGTCGGCGCCAGTCGCTTTCTTCCAGAGTAGCCGCTGAACCCTCACCTCACTGGCCCAACGAAGAGGCCCGTAAGGCCGACAAGGCAGTAGGGCGGTTTGTCGACCACATTTATGGATGAAGGCTGGATAGTTCTGCTTTCGGTGATCGCTGTAGGGAGAGCGTTATGAAAAGAACAGCCCAGTCAAAATCGGGTCCCGGAGGGGTGATGCGACAGCAGAGCCCGAATCTGTAGCCTAGCCTATATGACAGAGACCATAAACTCCTTGGCCAGGCTTGACTTGATTAGCAGGCAAGGTCGCGCTTGTAGTGACTCGTAACGTTATGCCTCGGATTCGGAAAAGATCTCGGTTTCTCGCTCCTGCTCCTGCTCATTCTCCAGCTCCAGCTCGCGCCTCCATTCCTTCTGTCGTAGCTGCGTAAGCTTCCCCGAAAAGTCCTCGATGCGCAAGTTGTCCGACCACAACGCCCTCATCGTCTCCCTATCCCGCCCCTCGGGCCCAAACACGACGAGCTGCTTGACCACGCCATCGGCGTCCATGACGACCCGCCCCGTCCGACCATTGGACCACTCCAGCCTAATCTGCTTGGCCTCGGAGTCCGCCGCGCTCACGTCCACGAGCCACTGCGCTTCCTGGTCCACGCCCTCGTTTCCGGTGATGCCAATGTCGCGGCGCAGGTCGGCAATGGCCCCGATTCGATTGTGGTAGCACACGAGCTCCTGGCGCAAGGTCCGCGCAAAGTGGGCGAGGTCTTGCTTGGGCGGGCGGCCGTCGACCTCCTCGTCCGGCGGGGGCAGGTGCCTGTACGCCAAGCCCGGGAGGGGATGTAAGGGGGCACGGTGTGGCGGTGGACTCGGAGGAAGTCGGACTCGGGGAGCCAGGGGCGGTTCAGCATGACGAAGAAAGGGTGGATGAACTGCGACTTGGACATGACCTCGAACCGGAGCCCCAGCACTTTACCCTGATCCACGGCGTTGGGGTCCGGGTCGGCGACCTTGAAGGCCGTGACCCCGGCGCAGATGCGGTAGAGGCACTGCTGGTTGCGGGCCTGGTGGATCTGGCACAGCTTCTCGAGCTGCTCGTGCGCGCTGTCCTGGGAGCTTGCGCGGTCGTACGAGTACTGGATCGAGAGCGCGTTGGCCATCTGCACTTTGAGGAGGTACTGGAGGGATTGTACTATCGTGCGCGCTGGGTTAGGATCCGGAAAAGGCGGTGGGTTGAGGGCAGAGGTTTTTGAACGCGGGAGATAGTATCTCGGACGAGAATTTCACCAAAAAAGAAGAAAAAGAAAAAAGAGCCAAAAACTCACCTCGTGCCTCGGCCGCCTCGATCTGCTCATCAAGCTCTTTGATACGCGCTGCGCGCCTTTCTTCATCGGCGGCCATGATTACAGTCAAAGGTGCGGGATGGCCCGTGGAGGCAGAGCCTCTTTCGTTGAAAAATAAAGAAAATATTGTACTCTGTTCCTTTTTTCTCCCCGTCGTAGATTGATGTCGTCCGTCCTTTTGTCTCCCAAAGGCCCCAGCAATTCTTGCTCACCGTCGTCGCGTCGCGTATTGAGGAGACGAGCACTAACACTGTTGTCGGATTCTTATCGATAATGCCCCACCATCCACCATTGGCAGCTCTCTCCGACAGGGATTCGTGTCCCCGAGTTGGCTTACTTAATCAATGCAAGTTCCTGTACCCTTGCGAGAACTTCCCCAGATTTTCCTGTTCCCGGGACCCGAATGCTGTCAAGGCGGCGGAATGAGATGGCTCAAGAATCAATCATCCCTCAGTCTAATATTTCCAAGCTTGGGCCACGAGTTCTGCAACCTCCATGTACTTGCTGTGTCTAGACTAGGATGTAAATGGGGAGAAAGGAAAATAAAAAGGAAGTGAAAACCCCCTTCAAGGTACGAGCATTACCTGCGTTCGTGTGCCGTTCTCTCATGTAGTTTCCTTTGCCTTCTGTCAACCATTGCCGACTATCGTGCCAGGAGGGGAATGGATCTAATCAGAATCGTGGATTTTCGCGCTTGCCCGTTCGTGGGTTGGCTTCTTTTCCCAAGGTGCAGGTCCATTGTGGTGCCTGCCTTGCTGTCCTTTCAAAATGTCCCCCTTGTTTGCTCGTGGCGCGTGGAGAAAGGACCCCTTGCCCAAAAAAAATACGAGTTTTGTTGGAGAATCTGTGGCCACGTTTGCAAGCAACGCACTTCCTTGCACTTTGGAACCTTAATATTTTTTTCTCATCAAAATCTGTTTTTTTCTTTCCTTCCCTTTCTTCCCGAAGCCAGCAGTTCCAGGGTGGCGGAACGGAGAGCATCCCCTTTGCCGGACAACCAATCCCGTTGCCCCAGATAAATGGGACGTGGACATTTGGCCAACTCAACTCGTCCGCCGCTTGATTGATCCGCAATCCGCATTGGCCATCGCATCGCGGGCCTCCGTCTTTCCTCGCTGCCTACCTCCCCCAAGACTTCTTTTTGCTTCTACCTGTACTCTTTTTATTATTTTTCTTCAACATTTCCCAGACACTCCCTCACACAATTCATACTATTCTGACTGTCCTTGATCCTTGAATCTTTTTTTCTTCTCTTCTCTGACTTGTTCTCACTTCTCTCTCCAAACGCTTTTCGATCAGCTGAACCCAGTACTTTTTGCTTCTCCCTGTCCTCCCACTCGCCCACTCGACGCCGTCCCCAGTGGCCCCCAAATTCTCGACATCCCTTGAACCAGAGACAAAGCCAAGTCAGAGTTTCGGCGAATAAGCAAAAGGAAACCACGCACAGTACTACACGACCGAGACCGTACCACCCCACAGGGCAAACCCATTGGAGCTTCTCCACCTGTTCGAGATCACAACTCTCTCCCTTCGCGCACTCTTCCTTTCGTTTTTACTTTGATCGATTACACAATCGTCCTGGCCCACTTGACCCAACCGCGGGGTCTCTTAATCGCCGTTCCGTGTTACTCACTCCTCTCTCTCCCTCCCCTTCCTTCCGAAACGAGTACCGATGGGCGCAAAATCTCGGAGAAGCAAATCGCCCAAAAATAACGGGCCGTCTTCGCTTTCCACCGGGGGCAATCTATCAAACGGCAGCATGAATAGCAACGTGGAGCAGCGGCGAAAGCCCCTCCCCTCGAGTCGAAGCAGGTCGTCCAGAACATCATGGCCCGCGAGGCCTTTTCCCTCGACGACCCCGTTCCCAAGACCCCCGTCCTCAACAACCACGGCTTCTTCGAGCTCCCCGTCCAGGACCAGCGCAACTTTGGACTCCTGGTCCTCCTATACTTTCTTCAGGGCATCCCCATGGGCTTGGCCATGGGCTCCGTGCCCTTCCTCTTGAAGAATCACATGTCCTATAGCGAGATTGGCGTCTTCAGCCTAGCAAGCTATCCTTACTCCCTCAAGCTTTTTGAGCCCCATCGTGGACGCCGTGTGGAGTCCCAGGTTCGGCCGGAGAAAGAGCTGGATCCTGCCTATTCAGATCTTGTCCGGCATCGGCATGCTGTGGCTCGGCTCGAGGGTCGAGGTCATGATGGCCATGACCGGCAAGGAGGGCGGCCCCACCGTTTGGGGCTTCACCTTTTGGTGGTTCTTCCTCGTCTTCATGTGCGCCACCCAGGACATCGCCGTCGACGGCTGGGCCCTCACCCTGCTTAGCCCCGGAAACGTCTCGTACGCCTCCACCGCCCAGACCGTCGGTCTCACTGCCGGCAACTTCCTGTCTTATACCGTCTTCCTCGCCTTCAACTCGGCCGACTTCGCCAACAAGTACTTCCGCGACATCCCCTCCGAGGACGGCCTCATGAACCTCGGCGGCTATCTCACTTTCTGGGGATGGGCCTACATCATCGTCACCATAGGCCTCGCCCTCCTCAAGCGCGAGGAGAAGACCCAAAATGAGGACGGCGTCTGGGACGTGTACAAGATCATGTGGGGCGTCCTCAAGCTCAGGAACGTCCAGACCATCATCATCGTCCACCTCGTCGCCAAGGTCGGCTTCCAGGCCAACGATGCCGTCACCAACCTCAAGCTCCTCGACAAGGGCTTCGGCAAGGAGAACCTCGCCCTGACCGTCCTCATCGATTTCCCCTTCGAGATCGGTCTCGGCTACTATGCTGGAAAGTGGTCTCAGGAATATACACCCATGAGGCTGTGGTGCTGGGCCTTTGTTGGTCGCCTCTTCGCTGCGCTCTTTGCCCAATTCACCGTCGCCATCTTCCCGCCTCCGGCGTCGAGACGTGGTACCTGCTCACCGTCATCTGCGAGCACATCCTGTCCACTTTCATGAACACCGTCATGTTTGTCGCCGTCTCCGCCTTCCACGCCCGGATCTCGGACCCTGCCATTGGCGGTACCTACATGACCCTCCTCGCCACGTAAGTTGTCCAAGTCCCATTTCCCCGCCTGCCTTTGGCCTCGAACTAACCTTTTATCTAGCGTCTCCAACCTCGGCGGCACCTTCCCCGCTTCTTCGTCCTCCGCCTTGTCGACACCTTCACCAAGGCCGTCTGCTACCCCGGCGACGCCTCGGCCGTGGCCGACCTCAAGGAACCCTCGTCACCGAGCCCTTCTCGTGCGCTCTCCAACCCGACAAGGAGCGCTGCCTGGCCGGGGGCGGCTCCTGCGAGACCATCCGAGACGGATACTACTTTGTCAACATACTTTGCGTCATCTTTGGCGCCGTCACATTTACCATGTACATCCGCCCCAGGGTCCTGCAACTACAAAATCTACCTATGAAGGCCTGGAGATTGGCGGGAGGAAAATAAGTTTCTTTTCTATCTGTGTAAGAGATGAGACGATAGTGGAGCTAGCACCACCATTTACACTTCTGGGTGGGGATTTTATCTAAAGGGAGGGGCTACCAATGTGTTACATATTATATATTGATATATATACAGATAGATCGCGCGGTTGGTTATCAATCAGCCTTGCGCGAGGAAGCGTCCGGCGCAACGGTTCGGAGGTGGCCTGTGTATATACTGGCGGTTTGGGGGAAATACAACATCTTTTTTATTCCAGCATTACTGACCACAGCCTTTATTACATCCATGTACCATTTAACACGCCACCGTCCTTTATCCATTGGTATTCCTCTTCTATCTTGCGAGAAAAGTGCCGTCAAGAGTCCAAGCTAAAAATGCAGGCATTTATGCCAAAAGTGTATATACTAAAAAGAAAAACTAAAAGTTGCCTCCCCTGGTACTAGGTGCAGATGAAAAAGAAAAATGGAAAACAATTCTATCCACCCTTGCCTGCCTCGGAGCAATCAATGCTTGTCAAATTTCCTCCCCCAGTGGTTCCCGTTTCTTTTATATCCTTTTTTCTTCTTTGGGGGAGGGAGGGTTCATTCCTCTTGGTGCTCAACCCATGAAACCCGTGCTCCATTTATCCCTGCCGCTTCTTTTCCGCGGCCTGCCTTATGTGATCCGTATGCATATCCTGCACGGCGGGGATGATGAGGCCCTCAATCTCGACCTCGGGCTCGCCTTCGGGCAGACAGCTGGGGTCCATGGGCTGGTCGCCGGGGTCGGCGTCACAGGCGGACCTCTGGGCGCTGCCCACGAGTTTCTGCACGCCGCTGGAGGACTTGGCGCGGCGGTCGTCGGGGATGCGGATCCAGCGGTCGGGCCTGTTGCGGGCGACGAAGACGACCTCCCACTTGCGGGTGGCGAGCAGGTTGCCGATGACGAGGTGGTGCTGGTAGCGGTCGAGGGAGTAGGCGGCCTTGTGGACGAGAATGGAGGGGTCGGTCTCGAGCTTGAAGGACACAATCATGCCCTCAGGGGCCCAGCCGTCGACGAGATTCTTGAGGAACTTGGGCACGGGGTCGAGGTCGATGACGAGGCGCTTGGAGCGGGGCACCTTGGGGGAGGAGTCGAAGTTGTCAAACGTCTCCTCCTCTTCGGTGATGGTCTTGGGCACGCCCGCGGCGACTGTGGAGGAAGGGTGGAGGATCGGCTCCGAGGAGCTGTCCGTGTCGGCTGTGGCCGGCGTCGTGGCGGGGGCGGACGTGTCGGAGGCGCTCCCGAGCTTGACCTTGTCGGCGGCATCGGTGGATTGGATCTTGTGCTCGGCCATGCGATCGGAGGGGACGAAGAAATCGGACACGGCGGCGGCGAGGTAGAGCAGGCCGGAGGGGCCGAGGGGCCGCATGAGGCGCGCTATGCTCCGCAGCTCGTAGAGGTAGTCGGTGATGGTGAGGAAGGGGATCATGAGGAGGAGGTTGCGCTCCTTGGCGGTTTGGTACTTTCGCAGGACGTCGAGCAAGCGCTCCTGCTCGATTTGCTTGGCCACGACTTTGCCGCCGGGCGCCTCGGTGAGATAGTCCAGGAAGCAGTCGGTCGTGTGGCTGTAGTGGCGGGAGTAGGGAAGCAGGCTGAACTGCCTGTGCAGGAAGATGACGGCGTAGCCGGCCTCGAGAAAGTACTCGGCCGAGGTGGCGCCTCGCGTGCCGGCGCTAAAGTTGTCGATGAACCGGACCGTCTGCTTCTCGAGGGCACCGTCGTGCCGCCCGAGGTGACGAGGACGACGCGGCGGCCGCCGGCGGCGTGCGCGTCGATAAAGGACTTGGCTTGCGCTTCGTGCCGCTCGAGCAGCTTGGGCGCGGGGTTGGCCGAGAAATATTGGTCTTCCGTTAACAAGCTCATGATGGGTGGCCGCTGCGGAATCTGGGTGGACTTGCGCGAAAGAGGTGCTTGCGATTGACCGGCAAAGGCCCGCCCGTCGAGTAGGCGCGAGGGAAGTAGAAGAAGTTACCCGGCGGGATGAGAGACGAGGGGAGGAGGGGGAGGGGGAGGGGCAACACAGGGAGGAGGGGCAAAAGATTGCTTTGGCTAGGTTCGTCTTGATTGAGGGGTATTGTAGAGCGGGGAGGTCGGAATGCGCGCAAGAAAGCGGAATTCGCCAGGTGTGCGCAGAACGAGGCAATAGAAGGATCTATGTAGAACAATCAATCTAGAAGTCGTAACATGAAAAAGGGCAACGGGATCGAGGAGGTCAACAGGTGACGTGTGGTCTTGTGTCCGCTATTTTCTATTTTTTCTAACAAGGCCGTTCCAGGGGGCTTCGCTTGTTCGGACTAGCGACCGGAGTAGTTAGCTTCTGGGACGATGCTCGGGCGGCTCCATTGACTCCTTGGTGGGATGAGGCGGGCACCTCGGCAGCGACCGGCGCAGATGAGATGATTCTCGCACTCTCCTGGAGTGCTGCCCCCCCACCATAGCTAGCAGCGGCGCTAGCAGAGCCGGGGAAACCGAGGCGGACACCACACACTTACCCAATTTCGCGTGGAAGATGCAGTATTGGCTGCTAATGGTAGATGTCTAGGCAAAAGGCCGGCCGGAGGGAGTAAGGAATGCGCGATGGTGAGTTGCTGGCTACGAATTGGGTTGATGCGATCGCGGTGCGCTCTCTATTGTATCATATCCTAGACTAGATGATGAGGGCGAATTGGGTTTATGGTGACAATGGATCCATCCACTATTTGTACCGTGCCTCATTTTTTTCTCTTCTTCGCAAATAAACTGGAGCAGAGAGAAATCCCTCGTCGGAAGAATGACATGATGATGTAAAGGGCCCCCAAACCTACCTGTAGTAGTCCCGTGGCGATTTTGGGGGTGGCGGGGGTAATCAACTTTCGGGGGGGCCTTGGATCACAAAATGGGAAAATGGAAAGCTACCCCTCCCCTCGCTCTCGAGGACCCCTCAAAGCTCTCAGACTTGGCGACTTCTGCAAAGTGCAGTGCGCACGCGGCCAGGGACCCATTTATTCGTTGCAGCACACGCATGGACAAGGAGGTGTAGATATGCAGAAATCGAGGCTGCCCGGTTCGCCGCTACCCCGGATTATTCATCAATGGGGGCTGATCGCGACGAGAGCCCAGCGATGCCCTCATCAGTCCCAGCGCAAGCAGATACCCCGTAGGCTCTTTCCTGGCACGGGGACGGAGAAATGAGGCCCAACTTTGCATATCTTCCTCGTCTGAAATTCCAGGGTTATCACCGGACACGACTGGCAGCAAGTCACTCTGAGACTCATATACCAGCCAGGTTTTAGTTCCAGCCCGGTAGGCGATATTGCAAAAGATTTGGTCTGGTTGCCATAGCACATCCTTTGAGTATAGAGCCATACACCCTAGGGTACACATCGAGATGGTTGAAGTAAGAACGGTACAGTTGTTCAGTACACGTAGATCACGACCGGACGAGGCGGATGGGGGAAATGAGTCGCAAACTGGTTGCGCTCAAGATATATAAAGATGGATACGAAAAAAAGAAAGAATATGCATCTCTACCAATGTATGCATCGCCCAATAAAAATGAAAGAAACACCCAAGTAAACACTACCCTCCATATGCCAATGAAGTCTGTAAAGCCCATCTATCATACAATCCCACACAGCCAAGCATGCCGAGTCCAAGGACCCATCATAGCTCCTTTTGGCAGATCCATTCGCCGCCTTTCGCGTTGTCTCGAGGCCAGCGGGCGTCTTGAGTCCCGCAAACACGGCAACGGCCACAACGGCCATGCCCGTGGCTCCCAGCTGATAGGCCACCTCCTGCCCGCCCACCAGTACACGCTGGTGAAGAGTACAGGTCCAAGGCCCCGTCCGAGCTGGCCCCAGCTACGCATCATGCCGAGCTTGCTTCCTCTCTCGTTCTCGCTCGCCTCGAAGCTACTCAAAGCGTTCAGGCCCGTCACCACCGTCGCGGACGTCATAGCCAAGCATGTGGCCGCCAGGTAGAGCATGGAGACTGTCTGAAGGCGGGCCAAAAGGCCAAAGGCCACGAGACAAGCAATAACCCCTGTCCGGACGCTGGTGAGGGGTGGCAACCGGCGGGTGACACCTCCCTGTAGGATGGAGGCAATGAGGCCCACGAAGCCTAGAAGCCGGCCGTTCTTCGAAGAGTCAAAGCCAAAGAGGTCGTAGGTCATGAAGGAGAGCGAGGACTCCATTCCGGAGAAGAAGAGGAGAAAGACGAAATGAATGCCGTTGAGGAGGACGCGCGAGTTGGTCCTCTCCATCTTTGCGTGCGGTGTGGTCTTTGCGTGTCCGTTGGCTGTCGGAGCCTTCTTGTCGCGTCCCGTCATCGAGGGAGGGTTTCGGGGAGGTAAAAGTAGAGGTACAAGGTCTCGGCAACGATAAGGAAGAGGGAAACGCCGGCGGCGGTCGCGAATGGGTTCTGGGCCACGGTGGCGATGGAGGAAAGGTAGGCGCCAAGCATCGGGCCAAAGGTGAAGGCAATGGAGAAGCAGGCGCCGATGAGAGCCATGGTTGAGCCACGAGACTTGTCGTCCGAAATATCCGTGGCCATCGCCGTCGCAAGCTGGACGTTGCCCTCGGAAAGGCCGCCGACGACGCGAGATGCTACAAAGGTACGGAAGTCTACGGCGACAACCCAGAGAAGGACGGACAAGATGTTGCCCGTCATGCTGGTGAGAAGAGCGGCGCGACGCCCGTACCTATCCGAGAGCATTCCGATGAGCGGAGATGCGAAGGCTTGGAGCAGACTAGTACCACAAGTTAGAGAATGTTCCCATGAGGAGGGGGACGCCTGCAGCGTCCCACCGCGCGCATAGCCAGCGCTCGCAGCTCTCATAGCAATATAAAGTATAGGAATGGGGTCGACCTACGAGAACAGGCTGCCCAAGGCGCCACCCAGCAGGACAATGTCATATCTCGAATCGATCTTGCGCTCAAACGCAGCCTTGTAGCGGTTGAGGTAGTCGAAAACGGTTTGCAGGAGGCTCGCGGAGCCATCGGCGGAAAGCGGGGTGGCGGCTTCGTGGTCGCGATAGTATTCGAGGAGCTTCGGGAAGAGCGGAAGGATGAATGTGAAGGAAATCTATGCGACCAGGCCATTAGCGATGAGCGAGATGGAACGGGGAAGAAGACAGGGTGCCTTACCAGGTCCAGGAGAAGTGAGATGACGATGACTTTGAGCACCTTCTTCCTCCATGTCGGGTCTACTGATTGCGCCATCGTGAAGAATAGCTACAAGGGTGGGCGAAAGGGGCGTGGAAGGCGAAGCGACGGTTCGAGATGCAAAAGAAAGGTAAGAGGTGTAGAGCTCGGGAACGAAACCAGCAGCCAGCCGCTTAGATGTTCTAGCTCGCGCTCGTAGAAGAGCAATCAAGGGGAAAAGAAGGTGGATGCCCAGGGGATGGCCAGATCAGCGCAGAAGGGGGAGGCGGAAAAAGAAAAGGACAAAAAACCCGATGACAAGGAGATGGAGACAGAGCAAATCTCGACTCGGGGATGGAAGAATGGTAGAAACGAAAAAGAAGAAGAAGAATAAGAAGAAGCTGGAACGAAAAAAACCCCTTTCACAAGAAAAGATCAGATGAGAAAAGAACAGGTGGGAAAGGGCAAGGTAAAAGTCACCGAGCGGGAACTTGTTTCATCGTGCCAGATGTTTCGCCATTTTGGACGGACACGAGTGGAAACGTCACAGCGTCCCCAATGCAGCAAATGGTGGGGGCGTGTTGAGAGAGCTGCAGCCCGTTGGCCAGCCAGACTCGGCCATTGAGCTCGATGAACAATGATGCCAATAATGATTGGCCGCTACTAGTAGACAAGTCCAACTGGTCCATTCAGTCTATCCTACTACAAAAAGGACAATAATCAAAATAAAAATCAAACAATTGCTCCATTGTCAAAGCTGCCGCTCGGGGATTTGAGTTGACAAGAGGGAAGGACCCTTGCATGGATCAATGATGGTTTCCGCCCACATGCGCTAGGGTCTTTCCTTCCCTTTCCCCACCAACGACTACACCTACGAAGTACGAGTATTACAGAGCAAGCAATGAGGACGACACGGAAGCTGCTGACGCAGGCCAATCTCCAGATTTCGATGTGCCAACTAGATTTTCCCCTCGTAGAAAGGATCCGTCGACCGACCATCTTGCACATCTCGCGGGAGACGAGATGGCGCTGGTGAATAGGCGCTGGCGAATAAAAAGGCCACAGATCGGCGCACAGGGTGGGTTGCAACCTCAGTATCAACGGGCGCGGTGTGCCAAAAGCCAGGTTGAGATATATTGCATCTCCCAGGCCACATGTCATCAAGTAGCCAATAAACAAGCACACATTAGAAAAGCGTATAAGTGACACTCGAGCATGTACTCGGGTCAATCTTGAGCCCCTTCGTGCCTTCCGATTCCACTCTGCCCTGGATCGATTGTTGCCTACCAGTTTCCACCGAGGATTTCCACCGTCCTCGGCATGTGTCTCAATCAAAATGAATTTTCCAATGCAAGTGTTTGGTCAAAACGGGGTATCATTTAAAATCTACACTATAAGCGAGCTTGGGGAACGACAACTAGGAAATCCTGTGCCTTGCGTCCAGCCAGTCTGGTCCAGCGCCTAGAGAATCCTAACGTGACATGGCAAGCAAGCACCGTCACCAGCCTCTCCGCCAAGGGACAGCCCTGCCCCTCGCCCTCCTATGACTGGGAAGGCCGGGAGGCACTCGGCGGAGGGGCTACCACGTACGGCTGTTCCCAAGGTGGGGTTATCCGCTGAGGTTCCACGCCCGCGCCGCTCGCCGACCGAGAATGCCGCCGGTGATGCGGGTCGTAACGCGAATGATACGGGTGGCCGCCGTCCACGCTCGACTCTGTCATCGAAGCCCCGTCGTCGGTCGTCAAGTTGACTTTGGCGTATTCCGTATTGCGGCTACCCACGTGCTTTGGGGGTTTCCCCTCATCTTCCTCACCAGCCTCGCCACGAGACTCATCCCTGTGAACTTCTTGAAACTCTTCCACGCCGCCGCCTTGAAGGAAATCCCCTCGCGTTGAGCTTCTTTCCTCTCTGTCGTTGAAATGGCTTCGTCAGTTCCCGTTACGGCTTCTTTGCCAAGAGGTGGATGCAGAGTAAAGAAAAACATCACTTACTCGATAGCAGATTCACTGAAAAGAGAACCAGCAACAGCGCGACAAAGATGCTCCCCCAACGATGGATGCCAAAGCCCACGATGGCAAACTCTTGCCTCCCTTCGACGAGGCTTGGCTGGCCGGAATCGTGGTCGAGCTTGAGGCCCCCTGGGCCCCGAAGCTCCGATAAACGGAGACGATGAGGATGAGGACGAGGACGAGGATGGCGTGGATGACGGCGAGTCGGACCCACCCCCAAGATCGGGGATTTCCGGTATATTGTCGCCCGAATCCGATTTCTTGCCGCCATTGTTGTTCGACGACGAGTCACTGTCTGCGTCTCCTCCCCTACCAAGGCCCCCGGTTCCTCCACCCTGTCCGCCAAGACCCCCAGTGCTCCCGCCCTCCCCTCCAAGGCCTCCACTCCCGTTCCATACGCCTATGTCCTCGCTCTCGCCACCTCCTCTGCCGAGACCGAAGCCCCCGGATTGACATCCGAGCCGACATTGCCCGCTGACCCCCGCCTCCGGATGAACCGCCCCGGAGGCCCCCAAACTTCGGGCTCCTGTTCTCGTGAAGTGTATACATCCGTAGATGGCTTTTGGTGAGTATCGCGGCTTGGCCAATGTCGACTAAGAGAATCCAACTTGTGTTTGAGGTAGCGGAGCTTTGAAGGATCACCAAGATTCCGATCCTGTGAAATATTGATAATATTGATAATATAAGCGGGGCTGCCCTGACTCCTCGTTGAAGCCTATCGGGGTCCCGTCGCCGGCTTTCGTTGTCAAAAGATCGGGAATTGCCAAGGTCGAGCGGAGGTCGCGCAACAGTCGGGGGAGGGTGGCGGCCAGTCTTTATTATCTGCCTTGTGTCTGGCGGCCGACCGTCGTCCCACACGGATCCATTGATGCTTCAAGCTCCCCAAAGAGCAATTGTTCAGATCCGCCGGCAGGGGGTGATCTGCGCCGCCCTCAGCCTCGATGTAACCAGTGAACCAGCGCCTGTGCCTCCCCTGCACCAATTGCTGTTTCGGCTCATGATCCTTTCACCCATCAAAATCCCTGGGCCATCCGCCCTGCGGGTTATTATTTCATGCTTGTGCAACCAACGCGGAACATCCCCTTATTCTTCGCTTGTTTGTTCCATCTTCTTGTGCGACGAATCGTTTCCTTGCCCACTATACCATGTTCATAGTCGAGTATTCGGCAAGAAACCGCCCTGGGTCTACTTCGGTAGACGGCATGAACGCCCTCAGTTAGGCTGCTTGCGCGCGCGCACGCACAGCCCGCATAATACCAGTGTTCTAAACCCCGAGACGGGGATTTTTTTCTTGGTTGGAAGCGAGCAAAAGATGTGGTGGCAGTGACGAGGGGTGATCTGTTTGACAAGGCCATTAAGCCTGTCAGCCTGCAGGGGAACAAGCGACCTAACCTAACATCTTGTAAGCGAGTTCTTGCCACATTGACGGGAAGAGGCCGCCTCAAGACAGGACGGCGATAATACACTCGATCAACTTCGTTCAAAGACTTACTCCACGTCTATCCTTGACAAGCCCTCTTGCCTCTCAGAAGATTAAAAAGAAAAAGGAAAAAAAGTCTTCATCCGGTATCATTAAGATTGTGATTATATTGTAAGACCCTAGTCCTTTGAAATAATAGAATGAAAAACAAATGGCGTCTAACAAACGCCTCTGTGAGTATCCGGGCCCTTCCCATGTCGCAACTGCAACCTATGCTTTCGGCCCCTATTCAACAGCATCGGGATATCCGACCTCTCGCTCTCGGCCTCCATCAGCGTCTCGGTAACGATGCAGATATCCTCAATGAGCCTCTCGAGAAGGTCGAGGGACATGTTCTCCTCACCACCACCCGAAGGATTTGCGTCTCCTTTTCATTGCTAGGGAGCCTGTAGTTGGGAATGATCCACTGTTTCGCCCTCATCATCTGGGAGACAGACTCCTGCTTCACGTGCGGGAACTCCTTCATAAACTTGTCGCTGAGGCGGAACGCCACCACGGGCAGGCCCGCAACGAAATCGGCCGACGTGATTTCGTCGTACCTACCCGACAGCTCCTTGCCCAGCAAACCGCCGCCGTCGGCAGCCCCCAGGCCTAGTTTTCGATACAGGCTCTCAATCTTCTTCTCCTTGCCCTTGACGGGTCTATGGATGTCGGACACGACGGTATACCAGCCCGTCTCTTCGAGGCTGCCGGACAGCAGGCGCGCGTTCCGCAGGCAATTCTCCATGACTTCCCGGTACCCGCTGAACCCGAGGTGGATGAGGTTGTAGTACTGGAGGATGACTTGGGCACCTGGCCGTGAGAAGTTGAGCGTGAAGCTCTTTTCCACGCCTCCTAGGTAATCCAAGCTGAAGACGAGGCTCTCGGGTAGGTACTGTTCGTCGCGCCAGATGATCCAGCCCAGGCCGACGTACACGAGACCAAACTTGTGGCCTGACGTGTTGATGGAAACGACGCGGGGAAGTTCGAAATTCCTAGTTAACTCTTGTGTAAGCGATAGAACGGGCCGGGACCAGAATCGAACGGGGCGTAGGTAGGGTGGCGGCTCTTACCATTTCGTACCGCCGGCGCCGGCATCGGTGAATGGGGCGATAAAGGCGCCGGACGCACCGTCAACGTGGATAGGAATGTCGATGCCCGTCTCCTCTTGGAACTCATCTAGAATGTTGGAGATCTCCTCGACTGGCTCGTAGTGGCCGGTGTAACTTTATAAAAAGACATAGACACATTAGCAAACCCTGACCTGGACGCTTGAGCCTTCTCACGAGGAACACTTACGTGCTGCCGAGGATGACAAAGACGCCAATGGTGTTTTCGTCAATGTTCTTCTTCACCAACTCGGGGTCTAGTCGGTGGTGGCTCCCTTCGCTCACGGGAAGAATCCTCGCCTCGACCTCGAAATACCTCGCAAACTTCTCCAGCGCCACCTGGGCGTTGGCACCCATGAGGATATTGGGCTTCGACGTGTCCTTGCCCTCCTTCCTCCTCTTCTCCTGCCACCTCCTCTTCAAAGCCAACCCGCCGAGATGGATGGCCTCGGACGAGCCCGTCGTGGCCGACCCGATGGCCTTCTCCCCGCGCCCACGCCCCACAGGTTGGCGAGGATGCTGATGCAGCGCTCGTGGATGCGCATCAGCGCCGGGTACTCGTCGGCGTCCGAGAGGTTCTTGTTCAGATTTTCGTTCATGAGGGCCGTGGCGTTGGGCTCCATCCAGGTGCCGACAAAGCTGGCGAGGTTCAAGTCGGGCTTCCCGTCGAGGTTCATTTCGTCGTGTATCATTTGGTAGACCGTGTCAGAGGATGCGCCTTCGCCAGGAATGCGGTACTTGGGAATCGGCGCCTCGGCCGTGTACTTGGAGGAATAGGGTGTCGAGTGTCGGCTCGGCCGGCTGGCAGGGTGAGACAACCCGGGCGCGACTTCGCGCAGATGGTTGACGATATCGTCGGGGTTAATCTGCCGTTGATCTTGGTGTAAGTGGTGGAGCTTGAGAGTTGGGTCACAGACCCATGCTTTTCTCGCAGGATTACAGATGAGGGAAGAGTGACAGCCCAAAAGAAAAAGAATTATAATCATGATGCTTACATGTCTGGACAACATTTTTTTTTTTTTTTTCGCGTCCTTCTTTATATCGTTCCCTTCTCGAAAGGTTAAAAAAATTAATCTCCGTGCACCCCGAGAGCGTCGTCGGGGTCCCGGCGGTTCCGGAGTGTAGAATGCAAGTCGGCTGCAAGTCGGCTGCAAGTCGGAGCAGCAGCGGAGTTTTGGGTGTAATACAGATTTTCACAAATTCAGCACCAGGAAATCTCCCAACGTCGTCGATACAGCTTGCATTAGAACACGGACGCTGGGTTTACATGTAGTCAACAAAGGGTCCCTTTTATATCAATCTAAAAGCGTGGATGCGATGGTTTTCGCGTCTTCCTGATCATCATGACATCGACCAACGAGTGCTTCAAGATCTAGTGCAGGCTTGATGGAAACTTAGACCCGAGATGAAGTTGAGCTGGGCATAGCTGCCTCATGACGCCATGAATACACGTCGTGGTCTGAGGCGGAATGCTGTTCATGATGGATGAGCCGACTATCCGGGCGAGGTAAGCAAGCAAGGAAACGCAAGCCATGTTGGTAATTCAAGTCAAGAGAAAGCGGCGCTAACGGGCTTAACAATGGGTTTTAGATTTGGCCGGGGACCTTGGCTTGAATGCCCAGGATTTATTGGCGGCACGGAAATTTTACTTTGGTTGTTTTACGGGGCGGAGGAGGACCGCAGAGAATGAACTTTGCAGTCTAAGCTCAGGTGTAGAAACTATCGACTCGCAAGTGTGCGCCGGTCGTCAGGCGCATCCCGGCATCGTGATGACTTGATCAATTGCCGCGACTGCACCGTTGTGGCTATTAGAGATGAGGATCAATCTTCTCACGCACCCAACAGACGGTGACATCATGAACATTGGTGAATATGCGGTACCACGTGGTTTCCAGCGGGGACCCTGGGCAGGAAAAGTGGACGGCGTTCAGGGTTCCAGCTGTGGAGCCCTGTCTGGACGCAAGAGATGAACGGCGGGGATTCGCATCACTCACAACCATTGAACACGACTTGACTATTGCTACTGGCGCCTAGATGCAGCCCTGTCGCCCTGTTGTCTGGGAAGTCTTGCAAGTCCTGGACTGTTTGTAAAAGCTGCAAGCACCCGTGATGTTGGCTGAGGCCGGGCGGCAAGCGCCTGGGACTGAGCCAGCCATGACCTGAGTCGATCCCCTGGGCTTTACCGAGACAACAGGGGTTCATGATCGAGAACCCGCTACTCTTATTTAGAGTGTCTTGCCTTGGGGCTCATATCCTCCCCATGCATTCAGCTCTGAGATCATGAGTGGCTTAAGGGATGAGGTTAGTAGGGACCTCGGGTTTTGGAAAAGCAAGATACTTCAATGTTGCTCCCCAATTCTTAGCCTATCCACAATATTACTGGGTTCCTCCGAGCGGATACACTCTTTGAAAGAAAGAAGTTGACATGAGGCCCGGTCGGAGCCCGACTTCGTGTCGATGGATTCACACCCACTTCTCAAGACTTGTAGAAGTCCTAATTTGTCTCTCGACTTTGCTTCCTCCAGAATCCCTCCGGAAGGGCTTGCCATGAAGAGTAAAGAGAAGGAGAAATAAAGAGAGATAGTATGTATGAGAGAGAGAAAGAGAGAGAGAGTGTGTGTGGGTGTGCGTGCGTGGTTGCAAGGCTCTGCGTTACTTATCAGTTGCACTTTAGACATATTCACCGCCTGCGTAGGTGGGCTTCCACTCGTCGCTTCCACTCGTCGTGCGTCCTCCTCAATCGGGTGCTCGCAGGCTCCGGCCCTCTCGCACCTCTCGGAGCGGCACCCCACGGCGCTGGGCCGGATTGCCGAGTAGATCCATTTTCCATCCGTTGAGTCGATACATGCACAATCCTTGACAGTGTATGTGGATGTGCCGGTCGTGAGAGACGTGGGGATTACCCACTGATGCTGGGCTGGCCGTCCAAGCTAATCAGGAAAATTGGCCTATGGATGGATTGATCCATTGCTTTGGCCGATGGCCGCAAAGGGCCTTTTGCTGGGGATCTTTTGTGGCTGCTGCACATGGTGTCTGATGATTTGAGCTGCTCTTTGTGGCAGAAAAACCCCCGTGGCTTGCAGGGGGCGAGTACTGAACGCATAAAGGAGAGATCAATGGTTCCTTTCAGCACCCGAACAGTCCAGCCAGGCCAGGCCGTTCATTTATCAAGCTAGGCTCTCAGTCCATGGACGAAGATTCAAACTCTCCCCTTCCGGCCGGTCGGTAACTCGAGGGCCTTTTGTTTTGCGGATTCACAGCTGGTGTGACGGGGCTTTATTTGGGACGGAGTGGCAATCCAGCTGTCAGCTGGATTCAGATGAAGGCGCCGAGTGCTTCTATATATGATTGGCTTGCATCTGCTGCCGCAAAAGTTCCTCGCCTCCTTCACTGTTCGGTCAAGTCCTTCTGGGCACTTTTTGATTTTCTCACTGCGCCTTATTCCGGAAGGCGGGCGGGCCCTTTCGAGAGAGGTATAGTGGCCGAATTTTAGAAACAAAAGGAGGGGGAAAAGAGAAGAGGGACAAAAGGAAAGGACCCAGTGGGTGAGTCGGAATTCCGCAACGCAAGCTGTTAGGAAAAGGCGGCTTTCTATGTAACCTTTGAAGCTCGAACTAAATTGCGTGCGGTGTTCCCTTCCAACACGCAAGAGCTTGAAAAGATAAGGCCTTACTGGACTGGCCATCCCCCGCGCTTCTTAATCCCCGAACATGTGCCTCTGGCTCTTGGCATGCTCACTTAAAAGTGCGGAGGAACCCACGCTGGCGTGCTGGGCATTGAAGGCCACGAAGGCCACGATAAGAACAGTGAGAGAGTATCGGTACAAAAACATCCTGTCGTTGCAGCCGTGGCTGGAGCGGATGGGTCCGTTGATGGATGGCTTGAGCGTCGGCGCAGAGATTCTTTCCAAGTACGCCTTTTCTCTTTGTTCTTGGGGCATTGGTGCCAGTCGTTCGGCCAGAAGAAAAGGGCCGTTTGTCTTCTTCAACAATAGAACAAGGGTTGGTGAGCATACACAATGCGTGTGTCTCCAGCGCAGGTGGATGCAACCTTCCACGCAGATTTATGTACTCTCAAGTATCTTTCAGGAGGGGAAGGTTCCCTCTCTTCTGAGCCACCCGTACCGTCGGCTCGACTCCAAACTTTTTGCTTGCGTGATGTGTGAGCTATCAGACCAGGTTGATATTCTGAGTAGAATTGATTTGATCTCTCCACCTTCTCACATACCAACCAGGACATACGCTGATTCCCTTTTTAGATAACTAAAGAGCTTTTTATCCCCCGTTTCGTGATGTGAACAGACGACAGCTGAAATCTGGTCTTGAATTTGGGGACTCGCCCGTGGCCAATCGGACGGCGAGCATGAGAACAGGGTACAAGCTTGGTACCTTGGAGGAAAAGGAAGGTGACAACCCCAGTACCCCACCACCAAGCTCCGCATCAAGTGCCTCTGGGGCCTTGGGGAGCGGAATTCTTCCTTTATCGGGAATCAATGTCCTTGCCCTTGATGCACCAGTTCTTTGGCATGTACTTGTCACCGTCGTCGTCGTCGCACGAGAGGCAGGGTCGTCTCGCTCCCCCAGGGCCCGAATCGCAATCGTGGTGGCGCTCCGTTTGCCGCCATTCAGGCCGGATTCTTCCAGATCTGGTCAAAGAAGGAGCGCTGGGCCGAGAGCCACAGCCGGTACATGGCCCGTCCTCTTTGCCCGCCCATCTCTCATCCGCTGTGTGTACATGGAGTAACTCTGGGGGAGTAACTCTGGAGAGTGTGGGAGGGAAAAGAAAAAAAGAAGGCAAGGGAAAAAGGGGCGGCTGGTTCTTCTGAATTGGGGGTGCGACCACGTTAATCAGCATATGAACAGAAAGTGCATCAATCGATCCATCCATAATAGATCCATTGTGTCTAACGGGCGCCCGTCTTTCGCAATCTTTTCGGATCTGCTGGGCGGATAGCGCAATTGGCTCGCCCAGAAAAAGGAAACTGCCCAGGGACCTTTGATCTCCACCGTTGAACTGCACTAGAAGTGCTGTGGCCGAGTATCACTTGTCACCCTACCTTGCCGACCAAGCTACACTAGCAGCGTTCTGGGCTGCCCCGAATTGACGGGTCGATCGACCAAGTATTGCCCCCATCCCACCCCCGTACACGCACGCTACGAAGGAGTAAGCCCAGGTACCTAGAGTCATCCCGTCTCCCTCCTCTCTCTCTCTCTCACCCCCAAAGGCCCGCGTCTTGGTTGTGACTCTGGCTGGGGTGATTTGATTCTCCCGGGCTTTGTATCGTTGTATGAGTTGCATGAGCGCCAGTGCGTGCTATTTCCGTTTTTCGGATCTTCACCCACCCCAGTCGCCCATTTACCATCCTTTTCATCCTCGTTTCCCCTTTCCTTCCTCCTCGTGTCTCCCCGTCGCTCCATGCACGTCGAGAAGGTGGATGTCGCCTCACTTTCTTGCTTCGCACCGCCCACTCGTCGCATAGAATCCATCCCATACCCGGACAACCGCATCCGAACCGACTAACGACGGGGGATCTTTTCACGCCAACTCCCTAAAGGCCGGCCGGCCGCTGTCTAGCCTCTTGACATTCAACTCCGACCCTCAGCAACAATGTCGTCCTTCTTTCGCCGGCGCCATGAGCCCGAGGACATCACGCCTCTCCCCGCCGCCTCCGAGTGCGTCGAAGTATCCGGCCTCGAGCATCTAAAGTCCCTGGAGCGGATGGAGAAGAAGGCTTTCAAATTCGATCCGAACCTTCCCATCGACGAACTGAGCGAACTCGACGCTGCCATCGCGACTGGAAATGCCGAAAAGGGCGCCGAGATCACCCAAGCCCTCAACGACGATAATAGCCCGTATCCCGAGGTACGCTTTCTCGCTCTCCCTTTCTTATATTGATGATTGGGTTCTTTTATCTTTTGTCGCATCAGCCCTGTATTCTGCTTTATTTGCCCATCGTCTTTTTTTTTTTTTCCTCGGCATGTTGGCGGCTGTCTTGGGATGTACTGCATTGCCGCTTTCCAAACCACCAGAGTGCGCCGGAGTCGGGAGCCGTGATGGGGGCTCAGCGATGAGATTGTTGCAGTGTGCCTGGTGTGAAAATTGCGCGAGGCCTTGTTCGAATAAGCGAAAGAAACTGACAAAACGCGATCGACCAAACAATAGGTGCGAGCCGTCGTCCGAAACTTCGATGTCGATCTACCTGCAAATACGATCCGCGCTTGGGTGATTGGCATGTTCCTCTGCACTGTCGGATCTGCCGTGAATATGCTTTTTCCCTACGGAATCCGAGTGTCACGATAACAACCTACGTTGTTCAGTTGGTTGCCTACCCTATAGGTCTTGGTTGGGATCTCGTCATGCCTGACAGGGAATGGAATCTATGGGGACTGAAATTTAACTTGAAGCCCGGCAAGTTCAACTACAAAGAGCATGTCATTATCGTTGTCATGTCCAATGTAAGTTTCCTGACGGTGCCTCTCGCTGCATAGCGCTGGGCTGGGCTATGAATGTCATCCATTGGGGTGATCTCTATCAATGAGCCCAGATCTTGTGGAGCGTAGTCTGCGACAAGGGCGGAGGAGGAGGATGATAAGCTAATCTTTTTCTTTCTCTACAGGCTGCGTACGGTGGAGGAGCTTTGTATGCAACTGACGTGCTGATCGCTCAGCAACTCTTTTACGGCCAAAATTTTGGCTGGGCCTTCCAGATTCTTTTTGGTATCACGACACTCTGCACTGGCTACGGCCTAGCTGGTCTAGCTCGGAGATTCCTCGTTTGGCCCGCATCTATGATTTGGCCCTCGGACCTTGTCAACTGCGCACTTTTCTATACCCTCCACGACCACTCGCCCTCTGATCCATCCAAGACGAACGGCTGGAAGATTGGCCGATATAGGCTGTTCCTCATTGTGGGCACTGCCGGCTTTATTTGGTACTGGTTTCCGGGCTGGATCTTCCAAGGCCTCTCTTACTTCATGTGGATTTGCTGGATCGCCCCTAACAATGTGATCGTCAACAAACTATTCGGCGGTTACTCGGGATACGGCCTGTTCCCCTTGACTTTTGACTGGACCGTTGTTTCTGGTTATCTTACGTCGCCCCTGATCCCGCCTTTCCACGCCATCGCCAACGTCACTGCCGGCATCATCGTTTTCTTCGTCTTCCTCTCCATGGGTATTCACTTTACCGGTACCTGGTACTCGGATTATTTCCCCGTCCAAAGCTCCATTTCGTATGACAATACCGGCAAGGAGTACAACGTCTCGCGCATCTTGAACAGCCAGTTCCTTTTTGACGAGGAGGCGTACAAGGCGTACTCGCCTCTCTTCTTGTCCACCCAATTTGCTCTCGCGTACGGTCTATCCTTCGCCGCTGTCACTGCGGTTGTTGTCCATGTCGCTTTATATCACGGCAAGGAGATCTGGAAGCAATTCAGGATGGCGCGCCATCAGGAGGACGATGTGCACATGAGGCTGATGAAGAAGTATCGTGATGCTGAGGATTGGTGGTATCTTGGTATGTCGCCCGCCTTCCCGTCTTCCTCCCTCATACCCCCAGACGAATTTGTCCCCCTTATTTAGATACCAGCCACTGACTTATGACATAGCTCTGTTCCTTGTGATGGTTGGAATTTCGTTCGGTGTTGTCGCTGGCTGGCCTACCGGTTTCCCCGCTTGGGCTTATGTCGTCTGCATTCTCCTCCCCGCAATCTGGCTCCTTCCGATCGGTATCGTCCAGGCCATCACGAACATCCAGCTTGGCTTGAACGTGCTCACCGAGTTTATCATTGGTTACATGGTCCCCGGTCGCCCTATGGCCATGATGATGTTTAAGAACTATGGCTACATTTGCATGTCCCAAGCCTTGTATTTCGCTCAGGATTTGAAGCTTGGCCACTACATGAAGGTACCGCCGCGCGTCATGTTCTCCTCCCAGCTCATCGCCTCGATCTGGTCCGCTATTGTTCAAATCATCGTCATGAACTGGGCCCTCGCCAACATTCCCAACGTCTGCGACCTGCAGCAGGAGAACGACTACACCTGCCCCGGTGGTCGTGTCTTCTTTACCGCCTCCATTATCTGGGGTGCCATTGGCCCCGCCCGCATCTTTAGCGGACAGGCCATCTACCACAGCCTCCAGTGGTTCTGGCTCGTCGGCGCTCTTGCTCCGATCCTCACCTGGGTCCTTGCTAGGCGCTGGCCCCGCTCTATCTGGCGCTACGTCAGCACGCCCCTTATTTTTGGCGGCTCCGGTTGGCTCCCGCCCGCCAGTGTCTACATCTACTTCTGCTGGGCTATCGTCGGCACCATCTTCAATTTCTTCATCAAGAGACGCTATACCGGATGGTGGCTTCAGTACAACTATATCCTGTCCGCTGCCTTGGACTGCGGTCTGATTCTGTCCACCATGGTCATCTTTTTCACTCTTTACCTCACCTCGGCGCAAGCTCCCCAATGGTGGGGCAACAGCGCCGCCGTGAGCACGATGGATTACAAGGGAACGTCATTCAAGTCCTTTGTGCCCGAGGGTGAAACGATTGGTCCCAAGGTGTGGCCATGATTTCAAAAAGTGCAAGGGCATTTCCTGCTTCCGCCACTTTATAGTTTTTTTTTCTTTTTATATCTCTTGTCTCTTGTTTAATCTGCGAGTTCTGCTAGATAATGATTGTGTCTTGACGGGAGGAAAGGAATTGGCTGCTGACGTACGATAGGTATAGCTCTTCGGTTACGGATGCGGTTGAGCGGGGAGAAGACTCTCCAGCCACCCCCTTGACTTTTCTTTTCCTGTACACAGATTTCCCATGATATCTCGGAATACTTCGGGTTTTGGAGAGAGGGTCATTATTTGCTATTTCGCACCCCTCTTCTCTCTTCTTTCTTCTTTGATTACCTGAAATTGGGGATTTCTTTTTCTTGTTCTTCCTGGCGTTTGAATGGGTGGGCAACCGGGGACAGATAGCATCGGCGTGGCGTGAATTTACAATACCTTTTCCCAAGTTGCTTCTTGCATAGTTTAAGTGAATGAATTGCTGTTCTGTTGATGGAAGACAGTATACTACATGCGGTTCAAGGCGCCTCCTTGCCTTGGCTTTAAATAATTCTTCGAACAAATCCTTAAGCACAGCATACGAGGAAGGGGTAAGAGGTAAAAAGCAACTAGGACCGGGCGTAAATCTGGGTTATATCTGGTCAATTCAAAGCCTAGACTCCTTCCAAACGGTATACATGATTGGTACAGTACACGAATCGTAACCAAGAAAAAGCTAAAAGAACGGGCAAAAAGCGATGTCATGCAAACAAAAAAACGTTGTTACCCAGACGCCGTGGTGCCACCAACGCTTACGACTCACCCCTTGCACGGAAACCTCCCGCCTGAGCCACCGGCCGCTCTGGGCAAACTAGGAGAGAGGCGCGGACGCATCATCGACTTCCTCCTTCTTTGGCTCCTCTGACTCTAGCTTAGGTTCCTCCACCTTGGCGTCGTCCGCTACCGCCTGGGCGTCAACAACGGCGGGCTTGTTCTCCTCCTCTTCCTTGGATGCGTCCTCCTGGGCAGGCTTCTCTTCTGGTTGAGCATCCTGCGAGGGGAAGCCTCAACCTTGGGTTCCACTGCCGCCTCTTCGGGTTTGGCGACCACCACTTCTTCCTCCGGCTTCTTGGCAACGACGGGGTCGTCCACCTGTGCCTCTTCTGCCGCAGGTGGGGTCGGCTCTTTCGGGAGGGTAGTCTCGGCGGGTGGCTCTTCAGGCGGTTCCTGGACGGGCGGAAGTTCACTAGACTGCGTTCTAATCGCTTCAGCGCGCTTGTCCAAATTCTCCACTAGGCTATCGAGCAAGTCGGGTCCATCATCGGCGTCGACAGCAGGCTGAGGTTCGGGTGTCGGTTCCTTGGCTTCTGGGGTTGCCTTCCTTTGCTCAGTAGACGCCTCTTCTACGGAAGGCGCTTCGGCAGCTTCAGCATTGGCGGCGGGTTCGGGGTCCGCTGGCGCGCGGTCGGACGCATCCTCGCTCACAGCGTTGGATTCAACGGCAGGGGGCGGCGGCGTTGTTTGAAGCTGGGCAGTAGGTGAGGGTTCCTTCGTCGCAGCCGATTCTTCCGTCTCTTCCACTATGGCAGTAGTATCCACAGGAGGCTCGGGGACATTCGTAGACACGTCCGCATCGCCCATCACGGTGTCTGCATTCTCGTTCGGTTGCTGATCATTGGTTAGAGAGGGCGCGGCATCCTCGGCGACGGACTTAGGCGTTGGCTCGCTAACCTCTTCCTTCACAGGCGGGGTAGCCCCAGCCGGTTCAGCGATGGGCGGCACATCCTCAGTCATGACTGTATCAATCTGTGCTGTATCCGCTGGGGCAGGGGGCACCAACCCTGCCGTCTCTGCGGGGATCTCGCAATAGGCTCCGTGGGCGACATGACCATGACATTCTTCAGAGGACTTCCTTCCACCTTCGGAGACCCCAGCGGCGGGATAGGCAAGAATGGAGTTGTCAAATGCGGGGATTCGTCAGCGTTGAGTCGGCCGGTTTGCTGGTCGCCTCGGGGAGTCTGCATTTTTGGCAGGAGCAGGAGTATCCGAGATGGCCGGAACATCTGTCATATCTTGATCCTGGTCCTGTTGATCAGTCGAATCCTTGCCATCCTCGTTGCCTTCGCCTTCCTCTCCCTCATCACCCTCATCTCCGTCATCGCCATCATCCTCATCCTCCGAGGGTGCTGCCGAGTCGGTCTTGCTATCCCGGTTTCCTTCGCCATCTCTCTCTTGCTTAATAGGCTATAGCTACGTGTTAGCCGCGTCATAAACTGCATCGTAGTTGGAATAATATAACTCACGTTTTCTCCCTCCCCAAGTGAACTACCCTCCGCCAGGTCAGCAAGGCCTCCTGATGAAGTGCGTGTGCTCGAGGGCAAGGGCAGCTTCTTCCTCCTTCCACGGCCAGGACCCTTGGGCTTTCTCTTGGGCGGGGAGGCCGGCGCTTGGCGGGCGTTTGCTGGGCATCGCCGCCAGCAATGGTAACTGGTGCGGCAATTACGCTCGTCGAAATAATCTCTCCCTCGATCCGTTGGCCCTCAACCACTGTGACCTCTTGCATGTACGGGTTTCCGGCAGCGTCTACCCGGCGGACGGTTGCCTTTGTGATTACGTTTCCGTGGGCGGGGTAACAATGGTCTTCGAAGCGATAGTGACAACCCCTTCCTTCTTTTCGCGAGATGGCTGACGTCGGGGCCCTCGGCATTGCGGGCGATCGGCTTCCAAGTCCTAACTGTGAACCCCTTGGTACTCGCATCATCGTCTTCCTTTTTGTCCAGCTTTTCCGTAGATGGCCCATCGCCTTCGGGCTCCTCCTCCTCAGCAGGGGGCGGTCGCTTGTAGAGACGTCCCGACCGGGCAGCACGCAATAATTCCTGGCTATGTGGGGCTAGCAAAGGTGCATCTTTCGGGAGGCCGTGGGGAAGCTCGATGGCCCAGATGTCGTTGGGTTTGGCAGTCTCGGGCGGTGGGGAGGCGCAATTTTGACCCATTCTTCTCGCCATTGTCGCACAGGAAGACCTAGACAACGAAAACGTTAGCGCCAAGCGCCGGGCGGAGTTTCCCTCATTAATGGATTCAATTGTAGATGGGGGCTTCACCCGTGAGGGGGCAAGTATCATACCTTCGAAATCATCATGCTCGGCATATCCTGCACGGTTCGCGCGGCGTGTCTAGATGGAACTGGTCAGCCAGGCTGCGGATGGGAGAACAATGCACGCCTCCAGAACACAGGGAACGGAACTCACTCCTGGCGCCATTTTGCCGCGTATAATCTTCAAGTACCAGGAGACTTGAAAATCGGTTACTGTAGACCTGAAAGGTCAAGACGGAAAGGGGCGACGAGGTAAGATCTCAAGGGAAGGCGCGACGTTCAATATTCGCGAGCGTCGCAGGTCAGCCTAGTTCGCGCCCTGGCGTGTGGGGCGAATGAGCACAAGTGCGAGCCGAGATTGGCCCCGTTGAAAATTATTGATGACGGTGTCAGGCGACAAGGGCGATGGTGGTTGGCAATACCCCTCTTGATCAATGGGTTCTCCGGACGTCTTAGTCGCGAAACTCAGAAGCGTGGATCGCGACACACAGCCTTGTCTCGCCAGGGGAAAATCTCCCACGCTGCCACTCCGACTGGACCAGCCTCAGCTGCATAGTGTCAGTCACGTGATAATCACAGAAATGCACACTGTGCTAGTGGCGATGTTGCCACACAAAGGAATGTGGACTAGGACAGTGCGACGAAGGCTAGGCATTATTCTTGCTTATCTGGAAGCTTATTCTGATCTGAGCCCGCCGCCGTTCTCGTCCAAGCAGAATTACTTGCGCCGAGTAGGTAGTGGAACGCAGAGGGAGGCTTCAATAATTAGACTGAGAAAGTCTATGTTAGGCGGTTATCGCACCAACGTTTATAGGTATTCACTTAAAGAAAAAAAGCCGAATGGGCAAGTGAAGGAGATAGTCATTAGTTGCCAGGCGCTAGAGTGTGGTCACCTCAAAACATTCCCGCCTGCATTCATGTTCAATATCGGGGTATCACGCCCGGAGGTCTTTTCCTTAATCATACAACTATACATACACATTGAAGCGTGCCTGGTAAATCTGTCCCCCGTCTATGGTTATATCTCGATCCCTTTTATACCCGCCTGCCGTTTTCAAGTCATCCTGTGTAGAGAAATGTTAGAAAGGGATCTTTGAGCCCGCAGCAGGCGAGGCGAAGTATAAGGCGGAAGAACCAACCACTCCTTCGTACAACTTACTTGGTGCCAAAAGGCTCCAGTTTCTCCGCTGCCGCCTTTGCGCCCCTTGTAGCAGGGCTCTCTAGAACGAGCGGGTTCGACTTGAAGAACTGGCTGATGATGGTCTGCCTCTTCACGACCTCGAGCTCTTCACGAGCCTTGGCGAGGAGCTGGCTGATCTCCTGGGGGTCCTTGACAGAAACATTCTCGCGGAAAGCGTCTCGCGTCCGGCGCTTGGCGTACTCGCGAAAGTTGTAGGCGTTGAATTGGTTACCTTGCCGGAGCAGCTGGCGATACTATAACATTCACCCACGTCAGTAAATTGAAATAGCAGAACTAGGACCCGCTAAGAAAATGAGAAAATATGCGCAGATCCAGATATCTTGTCGAAAATGCCGTCATCGGAGCTCGGAGACATCGGTCGGAGGGATGCGACAATCGGGAAGCACGGGAAGGATTACTGACCAGAGTGCGAGCTTGCTGGGCAGAGTCGCCCTTTAACGCAGACGCGACAGACATGGTGTATGGGGTTTATGTGTTGGGGTTGCCGACGTCGTGAGGTAGGGCTGAGAGGATGCGCGGTTCGGGTTATTCGTGAAAAGGGAAGATTTGAATGGCGAGGAATCAATCAGTGACGGAATCCCAGAGTTTGTAGGTTGACGGACAAAGGTGGGAGATTTTTGAGGGTGACGGAATTTGTAATATTCCGCGCTATCTTATCTCCGCCACCTGCGAAAAAACCCCCAAAACGCCGAAGCCACTTGACGTAACATAACCGGGCCGGAAATAGCAATCGTTGGAATTGATCGACCTCGACTTCCTACACTATGCTACGCCGGAAAATGCCAGCGAATCTCGTATAAAAGAACTCTTTCGTACCTTGGGCCTTTCACTTTTATACTGATTGATCCGGAAGTATGGAAAGAGAAAATAGCAGGATGGAGAATAAGAGTTTATGTACCTGGTAAAGAGTATGTACAACCAGCCCAACACAGACCACAGGGATTGGCAGAGAGAAAAACAGTTTCATACACGAAGTGAAGATATTGCCGTAACTACATGTAGGGGGATCAAAAGAGAAAGGTTGCTGCGAGAAGGAAGCAAAATGCGATGTAAACCCAACTCCGAGGATAATGCGCCCACACCGTATGAAGAGGGCCGTGAAAAGGAGAAAAAGAGGAGAAAGAAAAGAATGTACGAAGAAACATAGAATATGTACGGAGGATATATACATCAGAGGTCGGTATGTACTGTTTCCCTTTATGAGGAATTTATTTTGAAGAGGCTGTTTCTGGCTGCCCTCGCGACCTGCCAGCTTCAAGGAAGCGACATGAAGAGGGACTCCATATCACGATATTTCGGGGTCCTGGTAACAAGGGGAAAATGTTAGCGCCCAAGCTCTGATGCTCACCCATAAAAGGGAATGCAAGGGTAAGAAAGGACTCAAACGTACCCTAGCCCCGTTACTGGATCCCAACCCTCGCGGGCCGAGAATCCATCCGTCGAACAACCCGGGTTGCGACCGAACCGAATGTCGTTGAAAACACCTGGGTTCGCGTATAGCACCGGATTCACAAACCCGACGGTGGACTTTCCCGCAGCCAAGCGTTTCTCGTTTATGAGCGTGAGTATTGCCGCGAAGACAGGGGCAGACGCTTATCAATCGGTGTTAGCACTGGGCGCCGGGCGCTGGTGGACAAAAGAGAGGAAAGGGATGGATGGAAGGGAACGGAGGGGAAGGGGTAAGGCTGACGCACCGGATGTTCCGTACGAGAGGGTAAAGTTCCCGTTGACGCCTGTCGCAAAGTTGGCCCCGTTCGCGCTGACGTCCGGATACCCTCTCGTGGTTTTCGAGTTATTGTACCGGTCCGCTCCGTACAAGACGGGCGCGTTCTTGAAGTATTCACCCACCGCTTGCTTTTGGTAATCGGGCAGGGCAAAGACATTGGAAAAGCCTCCGCCGGACCGGATCACCTTCTCGCAGGCAACCTCGCCGCTGCGCACCGTAGACCCTTCCATCACCTCTGTCGCCCCCACCGAGGTCACCCAGGGGCAGGTGCTCGGGAAGGACGGGTTGAAGATGCCGCCCAGAGTCCCGTGCTGGTAAGCGCCCGTCAGCGGATCAAAGCACATATTTTTGTTGCCCGACACCCCAAAGTCGCCGGATGCAAAGACCATGGATACCCCTTGGAGGCCGAGCTTCATGTACTCGGCGCACTGTCTCTCCTCGTATTTTACGCTCAAGTCGCCTTCGTTGTAGGCGTAGCTTGTCGAGATCACGTTCACAAGCGGCGCCGTTCCGCAGGCCCTATCCGCTGGATATTGACCGTCAATGTTGGGATCTTTGGAGCCGCCGCCCTGGAAAGTACAATAACTGCCATCAACTGCATCCAGAAAGTTGTTGAAGCTTCCACCCTGGACCATATCGCCGACTTGGTAGAGCGTCACCTTTGCGGGTAAACGAGACTCATTGCGTATTCGAGGTCCAAAGATGATTCGCCGTTATAGAAATACGATTGCTTCTCCGTCTGGACAACCCCATCCGCGACCAAGTGAACTTCGGGTGGTCTGCCGACCAGTCTCGGCTCATACTGCGCGAAGAAGAGGTCCAGGTCCTCTTGGAGAAATGCCTGCGGGGTGTATTCTACCACACCTAAGCTGTTTTTGGGCCAATGGGAAGTTCCGGGGGTATCCCGTACAGGGCTCTGAGGCAAGCTGGCGTGATGACGGTATCGCAGTCTGCTAAGCTGGCGAGTAGGGTAGGATGCTTGACGACTTTCCCGGGCTTGGGCAAGCTGCCACTGGCGGGATCGCCCAAGATGGCGGTAATCCCCGGCCGGATTCCCTTCTTCCGAAGGGTGCAGCAGGTCAACCGAGATTCTTTTCTTTAGTGTCTTGAGCTGGTCTGCCGAGAGCGGTATCGTGGTGTCCTCCCGGGACTCACCCAGCCGCTGGTCGAAGTGCACAGTTGGCGTTATGATATCGATGTACGGGGCAATGTGCGCGGGGACAGAGTAGTCTTCGCACGCGACGTGCGAATGGCCAGATTCATGGGTAAAAACGTGGTACTCTGCGTGCAAGAGGGACTCAACCTCGTCTCGGTTGGCGGTGAACGATAGCCAGTTTCTAGCTCTTGAGAGAGTCGTCCGGTTTCTCGCGATACCTCCCTCCTCTAGCCATCCAAGCACGACGTCTATCGTGCTTTGATCCGGAGCAAAGGTCTCGATGATTTTCTCCTGGGACCAGTGGCGGCCGTAGAGCGAGGAGTTGGGGTCCGAAATCTCACTCATAAACTCACTAGCCCGGTCAAGATTCCTCTGCGTTAACCCGATCCTCACAGGCAAAGAAGAAGATCTCGGTAGCCGAGCATGTTGAGACCAACTCGACCAAGCTGACCGCTTCTCGTGCTGGACACGCTCTCCCCAGCCCGGAGCGTTACCGGACTAGCCAGCACTGACAGAGCCGAGGTGGTTATCGTGGCGAGGAAACCGGGTCTCATGGTTTACCTGATTGCCATCGGCTACGCACAGGAGGGCCAGAGACAAAGGGAGAGAGGAACGCATGGGATCCGAGGGCATATAGCATTTCAGTCGGTGGCGAGTACTTCCCTGAGTTATGGGGAGGCCGACCGATAGACGAGTACACGTTTACAGGAGTTATCCTAACCTGGAAATAATCCCGGTTCCCGGCAAGGTTCTAGTATACCGAGCCGTCTCCTCGATACCAGCTTGGTGGAGCATCCTGCTTGCTTGGCCCCAAATTTGAACATGAGCAAAAGCACTGCCCATCCGCTTATTACAAGCGTCATGCTGGAGAAAAGCTCCGCGATGAACGGACCCGCCGATGGTGACAAACGAGGGCCAACCCTCAACTTTGCCCTGCCCGTGCTGCCCTGGGTTACTCTGTCCGGCCCTACCCTATCCTGCTAGGAGTGGCGGTGGGAGGGTCAGCCGAGGGAACGGGGCGTCGCTTCGGGAATTGTTCGAAAGCTAAGCGATCTTATAGGGCAATTTGTGTCCTCATGATATCGCCCAAGTATGGTCGCGAGGAGGAGCCATGGCTAAATGAAAGCAAATTCTTTTCGCCCCTCTGCTCAAATGGAATTGCGGCGCTGCAGTAGTATGCCCCAATTGGGACGGTTCCATCCCACTTTGACCCTCCCCGCTCATTATCCATCCCGTGTGTATTGATTCAGGGAGTATATGACTGCTGGGGCTTTTATGCATCTGGTAATAATTAAGGCACCATCCTACGATGAGATTCGACTGGCACCGTGTTATTTTTGGACTCCTGCGTTGCCGATGAATATCCCAGGATGGGGATGACGAAGAGTAGGGGCGGAGGGCAAAAGGCCATGTTGGGGGCACGATATTGGACGAAAACACTTTAAAGGGGCTGACATTTGGTGTAACTTGGGAGGGGGAGCATGATTATATGCTTGGCTTGGTGGGTGCGGGATGAACTTCTCACCAAAGCGACACGGCTAGATACCGGTGATCACATGGGAGGCGATATTGGCCCTGGCCTGTCGTACATGAGACGGTCCTAGCATGCTTTGTTTTTCTAATCCCCCTACTCCCTCTTTGGTAGGTGCTAGAGAAGCTGGGCCGACGTGGTTTCTTCATTAATTTCCTATCTATTGTGGTGCCTTGGCCTCGACATATTTCTGGAAGGTGAGTTGCTGCAGAGCTCTTTGTTCATTTATGATATGCCAGAGCTCCTCGTTCGGCTCATTAGCTCCTTGGCCCGCGGAACTGCCTGAATCAGAATGCTGTAGACTAATCAGCGCGTCCTCCAACACGTTGGCCGGGAACCCTCTTGAATTCAAGACTCGCGTCAGCCTAGCCTCGTCGGAGAGGCTGGTTTCTAGCTGTGCTGTGAAGGTGTATTGTCGCTCTGCCCTTGTCGGCTTGACAACAGCGTGGATAGTGGTGGTCCTTTTCGCCGCCATGGCAGGGGAAAAACGACATTGGTGACGGGCGAGTTGAGGTCCGCGACCCGAGTGGGATGACCATCGCTCGCGAGTGTCCACTGCAAGACCTTACCCTTTGTGTGGCCGGTGAGTAAGGTCGTTCCGTCGAAACTGACGGCTATGCAGGAAGCCGGTCCGTCGTCCGCTTCGGCGACTCCCAGTGGGGTTGTGACTTGAACCGCCGTGGATAAGAGACCTTCGCTACGGGGGCCGAGAAGAGCGTTATCCCCAAATATTTCCACGGCGAAGACGGAATTGTCCTCGGTCGCAACGAAGACGGCCCTCGTGCAAGGGTCCAGGCAGAGGCAGAGAGGCACCGAGGGAAAGAGGAGTGTCCTTAGAGCCTCGCCCGTCTGATAGTTCCATATCACGCAGGTCTTATCCTTGCTGGAAGAGATGCAGACGGCAGTTTCCGGGTTCGTGCCCTTTGCAACGGCTACCGACGTGATAGCTGCTCTATGGTTTGAGAAGGATCTGTCTGGCTCGTGGTCCGCGCGCACGTCAAGGTCAAGGAGGTGAGGCAATGACCATACGTGAATGTTGGAGTCATCCGACCCAGTGAGGACATGGTAAGGACTTGCAGCGATACATGTAATGGCTTGGACGTGACAAGGGGGAGTGGTTACTTGTCGTCCCGTGCAGATCTATGAAAGTTGTGAGTTGCCAGATGCCTATAAAACAAGACACGATGATGATAGGATCAAGTAAGCTTACCTCCCAAAGAATCAACCTGCCCTGGGCAGTTCCTAAGAGGAGCACATCTTGGACAAGAGCAAGAGAAGTAATCTTTTCAGAAAACGGGATCAACGCTTCTTGGTTTCCCCGGGTTCTCGAGTAGACGTGAACGTGAGCCTTGTCCTTTTGTGCCACAAATATGTGCGACTCATTAACAGCGAGGCAGTTGACAGATGCGGAGCTCTTCTTGAAGGTTGCCTTGGCGGAAAGTGTAGGGTGCAGTTGGTACGAGTAGATACCCACGTCTTTTGCTATCTCGGTCCGGGAGGAGATGGGCGGGCCACCAGTCGAGGCAAAGAAGGACTCGGACAACATCGCTACAACTATTTGGTTCCAGGGCCAGAATCCGCAACCTCGTCCTCGTATCTTGATGGGAAAGAGTGATACTGCCGCGGGTGTATCTAGGATGGAAGATGTCTTCACGCAAAAAGGATTCGCCGAGGCGAATGGGAATGGCTCCAGAAGCACAGGTCTTGTGCCCTGGCGTGACACAAAGAGACCTTTCTACTTAGAGACCCGAAACCCGAACGGAGAAGCCTCCTCCCCGTGGGTGCGTGCTTGAAAATTAGGGACTGCGGAAGGCTGCAACTACTATGGCAAACCCCGCGCGGTCAAAGGACGAGGGCGATGCCGGGAGAGGTGGCTTCGTTTAGAATATAGAGGCGGTGACGATAGTGGCCCTAAGCCTCCTGTTCACGCTGCAGCCGAAGCGTGAAGGGAATCGGTTCGGACAAAGTAGCCTTGTGAACCTTGAACCTTTCCTTTCAGCAACCTCTATGGATGGCTCAAAGAGGGTCAGGGAGGGTGTGAGAGGATGGAATGGCTGTTAGCACAGGGCAAGGTAGCGTATGGTGGCAGGGCAAACGCTGCTTTTTACAACGGTTTCTCCCACAGAATGAACGTAGTGGTGAAAATTGAGAGGCTCGAAGTTGGTTTTGCAAGGTCGTCGTGTCAAGCCTTGTTCCTCGATAAAAAATTTCGGCCTCTTGACGTCGATGCTCTCATTCGCCTAAAAAAGATCAATTGGCTCGATGCGCTTTGGATCGAATCGGGTGGGACTCGATGGATCCACCAAATTCAATTGGTGGGCGATGTCCGTAGGGTCGGTCTGCTGGCGCTTTGGCGTTGGGGGCCCGCACATCAATATCAATCCACTATTGATAGCACGCTGTGCTCAATAACTACAAGTAGAACCAACAGCGGAAGACATTGAGGAGTGCTATAGTGTACGTGGTACCCTTGGTACTTCCTGCCCCTCCTGCTCTATCAGGAGACGAGACCCATCGTCACTTCCTGATAAATCTTGATAGCTACAGCGAATTAAGCACCTGCAAGGGACCTCATTGCCACTGTACACATTGTAGTTCTTGACCGAAGCGTTGACCGAAGCGTTGATCATGGCAGTAGACCCGCCACTTGGAGAATAGGAATATTGAAACCTAAAGATTTCATCTCAGCCATTGTTTTTCAGAAGCCGAGCAAAGGGAAAATGCGAGAGTTCGACAATCAGCTAGCTAGCATACCATCAAGCTGGAGAAAGAACTCTATCCATAGCTCTATTGAACCGTCTCAATATTTCGCCACAGCTACAAGACCACAAGCCTCAATGTTCCCCAGACAGCCAACCAGGACTTGGGTTTGAGGGTAGTCAGTTCCTAGTGCCCGGCACACTCCCGTAATAGCGCACAATATTCTAGGGACGTTGAGCACTCGCTTGGTGGCTGGTGTGCGGTGCAATCATCGAACTCGTGCAGAAGGGGAGTGAGGGAAGTGAGAAGCTGCAAGATTGCTGCGCTGCACAAGTATTGACCAACGCAACAGGACGAATCTCGAGGCTGACGCGCTTCTGCAGCAAGCCCCCAGGGAGGGTGGCAAGAACAGAAAGATTAATATCATCAATACGTGGAAATAGATCCGCTCTCTCCACCGATTAATGCAGCGAGTCGTGAGCCCGATACCCAGATCGTGCAGCGACCGGCCAGCCACCTCTTCGAGCCGCATGCAGCCCATGACTCTCCATACCAACAAAGCCATTCTCTCCTTGATCAGCAGCATCCACTATCGCATATTAGAACAACTCTCTCCTCACGCGGGCCGCCTTGGAGACTTTAGCCAACGTGAACGATTGCCCTTGTGCCCAATTGTCTCATACCTCGTGTGCTCGACGATATTGTTGCTAGCCTGAAGATCTATATAGGGTGGGGTTGGCAACTATTATGCAGTAGGGGGCATGGCCTCGTACCAAGCTCATCATGTGCATGCGTGCTTTCACTTTCTAATCGTTCCATGGCCGTCGAAGCCCACATTCCGTCAGGAAGAAAGCTTCGACTACGTTTACGAGGCTGTCCATCATCCTCCCTTTGAACTCAAGGCACTTGTGCTCGTCGCACAATTGCTATTGCTGGCACAAGCGACGATGTGGCCAACCATCCATGGAGCCAGCCACACCCCTGCAGCAAAACTAGACCAATTGCCAGCCATGCTTGCATGCGTCAATGGGTCCTCTTCATCCACACCGAGTCAGTGGATGATACTCGACGACGCAAAGGGCCTAAACCAGCAAGGACGACTCTCGGTATTTCCTTCGACCCCTGCGTTGGAAGCGGGTATACGTAGCGGATAGATGCGTGCGTCAACCCACTGGCCAACCTCGAATTTGCCGGCTGGACGTCACTGACTCGGGATGAGTCCCGCCAACTCCTCCGGAATGGGTCTCATTGTTCGCCCAAACGATGGGCGAAGCGGCGGCCCCGCCCTCCGCCGCAAATCTCCTTCAAGATCTTCGGAATACAGCAAAACCATTCAATTACATGTACGAGTCAAGGGCTCACATTACAGATGCCGTCCTTCTCCACCTGGGAGTTTGCAGGAAGCTTGAGCGTGCTCGTTTTAAACATCAATTTTTTTCCTTTTCTTTTTTCCTTTGTTTCCTATTATTCGCTTCCCTCTTTCCTTCTTTCGTCTATCAACTAATGCGACGCTTGTACACCTTGCCTCTCTTTTCTTTTTTTTTCTTTTTCTTTTCCCTGTTGCTTTTGCGTAAACATACTCGCATTTTCATCCCTTCCTCTTTCATCTCCTCGCAGCCTATACCCAGGCCCTTTGACTTTCGATGCTGTTCTGGAACGGGACTGGTGGCCTTGGCCTCTCCACCTCTTTCGTTGCGGACCTGCACACCGTGATGGATTATTACGTCTCTAGCTCCGCAAAGAGGGAGGAGAGGGAGACCGAAAAGAGGGAAAGAAAAAGGGCCTTCAAGGAAAAGCAAAAGAGTGGGAATGGGATGAAGGCCGCCTTTATGGCCTATTTGCCTATCGTTCCACTCTATTGCTTTTATGGCGGTCAATGGATATCGGCTCGGTGCCACAAGCGTACCCGAGAGCGATGAGCGCTTTCCTGCGTAGCTTACACAGGTATCATAGCACTGCCCAACTCCGGATGTCGTTGCAGCTTCCCTTGCGACGGTTCTCACTGTGAAAACGTGGCAGTCCCTCCCCAATGCTCGTCTCTCGCCTTCCTCCCCAGCTCAACAAGACAGCCATGGCCATCTGCTCCCCACTGATCGGCACACGCTACGATAGTGGATGGACCCCCTTCCATTCAACCTGTGCGACACACCCGTTGGTGACTAGGGAGTCTTTGACACGACAGGCAGTCTCCAATACTTGAGTGGCGATGGAGCTGGCCCCGGCGTTCAGCACTGGCCAGCTAGCCTGGCCCACCGGCAAGGGAAGAGACATGTGTGGAGTATGACATTACCCCTTGGCCCGTGAGATCCACGTCCATTCCCCGGGCGGATGATGAGCGGAAAGCTAATCTAGCGCAATGGCCAGTACTTGTCGTCAGTGCCATCCATGGCGGGAATGGCTCCAGGGCGGAACCCAGGCTCGAGCTTGCCGGAATGCGCTTGTCGGTGAGATGCGAACTCAGCAGCAACGCTCTCGGCGCGCCATGGACAGCCACACACACTACATTCCTACTAGTGATTCCACGGATTCCGTCGTCTTGGGGGAAAACTGCTGTCGGTTTGGAAGAGAGTGGAACAGTTTCGCAAAATAACAAGTTTGCTTCGCGCCGAATCCGAGCCTAAAGTGACCGGTGGCGCCTAGCGGGAATGAACGCTCGCCTTTCCAAACCGCCCCGAGGTGTACTCGTCTCGGGGAGCTAAAGCCATATCGCAAAGGCCTTTCCTGCGAGGCCATGCCCGCCATCCGACGCTGCATCGCGCAGCCATTTATCAGTGTGCTATTTTTTTGAGCCATGTGCAACCATCTTTACCCGAAAGAAACGCCCCTTGTGCGCACCGAGAGTGAGTGCGCCATGCAGCACTCGCGGGAGTTTCGTCGGACGATTGATATGGCCGACAAGCCACGTCTGTCTCGACTGCCCGTCAAGATCAGCGCATTCACGACTTTCGCGACTTTGAATGAGAGCGATTCGGAGCCTCCCTCCTTAAGAAGTAATAATGCCAAAATTGGTGTGGAAGAAACCAAGGCATCTCCCGTCGTTACTTTTTGCGCTGTCCTTTCGGTCTAGTCCTTTGGGCTTGGGGCTCGCTATTCCGCTTGCAAATATCGGGGCAGCTCTCTTTGCTTTTCCGCCCTGCATACCATTGCGAGTGACCTCCCCGCCCCTTTTCCACTTCCCCGTCGCATTACGACACTTGACGAGCCTTTTGTGTAATTTGCTTTTCCACCGATTTTCACGATTCCTCTCTCCTCCTTTCAGAAGTACTCTTGACTATCTAGTCTACCTTTAACCCCTCATGCCATCTCGCCTCCAGTGTTTCCGTCGAGGAGCCGTGATGATTTGCAAAGCTGCGCGAGTGCCTCGAGCACCCACCCTTTGCCCCCTCGGGTAGGTCGTGATGTAACCGTGGGCATGCAGCAGCGCCGATATCAGTTTGTAATTGAGAAGCTTGAGTAACCACTTCGTGAGAAAAGAAGGCCGGGGAGAGGGGATAGGAAGGGGGCGTGTGTGCAACCGCCTCGCCCCCGAATCCTCCATCGAAAAGCAAAGGGTAGGGTGAAGGAACATTTCCTTCTACGCACACACGCTATGGTTACTGTCTCACTTAGGTCTGAGATACTTGCGCCGTGCTTCTCTCGCAGTCCTTGTCCCTTTCATTCCTTCTATTTTCTTTTTCTCACTTTTCTTTTTCTCTTCTTTTTCTTAGACTTATCTCTTCTCACGAATCGGGTCAGGAAATGTATCCTGGCTGTGCGACTTAAGTTGCCCACCATCCTGCCCTTCGCCTGTGCTCCGGCTCAGAACCTTGCTCAACATACTCTCATTTCTTCTCCTTCCAGCTATAACATATCCTAATTCACGATTCCCTGGGGGCCTTAATATCGTGCTGGCTAACCTCCCGCTCTAGCGAAAAGACTGAGAGCTTTTTGCCCTGTTTCTTTGTACCCATTTCTTATTTCTTCCGGGTCTAGGATTGTCGGATTTCTTTTTCTCAAGAAGGTCGCCCCCTTCTTGCAGCTTCCTGCTGGGTTTCTTTTCTCCCTGCTTGGGCTTTTTTCTTTTGGACAGGAAAGGCAAAGTTCTTCCTCAGAGCCCGTTTCCACTCACCAAGGGCCGCAACGTTTTCCCCTTCCCCCGGTCCAATACCTCTTTCACATATCACCCAGGATGTCTGCACCATTCTCGCCTCTCGCGATGCACCCCGTGGGCCTTGAGCCTGCGGTTTCTTCGCCCGACCTAAGTGATTCAGGAGAATCGGAAAATCCTGTGCCCGGTATGGCCTGCACCTTCCCAGAGTTTCTCGTCCACGACCTAGAAGCTTCGACTGCCGTGTTTGCAGCGAAGGATATGACGGCAGGAGCGCCTGTCGCTGTTTTCTCCTCAAGACATTACAAGCTATGCCACCAAGAAGACTTGGGTCGCTATCCCTCGCCCACGCGGCAGGACCAGATGTCACCGATTCCGAATACGCGGCTGCTCCTAGCCCAGGAATTCGATATCAACATCTTCCGTACCACATGCGGACGCTCGAGCCGATAGAAGAACAGGCCCAAACTTTAGACGACCACAGCCGCCAAATCGAGTTTATGCGAGACGACGACGAGTCAGATTGGGACTCGATTTCTAGCAGCCATTCCTCCGGCGTCCTTGAGCCGTCTTCGACGAGGACCCGTGAGGTCTCTGTCATGACGGCCGCTACCTCACTATTGTCTGATAGGTTATCGCGCAGCTCATCTCACAATCGCGCGAGCGTAGATGGCTGCACAGAAACAAGCTGGATAGATGAGGGTTCCGATTCAGACTCGGACGATGTGAAGCCCCAAGAAGATCAAAGCCGGCCAAGTTCCATCCTCTCCTCCCGGAAGCGGCTGCCTGTCAGGTTGTCAGCTGAAAGCGTCGCACTTGAGCAGAATACCTCAATGATTCCTAGCGTAGAGGAGGTCCATCCAACTGGGGCACGGCCGATGCCTGCTCCGCAAAGCAAGAAGGCCGACGAAGCAAAATCTCTTTATTCTATCAGGATCTCGAAGCGACTCGGTTCGCGACGACGTCGAGGCGTAAGGATAGTCTCCGACATACCTTACAGTAGTCTCTATTCGAAAAGCAAGGCCACTCTCAATGACGTGCAGGCTGCCGCAGAACATGAGGATGACCCTGCCATGCCCTCGTTAGTTCCATTCGATTCCATAATCGATCTACGTGGCCGGGCGAATGATCCGACGTGTTCCGCTTCGGCGACGGAGAGGCAACGTGAGCCACTGGATACTCTTGAAAGCGCCTCTGAGGGGGAAGACGATGATTTATTAGCGAGCGACTGCCAGGACACATCTCACGCCAAGTTGAGCCAAGTATCCATGGGAGCTATCGATAGTCGGGCAGAAGCCCTTGGCCCCTCCCAGTCGCTGGAGGGAGGCTCCGCACTAAATGTGCAAGCTTGGCTGGAGTCTTCCGCAGGCCTCATGGCAAATGGAAGGGGGATGACCCGGCCGCGCTGGGGATACCCCTCCCCCGATGTCGTGGACAACGTCAGAGTTTCGATTACCTGTTTTCCAGATACCATGCTTTTATCATCGAGCTTGTCCGTGGATACCATCCGAGCCTATGCTAGAAAACTCAAGACACCAATGATTGACTTGGACGGGGACAATTCCCTAACAGCACGTACCAATCACCCCGCCGTTGGGGACTCAGTCGCATCCGCTCGAGACGGAGTATCGGAACTACGACAGCCGCTATGCAAGAAACGATTGTGCCCAGCTCGCCTCTGGATGAGGGAGCTCCCATTAGCAGCCTACGTTCCGGGGTCACGACACCCTGGGTATCGTTTCGAACCATTTTTCTGCTGGCTCCGACTACCTTTGCGATGCCTTGTATGCCCACATAGTGGTATACAACTACATCGCTAGTCTCTGTCCCAAGCCCGTGCCCTCTGCGCCCAAGACGCCGGCGACTCGAGGCAAGCCGCGGAGAGACGGCGATGATCGAGAGATCCCCCAAAAGGCGGCTGCGTTTCTCGGCATAGGGGATAGCAAGGGTCGCCCAGGGACCGTCGTCGAGCCCCAAACCCCGGCCATCCCGTCTCGCCCGGGTACATCTTCCTCTTCGCTCTACAAGCTGAGGCGAGGCAAAGCCAGCTCGCGCGCGCCGTCTGTGCTATCGCTTGAGCGAACACCTTTAGCACGTTCAGCCAAGGTGGATATCGCAATGCGTGAGCTTCTGATGGGACTGGCGAGGTGCATAGTTAGGCTCATCTACACTCTCAGAGAGGGTCGCACCGACGTTGTCAGCGAGGAGGAGGCGGCAGCCGTGCGGGTAGACCCTTTTCTTGTTAGAGCGCTGTGCGAAATTGTCCGTACCGCTGAAGGGTGCCAATGACATTTCATGACCCCTTACTAGCAGTCAGCGATGTATGGTTTCTTTTCTGGTCTCTGAAACCAACTGAAGGGGGTTGACAAGGCGCGAGCGAGGCGAACGTGTGTTTCATTTCAAATTGTACACAACTATGGGTGGCTTTTTCTTTTTTTTTTTTTTTTTTTCACTTATTTATTCCCCAGAATGCTCCCAGCCTTGATGAAGGTTATGAGTTCTACGCGTTTAGTATTGATAACGTCCCTCGCCCCTTTCGACTTTCTTATCTTTCCTGTCTTTTTCCCCTCTTAGCTTGCCGACTCATTCGATCCATTTCGACCGTTCTCCTACTACTTCTTTCACCGTTGGCGATGTTGAAATGAATATATGACAATGATGTGAAGACTGATGAGAAAATATGCATTTCAACATTTCCCCATGATATATGTGACGATGCCGTTCCATTGATATTATATATATGTGTATATATATTGATGCGCGTCCAAAGCGCCTATATTGGTAACAAGTGAGAGGAAAGGTCCCTGTATGCATTAAGCCTCTATACATTCGCAAGTAGATGAACCGAGAATGTGCAAGAAAACCCTTTGAGAACTCCATAGATCCGAGACGTAGATATTCCAAACCCCCAAAAAGGACTCCCCCGAATGAATGAGAAAACAATAAAACGTAGAACATTAGGTAAATTCGCAATGAAGAACAAAAAGAAAAAGGAGATTTTTGGTGGAGTGAGGAGATGAGGAGCGGGGAGATGGATGCAAAAAGGAAAAACAAAGAAAAAGCCCCAATTCAGGGGCTTTCGGAGCGGAGATTTGGTTGCATCCGCAAGGCTTCCTTTTCCAGGGCTCCTTCTTTAAGCCTTGCAGAGCCGCCCATTAGTCTCTTCCCAGCCCTCGCTGCCGACACAAGGGTGGCACACAAAGACGCTCTTGGGATCGACCTTGCGCTTGATCTCAAGGAGGCGCTCGTAGTTGTCGCCCCAAAAGGTGTGCTGCCAGTCGTCTTCGAAAAGTGATGCCTGATCGTGTTTTCTCGTTAGCGCTTGGGGGTCCAGTGCGACCAAAACAAGGGGGAAAAAAGGACGGAAGAGAGTAACATGGGGCTGCGAAGGCAGGGGGGGAACTAACCTCGTTAAGGTAGGCCCCGGAGTTTGGGGCAAGCCTATCAAGGATCTCCGTGTTGGACCTGATGCGCTCGATGGCGGCATTCTTGGCCTCCTGGTCCAAGGGATCAAACTCCTGGCCCTTAACGACATGGACGTAGGCATCCTCCATGCCGGAAGCACGGCGGAGCTTCCTCCACGGGGCTTAGCGTCCCGAACGCCTGGTCCGGCGACGAGATGAGCGAGGGCGGTGCCACTGGATGCCAAATACTCCTCGAGGGCGGCGGCGACGGAATCGACGTCGGCGAGGGTGTCTTTGTTGAAGAGGCGGGAGGACAAGTAGGAATCGGTGCCGGCCGTGCCGTTGTCAAAGTACTTGTCCCACCAGGACTGGTAGCAGTCGAACACTTCGGGCACGGCGACGACGGTGACGTTGGTGTCGGGGAACTTGGCCTGGGCCTCTTGGATGGCGGGGTAGACGGCGGCGTAGATTTCGGTCTCGTTGGTGGCGCCCGGCAGGGTGACGAGGCCCATGACTCCGCTGAGGAAGTCCGGGGGCCAGGGAAGTAGGTGTTGCTGATGTTGTGGGCGAGGAAGAGGTAGGCGCCGAGCCCTGCGTCGCCCCAGGAGGGGAACTGGGAGAGGATGAAGGCCTGGTATTCGTGGAGCTGCGGGGCGTCGGGGACGGTGAAGAGAGCGAGGGTGAGGTGCGCGATGGGGGCTAGGGATCGTTTCGAGAGTTACGGCGGTGATGACGCCAAAGGTCGAGCCTCCGCCCTGTACACGGCATCGTTGTTAGATTGGAGAGGGTACTTGCGATCTTTGCTACCTCACTACGTTGGGGGAAGGGCGGTTGACAGCTCCTGCCAAGGGAGGAAGCTCAATCCCCCCCAAAAAAGAAGAAAAAAGAAGAGGAAATTGACTTACACCTCGCACGGCCCAGAAAAGGTCCTCGTTCTGGCATTCGTTTGCAACGACTACTTCTCCATCCGGAGTAACGAGCTCCACCTCGAGGATGTGGTCACTCCCGAGCCCGTACTGAGACCCGAGAATGGAGTGGCCGCCGCCGCTGAGATAGCCACCCACGCCGACGCTCCGAGAATTGCCGCCGACAACGGTCTCGTTCTTGGTGCGGAGGAAACTCTGCAGGTCAAACATTTGGCCGCCGGCACGAGTGGTCACGGCGTTGGTCTCAATGGCGTCGCAGCCCTGGGGTGTGAAGGAGCCCTCGTGATACTCGATACCCTTCATGTGATGGGTCCAGATGGAGAGGGAATTGGGGGCAATGGAACGGCCCATGAAGTCGTGGCCGGTGCCCTTGATGATGAGGCGCACATTGTTGTCACGAGCTGTGGCGGGGCACCGCAGAGAGCGCGGTAACTGGTTAGCGATGCGAGCACAGTAGAGAGGAGAGAGAAAGAGAGGTCTAGAGGGGGCGTAGAAAAGGCGCGGAGAGAGGAAGGGAACAGATAGAATCGTAGGAAACGTACCAAAGTTGACCGCGGCTTGGACATGCTCGTTGTTAGTGGCGTTCACGACGAATGCAGGATATCCTGAAGCGTCGCACGGATAACTTGGGTCAGGAAGACAGGAGTCATTGCTGAACTGGTTCCACTCGACGGAGGTGGGGTGCTCTGCGTGGAAGACGTAAGTCTCCCATCCGCCGAGGACAGCTGGGCATTGGTCTGGGTCGTAGGCTCCGTGTCCCGGATGACAGACAGCTCCTGGTGGAGCTGGTTGAAGCAGTCCTCCTCCAATCGATTCATTGAGACTGGCCCAGGAGGCCTGCGATGGCCAGTTAGCATCTCCAGGGATGACTTTGCATGATCGCGGTGAACAGGTCCTCCCCCATGGACGGCGACAGAAAAGCTCAGAAACTGGGTGATGAGGGAGAGGGAACCGCAACGTTTGGTGTTCAAGGGCACGGGGGTCATCTTGCGGGACAGGAAGGGGGAGAAGAATCTCCCAAGAGCTCTCCGGGGCTGGGGGCGGGCTAGTGTAGTGTATTATAAGTGGGACGTGGGACGTGGGACGGCGACACTACTAGGAGGTGCTGCCAAGGTGGAAAGGGTACAAGCTGCAACGAGACGACTAGTCGCAAAAGCAGGTACTAGGTGTGCTGGTTTGGTTTTGTTTCCTCTTCCGATTGAAGGAGGGGTCTTTTTTTTTTTTTTTTTTGGGGCTTATTTCGGGGGTTGAAGGAAACAAACGGATTGGGCAAGAAAGTCAAGGATGAAAATAAAAATAAAAAGTGCGTGAAGTTGATGGAGTGGTATGAATGCAAAGAAGCACCAGGGCGAATGATGCGAAGAACGGATGTTTCTCTCTCGACTTCGGGCAGGGCGCAAGCAAGCGTGGGCGTTCACACACGCACACGCGGAGATGGAGATGTGGAGTGAAAAGGGGGACGAGGGCGATGTCGTTCAGAGTCTTTATCTACTATGTGCGTGCAGCCTTGGGAGGTCAAGCATACAAGTAGGGAGAGCAATGTCGGGAAGAGGGAAAGCGGGAGATCGGGGAGTTTTTAACCATCAATTACTTTTTGACGACAATGGAAATTCTACATGGAACCCAATTTCAAGGGTTCAAGTGCCAGTGGAGTAATTTGTTTGGCGAGAGGCAAGATAATTGAGGAGAGTATTAAGCCACTTACACGGAAGATCTTCAAGGCGTGGGACAGGGCGATTGTGGGCAGTTCGGCAAAAACGGTGGTATGAGTACGCGGCCAGGCGCAGCCGGACGTCATGCAGAAACAGAAGAAAAGAAAATAGAAAAAAGAAGCGACGCTTCTCACTGCACCGCGTGTTGTGCGCTCCTGCGCTCGTGGGTTCGTGGGTTCGTAGATTGTCGACCGGAAAGTAACAATGACGGATCGGATGGCGCCTGAATTGCCAAAAGTTGCCGAATCGGGCCAATTGCGCTTCGGCCCCGGATTGATGGATGATGGCTGGGAGCGGGGAAGCCACAAAAGGGAACACGTCAATGGCGGTATCTCAGCGAGAGCGAGCAGTACGACTCGATGGGTGAGGTGGCTTGGGGTTGGGCTGACCCGCTGATGACGAGCAACGAAGGTGAGGTTTTCCGCAGAATGGTCGCGTATCGAGCGTATTCTGAGCCCGAGGAGGTCAATGGAGGTCAATTGTGGTCAATAGTCACCAACAGGTTACGGTGGGCCCCCAAGAAACCCTGCTCGTATTCCTCGCTTTTGCTCAACGGCCACCGCAGAGAGAAACCCAAAGAGCGAATACTTGGTAAAACGCCCGGGGTACCTTTCTGGAGCTTATTCTCGACTTGCAAGGTAATGGCGGGGGAGGGAGGGGGGAACGGGCGGCAAACAAGCTCACACCCGGTCAAATTTACTGGCGAAACAGAAGACTCGTTCGGCAGGGCCTTAATCCACTTTAGGAATGGTTGCGCGAGCTGTGGGAACCTGCTGGTGAACGCCGGGCGAGCGAGGTTCTTTGGGAAGCCCTTAAAGTGGAAGCCTGGAAAGCTGAGCGGACCAGGGGGCCGTTGACTGGGAGTGGGTGGAGGGGGAGAGCGGACTTGCGCCAATGAACCCAAAGACACTGTGCAATAAGCACGGAAGAATATTTACACCCTCGAGTTTTGGTCAAGATGCGACAATCTTGTTGCCGAATCGGGTTCAGCAAAGGGCGTGAAGGGCGTGAAGGGCGTGAGACTTTCTTCTGGGGAGGAGATCTCTTTGAAAATTTGGAAAATCCCGGAAACTGTGGCTCAAGAGTGGCAACGGAACTCCAGGCGAATGGGTTTGGGTGCTCTGTACTGTCTCTTCCTCTACAAGTAGTTGTACGTGCTTGAGATTGATGCCAATTTGCGCCAAGTGAGAGGTTGAATCACGACCAACCCAAGACTGACGACTATCAAAGTAAGCAAGAACCTTGAAAGTTTGCAGTTTTTCAGCCGTATTAATACAATAGAAAGAGAAAGAGAGAGAGAGAGAGAGAGATAATTAGATAATTAGAAAGAGATGAAAGAAGAGAGAAAGGAATGGGTAGCTTGTGCAAGAGAGGGTGGTGCTTGTGTATGTCGAAGCGTATAAGTTGAGATGTGTGGGGTTGTTGTGACCTGAGGCTGGAAAACGAGGTTCGCGATCTCGGGAGAGAGAAGACAGCCTTTTAAACAGCATCATGGTTCCCTCAAGATAAGGGACAGCCTCAAGCCATACGCAGGGTCACCCCGAGAAACAAGCGATGGAAGAAGCTTCATTCCGCGATGCTCCCAGATCTATCCCGCTGCTACGTACGCAGAAACGGAGTCCGCGCGTCCGATGCCCATCATGGGGAGAGAAGGACGAACGCGGCATGGATTAAGAACATGCAACCCAGATTGTGATGTGAGTCCTCGAGAATACCCATGACGTCCTCTTGGGAGACTGGGTATAGTGTATAGTCAGGTAAGGGGGCGTGTAAAGGTATGGGCAAAGGGTCCCCTCGCTAAAAGAGGAAAAATAGAAGCAAAAGAAAAAAAGGTACGGGCACGTGGGCATGGTGATGTGCAAGGTTAGGAAGGGGGCCCGTTCAGCCTAGTCAAGAGCCGCGCAAGACTCGACGGAGCCTGAGGGCTAATAGATCAAAAGGAATCGTCACAGTCGTAGCTCGCGCCACGATCGAGTCAAGCCCAAGCCTATTGACGTGATAATACAACCCTCCCGGGGACGGCCGCGCTACGTCTCACTATCCAAGAGACAAGGAAAATAAAAATTAAGATTGGAGGGCGGGGGAGGCGGACAAACCAAAACACGCACGACATCCCGGCTAAGCGATGGATGGAAGGGATGGATGGGATACGAAAAAAGAAAAAAGGCCAGTATCAGCCGCGTCTCATTCTTACCATCTTGGTAAGTTTGGGCATGCGTACACTCCATGTATACGTTTGCCATCCCTCTCCTGGCTGCCTGGGCTGGGGTAGACGGAGCCCGGGGCGGTGGGATGCCGGTCGCTGCCGAGGAGGAAAACGCAGAAATCCCGGTTGGCGCTTGAGCTTCGTCAGCTCAATCATACTGCATACTCAGCGTGATTGTCGGCGGACTTGAGCCACTGAAATGCCTTGATTCCTCATGAGCCCCTCCCCCGTTACTCGGCTCGGCAGCCACGACGAGGCTTTCCACCATCCATTATCCATTCATGGATGCCGTTCCCTATCAAGGCCATGGGAACTTGAAGGAGTGCACTGGTGGTGGAGAAGGAGGGGGCTTTCCTGGCGAGGACAACGGCCCTGCCTCAGTCTCCAAGTAATACAGCTAATGCTATTAATTAGGGTTCGGAGTCGGGAGCCGGGACGGGGAAGCCTTGGCGGGGGAGAGGGGTGGACGTGGAGGTGGCGGGTGACTGATTTTTAAAATCAGTGACAACTCGAGGGCTAGTGGAGTGGGAGCGGGAGTGGAGTCAGGGCCAGGGCTGCCCCGTGGAAACCGGCTTGATGGGTTCCATGGCGATGGCAAGACATGGGTAGGGCATGTGTTTTGCTGCTGTGCGTACTTGGAGATGTGCGGAGCTGTGCTGTCGTAGTGGAAGCAGTGGGATGGGGCGGAATATGCGGAAAGTTTTCAGGGCAGGTGCCACCCCGTTCCTGCCCGCCCGTTAACCCAGCATCTCCTCAGGAAGGCAAGACCGACCACGGCTAGTCTTTGATCTCGACATTACTTTAGGCAAGCTTGGCAAGCTACCTGACTCTTGTTCTTGTTCATCATCCAAGAATTGGCCCTCGTTGCACTCCAACACTAGCCACACCGCGCTCTTCCCAAATTGGCCTCGGCGTGCCTCGAGACGTGGAGCCCCGGAGGGTGACGCATCATCGCTGATTCTTGCACTTCTCCGGGCTTCCCGTGCATCATGTTGATAACGGGGAGGTGTTTCGAACATGTTTTTTCGGTCGCTCTCTTCTTTTTCTCCCAACGGATCCTCGGGCCCAAGACCATGACCAAAAGAGTGCCTTGCGACCCTGCCACACTAGAATCCTCGGGAAATAAATTTCTAGCTTTGCTACCCTCCTTGCGACGCGTGTGGCTGGCCTGGCCGCGTACTCGAGGTGCCATCTGGAGCCTGCCAAGACATTCCTATCAATTGCTCCGTCGACCACCGCCGCCCCCTCTGACGGGATGGATGCTTGCCGACGTCAGCAAATCAGCAACTAATGATTCGCTGCCTCTCACAAACACGGAATTCGATCAATACAGTCTGACTCGGACGTCATCCGGCACCGGTCGATACGGGCGTCACGGTGAGGGTGACTGTGACGTGACGACGAGATGAAGGTGATGGAGCAGTCTAGGCTTTGTACCAGGCTTTTTCCATTGTATTCATGTTGTGAATGGTCAATTGGAAAGGCTTGAAAGGCGACTGAAGCGAGGCCGGGAAAGGCCGGAGACCAGCCGACACCCTCGGCCGGGGACTTCAAGCCAGCCCCTTCTTTCATCACCAATAGCAACTAGCGAAGATGAGAATATTCCCTCCTGTCCAAAAAGAAAAAGAAAAGAAAACAGCTCCGATAACGAGCTTAGCGGTGTTGGCAAGGTATGGGCGAGGCTTCATTCATCCTGCCGGGATTCTCCGGAAGCATGTCACGAGGCTCATGACCCGCCCCGACCGTCTCGGGTGAAAGCTTCGGGCCCTCACCCTTGATGGTCGCTTCGCGTTCAGCACCGTCGCTTCGCTTGTCATGCCATGGGTCAAGCGCCCAAGCCAAGACAAGCTATTACGTCTCAATTGTTTCCCAAACAGCAGTGAAATTAAACGAAGACAAAGGAAAAAGAAAAAAGAAAACGGATACCGGCATGGACAGGAAAATTCCTATACCCCCGGTCTCGCTTCGGTGCGGGAGGAATAATAATTTGGCTGCCTGGAATATGTGGGATACGTTCGGGATTGATGTTCCGCCGCGACCATCATCAATAATTGATACAGCCATGGATGGATTGACCTAAACGTCATCATCTGATGGAGGTGTGTGGCTTGCCCCTACCCACGAGCTTAATCTCGACTTGCTGCCCGCCCCCAAGCAAGTCGGGTGTTCTCGCCAGTTGCGGGCTTTGTGTATCCCATCAATGCACAATCAATCGAGCTATTTTGAGTTCTTCCCCAACGCATTGTCCACGGCTTACTTGGAGTCTTTAGCGTGCCATCTGATGTTCGACTTTTCAATCCTGCTCAGTTCAATGTTCTTCACCCACCAGCAAGAGTAGCCTGAGAGCTCGAGCTGGACCCAAATGCTGGACCAGCAGTGGACCAGCAGGGAGCTTTTGCGCGTTGCAGGGACCCAAAACGCGCTCCGTGCAACTGGGACTGCCCCCACACCTTGTTAAGCGAACCCGCCGGCCTAGATTAGCTCGATTGGTTCATTTTTCATCTTTTTTCTCCTTCCTCCTCCCTCTCTATTATTACATGTACCCCTGCCAGTCGCTAAAAGTAGAACAAAAAGTTCCTGGGCGCCGGATTCATGAGCCATTGCGTACCTGAGCTGGCGACTGCCGAAAAGACCAAAAGACCATCGAAGAATCCTGGTGCCTAAAATTTCGGGATCCACGGCGCCAACGACTGCGACAGAAACAAGCTAGGCCTCGTCATCTCCCTGCATCGCATCACAGAGCCTCACTCGCCAACCACCCTTCCCCTCCCTTCCCTCCCTCCCTGTCTCCATTCTCCAAACGTGTTCGGCTCGAACCGCCAACTGACGAAAGGGGAAACTCGGGAGGCCGAGCAGGAGGAGAAGCAGAAGAAGCAGAAGGGAAAAAAATAGGGAAGAAAAAAACCACACACCATGGCGGCAAAGAGAGACTTTGATGACGAGGATGAGGATCCCCAGCAGCAGCCGTTCTCAAGCTCGGCCAAACGTGCGAGACGTGACGCACCCGTGTCCAAGCAAAGGCATCATCAAAATGCCCATATGGACCCAACATGGGGCCAAAAGTACTTTTCGCAGGCAACTTGTCTTCGAGCTTACCCCAGGACGACGAGCTCGAGTTTGAAGATGACACTGATGCTATGGCCTACTTGCGCTCTGTAAGGTAGGGAAAATTTTCTTTTCTTGTTGGGCCCAGGCTTGCCTGCCTGAGCTCTTGCCCCTCTCCGAGGACTGACCACCCCTCTCTCGTGTCCCTAGCCTCTTGTTCTCCCTGAGCATCCTTACTATCTCCCTTTCTGCTTGGCTGCCTTCACTTCACTGAAGGTGATTTCTCTCCAAGCTCTTTGCTCATCGTAGCCAGATTTTAATCGTCACTAACCCGGAAACTCTCTCCTAGACAGCAAGCCGGTACCATTCCCCACCTTTAGTTGCCCCCAAGATCGGCCCTCAGCTCCCTGCCACATACCAGCGGAGCGGCGACGTCGAATCTGATGAAGAGGGCGAGGTCTCCGACTCCGAAGATCGCTCGGCATACGACACCGGCCTCGATGATCAAAGAGGATATTATCAGGACGGTGCGTACACCGCTGCCCCAGATGAGCCGGCAGACTACCTGTCCGAAGGCGAGTATGGCGACGACGAGGACGAGGATCCTGCCGTCGCCGCCACCGCCGCTTACTTGGCTTCCGTATGCGCACGTTTCCGCACCCTTCAGGCTCGACTACATACCCGACCCCCACACATCATAGCCTCCCTTCCCGAGTCTCATACCCCTATGTCGGACCCTTTGGGCCCAAGAGCGCGACCTTTACACTCTGGAATAGGCGCATCGAGGAGACGGACCCGCTGCCTGCCCAGGTCGCTGCCATGGATAAGGATGCGGTGTTGCGCGTCCTTCGCATCATCATGGGCGGCCGGTTCCTCCGCGTGGGGCGCGGAGTATCAGAACGGACAAGTCGTTGGTTGTGGGCACTGCTCGCAGCGCTACCGCCCGCAGGCGAGCTATCGCACACCGACGTCGCGTGGGTGCGCGATCTGGGCCGCAGGGCGGTACTCCTCGGGAGGAGCATCGCCGAGATGGCCGTCCTGAGGGAGGAGGTTGCCGACGGCGGCGGGGATCTAGGTCTGCACGATGCGGTGGACGATAGTGGTGAGGACGGGGGTGTCGCGAAAGATTTTGAAGATGAGGGCGAGCACATCGAAGGCGATCCCAGTTTAGGGGATCAGGCGAACGAACCGCCTAGTGCAGGAGCTCTCAGTGGAGCTACAAACCTGCCGCCCCCGCCCCCCAGGTGAGGACCTCGCCGGTAACGCGAGAGATGATGGAGCAGAACCTGAGGTGAGCGACCAAGAAGAAGGCGAGGCCTCAGAAGCTGAAGAGGATGCCCCCATGGACCTCGATTCAGATGCCGAGGACGCAGATGACCTCGAGGCAGCCAAGGCGCGCCTGCTGGCTCGTCTGGACAACCCCGGCTCGCGTGACGCCGGCGTTGACGATGACGATGACGATGACGATGACGATGACGGCGATGACGGCGATATGCGCGAAAGCGACGACGCCGTGCGGGCGAGGGCCAACCTGCGCGTCACCGTCAATATGATCCTCACCGTTGCCGGCGAGTTTTATGGCCAGCGTGACCTACTAGAGTTTAGGGACCCTTTTGCAGGTATGTGAACCGCAAGCCCGCCGTAGGGTGACCTGTTCCCATTTCCTCCCCCTGCCCCTCGAGCAGAGGCGAAGTCAGGGAGTGAGGAAGGGTTTATCTACGACGCCTCAATAAGCCGGTGGACAGGTAGGTTCCTGGGCTTGCTGAAGAATAAAAGCAATCATAGGTTTGATGTGGTCTGTTTCTGTCTCTCACCCGCTCGCGTTTCGTGACGACCTAGAGAGAGGTGTATAGTTTAGATACCCCGAGGAGCTAGTGTCTTGCTGGTAATGATCAATTTGCATCTTATCAAAAGGAAAGAAGGCGATACCAATAAACGAAACTGGAAAAAAGCAAAAGACAAAAGAAGTTACAAGAATCGGAGGTGAAGCCAACTTTGTAATCTAAGGCTCCAAGCGCGGAGAAGCTGTGTCCACAAGCCGTCAACATCCACAACACCTAAAACGCCCATATGAAAGCAGCCCAGCGTACAGAAGAAAAGGAAAAAAACTAATAAAAAGAGGTTGCCCTCGACGCAGAATCCCACCGCCTGCCTTGTCTGACCCTTGACCCTTTCCGTTGCCTTCCTTCATACATCTCATAGTCCTGATCCTTTCCTGTCACTGTTTCGACCCATCCCTCCTCGTAGTCTGCAATACAACCTTTTCTTTTGGTACAACAAGGTGGTACAACGCTTCTGCCATGCATCAATCACCAGAGCCGCGTGATGATCGCTTTTTTGTTTTTTTTCCGGTTTTCTTTTCTTCAGATGTCCATCTCCGGACTAAAGACAGCGGCGTCGAGGAAGGCTGCCTCCTCAAAATCGTCGACAGCCATGTTCTCCTGGTCCACGTCCTGGACGTCGGCGACATTGGGGAGACTCTTCCGGCCCTTGCGCCGAGGGACTGCCATCACCCTGGTGTTGCCGGCATCCGTGGAGCTACCGGGCTGGTGAGTAGCCGATCCAAAGAGCCGCAGGGGAGCTGAAGTTCCTCCTCATCCGCCTCATCAGCGTAGAACCTCTTCTTGGCGTTGCCGACGTCCTCGTCAAAGATGCTCTCCACACTCTCCTGGGAGGACGTGAGACCGGGCACGTTGTCGAGCTCGGGCGCAAAGGCGGGCTGCGACGAGATTCCTCCAACGCTGTGGATGCCGCAAAACGGCATGAGCTCCCGGTGGACGACGGTGCCCGTGGCCGCCTTTCGCCGCCTCTGGACGGCCATGGTGGTATCTTCGCGCTCGTCCCAGAGCTTGAACCCGCTGTAGGTGCTGCCCGTCTTGTAGCCCTCGGGCACGGACTTGCGGATGCGCATGCCGACGTTGAGGAGGCTCGACTGCGTGGAGGCGGGGAGGGATGCTTGCGCGGCGGCCGCGGAACTGGTGGCGTGGCGAGCGAGGGACGAGGACGGGTGGTCGGAAGGTGGTGTCGAGGAGTTGGCAAAGTAGGTTGTGATTTGGCGCTGGGATGGATCGGCTGATGCGCCGGCGAATTGGCGCTTGGTTCGAGGGCCGGTCATGGTATCGGTTTGGTTGGGTGTGAAGAATCGACTTGCGGCTGTCTTGTGCTAGGTGGGTTGAGATGAGGTGCCGACGGGCGCTTGGTTTGGAAAGGAAAGATTTGAATTGGTTCGAGGTCTGCCCCGCCGGAGAAGGAGAATTGGAGGGGTGGAAGAAGCTCTTTTCTTTTTTGATAGATGGATGTGAGTAATTTGCGGATTCGGTTCCCCCTCAAGGTCTGTGTTGGAACTGGGGAAATGTCAGGCCAGGATCACGGGGATGGGTCCGTTGGCTGGGTGCTGCTCGGTCAACCACCCTAGGCTAGGCGAAACGAGGCCCAGACCAAAAGCCAAAACCAGAAACCACCTCAGTCGTCCTTTTAGCGGGAATTTAAAAGAAAAATAGAGCGAGAGGATGGAGAGCTTGACCCTCTGGATACAAGCGAGAGAGAAAGAGGAAAAGCCCCAAAATTGATTGCTGACAAAGGGCAAATGAATCAAGAAAAAAAGAGAGGGGACAAAGGAGATATTCGCACAAGGATTGAGGGGAGAAACAATGACGCCGCTGATCGAGGTTGCGACAGGGAAGAAATGAATGGGGGCGACGGGGGCGACGAATAATTGACTGAAACGGGGATCATTACGACAGCACACATTGCGCCCCATGCAAGCAATTTTCGTCTGCACGAGGACAAGAGAGTCCATTATGCACACTCCTATTGGTCCACTGCTTTGTCAAGGGACCGCGTTTATTCTCTCTTTAAGCGCGTCGGAATCAATTAAACTCGCGTCAAACTCGCGATTACAGAATACATGGGATAAGTGTATACTTTAACCAATGCGATATGCAAGCCATTTTTATATCCGTTCCCTGAGAGAGAATCGTCAGAGTTGCGTGCTACTACTACCTCGGTACTCAATATTGAAGTAGTTTGATGCATGCATTCGCCACCAACGCCTCACCTCTTGTCCAACGGGCCAGCTCTTGACCAATGGATACCTTTGTCCGGAGGCTTTTCTACGGCCAGCCTTGTTCCTCCCCAAGATGTCTTTCCTTTAGCGACAGGGTGCTGTATTATGACCCAACCTCTTGCCACCACGGGGCCGCGCATTCTAATAGCTTCTAGCCAACACTGACTGGTGAGAACAGACAAGCAGGGTCAGATGGGAAGATGGGCAGGCATGGGACCATGGAGAATTGCTGTTGCCTGTCACTCGAGGAGTCAAGGCCCTATCAGATCTGAATTGTGGCGAGTTCTACTCGCATTGATAGGCGGACCGAGGCACCCGCTGTCCACCTTCGGCTTCTTGACTACGAATATCTGCCTGGTGAAATGGAGACTCTAGAAGCAAGGACAAGGACAAGTCGGTCGTTGGAGATCACGTTACGAAGAGTAGATTACGGTGTGCGCCCGTCTAGGATGTTTCAAGGAACCAATTCAATTGGCAAAGCAAGGCTTTTCGTCCATCTCTCCATTTTGACGCCCGACATCTCAACCATAGTGGCTTTTCCATGACCCGGTTCCAGCTCATCATCGAAGGGCCATGTGCTTGGGGACCCCGTGCGTTGTCCTTCTCAACTTAATCATAACATGCCAGTAAAAACAAGTACCAAAACGCAAGATCCATCACCAGTTTTGTTGGTTTATATACCCCTCATTGCAGACCAGAAGCCGTTTTGATCATGTCCCGTAAACAAAGCATGGAAGAAACGCCAGGTGCGGAGACAAGAGCTAGGCAAAAGATTCCGAATGATTCGATAGACTCAACAACACGGGCCAGCAGCGGAGGATCAAGGGGCGCACGAGCAGGTGAGTCGATAGAGCGAGAGAGTGAAAGAGATAGAGAGAGACCGGTTCCCGGGAATCAAATCAAATGCCGATAAAGTAATGGAAACGTAACAAGTGGAGGGAAATAATAGAAAAACAAGGATCCATGTCTTGTTCTTTGATGATGATGCAAGATATCCGGAAACCCCAACGCCCCTAACGAGGATTTTTGAGATGTTCCATCTTCTATCCGCAAATAACTGTCATTATTGCTCAATCGGAGGACTAGCTTTGTCTATACGCAGAGAGTTTTGCGAACGCGAGATGAACCACCGACCGATGAACCGTAAACGTCATGGCAGAAAACCGTTGAGAAGTAACAAGCACAACATTGTCCCGTTTACTTCCTTCGGAAAGAGCAACCCTCGGTGAGACGGGCCTTGCCACCGGTCGGTTGGCAGAGGACAGTGGTGCAGCCTTGGCAGATGACGACGGTCTGGGCGTGGGAGAAGACGGTGGTGATGGTGAAGCAGCCGGGGCACTTGACGTCCATGAAGAAGGATCGGGGAGCGGGCACAAGGGTCTATTGAGATGCAATCCACAACGTTAGTGTCCGTATCGGCCGGCGAAGCGGCGACGGGGGTTTGTCTATGATGTGCCGTGACATGGTAGACGGTCGGATGAACGCACCTTGAGCTTGTGCTTGCGAGCCTCGGAGGCAGGGCTGGGGTTGAGGAGATCAACGGCGAGAACCTATGCGACGCAAACGACGACCATGGTTAGCATGATGCCTCTCTTCATAACACGAAATGACGATGATCGGTGTGGTCGGGAAAGGGCTACGTCGTATAGCTGTCGTCCATGAATAGTCTGACCCCCAAGCCTTGACCAAGCCTAGGGGTCAATAGAAAATCTCTTCAAGTTGAGATATTCCCCCTCAAATACAGAGACACCCATCACTCCTTCGTTCAGGCTCTTGGGGGCTCGACTTCTTCTCGGACGACAGCTGAGAGACGTCCACGTGTTCCATCATTGTCCATCGATCATCGACGGCCAAGGAGTCCTTACCATCTTGACTGATTTTCACAAGAGAATGTATCTCAAAATCGATGCGAATTTTTCGAGACTGGAAATCTGGAGGCGGCGTTCGGCACAGATTTTGTCGGCGACTGGCTTCGATTGTGGTGGTTCTACAGATCGAAAAAAAAGTGTGAAAGGGTGGGAGGCGGAGGGGGGAGGTATATTGGACTGGTGGGTCAGGGTATTGCGGAAAAACCTCTGCTACTGGCGGGCGGCGAATGCGTGCTTGTTGTGCCTCTGCCTAGACCGTTTGGCGGCGAATTTTTGCCCCTCTCTCGGCCTGGTCGAGCCAGACGGTGGTTGTAGGGTTATCTGACCCCGCCACGTGACCTGGCAGAACCTCAACTGAGTCTCGACCTGTCCTGTCACCGCCGAATTTAAGGTGGGTCTGAGGCGGCCCCTTGAAGTACAGTCACGGTCATAGTCACGCACTGTGCATATCACTGGGTGACGGATCGGGATATTGCGAATTGCGTGTAAGTCTGGACTTGAGGCTCAAAGTGATATTCTCTCCCTGTTGGTCTTGACTCCCTTATAGCTTGCTGGCACACACCTCGAGGTCCTTTTATAGAGCTCGGTTGTGTTGGAGACCAGCGTAGCAGTTAGCCTACCTGGCGTCTAGGGTCTCCGGCACTGGGCAGGCCGCTTTGCGATGCCATGATCCAGCCCGGTTTCCATTCCAACGACCAACTCTCGAGATGGCATCTGAGGAAAATCAAGGGGCCATCCGCATCATCCACATAAAGAGGTTCTCACGGAAAGCAGGGATAGCACTCAAGAGCGCCGCCATATCCTAGAACCATCACGGCTAAAGACCGCTGTCCAAAGTCCGAGGGATCTTTTAGTTTTCCCATCCATACATCTCCCTGCAAACCAGTCTATGTATGCAAGCCTAGTGCCATCCGTAAATGCTGCAGAGAAAAAAAGCAACGAGGAAGGCTATGAAGTGATGGAAGCGAAGTGACAAAAAAGAAGTACAGAATACGGAATATGGAACCATGCGCCTTTGTGGTAGGCAAGGCATGGTGCTAGGCGCGCGTAGTCCCCTTGAAGGCTCGCACAATGAACCTGGTGACAATATATGTAGAGGAGGGGTGGTGGGGGCCAGTGTTGGCCAAAGTCAAGGCCAGGAACACAAACGCAGTAGCGCAACCACATGCGCAAACATCACCTCGGTTTCCGCTTGTTTATAAAGACACTCGGCCCTTTCTTGGAGGGGCCACGGGGCGGATTGGGCCCTTGAGGCTAGTACAAGGATCCATGTCAGCAACAGGTCGAAGATCATAGACAGAGGCATGTACCACGAAGAGAAAGAGATACTTACTCGAGGTCGAGAATCAGCGGCCGGTCCAGTAGGAGGCTGCTGTGGATGCTGTGGATGCTGAGGATGCTGGGGATACTGAGGCTGCTGGGGCTGATGAGGCCGCTGATGCGGCGGAGGCCGTTGCGGTTGCTGGGCTTGTTGAGGTTGAGCTTGTGCAGGCGGTCGCTGGGGAGGTCTTAGCCCTAGGGAATCCATCGCAGCAGGATCAATTTTTCAGGGCGAGGTTTCGGGGGCCTGGATTGCGGCGGTCTGGGAGCCCCTATTTTTCCTTGAAGAATCTTGGGTATGTTCTGGCGAGGGGCATTCGCGTTCCTCCCAGGATTGGGTCCAGTTGGCTGTGGGATATTGGTCAGCAATTGGTCCGGAATACTCTCACGGAATACCGATACCTTCTTCGTGTCTGGGCCCGAGATATCGTGCCCATCGTGGCGTCGTTTCTTCGCCTCCGAGTTGTCCGGATTGTGGGCCGTGGGGTGGATAACCGGCCGGCCAACGACGGACGGCATGTGCGGAGAAACGTTGCCTTGGCTGTCAATGCTAGGGACACGCCGGGCGAGGATACCCATGGGGATACCGCCTCCCTGATGATCTGGTGCGCGACTCGGGATCTGCTGCGTAGGAGGTCGTGAGACACCGCTACTCGTCGTCGTCGTCGTCGTCGTCGTCGACAACGGCGGCGGGTTGGCATCGGGCATAGGAATGTCGGGCGGCGGCTGCGGGTGAGGTTCAGTCGGAGGGCTGCGATCCAGTATTGGCAGCACGCGCCTTTGCGTGGGCCGCCTAAGCTGGGCCAACACATCGCCCTCGGTATACACCTGTCGCTGCCTCGCATCGTCGATGAGTTTACCCCAAAACTCACCCTGCACGAGAGCCCTAGAATCGCCCAGAATCCAGAGCGATGACTTTGCACGGGTGAGACCGACGTTCATACGACGAATATCCGTCATGAAACCAATACCTCCTGTGGGACTAGCACGGACGCAAGAGAAGATGATAATCTCACACTCGCGGCCCTGGAAGGCATCTGTAGTATTGAATTCAATCGTTTCCGTGATGTCATTGCCGTAGCGGGCAGCGAATCGATTGCGGAGCTCGTAAAGCTGAGCTTTATAAGGAGTAATAATGCCAATTTTCCTCTTGAAGTCAAAAGTGGAATAATCTGTACGAAGGCGTTCATAAAGCTGCAAGGCCACATTCAGCTCTTGGACGTTGACCAGCGATCGGCCGCCGCCACCCTTTGCTGGATACCCTTTACATCGAAGAAGCGGTAAGGGCTGAAGGTGTCGGCGCTGGCGTGCCACGGCTGCTGACGTAGCGATGCCATGTCGGCGCCGTCGATAAGCTTGCCCTCGTAAAACTCTCGACTAGGAAACATGCTAATATGGGGGTGCATACGATATTGCCTATCCAGCAGGTGGACGTTCTGAGGGTGGCATCGCTGCATACGGACAAAGAGAGATTGGTCGTATCCATAGCGCGCTGCGGACTGAGACAACACGGTGGGGGCAGCTGCTTCGGATCACCGACCAGAATACACTTCAAGCAGCCATACTTGAGGGGGATAAGGGCGCTCAGCTCCACACACTGCGCCGCCTCATCGATGATGACCGTTTCAAAGTCTACGTCGGTCAACTTCTTGAAGATTTCGTGTCCGCTGCCGCTCAGTGTGGCACATAAAACGTGTGCTTCGCCTAGGATCTCGCGCTGAAACTGGAGTCGCTTGATATCGATCTCTCGAGAGACCGTCTTTCCAGAGCTTTTGAGCTCATCCAACTGTGAACCTATACGCGCCTGTCGGCGCTTCCACTCGTCGAGCTCTCGCTGGTGCTTTGTCATCTCGACTCGGTCTCCGCTATCGCGCGCGATGCTCACTTTGACCCAGAGCTCGTCGACTTTCTGCTTGATCTCTGCGGCCTCGACGTGGATCTTGTCGCGATCAGACTTGATCGCGTCCATCACATTTTCCGCCTGAAGGCGTCGATTGACGAGTTCTTCAAGAGTCACATCTTTTACGCCAGCATTGATCGCATCGCTACGTCCCAAGCGGATCACGTTGATGCTGCGTTGGGTTCCGCGCGTCGTCGTGACGCCTTGCTTTAATCGAAGGACCAACTCATCCACGGCTGCATTACTGGGAGCGCAGACCAACAGCTTCTTGACGGAACCTCCGCCCGTCTTCGGTGCCGGGGTCGGCCCGGTCAATTGTCCAGTCAAGAGGCAGCCCACCATCGCGGTAATAGTCTTGGTCTTGCCGGTTCCGGGGGTCTAAAATGGGTAGGGTTTGGTCAGTAAGCCCAAGCGTTGAGTTGAGTCACAAAATGATGTGCTGACTTACCCTTGGATGAGAGTGAAGCCGTCATTGTCCTTGGCACCAATGACGGCAGTAGCCTGGGCGGGATTGAGACTATAGGTATTCATGTATGATTGCACGGCTTCTTCGCTGTACTTCAGGATAGGAGAGGGTTTCGCCTCGAGAACTTCTTCTAGGAGATCATAGTGCTGAAGGCCCTGAAGCGTGGCATATTCTCGCTCAATTGTCGTCATGTTAGTAATCTTGGCTACGTGCAAGACTTTGTTCGGCATGAGCTCCGGGATGATCGAAAGGCTCTTGGGGCTAACGCGATACTCGATCTCGAGGCTTCCCTGCTTGAACTGAATCTTGTGGACTCTCGAAAGGCAGTGCGGCGCCTGGCGGTCTTGTAACGGATTTTCCGCTTTGGAGATGACCACAATGTCGCCTTCGCTGACAGGACGCTCTCTTCCCTTTTCTGTCTGTGGCATGCTCGATGTCACTTGGATAAATCCGTCAAAATTCATTCGGGAGGCAATCTTCATGCCAAATGGCTTCGATGTCGCCTCCTCCATTGCCGTGACAAAGGATCGCCAAGCTTCATGAAGAAGCAGCGGAGAGAAGGTGTCCTTGTAAGCTAGCTCATCCTTGTAGGTGTTGGAGACCTTGTTGACGGTGATGCCGCTGGGGGATCAACACCCTCGTGGAAAATGTCCCACTCAAGGATGGCTCGGTGCAGAGGACCCATATTGGGATCAATTCTAGCACGGATGTCCTTTTCTGTCAAATTCTGCTTCCTCTTCTTGATAGGTGCGCGGTGGCTTTGCAGCAAAGCGCGGGCTCGGAGGCGCTCGGCTTCGTTCTGTGCCTTCAAACCTGCCTGTTGTTTCTGCATGAAGGCATCCAAGTCTTCATCTTCCGAGTCTTCTTCTTCCTCTTCCGAAGTGTCTACCATGATCTCGCTACGGAGAGCAGGAGCTTCAGGTTGAGCACCTTTCATCTTGGCAGCAAACTCGCGGTCTCGCCGCTTCTTCTCTTCCTTCGCCTGCAAACGCGACTCCTTTAGGGCTTTGATTCGAGCTGCGTCTCCAACCCCTGGCGCAAGTTTAGGTGCCGCAGGTCGCACAGGCTTAGACAGAGGAACCTTGCCTTTCGCCTGGCGCTGGGCAATCTGGTCGAGGACAGATCGACGACTGTCAATGGTGCTACTTAGTTCGAGTACATCGTCTCTATTCGAACGCTCCCCGACCCCGGCTTTGGTCCAAAGATCCAATTTGCTCTGCTTCTTGAGCTTCTGCGGCTCCAGAGCCTTGCGCTCAGCAATGATCTCGATCTCCGCATCATCGCCATCCAGGGCCATGAGCAGCTCTGCTTTCTGCTGCCGAGTCAGGTTGGTACCGATTTCGTACTTTCCCTCAGGGGTAATCTTGCAAGTGCGGTAAATGAATGACCGACTATTCGTCCCAATCTCGAGGTCAAACTCTCGGAGACGCTCGAGCAGCTTACACACGATTTTCGTGGTAATAGAGATAAGGTAGGTATCCCGAAGACGAAGCATCTTCGTCAGGCCATAGAGGTACTTTGAGCACGTATTCAGCACCTTCCGCATCATATCCGCCTGGACCTTGGAATCATCCTGTGGGGTATCGCCGTTTTTCTTCAAGAAGTTCTCCTTCAAGGCGGACGCGAGCAGCGCATCCTCCGCAACCAAGCTCTCTGCCAGCTCAATCATTTGCCGACAGAGGTTGGTCATGACCGGGATCTCGATATAGTACGACCACTTCTCCGTGTACTTGAACACCGTTTCTACCCAGTGCCATTGGGTCGTCCACCAGCTAAACACCGTATCGAGTTCGGGCGGGGACAGCGACGCAGTTCGGAGCAGGCCAGTGGCAGGGTCGCAAAGCGCGGATAGGACGTCCTGGCCGAAGCTCAAGATATGAGGAACGGGCCCGTATGGGGAGCAGTCCGGGGTGCGGCATTGACATCTTCAATTCCGCAACCCTCGTCAATTGGCGGCTTCACCGTCTGGTTGATGGCATAGTTAAAAATGCGGATGGTCCCGCTCGGCTGCTGATGGACTAGCTGAATGACGGCGTCAGAGCTTGTGGCCTTCTTCGTCATAGCTTTCAGCAGTTCAATCGCAGCCTCGCGGATGACATCCGCGCCGTGGAAACTAAAAGCTAGAATGACCTTCATACCATCGCGAGACAGGTCATCAAGCTCTGTGGCATTGAACTGCGATAGTCGCTGAAGCACAGTGCCAACTACGCCCGTGAGCTTCTCAAAGTGCTCGTTGAACAAAATCTTGGATCTCTCCATTGGCTTCACGGCCTTCCTCTCCGGTCTGAAGGCTTCTACGCAGAGCAGCGGAAACATGCCATGAAGAACATGACGCGCTTGGTCTAGATTTCCGGGGTATAGCAGGTCGAGGAACCCGTCCCAGAGAGAAGCAGACTCCCGCTTCACTACGGTCTGGTAAGGTTTCCCGAGGTGAATGCCTTTACACTCTTCGGCTGTGGTTCTAGAGTCCAACTCCAGCGCCGTTCGGATAACTCTTAGGGCAGCTTTGTTCGCGTCAAAAGGCTGGCTACGCTTCTCGGCCCACTCTACGAGTTGAAACCTAAATTGGTGGGCCATGTTGACAACAGCATTCAGGTGCAATATATTGTTGGGCAAGACGAAGCTTCGCTGAAGAGTTGTGGGAAACTGGCCATTCGCGTTAGCCACCGTTAAGAAGGACTCGAGGACGTCGGTCAGAGCGTCGAAGCCGGCGCGCGCGCATGCCGCGTGTCCTCTGGCGATATGGATGTGTCCTTGATCAGCTCTTTAAAAAGCTTATCGAGAAGGGAATTGCAGGCATCCATTTTCTCGTGTCTCTTGACCGACTTGATCCATGCATATATCCATGAGACGGTGAACGGGGGCTTTTCAGTGTCCGATTCATCCATGCAAATATCCATGGACTGGGAGAGAAGGGATTTGAAGGCAGGGGCGTAGATAATCTTCTCTGCCACCATGAAGGGTTTCGTTTCCCCGACAGCACTCCAAAAGCAGATGGCGCCTTCTCGAGGAGCGTCGTGATGACCTTGATAAGGTTTACCAGGATCGCTTCGGAATTGCAGAACTGTAGGTGGTTAAATAGGGGCGTATAGAGAGCTACGTTGACGTCCATCTCTGCGAGGTTGTGTGTGATGAGATGTTCGCCGAGGGAGCGAAGGATGAGGAAAAACCCCTCCCAGAATTGTTGTATCTTGGGATACAAGTCCGGCCTCGTCGGGTCGAGCGTGCCCACTTCCCTCATAGCCTCCGCCAAAGGCCCCGCTACCGCCCAGTCAAACTGCTCCGGAGTCAGCGAGCTGGGCTCCAGTGTTTCCCAGCATGCTTTTGCAAACCGGAGAGCGACAGGGTCTTCAGCGAATAAGAACGCCGTTGTGGCCGGCAAAACAGACCCGCTACCGAGCCGAAGGGGCTTCTTGGCGTTTACTTTGTAGAAAACAGACAAGAAATCTTGTCGTTTATCGGGAAGACTAAGATAAGGCACGCAACAAAGAGCCTCGTATATGGTGAGCAAGAACGGGCCTCTCTCAGCTCCCAAACTGGCAACCTTGAAGGCGCCAGTTTCGCTTTTGACCTTGTCAATCGACTCCTGGGCCCACTTCAATCCCTTGTCGAGGCTGTTGAAATCCAAAGTGCTGAACAAGCGCTGTACCTCACGGACAGCCTCTTCATTGTAGTCCCTAAAAATTGAAATGGTGAGTACGCGGGGAGCTCGCGAAGAGCGGTGCTAGAGTAATCACATACTCTTGGAACTTGCTGAGGAAGGCCTTCCGCTTCATATGCCAGTTCATAACACATTTGTCACATTTCCTGAGCGCACCGCTCAAGCGGTTGCCAAACTCTTCCATACATTGCTCCGTTTTCGCCTTGGGCATCGCTAATAGCAGACTAGTCCAGTAGACGGTCGCTATCCTTTCTTCGCCTTCCTCCACGCGCTTCTTTCTCTTCTCCCCTTCGTCCGTGTCCGAGGGCGCAGCGTAATCCTCGACATCATCGTCACTGATTTTGGGACAGAGGATATGTACGTCCGCAGGGATGGCACGAAACTTGGTGAACCACTCGGAGACCACCTCGTTGATCGGTTGGGGCGCCATAGTATCAAGAGTTTAGGCCCAGCATAGATGCATGCCAAGCGTAGATTCGGGGGTCGAGCTGTCGAGTATCGGGGCAACGAGGTCGAGCGGAATCGGTGGGAGAGAGCGAACAAAGAATTAGTTGGTGAGGATGGAGCGGCTGGCAGGCAAGCTATAAGTTGTGTTCCAGATGATTAATCTTCTCAAATATTTGTTAGCCTCTTGATGTGTTACCCAGTAGCCCTGCTTCCCTCGGGAAACCCTTGAAGTCGGCAAGTGTTGAAAGTGCACATGAATCAAAAGTGGGTGGGTAATGCAGCAAGGGCGATGATTGTATAAAGATAAAGATCCAAGAGGGGAGGTAGAGGCAGGGCAATTCAGTGGCCAGTAGGATCAAGGCCATAGAATCATCCCACAAGGGCAGGTATCATCAGTACTTACTTTGTCGAGTTTAAGGAAACCGGTAGGAACGAGGAGAGGGCCCGATGCTAGCAGATCCTCCACATTTACATTAAAAGATTTATAACCCAGCTTTTAAACATACTAGGAAAAGAAGGTCAATGAGGGTGGAGGAAAGCGTGGACCGGAAAAGGGGATGGTTTCCACCAAGAAATCACGGGGAAGGTTGAGAAAGGTTTTGAGGATAAACCTGTAGCCGCACGCTAGATGCACGCGAGGTCGCGATACACGCCTTGACAAATTTAAAGTGGGTTTTGGGAGGAAAACGTGGATGTACACATCCACCTCTTTTACATGACAAGATACATGGCCTATCGTTGTAGGGGATAATGGAATATCTCCAGAGATCGTCCCCCACCACATTGGAGTATCTGAAATGGTGAACCGTCACAAGTTACAGCTCGACTTTCACTCGCCCGAGCAATGCGTGAATCAAGAAGAATTTAGTGGTTTTTTTTTTTTTCGTTTTTTCTGCCAAGCAATTAGGTTTGTAGGTGTGAAGTGGTTGACATCGATTGGGGCAGCTTCCCAATGGCCCACCACCCCATGAAGCTCCTATCATCACCTTGAGGGTCCGAAATGCCCAACTCCATCTACCTCGGTACACCCTAGGGACTTCTAGACCCCATTCCACACTTTCTCCTCTTCCTCTATGAAATCACATCCTCCTTTGCCCTGGGCCCGACTCTCTGAAGCAGATGGTCCACCACACAAGTACTCGGGTCTCCCACCTTGGTTCGATTCTCAGCGTTCGCCCGACAACGGTCGCAGGTTTGGCCATGGCGGATGAAGAGTTGATGTAGGCCGTATTTTAGATGATCTGGCACAAGGTACTCACAATGCCAAAACGTCAGTTCAGGGGATGCTGTCGGGGGAACCCATCCCAACCATTTGCAGAATCTGTGGACGTGCGTATCAACCGCGAAGCACGGGAGTCGAAGGCAAAAGAGGATAACGCAAGCCGCAGTCTTGACCCCAATGCGAGGATACTTTACCAGCTCATACATAGCCTCAGCGGCTGTCTTGCCATGGAGATGTTCGAGTGATAGCTGTCCGTGCTCTTCCCAGACCATGTCGAGGATCTTCTTCATATCAGCAGCCTTGCCGTTTGCAAGTCCAGCCATTTTGATAGTAGATGCAAGCTCTTCTTGTGGAGAGAGCCTTACCCTCGCCCAGTCCACACTTCCGGCTCCTATTCCCGTCTCAAGGACCCCGTATTTGAGAACCAGCGCAGCAAAGGCTGCGTTCGCCGCCTTCATCGTTGTCGCTGCACTCAGTAGTGTTCTTAGAAGAGCATCAAGAACAGAGGGGACCTCGCCACACCCCGCTACTGTAAGAGATGGTGCAGGGGCTGTCAAAGGTGCCTTTGCTTCACCATGAGCTTCTGCCAATATCTTGTACACCTCTTCACACAACTCCGGGCGTGGTCCTCCCCAGCTAGGAAATGGAGTTTTCCCAAACTTGAGCCCAGCGGGATTCCCCTTAGTCTTCCTACGAGTGGATACGGACGCTGTTGGTGAGCCATAACTATCATGGGGCTCAATCGCATTGGAATCTTGTGGAGGAGTGGGCAGTGAGAGGGCCTGTTCCACTTTCGAAGCGAACCCCTCTAGCGGCGTTGGGAGTTGAGTGCACAGCATCTCGGCATCATGGGTGCCGGTTCCGGACTTAGACTTAGGGGTCTTGCCATTGTCAGTAGGAAAGGATTCTCACAACCCAACATAAGTCATGGGGATACAGCCTCGAACACCACCAGCTCGACATACCAGATCGTGTGCATCTTTGACATGTGAGCTTTGCGTCAATGAGTGTCCGCCTCCAAAACTTGGCGGAGATGATCTCTCGAGACGGCGCCTCTTTCTCGCCCGTGCCTCATCGTAATCAGCGCAAGGAGGGCTAAGGCGCAGCTTCGCAGTTTGTTTCTCTTGTTTTGCCGCAGATCGGGTCCGCATTGTTCACGATGTCCTTGGAGCTTCACGACCAAGAAGAACAGGTTTGGAAAAGAGAGACCAAAGCGAGGCAACCCTTGGTGTTGCAGTGGCAGGAGAGCAGGATAGAGAGAGATCAGTTGTCACATATCCGTTCCGAGGGTGCTCCACCAAGAATAAGGTTGCTTGAGGCTGGTCGCCACTACCCCGTTAGATTGGATTTCTGACATTACACCGCATTTCTTATGCCATTTGCCACTCCACCAACAACTCCCTATGCATCATCGATAACTAACTTTTGGCCACGCCCTAATGAATTGAAGCTGACCATTCATCTTTATCCCTATTTGATGGATTTAACACCTAGGGCAACCTCGTTTCGAGTGACACATCCTAGAACCATCAGATGCAGTACCTAGGCTAGCCGCTCCGAAACGAGCAAGAGTCTCGAGATTGATACTGAATTAAGAAAGATATCTGCCTCACAGAATAATGCATGCTATCTACAGAAACAGATGAAAAGTGATCACAATAACGCCAACCCTGTCACTGACCGAATTTTCCCAATGTAGACGTTACTTCGATACGAACGCATCAAGAAGAAAAAGAAAGGAAAAGAGGGGAGGCAATCCCCGCTTAGAGGCATCCCTCCCCTCTCTTTACTATTGCCCATGTCCTAGGCACTTTCTAAACCAGGTGGACCAGTCCCCTCCTAGTTTAGAAGATGCTGTTGACAATGTTGCTTCCTATCGTAGCACCAGCACCAAAGATAGCAGCATTCCCGAGCCTACATCCGATCGTTAGTTTAAGAACCCAAAGGCCTGAATCAACTTAGAACTCACTTCTTGCCGAACTTCTTGCCACCCTGCTCGAGCTTGCTCGGGCCGGGGTCGGTGTGTTCCCCGTGGTTGCCGTCAGCGACGGCCATGGGAGGCACATGCGCATTATACGGGTTCATGGGCGCCGAGGGACCAGGCATGCCGGCCTTCTCAGATTCTTCGAGAGCGACATAGTTGGTGGGGAAGATGCCCTCCTGACCAGTTCGCAAATTTTTGCCCATCCACCAGTCGGCATTCATGTACTCGTGGATAGCAACGCGATCGTCTTTCTCGAAGCTGAGGTCCCGTGCATCTTGGCCCTCGTAGCGATAGAGGGCACGCGCGTGAGAGAGCACAGGCTTGACGGGGGCGGGGGTGGAGGGGCCTGGTTGCGGATAGGAAGGCCTGGGGTCCCATTTTGGTGGTAGGCCGGGGGAGGCGGGTCGTGCGGTGTCTGTTGGTGGCTAGGGGTGGGAGTGGTCGTCTTTTCAGAGGCGGCGGGGTCGCGGTGCGGTTGCGGGCTGCTGCGGCGGCGCCACCACCGTGGAGAGGGCGCTCTGCCGGGAGAAGGCTCATGATGGTCTCGTAAGCGTCATCTTCGATGACACCCTTTCGATGAGCGTCTCGAGTTCCTGCGTAAAGAAGAAGAAAGGACAAAAGTTAGCATGTCGAGGGTTTGCCCATGCAACAAGTTGAGAATCGCCGCTTCGCCATCCGGCGGGGCTTCCCAGCTTCCAGAGATTTAGCGCGGGCTCAGGACTCGACATACATTCTTGATGGTGCGAATCGATCGGTTCGACTCAATCAGGGCCTGCCGGTCCATGCTGACCATTATTCTCCGCTGGCGTCCGAGTTGGGATGTGTTCTAATTCAATATATTTGAAGAGGAGAGGAAGGAAACCCTGGCAAGACTAGGCCGTTTATCGATAACCTTCGGCAGACGTGAATCGAGAAACTAGGACGAGACCTGCGGTTTCAATGTTGTTGTCGGTCAGATCGTTAACCCAACGCTGATCTGATGCAGGGAGGATCAGGGCATTTAAGGGTATCCAGGCTGCCATAGGCTCGGCAAGATCCTCTTTGGGTGTTTGAGCGGGGCAAATGTTCCAATCTTCGAGACTGTTTCCAGCAGTTCAATGGCTGTGCCGGGTGGCACGGGATGGAGGATTCGCGGCCTCCGTCCCACTCTGTGGCTTGGCTTCCAGCATTGAAACTGATTCATCAATATTATTCTTAGATCGCCCAGAAGGTCCAACTTGAGGCGACTGGAAATTTTCACATGATGTCCACGCCTGCCATCAGGAGGGGACCATGGGGACCTAACCAAAATGACGACGGGAGACAAAAGAAAAAAACCTATCTAGTTACAGCCCGTCTAGGATATTAGTGGTATTATCCTGAACCACTTGGGCATTTTGCCATCGAGTCTAGCAGTAGCCCAGGGGACATGGTCTTAGAAGAAACCAGGCGTCTGGGACTTCAATGTTCGGCTGACGACCCAACTAACCAGACCAGGCCCGGTTGGAAATCTCCCATTTCCATTTTAACCCAGCTTGGTTAGGTCCAGTGTTGGCTGCCACAATCGCTCGCCTTCGTCGCCGGTCCCGAGTCTTTGAGCTTCATCCACCATCCAGCCGGGGGCCCCTTGTAGGCCACCCCGCCATTCAACCTCTCAGGTGGGGTCCGTCCCCGTGCTAACGCCACTGGCGAAGTGAAAATCGGGGGTCAATAGATTGCACGATGGATTTGATCCTTGATCAAAATCGTCTGGTCCTTCAAGCTAGCGTTCCTTCCCTTGCCACTGGCTCCTGCAACAGCGCTCTCGACATCCACCCAGTCTTGCTAGCCTAGCCCCCAATGTCAAAGAACAAAAAAGACCCAAAAGGAGGCAATATTGCCGTGCAGGCATGTGCAGACAGGTCCTTCTTGACCGCCACCACCCCATCATTGACCCTGGTCGGCGGCAGCGCGTCATATATCCCATGTCATCCACGCTCCACATTCCGCTGCCTTGCTCGCTTGGACAAAGACAAAGGGAAGGGGGTTGGTGGCGGGGGACGCAATACTGGCAAGGGCAAGACTAAACCGCTCAACAAGTATCGCCCTGGCTCTCCTTAGCCTCCCCTAAAGGCCGACCTCGATATCTGCACTTGTCAAAATCCGAAGAGAAATAGCTTTGCATAGCGCAGCACCCGGACATGGATTTAGATGCTTGGCGACGTGATGATGCGGGCCAGAATGGGATAGCTCCCCGCACCACGAAGAATGAAGAGTGGTAAAGTGGGCACGGATAGACCCCCGATGCCGCAAGACTGCGCCCGGCCCTACGAGGTCACATCCATTGAATTGGCAGCGCGCGGTCCAGTCGACCTGGACAGGACAAGACGAGCAGGGCTGAGCTTGAGGATATAATACGGACAGGTCCGTCCCTTTGCTGCTTCCGCCAAAAAATATCCCTCCCGTCCCGTCCTTCTATCTCGGGAGCTTATTCTTATTTCAGCGTGATATCTACTACGAGCCGCTGAATCTTGTAGAGTGGCCATCAATATAGAACAGCTCCACTCCAGAACCTGCACGCTTTTTGTATATAAGAAAAGCAAGGGAAAGAGAAGAAGACGAGAAGAAGCCTTCTTCCCCCTCTTATACACCCAACCCCTCCGTCCACCACCACATCCATCATGCGTTTCCAATCCCTCTTTACCCTTTTCGCCCTCCCGGCCGTCCTTGCCGGAGGAAACAGGCCCGGGTCCAAGGTCTCCGTCATCTACGAGACCGACACAGTCGGCCCGTGGTTCGAGAACCTCGTCGTCCGCCCCTCGGGCACCATCCTCGCCACGCGCATGGACGACCCCGGATCTGGCACATCAACCCCCGCCGCAAGACCGGCCGTCCCCTCTTCACCATTCCCGAGGCCCTCAGCGCCACCGGCATCACGGAGCTGACCCCGGACGTCTACGTCTTCAACGCCGGCAACTTCTCCCTCGCCCTCGGCGGCTTCGTCCCCGGCTCCCTCGCCGTCTGGAAGGTCGACTTGACCGTGAACTGGGGCCACTCCGCCCCCGTCCCCGAACGCGTCGCCAGCCTCCCCGATGCCTTGTTCCTCAACGGCATCGCGAGGTGGGACGACACCCGCGTCCTGGTCGGCGACATTGTCGGCAACGTCGTGTACCTCCTCGACGTCACCACGGGCGACTTTGACGTCGCCATCGACATCCCCGAAACTACCCTCGTCAACGGCATCCGCGTCCACGACGACACCGTCTACTTTGTCAGCGGCGCGGCCGGGAGCATCTACCGCCTCCCCGTGGACGCCGATGCCCTACCCACCGGACCCGCCCAGCTCATCGCCGCCGACCTCAACCTTGACGACTTCGACATGGCCGATGACGGCACCATCTATGCCGCCGCCGTCTGGTCGAATCAGCTCCTCAAGGTCACCCAGGCCGGCGCCGTCACCGTCCTTGCCGGCGGTCCCAACTCTGTCAAGTTGCTCTCCTGCACTTCGGCGCGGTTGGGCCGAACTCGCAAAGATAGGAATACCGTCTATCTGTCCACCATGGGCAATGGCGCCTTCCCTAGCCCCGGCGATGTCACCACGGAAGCCAAGATTGTCGCCGTTAAGGTCTAATGGAGTACAAACCAATATGGATGCCTCTTCCCTTCGTTTTCACGATTTGATCCCTCATGTCCAAGAAAAGAAATCTCCCCATTCTTCTTATCACTCATTAATCTCTTTTCCCCTCTTCCGTTCCCTAAATCCCCGCACACTTTGGGCTACTCTGGTTTGCGTATCGCAATATTTTACCTCCTGGCTGCTTACCAAAAGAACCTGCGAAATGCCTCGAGCTGTGGATGGGGGCAAAGACGGTCTACGTCTCGCCGAATCCGCGACCTCCTCGCTGGTTGACCAAAGAATCCCGCGGGGTTGATGTCCATGTTACGAAGTAAAGCCGCCATGATGATGAAGAACAACCGCGGAAATGACACTCCCTTGAAAGACCTGTTTATACTTTTTTTGTCTCTCTTCTACCCTTCTATTCCTTCTATTTCCTTCCTTCTTCTAGGATCCTTTTGAACTCAAATGGGTACGATGCGCGGTATAATGTAATGAGAGATGTAGCGAGACTTTTATTCACAGATATGCAATATATTTGACAAGACATGTTTCCCCATTATTCGCCACTCCTTACACCCAAAACCTTCCCTTACACTTTCCAGTTTTAAAACTTGTTGTCCTTGACAACGTAGAGGTCAACGTACTCGTCGATGCTCATGGCGTCGAGCTTCTTGGCGTCGACGCTCAGGTCAACGAGGCTCTTGACCTTGTCGGCCGAGTAGTGGGGGTCAGATGCCTCTGGTACTTCTTGAGGATCTCGGGCTTGGCCTCCTCCCTCCTGAGCCTGTGGCCGAGGGGCGCCTCGACGACGACCTCGGGAAGGACGGTGCCGTCATTAAGCTCGACGGTGAGAGCGTTGGAGATGGTGCGGAGAGCGGGGTCATGGTAGTCCTTGGTGAACTGGGGGTCCTCAACGCAGCTGATGCGCTTGCGGAGAGAGTCGACGAGGGGCGAGTCGGCAGCCTCGGAGCCGTCAACGTAGTCGGTGGCCTCGAGACGGCCAAAGACGAGCATGACGGAGCACATGTACTGGATGCAGTGGTCACGGTCGGCGAAGTTGTCCATGGGCTTGAACTGTTTGTCGATGATGCGGACGCAAGCCTCGTGGGTTCGGCAGGTGATGGACTTGATATCAGCAGCGGACTTGCCCTGGGCCTTGAGGGTGGCGTGGATCTTCTCGCAGGCCTCGACGGCGGTCTGGGAGTGGAATTCGGCTACCGGCGGGGAGAAAGAGGAGACACTAGTTAGCATGTGCGGTCTTGTGGAAGGGACCCGAGGGGGATGATCGAGGGGCAAAGAAAAATGAGGGCTGGAGGGGGAAAAAACTCACCAGGATAGGAGACCTTGAAGAGGACGTTCTCCATGACGTAGCTGCCATAGGGCCTCTGGAACTGGAACTTGTTGCCCTTGAAGAGGACATCGTAGAAGCCCCAGGTGGGGGCGGAGAGGACGGTGGGGACACCCTTCTCGCCCTTGAGGACCTTGAGGGCAAGGTTCACGGCACGCTGGCAGGCGTCACCGGCAGCCCAGCTCTTTCGGGACATGGTGTTGGGGGAGTGCCTGTAGGTCCTGAGGGACTGGCCATCGACCCAAGCCTGGGTAACAGCATCGGCGGTCTGGGACTCGGAGAGGCCAAGCATCTTGGAGATGACGGCGGTGGAGGCGACCTTGACGAGCACGACGTGGTCGAGACCGACTCGATTGTACGAGTTGAGGAGGGCAAGGCAGCCCTGGATCTCGTGGGCCTTGATCATGGCCTCGAGGATATCGCGGACGGTAAAGGTCTTGCCACCGGCAACGTTGCCGCCAGCCTTGTTGGTCCTGGTGATCCAGTCGGCGACGGCCAGGATTGCGCCGAGGTTGTCGGAGGGATGTCCCCACTCGGCGGCGAGCCAGCAGTCATTGTAATCGAGCCACCTGATCATGGCACCAATGTTGAAGGCACCGTTGACGGGGTCCAGCTCGAAGTTGGTACCGGGCACGCGGGTACCGTTGGGAACAACGGTTCCGGGAACGACGGGACCGAGGAGCTTGGTGCACTCGGAGAATTTGAGGGCCTCGAGACCACAGCCGAGGGTGTCGACGAACACCCACCTAGCGGTGTCATACTAAAGTGCGTGCCATAGCCAAAGTCAGCAAACCCATGCGTGATTGAGGTCAATTGGCTTCTCGTAGGCTCGCCATTGGCAGTGCATGACGCAGAGAAGGCGGGAAGCGGGAAAGTGGAAGGAGAAGTGAGGGGGAGGGGACTCACGGCTAGCTCCGAGTCGATCTTCTGATTGTGCACATAGCTGGCAATATCAGTGATCTCGGGATCGTATTCCCTGTTTCCTTCCATGACGGGCGCAAGGCTGTGCCTGGCGGTGCTGGTAGAGAAGTGGCTAGCTCCGACCCTGGGAGCGGCGGTGATGCAGCGCCTGTAACCGGCGGCAGTGGCACAAGATAGGGAGGCGGCGGTGCTCCGTTTGGGGACCGAGATTCTGCGGGAAACTGCTCGGAGGCTACGGTTGACGGCGGCGGACATGATTTCTTAGGAGGGGAGGATAGGAATTCCCTTCTACTTCGTGGTCCCTTTCTCCGAGGGGGAACCAGGCTTATCGACGACAGGTGGGAGAGAGAGAGAAAGAGTAGCAGATTTGGGAGAGGAGGGGAAAGAATTGGGGGAGGGGAGGTTTCTTTTTTTCTCTTTCTTTTTTTTGCTGCTTCCGTCTCAGTCAGTCCTGATCGAGGGGGGTGCGTGTCCGTGTCAATTGTTGAGGGAAACCTCCAGGCTTTATCTTGATGGGGGAGGGGCGGAAGCTTCCATAGCCTTTGAGGCGTAACCAGGGGACCTCAAGGTGGGCGGGGTGCACGGGGTAAGTATACAGTGCATGCCTGTCCGTTTGTGGGGAATGGATTTGGAGATGCCCGCCGACCGAGAAGCCCTGTGAAGTCAAAGGTGCAAAAAATCCCACAACGCCGAGCGCTCAGACGGCATTCCCGAAGGAGGCCGAGCCATCGTCGAGACAGGCCTCGGCTGTCAGCGGGCCAACCCAACCCCAACCCCAACCCCCAAAAGGCCCCTCATGCTATTCTTGCCATAGCCCGCCTTGAAGCGGGCTTCAGGGAGGAAAAAAAAAAAGAAAAAAGAGAAAACTGGGGAAGGTCAATTACAAGACATCAAAAGGAGGAAACGAGATGAGTAGGAACAAGGGATATAAAACCGAAAGCAGCCCTCAATCTTTCAAAGTGCATGATCCGACCGGCGCTGTGTATCTATTCCCGTTCTGCGCTCCGAGCTCGCAGCTCTTCACGTCAATTGATCTAAGTCCAATTTGACCATCCTCTCCCATGTGACGCATGCACACACGGTGTAGCGACCAAGGCCAGCAGCGCTAACAGTTCTGTGCGAGGAGTTCAATCGACTTTCAATTACGCTGCTCATAATAAATGGTATCTAAAACTAGTAGTACGCCCCTCAACAGAGCTGGAAAAAGGAACAAAATAAAAAGTGGTAAAGAACGCAGGCAATGATCCTCCCGTTAAAATGTGGCCTCAGCAATATTATATCGATACCATTCGTTGCACCCAGATGTTAAAAGAATTCCATCAAACTCCTTTCCTTTGGCACTATTAATGCCTCCGAGACCCCGTTCGGGGGCTTCCTCCCGCCTTTCCTGTGGGGTGAGGGTGGTACCGACCGATACCTTTCCATTTGACCGTGGCTTGGCACTGCATAACCAATGGCACCCTCCCTGCTGTCAAGCGTAATCGCTGCACCGAGGGTTCCCTACTCCCGGGATGCCGCTGCGGCGCATTCGGAAGGCCACCGGGGTATGGGAACGGAGGCGTACTTGAGCTGATGCTTCTCTTCGAGCTTGCGACGGAGAATTTCTACCTGGAGCAGCCATCGCCATTGCAGCTTGGTCTGCCGTTGGCAGCATTCGCGAGCGAGAACGTCCTCCTCGAGGGCAAACTCCGCCGCCAGGTTCTCAATCTCCTCGTCTCTCTTGCTCAGGAGCCTCTGCCACTCTTCCTCTTGGCGCTCGACCAGTTCTTCCATGGCCTTAAGCTGGCGATCGCGCATGACATTGATTTTCGCCTTGTGAAGCCGCTCCATGCCATCTCGTAAACTGTATTGCTGTCCGAGCTCCCGGAGATCTCGTTCCGTCACCACCCGTGGCGGCATGTCCGAGTCGGCGGTTTGCCCGACCTTGTCGCAGTAGGCTTCCATGTGTCTTAGGCGAATGCGGATGCTCCTCTCGCTCTGCTCCAGATTATCGCGTAGCTCCATCTCCGCCGCCAGTTGGCGGTCCTCTAGGTGCATCACCGTCTTGGCGTGGCGGTCTTTCATCTTCTCCATCTGGTCGGAAAATTTGTCGCTCAAAGCCAGCTTTTTCTGCAACTGTTTGTTCCACATCATGTCTCGCCGCTTCTTGACGTAGGCCTGGAACCTCTGCAGCTCCGCCGCCTGCTCCGCGGCGAGCCCCGCAAACTCTAAGCTATTTGTCGTGCGTTCCCTCGCGTCCTGCTGCTCAATCGCTTCTGCTGCGGCCGCCGCCTCTCGCGCTTCCTTCTCGGCCTCCCTCTCGGCCAACCTCGCAGCCTCCTCGGCCTGGCGCCGCTCCAGTTCTTCGTCGCCGTTGCAAAAGTTGGGACAACCTACGGAGGGATCCCAGACGGCGCCGCAGATGTAGCAGAACTGCGCCTTGCACCGGCACGTCATGTGCGTACACCCCTGGCTGAGCTCGACGAGCGTCCGACACCGGTGACACCGCCTCCACCCCGACTTCTCTCCAATCTTCAAAACAGCATCTAGGTCCCAGTCGTCAGGGCAGTCCTGGCCACGTTGGTGGGCTTCGCGCTTACACATCGAGCATGCTTTCGTGGAGCATTTCGGGCAGACGACGACAAAGGGGTGTTTGGGGTCTACCTTGTTTCGTGGGGGATAAACTCCCCACACGTCGCATTCGGGCAGAACACTCGCGATTCCCACGGTGTGCTGAATTGCACAACCGCCTTGAGAAAGAGGACTTGCGTCTCCGCGTCAAGGAGCTCGGTAAGTAATGTACTCGGTATCGGCAGAGTGCAGCACCTCGGCGGCATCTTTGTCTCGTCTAGGGTCGCCTGGTCAATCATGATCTTCAGGCATTCGTTGCAATAGGTGTGGCCACAAGGAAGGTCGCGCAAGGCGCTGGGCTCGTCGAAATCATCGCGGCAACAGATGCAGGACCTATGAATAGAGGAAAAGTAAGCACGGGTTTAAAAACACGACCTGTCACCCGTCAAACCGTAGTCCACCGTTGGCCTCATAACTCGCGCCCGCCCCTCTTGTTCGCTCACTTTGCGCAATGCTTTTGTTTCGGGCCCCTCCAACCCACCTACCCACCCACAAATCAAACGTGGATTATCTCTTTTCGTTGCTACTCACGTCGTTTTGCGGGAGGAATTCGCCGCCCTCTTCTTCCAGGAGATCCTGGACTTGATGCCAAGCTTGAGATTCGAAATCCCTGTCTTCTTGGAGAAAGGACCCCGCTTCACCCGCAAGGTATCTGCTGCCTCGGGGTCTGAGGTCCGGGCATATTTTGGCTGCGTGATGTTGGGGCCTAGGTAAGAAAGATACTTTTCGTACACGTCGAAATCGAGGACCTCGGACCAGCGACGAGGACTTAACGTGCCCGAGATGTCCGTCAAGGAGGGGGAGTCGGGAGCCGAAGAGGGACACTGAGACAGCGTGCATGCAGTGCTATTCGAGCAGGTCTGTGCATCGGAGGAAAAGGAGTGGAGGAGGAAGTCGAGGCTCGACGTCACACTCTTCTCGGCGTTGGCCAGGGGTTGTGCTGTGTCGATTCCCAGATTGGCTGCCTCTGCTACGAGCTTCTCGATCAACTCCGTCTCCGTCGTGCCGGTCTTGGAGCGGAGCACGTCGACGAGGTAATCGCCATCCTCGGGACGTGGGGATGTGGGGCAGAGGCTGTTGTCGGTCGACACCACAGGCTGAGAATGGCAGGCGAGAGTGCCCATCTTCCTCGGTGGTGCTTGAAGGGCCGCAGAGTTACACGGAAAAGGTGTGAAGTGGAGTTCTTCCCACTTAATTCTTGTTCTTTTTCTCCGTGTCGTGTCGCGGAAAGTATTTATTAGGTCAAAGTGGAGAGGGAGGAAGTCGGAGACGCGGGTGAGGGTGCAGTGCGGCGCAAAGAGGGATCATAAGTTTATTTCTGTGAGGCTCGCATCATCATGGCCCACGACTGGAATCTTATTGCAAAAGCAGACCGATCGGATCCAAGCAACACAAAACAGCCCAGTTTCGGTTCAGGACGGTCAGCGGGCGGCTTGGCCGGGCATGGGCCACTTCTTAAAACACGAAACGAGCGATGCAAAGGAAGCTCCTAGCGGGGGTGGGGGTGATCAAGTGTCTTGATCGGAGCCGATCAGGTCCGCGTGGATAAACTGACTTCAGCAAAAGGGCTCCGCAGCGAAGATAAATGTCGGTGAGGTGCACCCTTGGGACGAAGGCTGGGTGGAAAGAAGAGGTGAAGGGGTGAGAGGGTTGCACGATTCGATTTGCCGGATGGGGGTGTTAACCAGCTGGCCGATGGGCTGAGGAGGAGGAGGAAGGGGGCGTCAACTAGAGACGGAATGGTGGAGGGTGAATGGGTTGGGACGGATGGAATGATGGGAAAAAGAGGCACGCGCTCAGGAACCAGAGAAAAAGATGGATACATCAGGGCGGAAGATTCCTAGGTTTCAAGTGGGATCGGGGAGGGCACGACTTGAGAGGGTATTTAAGTTCGTTTGTGCAAACCGTATTCGATGCTTTTTGATCGTCGGCTCCCAGGGTTTTGCTTCTGGCACGATGTTTACAAGGGCCCGGGAACCAGGTGAGACAAAAAAGGCGGGACGACGAGAGGTGGATTGGGACGGACTAGTGTCGAGCGGGAGGGTGAGCGGGCACCAAGCAATTCGATCATTACTCGAGAACTACGTCAAGGACGTTCAACCTACTCGTGCCAACAGAGTCCCATAGTCCCAACCACGTCCGAGCAAGACCTTCATGCCCTCCAACAAGCCATTCGCCCTCGCTTGAGCTTTGGGGATTCCGCCAGAACCGTGAGGACCATGAGGAAGGAAGGAGGGGGTGGGACAACTCTGGGCAGCTCGTGAGCTTCCTTTTCCTTGCGCTAGACTCGGGCTTATCCACTGATGAGTTGGCCATTATCTCAGTCACCCACTGCCGTCGGCCACCCACCCCCTTCGTGGCTTTATCGCCCTCTCTCTAGGTGTATGTCCCAGTCTCTCTCGTGTGTATGTGAGTGTAATGGAATGGATGGATGTTCGTGTGTGTGTGCGTGATTGATCTCTCGCCTTCTGTCCCTATCTCCCTCCACTCACTGGTGGGCCGACGTGGGCATGGCTGGCGAGAGGGGTGCGAAGCGGGGCGAATGTGAAGCCCAGAGAGCTGACCTTATGGGGAGTGGCTCAAAGTGCTCACAGCGGCCAAGCCCACGCACCCCCCTCCCCACCACCCCCTCCCAGCGCGCCCACCCTGGTCACATCCATCGATCAATCAATCCTTCTCCCCGGTAGTCCCACAATAGGACATATCAAGCGGTACGGGGCAAAGGGCAGAAACGCTCCTTCGGAGGAAACCAGGGCCTCGCTTGATTTCGCTGGGTCCTGAGGAACTCCAAGGGTATCAAGGTTTCGTCCCTGCTCTCCGGAAGAGAGCGACAAACCTCATGCGCGATGGGTGGCTCACGGCCGGGATAATCCGGTACCAGGAAATTCCTCTGGGATAGAAACGTCTTGGTCGGGACGCATCAAACACAAAGTCCCATTTCCTGCATGCCGACTACGAAAATGGGCTCAAAAAGGCGAAAGAAAAAGTACAGAGTTGCAAAAACCATCAATGCAATGGATGTGCAGAGTAATAAGATGCTCAGCCTGAATGAAGCCACTAAAAACACACATGATGCCATCCGAGTTGAAGTACCTCCCACAGTCCCCGCCGCCCCACCGCTCTCCTCTGGTGGTTGCTGAGAATGGAACATGGGCAGGGAAGAGGACCCAGCGAAGGGGATCAGGGTTATCACTATTATTATCAGAACTGACTGAGTTAGAACTTCGAAGTTGCAGGATCCAGGGTGTGTGAGTCCCGGCAGCTAGCCAGCGCTGACAGCCACCAACCAGTGGGCAGTTCCTTCCACCCTATGTGTGGAGCCGGAACAAACGGAGCTGACAAGGCATGTCCACGCCGTTAACCGCCAGGCCAAGGTCAGGTGCGACTGCTGAAAGCAGACATCCATTGATCGATCGGTGCTGCCTCATGATAATCCATTATCTTTTCCTGAAAAAGACCTCTCACCGACCAACCAACTCAAACATTTTGGGTTATCCCTGCCTTTTCAGGCTCCCGATATGCCGCTGCCCCGGGCGATCTGACCGAGCCCGGGAAGCAACGACACCGTTCGAGGGTGAGAAGAGAACAAGACAGATGAAGGAGAGGGGCCTCTGAGAAAAATCAAATCAATACGAAAAGGAAAGGGAAGGGGAGGAGAGAAGAAAAAGAAAAGAAAAAGTGAAAAAGTAAGCCGGAAAAAGAACTCTGGTCTACACTCAGTGATAAGAAAAAAAAAAAAAAAGAAAAAGAAAAAAAGAAAGAAAAAACCCCCAATGGGAAAACTATCAAAAGACCCCCAAAGAAGCAAGCCACACTCATTTGCCGAACATCGTGATTTGACCAGGCTGGGAACGAAACCGAAGGCTTTTCCTTTCGGCCGTCCATGTCGATTTTTTAACCCCTTTCCCTTGCCCTTTTTCTTTCTCAATTACTCTTTCTTGTTTCCCCTCACGACGTTTGCCCCTTTCCTGTCGTGTGTCTATCCATCAACACACCCTAGACCCTGTGTTTCAAAGGATGTCAAGCTGCTTCGTAGATCAAGCCAAACAGTCTTCCGAGGGAACAGGCGCTCTCCAATGCAAGAATGAGCAGGACCAGCATGAAAATGGCTACCAAAATGTTGTGCAGACCGTCGCTCCCTCCTGATCGACAACCTAGAGGGGTAGTACATCCTTCAACTCTTCTTAAATACACGATTCAGCTCCGGCATGGATGTGCTCCGAAAACGACATGGTCAGGGGAGTGAGTGGCGTTCGGCACAAAGGGCTGCTTTTTCTTTTTTTCTTTTTCCTTTTTCCCTCTTTTCTTTTCCTTTTTGCGAGAGACGCCGTGTATCATGGATCACTGTTGCTATCATTCCTTGAAACCGGGCCATTCGGGTGGAGCCGTGGACAAATCCCGGTATCAAAGGGCGAACTACTCGTAAATAGTAGCTATGATTAATCGACCCATCGTAAGCAAAAGCAAACCTCTCTGACAGCTCGTCCCTGCAGCCGCCACCTGTTCAAGAACCCCGCGCATCAGATCAAGGGGAAGGAAGAGAGTGCGAGTGCGTAGTAAGAGAAGTGCCCGATTCTGTCATTGACTAACACCCGTTCATTTTCCCCAAATAGCACGATGCAGGTCTAACTATTATCCTACTCGTCCCTCAGGAGGTACGAAGCTCCACTCCGCCTGGTTTCGTTTCCGACCAAGTCAGCTGGCGTTCTCTGGTCCATTTTGGTATCTTCAGTAGCAGGCATGCTCCATCTCTTCAATCGATGATGACCACTCCGAATGAATCGTTTCCGACGGGAAACTCGGGGCGGCCTAGCGTAACGTCCGAGTCATAATAGACAGGATCCCCGTCCTGGTCGACAATCACCCCTCCCTCCATGGGAATTGGAACCTGAGCAAACAGGCCCGGCCCGAAGAAGTCGTCATCGTTATCGTCCTCGTTATCGTCGATCACATACTCGGCAAGGCGAGCTGCGTCGGGAACTTCATCCGAGGTGATATCCACAAGTACTTTCGGCTCTGTTCTTTGGGTCGACTCAACCTCATCCTCAATCACGACGGTGTGGTGGGTGAATCCCATGCCGCAACGTTGGTCGGGGTGCCTTTGGCGGCGCCGGCGACTCTGCAGGGGCATACCGTCGTCGTGGAGTAAACAGTTCAGGATGTGGCGGTAGAGGTGCTCCGCCACTACGGGGGAAGGCATTGCCAATCTGTTTTTTAATGTAAGGAGGTTCGAAGGCGTGGTAGACTGGAAACCCTTGGAGTGTGGCGTACTCCCTCAACGTCAGATCCCTCTTACCGCCGTAGTGGTAGTTTTGGCCGCCCGATGTGGTGATGCACCGGGGAAGTATCCGGTCCGCATCCCATGGTTGCAGGTTGGCCCGTCGCATATCTCTTGGGTTATGTAGAGGATCCACCCCCGCCTGGCCCTGATGCGGTCCAGAGCCTGCCTAGCTGTCACGTACGGCCTTAAACCAACGCCCTCGGCAGAATGTGAAGGTTCAGGAAATATCGGAAGGTTCTCGCCGGGCCCGGCACCGATCATAATCAATCGCTTTCTGGCTGCTGGCAACCCCTAGTTGGCAAGCGCAACCACTTTCCACCGCACTGAGTAGCCGTACATTGTAAAGGTATTTATCAAGTGGTTAAAGTACGGGGCGAACCGGACCATCATTAACCCAAAAGTTTGCTCGAGCGTAAACATCCGTGGCCTGACCTTTTTGAGGACAATCTCACAGCCAAAGAGTGCGGCCAGATTCGCTGCATCCTTGGCCTCGTTGGGAATCGTATGAGCAGGGGAAAAGACCTGGCAGGGCGGCGAGAAGTGGCAGACGTCCGATACCAGAAATCTGCACGCGGTTGCCTCGATGAAATCAGCAACGCTTTGCTGAAAAACCTCGGTCAGCGGAAAATTTTGTCGATAAGTCTCGCATGCAGCGTCCCAGTGATCGACCGCAAACCTGGGGAATAGACCCGCCTTCGCCGCCCCTCGCGATGCCCCGCCGGCTCCCGAAAAAGTATCAAAGAAGGTATACTTCTGGCCGGGCTGCCTCGTGCTCGCGGCGGCTCCCGTCTCAATGGGATCGGTACGCGGGGAGGTGGTTGGGGCATCGAGGGAGATTGGCGCCGAAACAGAGGCGCCCTGACTCGGGTTGTGCGCGCCGCCAGGCACCCATCCCCCTCCACCGCCTCTTTAACTCATCTCTGGGTACTCTGTAGGGTTCGTCTGCGTCCCTTGGGGAATGCTGGCCATGCACGCTTCGTAATCGAGGTGCATGCTCGTCCTCGCGGCCTCCCGGAACTTGCCCGATGGCCAGTGCCGGAAGTAGGTCCACCTGCAAACGAGCACGCCGCTTTCGCTGTGGTCTGGGTATGGGGCGTTTGTCGTAATCAGGCGCCTGGTGGCTGTCACTTCTGAAACAGGGACTTCGATCAAAGCCTGAACATCTGGGTCCCGAGGGTCGTCGCGGTCCACATCATACACCGCAGCAACTTCTCGCCGGCGCCACTTAAGGAGACCGCCCATGTGCCGACTTTTGATGTACGGGACCCCGCGAACGATGGTTTGCCCGGGCTGTGAGTCCTTTGGCTGGTAGATGCACTTAATCTTGAGGTAGCGATAGCGTAGGGGGTGGCTGGGCTGGAAATTAATTTGGACGACCACGCCCTCCTTCAAGCTCATGCCGTTCCAAGTGACGCGGCTGAGGCGGTGGCCCACGGCGCTGATCTCCTGGTTTCTCCGCACCGCGGGACTGGCGTCAAGACCACCCACTTCGTCGTCTTGAGTCAGGTCGAAGATCTCATTCTCCACGAGGCACTCGAGCTCTATGATATCGTCCTCATCGTCGACATTGATGACGGCTGGGCGCGGTAGACTCTGGCCCCTGGTTTGGCGGAGTTCCCAGAGGCGACGCGAGACTTCAAGGACTTCTACATCTTGTTCGGACAATTCCCGGTCGTCCTCATCCTCGTAAAGGACCCAGCAGTCGCTGGGGCTAGATCCAGGAAAGCTAGGAAAGCTATCCATGGCTATCAACTACCCAGTTCGAATTAGTATATCAGATGTCTTTCCCTTGCGACCACAACATGAGAGCGTGGGAGGGTATTCTTGTTCTAGTCGCAGATTTCTTGATAGCGCGACTTACTTTTCTTTTCTTGGAACCTGCTCCCTGCTCGTCTTAACCCCCTCAGTCTTCTTTCACACCCACCTCGGGAACCAAGGTCCTATAGGTGAGCCAGGGAGGGTCTTGTTTATGGCTGTGGGTTGGACCTTGGATATGTGGGGATTCTTCTATTCCGTCTTCTTAAGTGCCAGGATCCAGAAGTGGCGACTAGACATTCACATTTCCGAACCTTTACAAGAGTCGCTAGAAGATGGCCTCACAAGTGCTATTAGGAGGGAAGTGCTTAACTACAGGTTTAGTCATAGCAGCAAATGAATCATCAGATATCAGTTTTCTAGCGAACTCCTAGAGGAAGGTTCAACCTGATCTTGAGTTAGGATTAGATATATCTATAGATCCTATCATCCACATAGCGCTTGAGAGGTTTGTTAAGGTGGAAGGAGCCACAAAGAGGGACAATAGCACTAAGGGACGATGTTGATGAATTGCTAAAGGGTAGAATCTGGTAACCTAGGTAATGGAATTTGATTAGTAGATCCTGTCAATAATATCACTAGCCTAAGTGAGGATGCAGTTTCTAAGTAGTAAGCATATGGAATAGATATTGGCTATAGTATCCTCCTCTAAATAAAGTTGGTCTGTCTAATGCCACATATCCATTGTAAGCATGTCAATCTCCCTAACATGTTACCTGCCTTCTTCTTTTTATGGTCTAACTGCCAGTGTCTTTCCTTTCTCCTTAGAATGGGAAACATGATGCATGTCACCAAGTCGAACCTCACCCTCCGACCTCACTACTCGCCGTCAAGGCTGTCGCTTACTTGAGACTCTGGCGCTGTGGCGAGGGTTTGGATTTTAGGGCCCCCTCCTTCTCAGGCTTTCACCATGGAAGCTTGAATGGGCGACCGGGAATGGGCGACCGGGAATGACATGATGGACGAGGAACTCCAGCCAGCCAGGTTATAATGAAAGACCTCATGCTTGGTTGTCATAAAACCTGATGGAACCAAGTGGGCGATCTAGTATTCCTCGTGGCCACTGTTCTCCGCCGCTGCTGCCTTATGCCTTCGCAAAACGGATGTGGCGGGGTTCGTCGTGTGTCATTATGATCTTGGATGGCCCGAAGCCGTTTCTGCGGGACAAGGAGTGGTGGTGTGGTGTGGAAGTCGCGGGGTGCGATGGGCGACGTCATCGGTTTGGAGGGGCTAAAAGCTCCGAGCCGTGAGACTATAAGGATGAGGGATTCCGCACCGGCGAGTTTGTTGGGTGACACCTCTGGCTTTGACTTTCATTTTATCAAGAACAGCAAAACGAGAATAAGAAAATTAAATCATTCCATATCACTACTTCAAAATCATTCCAATATGTCTTCTGTACGTTGAGCCCTCAAATTTCCTTGTTCCATGGGAGAGTCCGTCTTAGACCGGCCGGACGTGCACACCTCCCCTTGAGCCAACAACTAATATGAGCATTGTGCATCTGCTAGAACGAGAACCAATTCCACATCCTTGGCGGCAACGACAAGAAGAACGAGGTATTTGAAACCACCCAAAGATTTATAGAAGAGACCTGAGATTTCTTCTCTCTCCCTCTTTCTGTTAAAAAAAAAAACAGAACTGACTAGGGTGTGCGTGTCCTTGCAGGGCCAGAATAAGCAGCAGTCGAACCAGCAGCAAGAATCGAAGTCGGCCCAGGAAGGCGAGTTCCGCGTGCAACCCGAACCTCAGGACATCAGCTCAGACTTCTCAGTGTACCATGCGACTCCCGGGCCTGCTATCCCCAAGAACTTTGATGCTCAGAAGGAGGGAAGCAAAGAGGACCGTCGCGCCCAGGCGGCAGAGTGGAATAAGAAATAAGTAGAGTTGTCGTAACGACTAAAGCCAGACAATTCTTGGCAATTGCGTGGGCGAACCCTTGCTTCTTTACTCTTCTTTCCGGCTCCAAGATCAACCCGGGTGGTGCCTGAAACGTGGTTGGGGGCCCTTGATGGTAATCGGGCACGTTTTGAAGGTTCTGGGAGCTGGTGCGAGAAGCGGAGCCATTCAAGCGGAGGCGAGGAATAATAGGTCCCGAGATGCTTTTAAAACTCTTGTTGGACATCTAAGGCGTAGTCTAGAACTAAACGTTGTAATAATATGATGCAAGGAATAATACGCGTATTCACCACACGTTCAACTGGCAAGTCTAATCGATAGTGACGCTTCTTTTCGTGTTCCGGTTTGGGTCTTGGGCTGATGACGCAACTCGGAAGCTGGATGGGGAAGGCGCTGGCTTCGGTCTAAATTGACCCATCCATCTATCAATTGATCTCTGTCAAGTACGAATAATATCAAGAATGGGATTCCCGCTGCATTCAATTCATCAACGGAATAGGTCATTTGATGTACTTCGTACACGGCGGATTCAATGTTCGTTCCCAATGAAACATCGGTGGCGGGCCGCACAGTGTAGAAGAACCTCCAAGTAACGAAGGAGGTGGAGGAATTGCTTCTGTCACAGTGCAAAGTAATTTGATGAAGCTGCAAGGAGGGACAAGCGGACAAGGGTGGCCAAAGGCTTGCTTAAGATTCCCAAGCGCCTGGGTGATTCCAACATTTAGATCTCGGGAGGACGGTTCATGTTGCATTTGCAGAAGGCCTCCTCTGCCAAGACTCGCCTGGCAAAGGGACGGCAACCTGAGAAGGAAATCGAAAAGGCTGGATAGGCTGGATGCTCTCGGGTTTAATTTGGCCCTTTTTCGATTTCGCGTAGCGGCGCTGAACCCACGTCATGACCCGACATCAATTGATGGCTGAGAACCTTCTTCAAAGGCCCGTTTAGGAATAGGCTGGGGCAAGAAGCGTGCTTTGATGGAAGCCTGCCCGCCCACGCAACGAGCAGTGTTCAATTCGAGGCCCGGCGTGTTTGTTTGGGGAACTTTGCCAGTCGCCAGCCTGCTAACCCGGGATCGATGGCCGCCGGGCTGTGCACAACTAAAGGAGACCCCGCCGAGCCATCAAGGGAAGGGACGGGCTGATAAGAGCTTGGCAAGATGAAGGGGTTCTTCATGGCGGGGGACAGAGGGTGCTCAAGGATTGGGCCGTATTAGAAAACTCGGTCAGGAAAGCGAAGAAAAAGGAAAATGAAAAATGAAAACTACAACATCCTGAATAAGAAGAGCCAGTGCAGACAGAAAAGAAGGTCAAACAAGGTTCGTTGTCATTCGACGTTGAACCTTGCTAGGAAACGAGTTGGAGTCTTTTCATGAGCGGCTTGATCAAATTTCTCGAGTCCAACCATTGCCCACCCCGCCCCTTCCCCCTCGTCGAACCCCATCCATTTTCATTATTCGTTATTTGAACTACGAATGCGCTAGCTCAGGTTGAGTGTGTTCTCTGCTACCTTCCCTCGATCTGAGGAGCGAAGGCCTGACCAATTGCTACCAAAGGTGAACCGGGGCTTGGGTTCGTTTGTTCTCCCATCCCCATCAATTTTTCTCTCCACATCCATCAATCTGTCCCAGGCTCTCCATACATGTCCTAGGCCCTCCAGTCAGCCCCTATTGATCCTTGAGACCTAAAAGATCGGGTACCGGACCCCCGAAAGTTCCGAGTCGCTCTGATTGCTTCGTATCGACAAACGTATCCATCTCCAGGCGCTCTTTGTCTAAAAATTTCCCTCCTTTTCCAAAATCTTACAAGATTCAACATTCAAAATTCCCTGAGCGAAAAGCGAGGAGGGGAACAATAACGAGCGTCATTCTGACAACCGGAGCACTGCTAGAGGCACCCGCATTACTCTGTACATACATCTGCATCAGCTCGACCAACAGCATCCGCCCAGAAATAAGCGCTACCACCATTGTCAGCCCAAGCCGAAACAGGTGCAACAATCGTTAGCCAGGCCCAGGCCCTCCTCGACAAGCGACCGACTGTGACGCAGGCCTCAAGACAAAAGGCCTCAGCTCCTGTCTCGCCTCCCACCACCTCAACCTACCTCGTAGCAACATCAGCCACGAGAAGTCCTCATTCCTCCCGACATCCTCCTTCCTCCAATTCTGGCCGGAACCACGCCCCTCATTCCGGCTCAGCTCGCTCTCCTAATCCCTACTCACCGTCGAGTCCCCCGAATCGACGCGCCGACCTCCACGAACGACCCTTTTAGCCACTCCCCGCCTCCTATCACGGTGCCCGAGTGAGCTCGGCTCACCACTCCTAGCGCGGCCGCCGAGATGGTGTCTATTCTGAATGAAGACGACAAGGCGACGGTGAAGAGGGTGGTGCCCAAGCAATCCAACAAGATTCAGGCTGTCGGCGTAGCCAGACTCTACGTCGCCTACCCCAACCGTTCCAAATGGACCTACACTGGATTACAAGGGGCTGTTGTGCTGGCGAACGATCTCGTTGGCAATACGTATTGGCTGAAGCTGGTTGACATTTCCGTACGCCATTTCCCCTCCCCTATCCCCTCTTCTTCCTCCGCCCTCTGTGTTGTTGGAACCTTATCATCGCTAGAAACAACGCCCAGCCCATCTGACTGACAATGCGACAAAACAGCCTGCGAACCGAGGGGTTCTCTGGGATCAAGAGATCTTTGACACCTGGACTTACAACCAAGACCGAACCTTTTTCCACAGCTTCGAGATTGAGGATTGTCTCGCCGGCCTCTCCTTCGTCGACGAGAAGGAGGCTGCCCTCTTTCTCAAAAGATGCAGCACCGCGAGAAGCACGCGAGCCGCGCAACGAAGGCAACCCCTTTGGCGGAAACGGCCAACCTGCCCAGAAGCACGGCTTGTTTGGCCTCGGTAGCATCTTTGGCGGACACCGCCATTCCTCTGCCCCCACGCCCCCGATTCGCCTGGCGGGGCCCTGTCCCCTTTGCACAATCACCGATCACGCCTATCGTCGGGCAGCACTACCGATGTGTCTAGGGTAGACGAATTCGCCCTGCTCAACGCCTTCGACCCCAGGTGGCGAGAAAATTTTGGCCACGATTTGAGGTCAAAGGGCTTAACGGATGATTTCATCAAGGACAACCAGGAATTCATTATTGACTTTCTCCGTGAAGAGCAGCTAGCCCAGCGCCAGCAACAAAGCGCCTCCCCGGCCGCTACCAATGGCCACTCCAGGCCCCTCCACCACCTCCAGCTCCCTCGGAGCGATCCGAACTCCCCGGCTCGGGGTCTGCTACCCGTCGTGGCCTACCTCCCGCCCCGCCCCTTCAAGACGTCCCGGTCGCGTAGAACCAGCCGTGAGACCCCCTCCCCTCCCAGCGAACCCCCGCCCCTCCGCGACCCAAATTCAACGCCCCGCCAGCACTACCCGACGCGGGCAAGTTTGCGCACGCGGGCTCTTCTCGGCCAGTACCCGCCACCCCCGGCCCCGCTCCCCCTCCCCCACGGCCACCAAAGACGGCGCTCGGTGCCCCTGCGTCTGCACCTCCGTTACCTGGCGGCAGGCCGCCCCTCCAACTCCCAGTCGAGGGCCTGTCCCCCGCCACCGCCGTCTAGGGAGCCCATCCACGCTGTTCCACCTCCCATGTCGTTCGCGCCGCCTCCCCTGCCACCCAAAGTGCCTGCCTCGGCCGCTCCCGCGCCGCCCCCGGCGCCGCCCCTACCCCCACCTTCACAAGCTCGTCCCCGCCGAGCCCCCGACCTGTTCCCCGCCACCAGCAGCGCCCCCTCTCCCCTCAGCCAGCGCACCACCTGCCCCTCCACCTCCGCCGCCGCCAGGCCCGGCACCAGCGGTTGGCGGTGCCGCGCCGCCTCCCCACCACCAATGCCTAACCGAGACTCGGGCTATGCGTCAGGCGTCCCCAGCCTGCCCGCGGACTCTTCGCGTTCTGGTCTTCTCGACAGCATCCAGAAGGCCGGTGGCATTGGCGGCCTCAAAAAGTCGATAGGACTCAAATCCGCGACAGAAGCGGGGCCACTGTGGGCGCCGGTGCTGGTGACACAGGCCCCCACGGAAGTGGTCTCCCGCCGTCTGGAGTGGCGCACGCAGGTGCCAACGGTAGCATGGCTGACGCCTTGGCCGCCGCTCTGCAGAAGAGGAAGGAGAAGGTCAGCAAAAGTGGTATGTTCTTTCTCTCCGCAGAGTCCCCTTTATTAGTGTACTAGTTGCTAACAGTGAGGCCAATGTGTGAACAGATGACGAAGACGACGACGACGACTGGTAGTCAATTTCATTCAATCTGTGTATGAATAGATATCACGCCAAGCATGTGAGAAGAGGCGTAGACGGATGGGTCGTATGAGCGTGATGAGTGTCACGACTCGACTTGTAGACGCGGTGCTGAAGGCCATGGAGGGAAATGTGTCTAAGTGATGAGAAGAGTGGCAGAGTGGTCCCAAGAACGGTGCAGTGGTTCAAAAACGGCTTGCCACTCTGGAACGGGAAAAACAACTAAAGACTACGCGAACAAAGGAGGCTCATACCTACCGATGAACTCTTAAGCTGACGGCGGAGGGCCTCGTTTTGTATTTTGGGCGACAGCAGCCCCGGTTGTAAAAGCCAGAGTCAAGTGGAACTAGGGCTTTGAGAACGAGGCGGATAAAGGGTGAAGGGGACAGGAGTTGGACATGAAGTTTGGAAAGTAGGGGAACATGAGCAGGAAAGTCAAGCGAGCCAACACAGGAACTCGGTCCCTACGAGGAGCTAAAAAGAAAGGAGGACAGAACTTGGGCAGTGATTACGCGGCATGGGGAGGCATCAACGGTGTTGCTGTTTAAAACAGTACGCCATCATCCGTCCCCGCCGATGTTGGCAACGCAAATCTTCAGGCGAAAAGTGGCAACTTTCTCCTCACAAGGCCCAGGACACGTCCGATGGTGGCCTTGAGATAGTTCAAGTTTTTCTCTCTGGAAAAAAAGGCAAAGTCACAAGCTATTATGTCAGAGGATGAGGGAAGTGAAAAGAAGATCAAGACATCCCAAAAAATTGAGCAAAGTTTTTTTAAAGCATGTTTCCTACGAAAACTATGTAGAGGGATAAGATTCGTGAGGAATCTCGTGACGTCTCTCCCACCACGAGATTATGAGAAAAGGAAGAGAGAGGAGGGGACTCGGTCCACAAAGGAACTGTCGAGGAAATCCGGGAACCAAGGTTCGGGGATTTTGAGAGAGAAGACAGCTGGTCACCGGGGGTGGCCGAGCCTTGGGGTCGGATAGGGCGGATCGGTTGGGGAGAAGGAAGGACAAGACAAAGCGTAACGAGGGAGGAATCCTTGGTCGCTGTTGGGGATAGACGCTTCTCAACAACCCCCACTGTTGCAAAACACATCCCGATTCTTGGTATCGCTATAGGGTGAAGCCGGAGAGAGTATCGTACACGGCTGGCACAAGCCCGCGTGAGGAAAAAAAAAGAATTCATTTCTTCGTGTGGAGGTGTGGGTGGCGAAACGTATCAAGGAGGCCGAGATGAGGCAAAGAGGAGGAAGTGAGGCCCTTGATTTCAATTTCCCGGCGAACCGTATAAAACGACCCGCGCCATGACTAGGCGTCTAGATATCGTCAATCTCGATATCCTTGGCGCCAACGTTGTCATCGGAAGAGTCCGAATCGGAGTCACGGTCATCGTCAAACTCGAAGTTGCAGTCACCGTCGCCCTCGGCGCCGTAGGTATCGGTCTCGTTGATCTTCGCGTTCTCGGGGAGCTCTCCGTAAGCCTTGAGAGAGCGGGCTTCGTCGGCGGTGTACTTGAGGATGACGTCTCCCTTGTTGTCCTGGTAGTCTCGAAGAGACAGGAGGATGATATCGCCCTGGTTGATCCAGACCTTCTTTCGGAGCTCTGAGGGAGGGGTTTGCGGTGGTTAGCGAGCACCAAACAATAATCAAAACGCGAAAAGGCTAGACTTACTTCCTCGGATGTTTCCGAGTCTTCGGACACCATCCATGCACTGAGCCTCTAGGCGGCCGTTGCCCAACATCTTGACGACCTGAGCATACTCCTGGCCATCCTCCTTGAAGACGAGCTCACGCTTCTCGTTGTCGGCCTCGTTCTTTCCCCTGCGCCTGTTCTTACCACCCTATTTGGAAACAAAAAGAAATTAGCTTTGATCAGGATGAAATCTCTCTTGGGGGTTTTTATTTAAATCTCTTCTATATTCAATAGATGACTCGGATGAAAATTATGTGCAGACCGTCTTTCGTGTGTTCGGTGGCCCACGGAAAGAGGTGCCTAGAATGGAAGGCGGGGAGGGGTAACAGCGCGCGCGATGAGATGAGGGGCAACGAGGCAAAGGGCGTCATCGGCACAGAGGCGAAGGAAACGACAGGAATAGCAGGGGAGGCTGCAATGGCGAGGGGAGAAAAATTGAAGAACAACATACCTTTCCCTTGTTCTTAGGCATATTTTCTGGAGCGTGAAGTCTTTGCTTCTAGTTATGTGTGTGTGTGTGGTGATGGAAGAAGAGTCGATGAGGAGGGAGGGAGAGAAAAGGTAAGGCTTGGTCGGAAGTGTGGTTTTTGAACTTGTTTTAGTGCCACGGAAGTCGAGACCAGGACGGGCGCGGGGTTTTGTTGTTTTTTGTGGCACGGGTTTATTTACGACCAGGCTTCTGTGGGAGGGGTGGGCACCCTGCTTCTCGCTCCCCTCCATCATCCATCAGCATCAGCATCAACCCACCCGAAGCGCCCAAAGAGAAAACGCGGGGCTGTGCCTTTGTGCCATTTAACCAAATCCGGGTCTGTGACAGTGACCAAGAATGAGTCAGTGGGGCGACTTTCTTTCTTTCTTTCTTTCTTTTTTGCTCTTTTTTCTTTGGCTTTCCCCTTAGCCCACCCCGTGCCTTGTGATTCTGCAAGATTGCCTCGCGCGGCCAGTGCTGGAGAGCCAGTACAAGACAGCATAGAGGGGGTACTTGGAAGGAATGAAAACCCAAGTATCAGGCCAACAACCATGGGCGGGGCGTTGCTCGGAGCTGATTTCCTTTCGTTGGAAAGAGGCGAAAAAGAGATTTCTCTCACACGCCCCCTCACCCGGGTCTTGAAGCTTCAATGCTGACATGCGCCGTCTTAAAAAAACCTTTAAAACCTAGACTTTGACGTAACAGGCGTGGGCCAAAAGACGAGAGATCGATCTATGCCTACCAGATAATAATAGTCCTGTCTTTTCATTTCCGCTCCGCTTCTTGCTCTTCTTCTTTTTCTCTCGTTTTTCTTTGTTCGGTCCGCCGTCGCCTTGCCCACTCCTGCTCCTGCTTCTAGCTCCTGCCCCTGCTCCCGCTCCTGCACTGGTGCCTTCCTGCCTCGTCTTCCCGCTACCCAGTATTAGCTTCCCGGTGGGTCTCGATCGTCCGTTGCGATTTCGCGCACCGAATGGATCGTAGTTGCGAATGGTCCTTTCTTCGGAGACTTCCCGTCAGGCAGTGACTTTGGCAAGCCTGAAATTTCGTGGCGGGGTTGTTCCTGCCTGATTGAATGCGGCATCAGGTTCCCTCTTTCCCCTTTCCGCTTTCCCCTCCTTCTCTCTCTGGGTAGAGCGAAAAAGGTACTTTGACGGAACACGGAAAGCTGGAAAGCTATGAATCACCCCAGTTCGTTGGTCCGGCCCTAGCTCTCAGGGTAACATATATGTTAGGCGCGCTTCTCATACGGTTGTTTGGCGAGAGTAATCGTCTTGGGTTTCGTCGAGAAATAGATCACACACACACATAGCAATCCCCTCCACCCCCACCCCCACACACACAATCACTCATATCCCCGAGCTTGTCCTATCGACTGAGCCGAGGAGCTTGGCAAGAGCGGGCGCATAGCGCGCGACGCTTCGTAGATACCCATTTTCCCACTTTCCATCACCGGCGTTTGTGCCGGGTCCGGCGCCGGAGGGCAGGGAAGTACGTCTTTTGGACCTCTCGTGTCGGCCACCGAACTCGTGGGGAAAAGGAAGGTTATAAAAGGAGACAAGGAGTAAATAGACAGTGGAAAAAGAGTCATGTTCTCCATTGGTTGCAATATCCAGGATATCTATGCGATCGTCATGTACACATGTCAAGCTGGTTCCCAGTTTCCGTCCCAAACAAACGCCCGATAAAGCAAAGGCAAAAACCTTGATCCTAATCCATGCCATTAACCAGTAACCGACAGGATTCGTGGCCGTAATCCCCAATATACTCCAAAGGAAAGATATCCAGTATAGTCCCAAAAAAAACCACCCCCACCCAGGCAGGATGAGGAAAATGAAAGAGAAAGAAAAAGTACAAGGGGGGAGAGGGCGAAGCACTCCTAGATCCAACCTTGACGAGTACCCTCGATGCTCTGCTCCTTGTGCATCCCAACATACCTATCATGCTCGACGGTAAGCTGCTTGGTATCCACCACGCACAGCATCTTCTCCTCGGTGAAGAAACCGTCCCCGGCCCTAAACTTCTCCCTCGAGCCCTCGGGGGCGGCACCCCTCCGGCGGCGTCGTGACGAGGACCGGCGTGGTGCTCCTGCGGTCTGCGGGGGCAGCGCTGGGCGGAGGGCTCCGCGGCGGAGCCTCTGGCCAGAGGATCCTCCGGGCTTCTTCCTCGGTGAGGATCTGCTCCAAGGGCACGGACGGCCCGAGGTCCGAGTCGTCGTCATCGTCGCCGTCGAGGGTGCCGTTGTCCACGCTCACCGTGGCTCGATGGACTGCAGCGGTCGCCGACGCGGTGGCCAGGTGGTTGGGCGCGCCGCCTCGGAGGGTGCACTCGTACTTTTTATACGTGGCGTAGAAGCTCTTGTTCGCCATCGCCAAGGCGCTAATGTCGTGCACGACGCTGAGCTGGCGCAGGAGACCCAGCATGACGCCCTCGGGGATCGAGTGCGCGCCCACAAGGGGCAGCGTGGCCGAGGGTGCCTCGGCCGAGAGGGGCGGGCGGAAGAAACCGCTCTGCGGCGTCGTAGCGTATTCCCTCGATAGAACGTAGCCGTGCTTCCCCGTGACGTCGAACAGCGTGAGGCCCGACAGGCTATTGTATATATCAATCACGGACGCCCGGAACGCCGGGATGGGATCGCACACGCCCTTGTGCACGGGGTTCGGCGGTCCCGGAATCGTCTGCAGCATCCGCACGAGCTGCGCCAAGCTCCGCCGCGGCAGCGCGAGGGCGGCGCCGGACCCGGGTTCGCTGAGGTGGGAGAGGACGGCCGGGTTCATGATGATGGGTAAGAGCTGCATCTCGGACATCACCATCATCAAGTACCCGAGGTTCGCCGCGTCGCACTCGTGGCTGCCCTTGGGGCAGCGCGGGGCGCTCGAGACGAACGACCGCGGCGGGGTACGACGGTGCTCGTGTACGACGAGGTCCGCCACGATCCGTGAGAGGAGCTCGTGGGCGGGGCGGGCTCGTCGAAAATGGAAGCCCGCCGTAACACGCCGCCGCCAGGGACGGGGAGGCCCATAAGGGGCGGGGCGGGGGCCGCAGGTACTCTTGGATGGTGGAGACGCAGCACGCGTACACTTGCTCCATCTTGGCGCTGCGGACCGCCCAAAGCTTGTCCTTGAGCTCCTTGGGCCACGGCTTGTCGGACAGCTCCTCCTCGCCCACGACGTTGAGGATGGCCGACTTGGTCATGCGCGTGAAGAGCCCGCGGCTGCCAAAGACGTAGCTGATGAGCAGCAGGCCGTCGGGCATGGCCTCGGTCCCCATGTGCACCCAGTCCGGGAGCCAGCGCATCTCAACAAAGACTTCAAGCGGCGAGGTACACTGCAGCCGGTAGCACAGCTCCGCAATGGTCACGAACCTCTCAAAGTCGATGGCCCGCGGCACCTGCGCGTTATGCATGTGCGCGGCGTGGAGCAGTATCTCGAGCGGGCTAATCTCCCGCGGGTTGAGAGGCGGCATCCGGTACACCTTGACCTGCAGCCCGTCCATGTTGAACTCGCCCCGGGCCCGCGGGTACGGGCCCTGGAAATCCTCGTCCCGCCTGCGCCCGCCCAGGGACGTCTTGCTAAACAGCTGGGCGAACACGGGCGATACCTCGGAGAGGATGTGCGACGACACCCTAAAGCTCGCCCTGCGCCGCCGCGGCAGGGATCCGGCGACGGGAGTGCCCTCACCAGGAATCACGGGGAACTCGAGGATGGTGTCTCCCCGTGTAGATATGTCGTACCTCTCAGTGATTGGCCTCTCTGCTTTAGGGGCCCTCTGCCTTGGCAGGCTGTCGTCGGGACGGTCCGGGGCCCGCAACGTCGCCTCATCCGCCACCGCGCCAGCAAAGTCTGCAAGTGGCTTGGGAGGTTCCTCGATGCTCAACTCAGACCGCACCCCGGTGGACTGACGGGAGAGTTTCTGCGCCGCGGCTTCTTCGTCGGCAGGCTCCGTCTCCCGGAAATTCAGGAGCTTGTCAATATGCGACCAGGCAGATTGCACCGTGCCATACTCCAGCTCGAGAAACGCCGAAGACCCAGGCTAGCCATGAAAAGTTAACAACCCATGCGCGCACCTGTTGAGTTTTCAGAGCCGGGTGGTGGTTTCGCCAACCTAAGAAATAGGCATGCATGGCATTAGAAAAAGACTTACATTCGTAGCATTATTATCCTTGCTGGGCGACGTGGAGCCCTTCTCGGACTCGGAGTCCGAGCCATATCCTCGCCGCTGTCAATGCTATTGCGGTACCTCCCCGTCAGTCGCCCAAGGGTATCCCTCCAATCCCTCACTTCCATCAGGGCCGGCGACCTCTCCAGCACCGTCGCCACCCAGCCACTGGAGATGGCCACGGGGTTGTTTGGCTTCCCGGCCGTCCGCCCCCGCCTGGCCACCCGTCCCGTTTACTTTTGGTGCCAAGGCGCTTCTTCACCTCGAAATCGACAATGGCGTCACACAGAACCCGGCAGTCCGCCGCGACGGCCTGGAACGCGGCGTAGGCCTCGCTGAGCGGGTCGCTCTCTACAGCGGCCCACTTGACTCCAGACATGAGGGCTCTCAGGCGCCTCCTGTTCTCATCCGGCGTGGAACTGACGACGGGTTTCCCATCACGTGGTCGGGTGCGAGTCGGGGGTTGCTTGGCGCCCCCTTCGTTTCCGTTGGCGTCGGGACCGAGTCTTGTACGGGTGCTTGGTCGAGTGGCACGGGTTCGCTTGCTTGGTCGCCTTGTGGAGATGCCGGGGCAGAGGTGTAAAGCGGCAAGCTCGGTTCCGCGCTCGAAGAGGTCCCGGAGTCGCTCATTATTATATTTCCGACGAACGGCGGCGAGGATGGGGCCTAGTATTTAGCTGGGGTCCGGGCCGCGTGATATCGGGATTTCGCTCGGGAAGACGGGGGTTGGGCGTGTCGTCGTGGTGTCGTCTGCTAATTGCCTCCTTTAGGGAGGAGGCGCACCGTGATGTCGAATTGTCCTCGGCCTCGCGCTTCCTCCCTAGCGCCTACCAAATGCTCGCGATTCCTAGTTAGGTTCGGAAGAGCTAGTGTACAATTCGCATGGAAAAAGAAACGCCTTGGAGAAAAGGAACAAATTCATGAAAAGTGCACTGCTCCCCTCTTTTCTTTCATTCAACCATTACGAAGGAAGAGGAACAACAGAGAAAGAGGGAGGGACGGTCAGATCCATGCATGCATGCAGAGGAGGGAGGGGAGGCTGAGGCAGCAGAGCTCCATATGCAAAGCTGGGCTGGCCTGCACTGCCATTCGTTCAAGTCAATGCGGGTCGTTGACAACACGACCACACTCCAACATGGGGCTGGATAAGATGGGCTCGTGTTGCTTGCCGGGGCTCAGATACAATCTACTTTGCAATAGACAAGTGAGGAAACAAGGGGGAAAGGATAAAGGTAATAATAAGAAGAATTATAATAATAATAATAAAATAAAAATAAAGAAGGCAGTAGTAAAACAGAGGGACCCTTGCGCGATAACACGTACGTTGAGCAAGGGTGCACAAACAGGTTCGACAAGACAATCCATCATTGATGTTGCCGAGGACCCTGTGGCTCACAGCAAAACCAGCCATGTTGTGAAGTACATGAAGCAGATCAACCGTAAGCCATTCCCTCGATATCAGGTGTCTTCCAGGAGATGTCTAAGAGAGAGCGGCCATCGCCCGTCCCCTCAACTACCCACACATCGAGACGGTAGGCAGCCATGAAACTGAAAATAAAGGGTTGGGACGAGGCAAAGTCGTCCTCCTCACGAACTATCCCGAATCCTCGTGTAGAGATCATCCTAATTAAATCCGGAATAGGAATTTAAACATAAATCTTCAAGGGTCGATGAATATCTCGGTCCGTCCGCTCATCTCTATGGGGAAGAAAACCTCTATGCAACACGGGCACAGGGAGCCCCGGGGCCTTGCGTAAGATCAGAGGTTCACAGGCGGAGACCAAACCGAGTGAACCCTGGCGCAATCAAGCAAATTGACCTGGCCAGCGCCTTGATTTCCCATGCTAGCACTGGTTTCCGTATCAGCACAATAGAGACGTTTTCGTCGAGCATACGGGATAAACAGTAATGGTGAAGAGTGAAGGGGGCTCTAGTGCCATATCAACTCGCTTCCATATAGAGTCTTGCCCTGCCATCGTCCCTGCACCCACCTCGTTCCTTGTTACACGAACTTGAATGAATCACGAAAAATAGTCAAAAAGAATTCATCTTGGGAGGGAGAGAAAATTTGATGAAACGCCATGCCCAGCCTCTGCCCATGATACAAGCACCGAGTAACACGATATTGACCAAAGCCTGGAACCCCCACCGCAACTGAGATGCAAAACCCTGCCTTCGACAAAACGCAATGCCTTTCAAAGCTGTGAGGACAACATGTATATGACCACTCTCTCTAAGTGTGTTTCTTTTCGCCGCCGTCATTTCCATGTCCATGTCCATGTCCATAACCTCTACGCAATCCTGTATGTCCAATCCTAGGCTCTCCACATGCCTATACCATTCTAAAAAAAAAAAAATGAATAATAAAAAAGACAACAAAAGAGAATCTGTGTTTTTCCTTGGAAGGAGGGCTTCGCTTTTCGTTGGTAATCTTCTCATATACCTTCTCCCCTCCCCTGTGACGAACCAGCAACCGTAGGTCCACCTAATCCAATACCCGCTTTTAGGGTGGCTCAGAGAGCGCGTCGCTTCGTTGGTCGGCGAGGTAATATTGGACGCCCGGGATACACCCAGCATGAGTGAAGTGCCGCTAGGTATACTGCCCTGCGCTTGAGGCTGGGTGTATAAAGTTGTGGAGTCGCTATACGCCGCCGCCAGATGTAAATGTGTCGAAAATAAGCGCTCTGCGATGTTTTAGGACCGGCGAGATACTTGGTGCGTCAAATAAATATACCTTATATTGTACAGTCGCTATGTGATATCCTTTTTGGGGGTGGCTAAAACGCTCCGACAGATCGATCACGATGCCCTACGCGAAGGCACCATTACCGGTCTCTTTGGGGAATAAGGGTAAACGAAGCACCGGAAGCCGGTTGGGGGCGATGGTCAAAGGTGATGGATGGGAAGCTTCACTCCGGATGGGTAGCCAAGACGGGCAGCGAAAATGGACTTGCTGCGGCTTTATGCGCCACCTGTTCCTGTCGCGTACTGCGGCAAAGACCCAAAACCGGTACCGATAGCAACGCCGAGCGCCGAAAAGTCTTTCAACCTCCTTTTCGCTCCGACGTATGCTTGGGCGGCGCCTCGCTTTGGTTTGTCGTCCCGCCCTGGGCTTTGTGATCAATTCCCTTCTTCCGGTACTTGCCAGCTCGTTGCCACCCACCATCGCCATTGACCCCCTCGCTTCGGTGCGCGCGAGCCTCCGGCTCCTTGGGTCCAGCAGATTCCTGACCCTCCCCGTGAAAACGGTTGGTCGTCTGAGATTTGCTCGACTGGTGGCCTGCTTGAGACCCTCGCCCTCCATGCTGCGAGTTGCCCTTGAATTGGGATGCGCGTGAGGGCGTGCCCACCTGCTTCGAATCGTGCGCGGAGGCCTCGCCAGCCTCGCCAGACTTGGCATGTCCGCCTTTCCCATTTTGAGGTCCTGTGCCCTGACCAGGTCCCTGTCTATCGCTCTTTGCCGCCTGCTCTGGTTTCCTTGTCGGTGCCGCGGGCGGTGTGCGACTTTCGTAGACCGGCGATAGATGTTGAAAGTCTAGGTGTCCCGTTGAATTACCGACCTTGCTGAAATCAATCGCAAGGTCGAGGGGCGCAATCACGCCATTTTGTTGGTGCCTAGAGATAAGCCGTTGACGTGTGGACGAGGTATATCGCTGGCCGATGGACGGGTCTTGCACATAGTAGGGTTGCATCGAGTAGTTGGGCTGCATCATGGCCACCCGCTCCCTAAACGAAGGCTCATCCATCCCGTACATCTGGCCCATCGCACCTAGCGAGGGTGACGCTGTTGTCGCGGTCGCGGGGAGGCCGCCACAGCAGTGTTCGTCCCATTAACGACCACAGGGGCCTGCTCCGCCAGCGACTGCGATGATTGCTCCGTCGTCGCACTGGTCAAGACCGGGGTCTGGTCGCCCTCGGTGCTAGACTCGTACGAGCCGCTAACCTGGATGGCACCAGGGTCGGCTGCGTGCTGCGCATCTCCCGCTGCCCCTTGACGTTGCTGAGAGGCGATATTTGTGGGATTCAGCAATGAGCCGTTAACGACGAGGGGGCGCACTGTACTCCTTGACCCGAGCGAAGAGGGCGACGTTCCTACGGATAGTGCCCGAGCATGGCCGGCAGGTGACGGTGACCGAGATACCCTCTTCATCCTCCGGTCTAGGACCGATTGAGGCAGCTCGGTGGTCGATATGTGCCTGCGACTGGTAGTCGTCTGATGTTGGTGCAAATCACCAAAGGCGATGCCGTTGGGGACGTTGGCCACCCTTCGGCTTGGGCTGGATGTCTCAGAGGGTGCTACGGAACCCACCGGTCCGCCCTCCTCCACGGGCGGGGAATCACCAGACACGTTTGTGGACGGCGAGGGTCCCTCATCCAACTCGGCTTCATCCGCCATGAAGCTGGGGATGGGTATACCGTTAGCATTATTCCGCGGAGGGAATATGGCTAATCCGTTGGGAGGCGTGGGTCCAGTGCTCGTGAAGCTGCCCGGGCCAGGTTGTCCTCCTACGGGGATGGTCCTTGAGGCGGGCTGAGACTGCGACCTAAGCGAGCTGCCCGCCCCTGCTGTTCCTGCCTCTGCGGCAGCACTTGACCGGTGCAGGCTTCTTCTGAACTCCGGGGTGCCAGCGGTGGCAGCCGGGGTCGACGGATAAGTACCATAGACGTGATGAACGGTTCCAGGGGTGGCGTAGAATTGCTGGCCGGGCTGGAAGGGAAGGCCGTAAACGCTAAAAAGGTCCGGCCGGAGGGGCGCGCTAAGCGGCGGGTTGTCGAACGAGTTAGTTCTTGAACGGTCCGTGGAGGTTGAAGGCGTTTGCGCGGCAGAGCCCGGTGCCCTCTGGTGCTGGCCTTGAGTTGTCTGTTGGGAATTTTGCTGCTGAGACTGCTGGTACGCTTGGGCCTGTACTGCAAGGAGCTGGTTTTGATACAGTTGCTGAAAGCGGAAGTCGTGCTGCTGAGCCTGCATCGCTATTGCTGCTGACACAAGATCTTGTGGCATATACGAGGCTCCAGCATACCACGCAACATCCTGACCGGCCATCTGGGGAGAATATATGGCTGTAGCACCGCCGTCGTACGTTACGCTGGAGGAAGCTCTTCGACCGGCATTGTTACCCCGGTAATAGTTGCTCGAGTGCCTACCCCCTACCGAAACCGCCACGGCCACCACGTCCCGTATGAGTCTGGCTGGAGCTCCGCATCAGAATAGGTTGGGGTTTCCGAGTCTGAGTAAACACCCGCTCCTCCTCCTTGGGGAAGACATATTGCTCGCAGCACTCTTCCAATTTGACTTGCGATATTAAATCGAAAGCTCTCCTGAGTTCGAGATGAAGCCCCTTAAAGGAGTACTCATCCGCCGTGTTTCCAAGATTCCTCGACGTGTTGAAGGGTTCCTCTATGCAGAGCCTGTTATTGAGAGCATGATGCCAATTCTTCTCCTTCTTGGTTTGCAGACGACCTAACCGGACCGATAAGGCGTTTTTATCGTAGTCAAACTCGTGCGCGTAATATCTAAAAATTCGAACAGCAAATCGCCTAGACTCGACTTGTTCTTTTTCCCGAATCCACGAAGTTGGTCCAAGTCATCGGCAAAGGCTCCGTCCGTTCCATCCTTTTTCCGAAGACGCTGGTGAGGACGCTGATGGAGCGCAGGCAGGACCGGGGGTCTCGGAGCTGGAGGAAGGCGATGACGAGGCAGATCCAAGTGTACGAACTCAAGGTACCGCCAAATGCTAGCAGGCGGGAGGAGAGAGGTTAGCCAACGGTGTCATAGACGGCGCAGTTCTTCTTGAACTGTGGTTAGGCCAGGTGTGAGAGAGGGCATAGTACCAGCATCATTGACGATCCTCCGCCTCGTCCAATACTTCACAATCATGGCAAGTGGCCGAACCCTATCATCGGTTTCGACATATGTCCGCACCATCCTGGTGTTTTCGAGAGCAAGGGTATTGTTCACGTTCATGTCGCATGCTAGCTCAAGCTCGGGGTCCCAAATTTTCACAATGGGTACCTTTGCAGGTGCTATACATACCACCTTTTCCATCCCGCCTAAGCATTGTATTTGTTAGTTTCGGTACACCTCGTCTTGTCTACTACAGGTACCCTCGTAACGAGACGGGTGGATAAAAGGATAGGATGGGACGAGATGGCCCTCGGAGGGAGAAAAAAAGAAGAAAAAACATACGTCGAGCGAGAAGCTCCGCAATCATACAGACGCCCTCTAGCTCTTTCCAATCCGTCGTGATACAGATGTCAACTATAGTAAAGTTAGTCGACGGCTCGCCGTTGGGTTCATCGGGGCAGGGAGACGGAGGAAGAGAAGTTGGCATTACGAACCATCGGAGTCATCGGAGCATAGCAAATTCCCTGATGAGCCAAAAGATGCACCCGAATATCGTGGCCCGGCCACTCTTCATTGAATATCGTTTCGAGTTTCGCAACGAGCTTCCGCCTTTTTCCTCAACCTTGTCTGTGGGCAGTAACCGGTCGTACAGCTCTCGCATGTCAGTAGTGAGCTTACGCTCTTCGTCCTCTGTGAGGCGGCTCTTCATAGTAGAAGGAGGGATCCTCTCCAGCTTCTCGTTACCGATGCTGTAAGGGACCCTTCTTCTAGTATTCATCTGCGCCGTTTCATACTGGCAACCTCCTAACCTAGGGAAGCTGCTTCAGCGGCGGAACTTGAGCGGTCGTTTCCGAGTAAGCCGAACGCGGCGAGTGGCTGTTTGCTGCATTCGGGGAGGGCTCTCGAGATTCGAACGAGAAGTTACGGGCGTGCTGAAGCGGCGTGGACGGGACGGAGCTTGAGTGATTTTGATTATGGGCCGCCGCCACTGCTGGTCTCGCAGGCAGGGGTGGGACAGGTCGGCGTTTTTCGGCGTCATTTTAGGCGGTGCGTCTTTGTTGGCTACAGCCGCTCTGGGACCCTTCTCGGAGTTCTGCGTCGCTCTATTCCCATGGCCTCCTTGATTGCCCTTGCCGACCGGGTTATCCTTATTTGACACTTTGGACGCGGACCTCGACCGAGGAGCAGCCTGGATATGAGGTGGCGAGGCGGCCTGGGCAGTGAGCTGAGGGTGTCCACCGCCCTGCCGGGGATATGAGTTTGTTGTACTGAAGAAGCTGTTGGTGATGGAAGAGAGTGGCCTGCTGAGGGAGGAAGAAAGGAAAGTATTCGATGCCGGCAGACAGCGGTCCGGCCGAGGGATCCGGCTGAGGGCAAGGACTAACACTACCCGGCGTCGTGGTGCCTCCTGGTGAAGGATGGGACCAGTGGGCAGGAGAATAGCTATGTTTCGATTCCGCCGCGGTCGACCGACTGTCCATGAAGGGAGACCGGGCTCGTCTGCCTGTCGAATTGGGCAGTTGGCAAGGTCTATGAAAGACCAGTTGAGCCGACGATTTCTTCTATTGGCAAGATTGTGCAACCGTCGACAGAGTGGAGCGGGTGGATAAATAGCAAGGCAGAAAACACCCCTAAGAAGAAAGAAAAGATTTGCCGTGCACGAACAGGGAAGCGGAAATCCAGGAAACTAGGAGGCAGATCGAGAAGGGAAGCCAGTGGTATGACGAGATACAAAGGGAGGGCGAGCAAGACTCGGTCGTAGGACAAGACAAGTCGTGACAAAGAAAGACGCGGTGGTCCAATTGTATATCAACGCATTGGCTCGCTCCTCGTGGAAAAGGGGGAGGGTCGAGAATGAACTGCGAACGTCGAGATCCGGAGCGAAGGCTGCGCCGAACAAGTAGAAGCCTATCCTTGGGGACCGGAGGGTTTTCCCTAACGCTGCTAGGTGGAAAGAAGAGACGACTGGCGGAAAGGGGCGGGCTGTTTCTGCACCCCAAAGGCGAGAAGCAGGGTAGAAGAAGGCGGCGAGGGAATCGAAAGTTGGGCGATTAAAGAAATCGGAAGAAAGACATCCGGCATTGGCAATACGGGGAGTCTAGAAGGGCCGCTGTCTACTCGAATGCGCGAAAGGATGCTTTATGGAGGAGGACGGGGGATTTTGGAGATGAGGAATCAATCAACGCGCTGTGAGACGGCGGTGATTTTCTTGAGGTTGAGGAAGAGTGGATGGTCGACTCAAGGTCGGGAGGTGCTGTGAAAGGGTGGGGGAAGTATTTGGTACAATTCGAGTTAGGAGAACAAGCCCGTCGGAGGAAGGCGAATTGGCAGCCACAGCCACGGATTCGTTGCTCTGTCTTTTCGGCGTAGTCTCTTTCCAACGTTCCAATCTCGTAGCGCAAGGGAAATGACCAGTGAATTAGGTACGCGCAAGCAACCTTTGCAGCAAGCACACCCTGTCTCCTGCCCTCGGGGGTAGAGTGTTGGCCGGTGGAACTTGGGGGCCACTCTAATAATAAGGGGATTTGAGGGGAGGTGCTGGCAGGACAGACTAGGGAGAATCGCAGTCGAGTCCTTGTCCGATCCCAGGGTCTCCCCAGGGCGTTGCTCTAGTGGCAATACCCTTCAGTTCACGGGTCATTATTAACACTTCGCTTTTTTCTTTTTTTTTTTTTCCTCCCTCCTTTCCCACACTCATCATTTCCTTCATACCTTACCCCTCGAGGGGGCAAGACAAGGAGGGACGGCAATCCTTCTCACACTGTGCCCATGCTTAATCTCACGCGAGCATCCCTTGTCAGGAAGGACCCTCGTCCAAAACTCACAGTGCTACTTGTGTGGTGCAGCGTAGGATATTTCCACAAGTATGGCCTGGCCTACCATGACGCTTCCCGTATTGAGGTTCATTTCATCAGTTTTGGGTTCGTCTCATCAAGAAGAAGATTTTAGTCTTAATTATTACTTCGAGAACTCGAGAATCCGAAGTTCCTGCCGCAAGCCGAAACTTCTCGCACTTCTATTCTCCTCAACGTGCCAGATGGCAGCCCTACCATTGACAAAGCACGCCGTCGTCGCCTTCCATCAATGTGAATGAATCATTAGTTGGACGCCAAATACGACCTGCCTATTTTCCCCTGCCATTGTCGTCGTGTTGGCCTTCTAGACTTTTTCATCCTAGTCCATCATGCAGCAGGCGCACCCAGGCGGGGGTTCTCGGCGAGAAGACGTTGGTAATAAGGAAAGGCTTCACGTCGCGGCGGCTCGTTCCCGACTTGCTCGAGGATGCGCTCTCCAGAACATCAAGATGCGGCCATTCGGTGAGATTGATCTGCAGGCCCCGGCTCGCGCAACCAACGCTCCCCCAAAGTTCATTAGCTTCAAGCAACCAACGCGCTACTACCACCTTTCGCTTCCGGCTTCAAAGGATCAAGCGCTGCCTCACATCTCTCAAGAAGCTCAAACGGCCGAGGGCAGGCGGGTCGGCGAGCATCCTCGGCCGGGCTCTTCATGCATGAGAATGAACCTACACTAGTATTGACCCAGTTCGCAAACCAACACCGAAGCATCACCTGCGTAGCAAGCACACGACACGCGATTGACATGTCTGTCCCTTTTCAATCAACAGCCCCTTTATGACCCAAGCCACCTAAGAATGCATTTTTGCACAGACGTGACGCTGGTAATGCAGAGGGCAATCACGCCCTAGAAATGAGACAGGATGGGCGGCTCCATGGGGAGTTCGTTGCTCTCGCTATGGAAAGCCACGCCCAGGAAAAAGAACGAAAAGAAACAAGAGAGCACGACGAGAGAGTCGCGAATTGACGCAGCGCCGGGTAGATCCCACGCTTCGGACTGTGATGATACATGTCCAGCCAGTGATGAGGCCCGGATCCTTGACATATTAAGATGATCTCTAGATCGCCTTCGCTCGATCGCCCTAGAAACGAAACGCGTGGTTCATTCCCGTCATGCCCACCGCTGTTATAATTGGTGCTTTACATGACGCCCCGTGAAGTTTCGCCAAACAACCACACTGGTGGGGAAGGGGGCCCTGCAAGAGAGCCAGCAGGATTAATCAACGTCCGCCCCAGAAGAGGACAAGATGCAAAGCGCGACCCCTTTTCAAACAGGGTTAAAGGGGTGGTCCATCCGTCACATTCCCTCGAAAACCACCACATCGGGCGGCGGCCACCTGTCGGCGAGACAATGCATACTGGGGGCAGGAAATCCGCTGGCCGCCAAAGAGCTAAAAGTCTCTAAACACTGGCGATGCCTCTGCTGCCCCGCGTGGGCTGGACTTGCTAGTTCGAGAAAGACCAGCTGTCCCGCTTGGCCCGAATTGATAGTCTGAGACCTCGTTGCTCGAAAAAGACGGCCAACGATTGACACCGAAAAGCTGGCCGTATTTGCCAAAATCGTGCACACAGCACCATGCCCGTGATCTGAGCCTTGACCCTGTGGCAAGCGTTGCGAAATGCCCATGCACGAGGTACATTGGTCTAGCCTTAATGAACAAATAAGGCACCACCAATAACACAGCGCACTACCGCCCTGCAGCTATTTTATCGACTCTGTCACTTTATTAGGGATAATCTCGGAGAGTGTGGGGCTCATTTTCTCGAGTCGGCCTTCTTCGAGCATCGTTCGTTGCTCCTCCGAGATGGGCTCTCCAAACAAGTCTCATCCAACTTCTCCAGCTGTTTGCATGCCGGCATTGTGCCACCAATAAACCCAGTTGTACCTCGGTACCTGCCTTGTCTTCTGTGCTTTCGAATTCAGCCCATGACCCTTTTGGCTTGTTAACGTGAACTCCAGCATTCTAATAAGGAGCGTTGAACCGAAATCGAGTCGGCAACCATTAGCTCACGAAAGTTAGCCTTGGCCCTCCAGCACCCCTTTCCGGTCCTTTTGACACAACCTTCGGGCTCACGCGGCGTGGAAAGGAGAGGAAGTGAAGCAGGAGGCAGGTGGCAAGAGCTAAGACTAGATCTCCGCTATGAAATACACACATATATATATATATATTTTTTTATCGAGACTGACGTATCTACTGACCCACCTACCCTTGGTGAAAAGGAAAGGGGGAAAAGAGCGCAGAATGGAGAAAGCCTCCATCAACTGACAGCTGGACGAACCACCACCTGCTCCATCCGATGATTGCAAGCACGGTGCTCCCGAGCCGAAGCCCCTCGAAGCCCCTCAACGCAATGGAGCCGGTGGGTCAACGGCACCTGCTGCTCAAGCGGATTAATTACTAATAGAGACTCTGGCTGGGAAGTTGCACCTGAACGGAGTCTCCCCTTTCCATCAGTTCTGCCATTTGTTATGAAAGCCGCCCAATAAAAGGTAATCGAACAATAAACCTGGTGGGGCAATGATATTGCTCACTAGATCCTTTTGGGGTGCTCAGTTCTTCCCATCACCTCGAGACAGACTCTTCGCAGTTCGTGGGCGTTTCATCACGGATGATACCGTATGGAACAACCCGCCAAGCTCGCTAATAGTGCCTTCGTTGGCCGGGGAGTGGAGAGGAAGGAAGAGCCCCCGAGGACCTGATGTCTTCATCAAGGAAGCTATTATGTTACCGATAACTTTGTCATAACTGTATTAAGCTTTGGCTAAAGCGCCACCTCCGTCCCGACATCGACGTGTACCAAAAAGAAAAAGAAAAGAAAAAGAAGAAAATAAAAGAAAATAAAAGAGAAAAAGGGGGAGAAGAGAAAGAAGAAAAGGAATGATAATGATAAAAATAGGACCAGTGAGCCATCAAGTGATATG